ATAGAGAGATTTTGAAAAATCATTAAAATCGAATGAGTTATTTAAACTAATAAACATCCTAAAAAAGATTATTCCTAGATTATTTGTTTTCATAGATAACTTTATTACCTATAGTAAATACATTATTCAGATTGAAAAGAAATACAATCGATGGCTTTCTTATTATAACTACTTTTTATTATATTGCTTCGGGAACAATAGGAGGGTTGAAAGGATAATTAAATACTTAATAAATGTTTCTTAAAACCTCCATTTTTTTATTTATATCAATTTGTTTCCAAGACTTCCATTTCTTTCCCATCCTTAAATGTATTTAAACACATAAATTTATCTGGCTTTATTTTTTTATTTTTTGTTAAATATATCAATTTTTAGTTATTTTTGAACTCCAAGTTTCTTTTTATCAGAAAGAATTAGTGTTCATATTGAATAATCAATATAACCTCTAGCATTATCAATTAACCTTAAATTTAATATTATATAAAATAAATATTTAGCAAGTAGTTAACTAATAATATATATATAACAATCACTCAATTTCAAATTATTGAGCTTGGTCTATCTAAGCTTTGTCATTGTTCTAGTTTTCTACTTGCTATTTGGATTTCAACTCCTGACTAAAGGCCACAACATCATCGAGTTGATTAATTTTGCCTGCTTAAGCAATGTATTTCATTACATTGTCACTCATCCCATTAATAAGGAAACAGTTTTTACTTTTGAGATTCTGGCCAAAACTAACTTATTGTCCATAAAAAAGAATTTTGCTTCGGAATTCACACTGTCGAGGTACTATTAAATAACTTCTTCCATATTTAATCCATCTTCATTAAATCATCTGGTTACCATCATATCACTTAATATCACTATATTATCACCTTTGATCTTATCCTATAATAATACATTATTAATGGTTTATCCAACCATTTCGCAAGCACTACTTAATTCCTTACTTTTACTTTAACATCTTTAAATTCCTTATAATAAAGTATCATTATTGAAATCAACCTTTACGAAGGGTTCACCCCTATAAAGAGGAGCGGAAAACAAATAAAACTCGCATTTTTCACATTTTGTTCTTATCATATGTCCCAAAACAAAAGCGCAATCCTTGCATTAATTAATTGATCCATAATTTTTCCACCGCTAATTTTACTGCACATTGATCCACTTACGTCAACAAATACATAAGTAACACCTGATATTGTTTCTAAATTTTTATCTACGGCAATTTCCATTGCTTTTTAAATAGCATCTTTATAAGATTGAATCACTTAAGGGGATGCATCGACCTCTCCTTCTTCAATTTTCACTTACTTTTCCATTTGTTGTTTTTTTCCTCTCTCTCTCTTTTACTTAACATTATTACTATTTTAATTTTCAATGGCTTACAATTTGTCATTATTTATTAATTTATTAGTTCATTAAATGGAAATAAATATCAATTAGAATGATATTAATTATATTTATCGATTATCAAATTGAATGAATTTAAGTTTTGTATTTTTAAGGAAAAGAATTAAAGCTGCATATTCATTTATAAAATTAAAGAAGATGATAAAATAGTTTATTTTCAATCATTTATTATATTGTATTATCATAATAATAAAATATTATTTACTTAAAATATAATATATAGTAATTTGGTAATTAATAAAAATATTGGAATAATTATTTTTTTTATGGAAAACCATAAAATTGACAAAACACTTAACTTAAGTGAATGTTGATCCATTGTAAAAGTACTGCATATGCATTCAATCATAAATCCATCTAGGAATAATTTGTAGCTTACTATCTTCTGAATTGATTAAGAGAATCTTTATTAAGAAGAAACAAGATGTTGATGTAACGATTGTTACTCCAATTATTTTTAATGATTCATGGTAACAGATGATATTTGAGTGCTAAATTCGAAAATGGATTAAATTACCAATGAATTATATTACAATACTAGAGTAACAGGGAATAAAAAATAGGAAAAAATTAATATCAGTAAATCAGTATAAATTGATAGAATAAAGTATGATGATTGTTGAATATAATCGTTATATATCAAAATGTACAAATATCTGTGAAATTTTTTAGTGGTTTCAATAATGGGTAGAAATATTTAATGAGATTTTTGACTTTTATAAATACATTTTTGAGGTTATTTTGTTCGAAATAAATAATTTGATATTCAGCCAAAGATTAAAATCTGATTAAATAGATAATCTGATTATATGGAGATTCGCATTCAGATTTTTGTACATTCAAAACCTACTTTTTTTGAGATCAACATAAAGCAATGTATATAAATTTATTCATAGATTTAATTTAGTTTAAATTTTATATGTCTAAATTAGGAGATTTCATTAATTTAAAAATAATGTTTAATTTCTGATTTGTCTCTTTTTGTTAGATGAATATTTCTAAATTAGCATGAAATGAAATTATTGATGATCGTTTTCAAATAACAATGTAATTTAAAATATTTAAAATTTTGATCCTTTAGGTATTCTTGAAATAAAAAACGGTTCCTAAGAATTAATCATTCACTTCTTAAGCCTTCATAGTAATAAATTGATAATAAATTTCGTTTGCTACCTATTTAAACACTCAAATGAAAATAAAAGTAGTAGCTGTAGCAATTTAATAGACCCAGGTTAACTATTTGTTTATTGACCTTTCAATCCCTCAATTGCATATAAGGAATGGAAAATGTTCAAATATAAATACTGAATTATTTTATTGATAAAACTGATTTTAATAAACTTTTGTTTGATTCACTTTGTAGTCTTTTTATCCTCAAATTGATTTATTGAGAATATTAACTTCTCAATATGAAACTCAAATGCCATATAGTTTAATTGTTTAATTGGGTAGTTGAAAAATAGTCTCTTAAATACTGGACAATTAATTCATTCATTTTAACATTTGTTTTCTATTTCTTTTTTTCTATTCTGACTAATTACTATAGTTTAATTCGAAATGCAAAATTAGTGTTTTATTTAATTTTTTTTTAGGTCATTGCTCAACTTGAACATATTTGGCTCACAACCTCTAAATTCATATGTAAGAAAGAGAAAATAGTTTTACTTTAAATTAAAAAATATTTTCTTTAATCAAATAATTTATTTTTGTGAATAATCTTACTAATAATATTTCAATTGTGTTTAAATTGGATTATAGGAGTTAATCAAAAATTATAGCCTTTCACAACTTTTAACCCTATAACATATAATTAAAAATGAATTTTAAAGAGAATTAAATAATAATAAATATTGCTTAACTTTACTCATCATTCCTAATATATAACCTTTAGCAACTAAAATTGATTTGACAGATGACTACCTGATATGCATTCAAACATGGCTATGAAGAGGCGAACTCTTAAATCTCTCCGGCAAAGTAATTAGGGCTCTTCAATTTTATAAATATTCCAGGCCCCATAAGTATTGATTTGATTTCAATAGGAATTTAGTTTTGTAATTTAGATTTTCACCTTAACATATTTAAAATAATGCTCCAGTGTAATTACACTCACTATAAAGATAAACACATGGAATAGCAAGCCTTAAAATAAAATCTCTGAATCCCCAAGATTCTAGAAATCATTCAAATTGAAACCGTCCAAAAGATCCTCGAGCCAAGAATCAGTTTGTATGTTGTCTTTTAACTTTATAGTTAAATCAGTTCCAGCAATTTACAATTTAAATGAAAGTGGCTACAATAAATCTTTCCATATTTCATTTCTACATATCATCGTTCCATCAGGAAAATTCAATTTTAAATTTTCTATTTAAACATCATTTGCATAAATCTCAAATCCTTCCATATCCCAAGAGTCTAATTTCCAAATACCAACTTGAAATTCAATTAAATTATTTGGGGGACATTCGTAAATGTCTTGGTCACCGTGGTTTAGTATCCATAAGGACCCATTAATAAGTTTTAAGGTTGGGTTCCACATCTTTCTAAAGTTGCAGAACTCAATCCAAAAATATAAAAATCTGCATATCTACAATCAGTTGCATTTTCTGTTATACAATTTTCATATATTATTGATTTCAGAAATAATATCTTCAGAAATGAAATCATCATCTTATTAATTTAATTAAATTATATTAAATTTCAGATTAAAAGGATAATTTTCAAATGGATGTAAAACCACACTTATTTATAATAACTGTTTACATAAGTAAAACAGTTTTCTATTTTAGGATGGCTTGCTCAGCCTTATTATGAATGAAAAAAATGATATTAGATTGTCATAAAAAATGGTTTAATTAGTCATCAATATTTCGATAAAGAATAAACGAATATATGAAATATATTCCTCTTACAATAGGCCTTATTTTAATGTTGAAATCAATTTAAGGAATTGTATTTTCTAATATACTTTTTATAATATAAATTATAAATATTGTGAATTAGAATCTGTGATTTTAGCAGGTCGCATAAATTAACAATTATAAGTATCATTATTGAACTAGTTAATTGATAAATTTTTTCATGGATATTTATTTAGATTCATAAATTTATTTTTTTTAAAACTAATTTACAAATGTCCTTATATAGCTGTTATCAGTANAATAAGGAAAGGAAAATGTTCATATATAAATGCTGAATTATTTGATTGAAACTTGACGATTAACTCATTCATTTTAATATTTGTTCTCCAATTCTTTTTTCTTTTCTGATTAATTAATATAGTTTAATTTGAAATGCAAAATTAATTTTTTTTAGGTCAACTTGAACATATTTTGCTACTTTAAAATTAAAATATTAATTTAATATATTAAATTTTGTGAATAATCTTACTAATAATATTTCAATTGTGCTTAAATTGGATTATAGGCGTTAATCAAAAATTTAAGCTTTTCACACCTTTTAACCCTATAAAATATAAATTAAAATGAATTTTAAAGAGAATTAATGTTCCAGCGTAATTACACTCACTATAAAAATTAACACATGGAATAGCAAGCCTTAAAATAAAATCTCTGAATCACCAAGATTCTAGAAATCATTCAATTGATACCGTCCAAAAGATCCTCGAACCAAGAATCAGTTTATAAGTTGTCTTATAACTTTATAGTTAAATCAGTTCCTGCAATTTACAACTTAAATGAAAGTGGCTACAATAAATCTTCCCATATTTCATTCTTCATATCATCATTCAATCACGAAGATTCAATTTTAAATTTTCTATTTAAACATCATTTGCATAAATCTCAAATCCTTTCTAATTTCCAAATACCAACCTGAAATTCAATTCAATTATTTGGGGGACATTTGTAAATGTCTTGGTCACCGTGGTTTAGTACCCATAAGGACCCATAAATATGTTTTAAGGTTGGGTTCCACACATCTTTCTAAAGTTGAAGAACTCAATCCAAAAATTTAAAAATCTTTATATCTACAATCACCTGCATTGTCTTTTATACATCATCCTGTTAATTTCATTAAATTAAAATTAAGATTAAAAGATGGATTTTCATCCAATGAGCCTTCCTTTAATGTTGAAATCAATTTAAGGAATTGTATTTTCTAATATACTTTTTTATAAAGTACATTATAAATATTGTGAATTAGATTTGAGATCTGGACAGGTCGCTTAAATTAACAATTACAAGTATCATTATTGAACTAGTTAATTGATAAATTTTTTCATGGATTATTATTTAGATTCATAAATTTAATTTTTTTCAAACTAATTTACAAATGTCCTTATATCTAACTCTCTTATCCATCAAAAGCCAATACCAATACACAACAAAGCGAACTTTAAATCCTGAAAGGTTAGTGAGTATTGAGAAGGTCACTAATAGGATTATAAAGTGGTGAAAAAATATTTTAAACTTTGAAGATTGTTCACAAGATTCTATCTCTATATGATATGTGGATATGAACAACTCGATAAATCTCAAATCAAGTAATAAAAATTTTATATTATTTTTAAAAAAGAAGATGAGCAGTTAAAACGATTAGAAAGAAGATCTATATTTGCTTTTGGCTTAATCCAAAGATTTTAATGAATCTAGCCTCCATTTAGTCAGTTAGATACTCAAAGGAGAGAAAAATTAAGACTGTATAGAATTTCTCTCATTAGATGAAATTCATAGGCAAGTGGAATAAAAAATAGTGTAAATCGAAAATTCTTCACTATTGGATAAGGAATAAATGCTAAAATTTGGAAAAAATGACATTAAGAAAATTACAAATTTTCTAAACAAAATTAAGGATCATGATTTTAATAGAGAAAATTACGCAGCAGATGGATATAAAGAAATTACATAAGTTCTTATTAAGAAAATATCCTAAGAAAAGAAGATCATAGAATTACTAAAATTTTTAGTTCATCTTACTGCCTTTGATCAGATGTATATATAGTGTGGATCAAATTCTCTATATTTATTAATTTAAATGAAGGTTGATTTAAAGGAATAATCTTTTGAAAAAATTAGAATTAGAAATACTTAGCTTCTTGGAGCTGACTTTGTGAGATGTGACTTAAGTGGATCTCAATTTGATAATGTCATCATTAGTGGAATAAATTTGAATTAAGCCAATTTATCTAATTGTAAGTGGAGGAATTTAAGAATAAATGAGGTGATGGTGCTAAATGGTCATACTAATTATGTCAATGCAGTTTGCTTTTCTAATGATGGTAATTCATTAGCATCTAGTGGTAATGATAATTTCATTCTTTTGTGGTGTGTTAAAACAGGGAAAATAAAGTCTATATTTAAAGGATAGAGAATTGTAAAAGCAGTTAGTTTCTCACCTAATGATACTTTATTAGCTTTTGGAAGTGATAAATTTGTGTATTTATGGAATCGTAAAATAGGAAAATAAATTTCAAAATTAATTGGTCATACTCGTGATGTAAATACAATCTGTTTCTCTCCTGACAGTATTTCATTAGCATCTAGCGATAACAATAAGTGTGTTTTTTTATGGGATGTTAGGACAAGACAATAAAAAGCCAAATTAGTCGGTCACACCAATATTGTCAAATCAGCCTGTTTTTCTCCTGATGGTACTACATTAGCATCTGGTAGTGCAGATTATTCTATTCGTTTATGGGATTTTAAGACAGAAAAATAAAAATCCAAACTTGATGGTCATACAAGTTTTATTTATTCGGTCTGTTTCTCACCTGATGGTACTATATTAGCATCTGGTAGTTCAGATGACTCTATAGGTTTATGGGATGTTAAGACTGGATAAATGAAAGCCAAATTATATGGTCATAGTAGTTGTGTTAATTCAGTCTGTTTCTCTCCTGATGGTACTACATTAGCATCGGGAGGCAATGATAACTCAATCCATTTATGGGATGTTAAGACAGGATAATAAAAGTATTAATTTGAAGGCCATGATGGAGCTGTTTAGTCAGTCTGTTTCTCTCCTGGTGGTAAAATATTAGCAACTGGTAGTTATGATAAATCTATCCGTTTATGGGATGTAATAACAGGACAATAAATCTTACCTTCTGAAAATAGATAGTAATTTATTCGGATATAATGTAAACCCTATATCCTTTCAAATAATATTCTTCCAGATAGTGGTATTTACTTTTCACTTGTATTTAGCTACCTCTAATTTCTCTACCCTACTAATTTCCTAAAATTATAATTTATAAGCCTAAAGGGCTTTAATCTAAAACGGAGAATTTGTTAATTATTAAGGTGTAGATTTAAAAAAATTATTCATATCAAAAGGCAGCTTGGTTCGAGAAAACGAAAAAGAATGGGAACAGAATTGATTATTATCAGAAAATCATTAACAATTTCCCAACTCTAATAAGTTTTACTGTAATTTATAAACAACAAACTCCACTACTTACTAGTGTTTGGATAACAATTATAACAAATTCTTTTTTTGTAATAAAGTTAACTTCAAATTCCAATATAAAATTTTTGATTGTTTTCAAAGTTTAGATATTCAAATTGAATTCTTAAAAATTTACCAGGACATAAGCAACCAATTTTTACCTTTTTCATATTTGATATAGTTGAATCTTCTTTGCTTAGAACCATTATTTTACTTCATTTATTCCCTTTTATATTCTGTTTTTGCCTCCTCTAATTCTTTTATTACTCCATAAACCTTTTAATCTCCAAGTTTTACAATCATCTTAGTTACAGCAGAGTTTTAATCTTTTGTAAATAAGTATTCTAATTCGCATTGATCTTTGATTTGCTCAGTTGAATAAATTTAATATATTTGTACTACTGCTAGAGCAGGTTAAATTTTAACAGTGTGCTAAACTTTATTTAATTCAATTGGTGATTACTAAATCGCTTAAACATCATCCCAAAATATTTTTCATTCCTGTTTAATTGTAAAATACTCCTCCTCTATCGGAAAATCAGCTTTCAAATTACATTATTTCACTATATTTCAATTTTATTTCATAGCCCAAAAATTTCATGCAATTCCAACCACACTCCATCTTTCAAACTTTCCTAAGGTCTATTGCTGAATATTCTATATAAAAAGTAATTTTATTCAAACTATCTTCATATTAAAAAGCAAATGAAATTTAGACTCCCCATAATTTTCGAATAGCTCAATCCATGACCTAAAATTCTCACCTTTCTCATTATATTCCCCACCAATTTTCAAATTTTCACTTTTACTTTCAGAATTCTTTCCATTATTTTAATTTCAACACCACCTTTGAAATTTTATTTAAAAAGTTTTTCAAGAAACCATGATCAATTGAGTTACACCTTGATGAATATCTAATTATATGGTTTTAATATTTCTCGATCCATTATATATCTGACCATTCCTAAATCATATTGAATTTTCAAAGATGTTTCTTTTGCAAAATCTTCGTCTAATATTCCATATTCTTTCCAAAACCCTATCGTTTTCACCATCCTCATTTCGCCTCCCTGACTTAGTATTAAAATTACTTATTTTTCAACTCCATCAATTTAATAAATAAAATTTCCATATTTTTATTCAAATGTGGTAGGGCCAACTAATATTTTAGACCTTAAAGTAGTTTCAAATATACTTATGATATTCTTCATGGGTAGAGAATCTCAAAGTTTTGTTAGTTGAAACCTTAAAACGATTTCTTCACCATTGTTATAACTTTGTTTCTTCAAGAATAGAATGAAATTGGACTTTATAGAGCTTAGTTCAGGGGAGAGAGACTAACTAAAGGATGAAGATGTTAATATTTAGGAAAGGATGTATTCATGATTGTTAATTGTTCATTATATTATTGATTAATATAAGCTTGCGTATAAGTCATTCAAGTATTATAATATAAAAATCAATTTTTTTCAATCACTTTAAAGTCTTCCTTGTAATTTTTAAACATAAAATTTAAGAATTTGTTTCAACCTTAGTTGTGATAGTAATTCGACTACTCTAAGTCTCATGAATTAGAACGACTTAGTCCTTCCACCAATTTACTAAATGAGGTAAAAGAAAATGATGTAATGCCAGTTGTTTGATACAAACACAAGAAATATTTTATTTGATTGATTTCTAAATGAAAAATGATACCCAAGACAATCAACAAGAAGATCTATCGCTTTTATATTCTATTTTAGATGAAAAAAATAAATATTGTAACCATCTAGATAAAGGACATTATGCTTAAGAAACGTGCAATAATTGCTACAATCGTGTTGCTAGAAACAAGCAGCTGTGGCTTTACTCTGATAAAAAACTGTATGTAAGATTATAATATTGATTTTCTATGTGGATTATGTTAAAACTGTTAAATAATTAGGATAAACTAGAGAATTGAATCTCATTTTCAAAGATTTATATTTTTTAAAATCTTAACAGATCAATAATAAATAATAATTTCTCTTTTCTATTAGTTTGAAATCAAAATTAATAATAAATAAAATTGAATAAATAATAAATAATAAATCACATTAGCAAATCGACAACATCTTGCAATAGATTAAATTCATTTTCTATGTTTTTGAATTCTATTGTTTTGATCTTCCATAGGCTCCAGAAGATCCTGATTGAAATCATTTGGAAGTTCCTGCAATTATTACTACAACTCCTCTATTAATTGATCTCTCTTTTCGATGTCTTATCTGATTTCAGTTTATAATCGATCATCTGTTTATTATTGTTATCAATTTCAATCTACAAAACCATTTGATAGGATATTTTGCTAATGAAAACATTAGATACTTTATTTAGGAATAAATCTAATGTTCTATTTTACTCCCATTTTATGGATTCTTATCTTTTGGCATATTATATTCACATTAGGTTTAAAATAGAAAAAGGTTCAGAACTAGAAAGTTCCACTTTGTTTTCTTTAATATACTTGGAAGTTATTATCGTTTTTAAATTTTTTGAAGTTATTATTCTTTTATTATTAGACTGGACCTTATTATTATTTTTATTAACTTGGATAAACTAGCTTAAAGATTCTTTTCAACTTAATAAACTTACAAGATAAAAGCTATTTTAGAACATAATATAATAAGCATTTTATTTAAAGAGATATATTTCTGAAGTTCCTGGTTTAATGAAGGGTCAATTTCTTTTTAGATTTGATTTTGCGTATGGTAATTTATTTGGGGAAACAATAATTATTTTTGAAAATAAAAGGAACCATTTGTGAGAATTATAATTATTTGTTGTTCCATTGTGCTAATATTAATAATGTTCACAAAATTAGTTTATGAATGAATTGCATAATTTATGATTTAATAATACAACGCGGAAATTATTCCATATTATTTATTGTTGGATTTTATAAATATTATAATTGAACAATTATTTTCTAATAAAAATGTAAAATAACACTCCTCCTATTGATTTTGCAAACTTGCACTCAAAGAACCTACAATAATAGATTTTTTCATAAAACTAAGAACAAATATTATCTTATAACCAGTATTCTTAAGATTAGGAGAATTAAATAGCTTTTTCAAAATCTGACAATTTAATTAAGGATGTAGATTTTAATAATCAAAGGATCTTTTTACTTAAAATAATAGGAATTTTTATTATTTGGTCACTTATTTTCTTCCTTTCATTATATTTATTTGGTTTAAATATAAAATAATCAAACGAGCCTTTGAGTTAAATTTTGATATTTCTCTCACTTACCTTTTTAATTCTTCTGATGAGGATGGGAATAAGAAACTAAAACAGAAATGTATTAGCATTGATTATGAATTATTTTAGCCATTAAAAAGCTGCCTAATATTTTTTGGATTACTTATATTTTATAATGTGCTTTACATAAGTCTATTCTCTAGTCTACAGTTCGCAGATAATAATTAAGTTAATGGTATGCTATCATTAATAACTAAGTTGATACAATTGTTGGTACTATTTTGTTAATCTGTGTCTCACTTAATTTTCTTGTCAACATCATTGTTCTGGCATATTTATTGGTAGCTAGAGAGAGAATACGGATGTTATGTATAAATCCTGACTAGTTTAGATGTTATTGCACTAGAAATTGCTATCTTGATCTTTCTTTGTATATTCTATAATCCTGCAATAATTATGATTCCTTTTGGTTTTCCATACACATATTGCCTGATAAAAACCTTACAACAAATTTTAAATGGAAAAGTAACATTAATATATTCTAAGATAGTTCTCATTGAAATAAAATTAAGTAATATCTGGGGCGATTGCAACCTTTTTTGGTCTGTTTAACATTTGCAACGAATAATATAGAGATTTATGATGTTAATAATTATTTGTATTTATAATTATTAATATTTAATAACACATAAAAACATCAATTAAATTTAAGAATAAATAAGTTCCATTATTAGATAGAAGGATTATACTTTTAGTCCATGAAAGCTATATGCACATATATTAATACTTACGATCTATGAATATAAAAAAATCTGAATTACTAATAAAAATTAAACTTGCTAATTCTTTATAATTATAAAATTAAGTGATAAATTACTTCAACTGTGGTAATTAGGACTACTTAAAATCAAAATAACTCCAAAGAATTTAGAGTTTACTTAGCCAATAAGTTATCATATTATATCGAATATAAGTTATATTTTAATAATAATTTATGAACTCATTATAATTTTTTTCATAAAAAATAATTAAATTTTAGAATATAATATTCCTAAATAATTACAAATATTTATTATCTCATTATCAATTTTATTTTATAATATATCAACATAAACTTCAAAATTTCCTCATCATCTATAATGCTCTTAACCCTTAATAACTTTTTTTCATTTATGATGGACTGCCTTTGACTCTATATTACTTAATTCTTTTAAAAAATCAAAATAACCCTTTACTTATCATGATAAGCAATTTAGCCATAAGCATATGAAAACCAACACATCATCTTATCAACGTATTCAGTTTTGAATATATAGATAAAAAATATTTAAGTTTTTTTAAGAATTCTCAAGATACATTATGGTTTAGAAAATGAAAAATTAGTATTAAATTATTATCTTTATTCAATTAATTAACACCTGAAAAGCATGTCAGAAAAAATACATACCCATATGTTGACATCTTAAGGCCTTCCATTATATATGGTCTGCTATTTCTTGATCCTTTGCCAAATATTGCCATATGCATAATCACAGCCAATTTATGAAGATCTAATGAGTGGTTTCAATGATAGTAAATTAATATAATATATGTTAAGAATGGTTTTCATATTTGAATACAAATTGTGAAAATCATTTCTTCAAGGCAGATTGTAATGAATACAAATTCTTGTTGATAACTTAATGTTATACATATGAATATCATCATTTGATTTTTCAAACTTTAGAGCTTAAACCTCACTACGAATTAACTTTAAAGTTAACATTTTTAATGTGATAATATATGATTAACCTTTTAGGAAACCTTCTCCTGGTTCTAAATTTATTGTTTATATCGATGGCAGAGAGCATCAAAAAACTTATAACAATTCTCTAAACTCAAATTTTTTTTGCAATTATACCAGTAGCAATTATATCCTTTTCCCTATTTCTATAACAATTTAGCATTCAAGTTCATCTGTTACAATAGCAATGACTGCTCAAAAAGGAGATTGGGGGATATCATAATTTTAAATATCAATTAAAGAATGTTCTATAGAATGTGATTCATGTAATAGTAATGGATGTTTCAATTCAGAAATGTTATTGAGATCATTTAATTCATAAATCTTTAGTGTTATTAGCACTGAAGAAGGGTGGTAATCTCAAGGAGGTAAAATTACTGAAATTAAAGAATGTTTTGGTAAAGAAATATTTTTATTATTTAGGGTTTAATTATATTGCTTCTAATGGTGATCATTTCTTCAAGGTTTTTGACTTAGATTAACATTATGCAATAAGCTTTTAACTAAAATTGTTAATTTTTAATTCTAATTCAACATAAATCAATATATATGTTGACGAGGTTTTAGTAAATACAATTAATTTTGTTTATGAAGAACTAATATTTAGTTATAAGGATTTGTGTGATCGAATATCTATGGAGGAAGTCAACCTATTGTAATATCAACACCTTAAAACATAATTAAAGATAAAAATAAAAGTAGATTTAATTAAAATTAAAGATGGTATAAATGCATATATTGGAATGAGAGATTTTTAATTATTTTAAAGAAAAAGATCATTTGATGACGGATGCTTTGATTAAAATATTGATCCTTTTGATGGATGTTTTTCGAATACTTATGATTGCATTTAAGGCTGTGGGAATTGTATAAAAGGTATTTGTTATAATTGTGTGGCTGGATGGGAATTTATTTAACAAGAAACAATTTGTATACCCAATTGTGGAGATGCAATTATTACATATTATGAGGAATGCGATGATGGTAATTTAATACCTTATGATGGATGTCATGAATGCAAATATTCATGTCCACAACATTGTAGAAGATGTGAATTTGGAAAATGTTTGGAGTGTGAAAATTAATATTCATTATTATAAGGTAATTGCTTGCAAATCTGCTCTGATTACAGAGATAATAATTTAGAGTCTAATATCGGATGCTATAATTTTTTAAAAAGTGAAGGTTACTAGTAACATTTTATTCTTAATAATATAAATCCAGAGGGTAGTATTTTAGATTGCAATGAACTGAGTTATGGAGTGTTTGGATATCAATATCACTAATGTTATTTTAAATAAATTTATAATTGTATATTTTAGTAGTATGGGAAATGTTTGGTATGTTAACCTGGATATGAACTCAATTTTTATAAAAATCAATGCATTCCTAAATGTTAAGATGAAATAATCTAATATGAAGAAATTTGCAATGATGGGAGTAGAATTCAATTAGATGGCTGTCTCGAATGCTAAAAAAGTTGTCAAATAGAATGCTTGTTTTGCTAAAATGATAAATGCTATCTTTGTCTAGACGGCTGGCAGCTTCAAGAGAACTTATGCAGATAAATTTGTGGAGATGGGTAATTAGCAATCTTATCGAACGAATAATGTGATGATGTTGAAGATCCATATTGTTCTAATTGTTAGTATGAATGTGATTCCGGCTGTGCTATTTGTAATAAATTCTAAAATTGTGAGGTTTGTAAATATCCTTTAATTAATATAAATGGAAAATGTGTTTCAGTTTGTGGAGATAACATAGTGACCCCATTTGTTGAATAATGTGATGATGGCAATGATATCCCATATGATGGATGCTATCAATGTGAATATCAATGCTCTTTTGGATGCTTAGAGTGCGAGAAGGATAATCATTGTATTAAATGTTAAAACTAATTGTTCATTTTGGATACTTAATCTTTTAAATGTAAAGAAATTAAATCCTAAAGCGAATTAGAAGTAAATGAAAGTAAATATATTTCATGTGGCCAGAATTATGCTATTATCAACAATGAATGTATAAATTTATGTGGTGATGGAATACTTGATAGTAATTTTGAATAGTGTGATGATGGAAATAATAATGGGGGGGATGGATGCTCCTATTTATGCATTGAAGAATATTCCTATAGATGTATCAACTAAGACAATTAATTAAGTTATTGTACTTTTATTTAACAACCAAATTTCAATTTAGTATTACTCTCTGATCGATAAAATCAAACAAAAATACTTGACCTTAGTTTCTCTTAAGAAGTTTACTTATAATCAGGTCTCCTTTTAGAATAAGTTGTTGATTTTTCTATAATTCCTGAGACTGAATTTAAATTATCTGTTCTTCCAATACAAAATATCACTTCTAAGTTAGGCAATCCTGATTACTAGATTACTATTCACTTTGATTCGCCTGTGACATACCCAATATTATAAATAGCAATTCAAAAATATTCGATTCTAAATTAATATGATTTGGATTTATATACTAATTAAAAAGAAATACCCCTTGGAACCCCTTTTGTGTTATCAGAACCTACTTAGAAAAGAATAAACTAAGTAATGCAAATGAACGATGGAATTGTATTTTCTACAGCTAGTATTGCTGGAATTCTATTCTTTACTGGTAATTACATTGTCTTTTTCAATTTATTAGATTTATTATAGACTTTATCATACATTAGATATATGCAATATAAGTTCCCTCCTCATTTAAGATAGTTTCTTGATGCTTATACAAAAATTTCCTTAAAACCTATTTTAGATAGTTTAAAAATTGATGAACTTATTGCCCAAATCAATGGAGGCACTCTGCCAAATTCACAAAATAAATCAACATAAACTAATAATTTAGATTAGTGTTATTTAATAAATGCAAAAGGATGCTTCTTGTCTTATATAATATCTGCAGTTACTTATATTCTTTTTTGTCTCATTTCTTCAAATAAAATGTCAGCTTGGTTACGACAAATTGAGAAAAAGCACGAAGAAAATGTAAAAATTCTTAGTTTTATTTTGAAATTACAAAAAATCCAAATCAAATTTTAAAAATTAAAGGTAAACTATTTTACTTTGGGAGTTTTTTAGCTATTTTATTCAACACTTCATTAGTTGTTATTTAGCACACTATTATAATTTCCCAATTACAGTTTTGATTCTCCATTTGGAATAGTTAATAGTATTGCTGCCTTTAGCAGTTTAATACTTCTAATTCATATATTTTGTAATCAACTTTCCATCACCACAGCTTAAATAAAGGATAAACAAAAATGGAAATATTACTTTGAAGAAAATAAAAATCAATTTTGGGCAGACAATTACAAACCATTTCAAATTTATAGAATTGCTATTTATATTACAATCATAACTAAATTGATAAGGTATCCTGAAGCGTAATCAGTTTTACTTTCAATGCAGGCAATGTTATATTTAATCTACTTGATTCGCTTTAAGCCTATGAAGTCGAATTTTGAATTAGCAAAATTAATTTGCAGAGAATTAACACTATTAATAAACACAGGATCATTTTTACTTTATAGTTTCGAATTAAATGATACTTAATAATTGTTTTATGGATGGTTGCATATATCTTTGTTTTGTTCTTTAATGGGATTCACCTTATTTGTTGACATTTTTGAGCAAGTGCAAAACGCCTACTATCTCTATTTAAAAAAAATATAAGCTTAAGAAAAAACGAACACGCAGAGCAACCACAGCAATTCAGCTAAAGATTTAGATATGAAAAAATGAAACAAAATTAATTATAATTATAATAGAATTTTATTGTTGTGATTTTATCTTACAAATTGAATTGTTTTTCTGTTAATTTAAATTCTTGCTTTTTTAGAGTAGGTATTACTATTTTCTAAAAAGAAATGAAGATGAATTAAAATTCTTATTCATTTTTCGAAAAACATTATGTGCTGTTTTTCAATTTTACCAGCTAATTCTTCAACACCCTATAAATTACGTATATCATATCCAAGGAAATGGTTTAAATTAAACTCTTCAATTATTTCATTAATTTCTATATAATTTGACAATAAAGTACCAAAGTACAAACCTCTTGAAAAGTAAAATCTCCTTACTTTCTGTTTCAAATTTTAGTTTACATGGCTTTAAATGATTTAAATATTATTATATATATAATATATTAATGTAATTTAAATAAGAAAGCACACATAGCAATAATTTTTAACAAATTTCACAAAAAAAAATTGTAAAATCAAAGAATTTTGTTCAAGAATGGATATCAATATAGAAAGTTCGCTTTTAAAAAATGGATTAATAAATTAATTATAGTTGCTGCTTTAATGCATTAGGCTTTTTAAATAGAAAATCATATTTTATTTCAATATCCTACAATTAATTAATACTTTTGGTCACAAATCTAATTGGAAGCAAAAAATACATTACAAAATTGGAAGGCCACAATAATTAAATTTTATAATTAGCACTTCATTTTGGGTCATAACAATTAATCCTTAGATGCTAAATTATCATATTATTTATTTGTGAAAATCACTTTTTAATATAAAATACAGAACCTTCAAAAATAAAATTATTAGTTTCAAATTGACATCATCCTTATTTTTTACTAATTAGGGTTCCCATTTCAAGCTTCAGCTATTATTCGACTAAATACTCTTTACAAATTATCCTTTCCAATTATGAAGTATTGGTCCCACAATTATCTTACGTAAACGAATTCAATAATAAGAAGTATTGTCCATGAATCATAACTATTAAGCAATATTAATACTATTTCATCATTACATTTATGGATTAGATTATTAATATACTATAAATAAATATTAATTAATTGAGGTAGCAAAATAATAGAATTTGAAAATAAATATAATTGTATTGAACAAATTAAATTATGAGTAATTCTTAAGAGAATAGATGCTCCTAACACGATTAAGAGTTTTTAGCAGCCAGGGTAGGATTAGATAATAAAGACAAGAATAAAAAATTATAGACCCTAAAGAATCGATACAAATTGAAGACGTAGATGCAAGAAACTAAAAATCTAAAGTAATATTGTCATTAATTTAGTCAACTCCAACCTTAAAGTTTCTATGTTAAAATCATGGGCAAGAAATAATTATGGCGAAACTTGATGAAAAAAATAAATTGTAATACTCCTGTGTAGAATGTATTTCAAAAAATTAAGGAAAGTACATAACACTTCAGTAATTGTAATAATAATTTGTTGCTTTCAGTTTATAATCTGAAAGATTATTAAAATATTGTTTATACTTGAGAGAGCAAAATATGAATTAAGCAATAACAAATTTTAAGGAATTAGCAAATAGATATAATTAAACCATAAATTTACAAATTACATAATTACAAGAAAATTAAAAATCTTTTGAAGAGATAGTTAAAAAAAATTTATAATTTAAAAATCACAATATTTATTAGCTCGAATAATTACAATTATTAGAAATATTAGAACCAATTTTTTAAGATTAAAATCCAAACCATTATTCTAAAATTATAGAAAAATAATTAGAATTAGATAAACAATTAAATAGCAAGTTTGAATAATAAATGAAGGAATTCTAAATGCATAATTCAAAGCTAATCTAATTTGATTAGTTTGATCATTAACTTATATCAAAAAAATTAGAAAAAATAATTGGATTTTACAAATTAAATTAATAAGATGTGTAGAATGATTAAGAAATTACTAATTTAGAAAATTAGATAAATGAGTTTCTACTTAATAAATTATAAAATAATTTTCTAAATGAATGGTATTATTAAATATAATAAAATAGTGATAAGGTAGACACTGATCAAGAATAATTAATTGAAAAGATAAAAAAAGTTTAGGGTTAATTCAAAGAGAAAGAAATTGAATATTAAAATTTAGAAAAACTTAAGACTTAACTTAATTCTGTTGTCTTATGTAATTCAATTGAATCAATATTATCTAATCCTTATCAGCCTTAATTTAACAGTAGTTATAAATTAGCTGGCTATTAAATAATTACACCAAAAGCAGTTTCAGGTAAAATTATTACTAGAATTTTAGCTTCTAAAGGAGGATTTGGATTAGCTGTAATGTAACCTCCACTAGCTAAAGATAAGTTAACAACATTTGCTTTTAAAATAAACGTATATATTTTTCTTATTAAGTTACGCAATGCATGGGCAGGAGTTGGAATCTGCCATTTATAAACAGCCTAAGGTTTTAATTATGATATGAATGCAAATTATAAATAAACAAACCACAATGTCTACATTGCATGTGCTGGGGGATTTAGAATTTCAAGTTGTGGTTTTACTCAGTCATCCTTTACCTATGGTGAAAATAGCATAGTTCATTGTCAGTATGATCCAAAAAATAATAAATTAAATCTATTACATTAAAATGTATAAAATATAATAATTAGGACGGAAATACATATTAAATGGAAATACATAATTATAATTTAGACATGTCTCCCTGTGTCATGCTATATGGAACAGCAGAAATAGAACAAATATGAAATTATAATTTCTATACATAGATAATACAATAATTTTATGAATGATATTAAAAGAAAAAAGTTAAATTCGATATAGTTATTTAGGTTACTGCGATGAGAAATGCCTTATTAATTTTCCTTCGCATGTATTTGTGTGTTAATCCCAAAATTTATAAATTCATATATGTTGTATTGATATTTTTAGATTTAATCTAGAATTAGGTTAGAATTAAGAAAAGAATTCATATCAAATATAGTAACTTTCTTGGGTGTCTAAATTTCTAATATATAAAACTATTAATTAATACTAAATGTAAGTATACTTCTTAATGGAGATATTATATATCTAAATATCTTATTATAATAGAGCATAAACAATAATTTTTGTTAACTATCATTGTTATCGATAATGATCTCTATGCTGGAATATATTATAAAGAGTTATCAAAAGAATATAATGTAAAACCAAATATCAGGCGAATATTAATGTAATTTGAATTCTGAGATTTTGAGATGTTAAAGTTAATTTGATTTTCATTACTTCGTTATAAATAGCTTTAAATAAATATTATTATTGAATAATATCAAAATTGTGAGAAAATTCCAGAAGTTTTTTGAGATTTACTGATGATTATGTGGATTGCTGGAATGTCACCATTTGAAAAGCGGAACTATGCTGTTCAGATATGTTTACATTATTTCTATATTTTATTTAAAAGATAAGCTTCTTGTTGTTGCAAGTTCCTTAATTCAATTCATAACCTAATCTTATATTTTGTATCAAGATCGTTAAAAAAATATTTTCTTATTAAGGCTTAAGTAATCTAAAATCAAATAGCTTCCAATTTGAAACTTAAAAGAAATTGCATTGTTCACAAAAGAAAAACAGATTTTATTATTATATTTTTGAGAAATTTATAATTTGATTTAATTCAAATTATTTTTCTTTAAAGGTATTGAGAGAGAATTTATATTTAAATATTACTCATCAGGCATTCTTATATAACTATTGTTTTAGGTACTTGAAGTTCTTATAACAGTTATCCTTATATATATAGAGAATAACAATTTAATTATAAAAATAAATGTCAAAAGTGATTATTAATACCAAAAAGATGAATTATAAAAAAAAGAAATGAAAAAGTGAAATCCAAATTCAAATTAACAATGAAGTTTTAGATAAAAATGATTTTAATTAATTTAACACAATATATCTAACGATTGCTTTCATAAGATGATTATTGTCTTTGATACGAGGATATTAAATCTAAGATTATTTCAGAAACCTTTAGGGTAGCCTTTTCGTTTTACCTAAACAAAATCAACATCATTTCCCAAGAGGCTTGCCTTGCCAAGGTTAAGAGTTGTGACTTAGATTCTACTCCTTGAAAGTTTACCTTCCTCCCTTTAGCTATCTACCATTCAAATAATGTCTTCATAATCATTCAATCCATCACATAATTCTTTCATATATAAAGTCTTCCCATTGTTCACCTTGATATTGTCTTTTTAAAATGTATGTAAAATCTATTAATCCAAATTCTGCAGATAAATATATTAATTTTGAAGCTTAGGTGATTTAAGGTTTTTGTTAAAATATTATTGTGTTAATTATAAATTGAATAGCTGTGGAATTTTTGTGTGATATTTTCTTTTAATTCATCTTAAGTATACCAGAATTGAACCTCTAATCTAAAAATACTTCAAGCTTGAATGTTGGTAATACTTCGGTTTATGAAAATTAAATTCAATTCTCACTCAACTGTTGATATTGAATATAATTTTTGGACTATTTTATCAAAGTTATTCATCACTGATCATTGAGTTTATATCATTTCCTACTGGTCTATCCATCGAAACTAAGCTAAATTATAAATAATTCTTTCAAGTCAAAATTATGGAAGTATAAAGAATTTAATTTGAAGAAAATACCCATTATTATTTAGAGTACTATCCTTGTAAGCCTGGAACTATTTTGCATAGAAATAAATTTGGAAAAAATCTAAAAAATTGATATGAAATTCTGGAGCATTTTCATCCAACTGATTATCATATTTTTATAATTTGCAGAAAGAACTTCTAAAATTTACTCTATTTATAGACTATAAATTAATAAAAATAATAAATTGAACTTTTATAGTTGAATAATTAGAGATAAAGAGGAGTAATTGTATTTTTTTTATTTTATTGTCCAAAAATGTTACAGTTCTAAAATGTTTAGATTGAACCCAGCTACCATGAAGTCTAAATTAATAGCAGAACATGTATCAAGAATATTGTGCAATTAATATGATTAATAAATTAATACAGCCCTAAAAAGATCCTCAGATAGAATAATTAATATTGAAATCAAAACAAATTATGAATACACCTGATGATGGGTTTGAAGATAATCATTTATCACAATTACACATCTAATGCATTGAACTTTTTGAGTATGTGAGAAAGAAGCTTAAACAGCGTACAAAAATTTTAACCAACTATTTTTATTAGATGACAATACTGAGTGATAATGCTTATTGTCTAAGACCCATAGAACTGAAAAATTAGAAACAAATACTTTTAGGAGATTTAATGCAACAAAGCTTGAGGTAAATATTTCGTATCAAATTAATGGATTAAGATTATGAATGTGCAAGAAAAGTCAGAATTTCTATGAAAAATAATGGTTAAGAAGTTTTTTATCTATATCTAAATAAGAGTCTATTTTAATTAATACAAGGAACTCTTTTATATTACATTTTTCATCAGGAATGAATAAGAGAAAGGTGAATAATACCGTTCAAAATATAATTAGGAAGAATCTAGCTATAAGCTGTATTCTTTATGATGAATCGCTCCAATATTAATGATTTGAGTAGACTTGTTAAAATTTATGATGGACAATAAGTTATTGTGTTTATTTGTTCAATCAAGAGAAATTATAACTTTTTGTGCTAATGCAAATTTTCCAAATGATTCTATGATATATAAGCAAATTATTAGTTTAAATAGCAATATATTATTACGTTTTGAGTTGTTTTCATTTTATTTGCTTATTTATGTATCAAAGATATTATCATCGTCCATCATATTTGTGGTATTACGTTCCTTGTTTCCCATGTGAATTTCGGAATAATTGAATTTATAAATACCATTCTAAGAGCTCTATCAGCTTCTTAGGCTGTGAGCTGTATCATAAAGTCTAACTCCCTATTTATTATTTATTAAGTCAAGAAAGAAGTTATATATTTTAAATTATACTTCTTCGCCCCAAGAATCTAATTACGATATAGAATCCATAAAGACTTATTTAAGAAGGTCTAAAAAGTGGTTTTGTATTATTGAAGAGCTCCCTGGTTCCTTCAAAAAAGTCCTTAGACCGAAAAACTAATTTCCTGGAGCTAGGTATGTTTCTATATAGATATTTGATCAAGTATAACATTCCTATATAGTTCTCATTCTATGTGAAAAAAGAAATCTTTACATATGAGGTACTCTAACAAGGATTATGCATAATTAAATTTAATGAATTGTAACACTCTCAATAAAAACTAGATAATTATTTTTTTGATTTTCTATCAATATTTGTCTATTCAAATAAGGAGATTTGCTTTATTTATGCCATAAAATAAAACATATTACAATTCAAGAAGGAAGGAACACCAGTTTTTTTTATATAAACCATTTATACATAGAATCTTTGTTGAATGATATCCAAGTTTTTACTATCTATTTTAACATAAGTCATCATAATTCCACAAATATTTGACAGCAATTTCAAGTTAAATTTTTCGTGGTAAAAAGAGAAAATAATGAATTGAAAAAGGAAGGAAATGAAATTTGAGATTAGAGTAGTGTTTGATTAAATTCATCAATTAATTTAGTAAAAAAAATTTAACAAACTCAGGTAAATCAGAAAACTTCCTTAAAAAAGATTGTGAATTATTTACTATATTAGACCTTCTTATTCCTCTTATTTTTGAATGAGAAAAAGAATTACATTTAGGGCTATTAAGAAACTTTATTTGATTAGAAATAAATGTCTTTTCTGAATGAAAATAGAGTGCAATAACAAAAATATGCTAGGAAAAATATTGGATTTTAATGAAAAAACAAAATTAAAGATTGTATTTTTATTCAACTGAAATTTCTAAATGAGATCTCTTTTAACTTAATTAAAAAAGTAGGAACAAAAGTTATTTAATTACAACTAAGACCAACAAAAAGATGAATGAGAGACTTTATTAATTTTTGTAAATCAAAAAAAAATATGCTTACTAATACAAATTTAAATTTGTTTCTGTAATAGCAATAACTTCAAGTTTGTTGAAATGAAAATTAATTTTAATTAATCTATTTATTTTCAAATCTGTCTTAAAAATTTTTATGATCTTCAGTACCTTCTACCTTTATTAAATTCTCTCGAGAAAACATTATAAACTTAAAATCAACATTTAAAAACCAAAAAGCGAAAGAAAGCTTTTTGTTTGATTGTATATATATGAAACTATTTTAGAATCTTTTTGAAAAATTAACATATCTTCTTTGATAGATAAAATTATGTTTATGGTAAGTATTTAAGATTTTCTAATTAACATGGTGGTTAGAACACCATTAAATGAAGTGCTCCAAATTAAATTTGATATATTAAATATATTTAATTAAAATTATTTGATAAACTGTTTTCATGACCCAATAAAAAAATCAACAGTCACTAGACTCACATTCAACTATAAATAAATAAATTTATATATACTTTTCCGATCTTTAGCCCAGGTATAATTTGGGTCTATCTCAATAGCCTTATTGTAATTATAAATAGCTTCTTAATATTATTATAATGATTGTAAACAGGCTCCTACATTAATTGAGAAATAATTAACCTTTGCTCCCTAAGGATTAATGATGATTTGGATTATAATACAATGCTTGGTCCAAATACTTGATTGCTTAGTCATATATACTCAGCATTCTTAACGATTCACCTATATTTAACACTCATTATTAACCTTTTGTATAAAATGAACTGACATGTTTAGAATCAATAAACAAAGCTTTATCAACCCAAATAATTGCATCAATATAATTATCAAGCATTCTTAAACTATCAGCTAATACATTTTTATGATCTCTATACCTTTGAGATATAATGAATTGAAATGTTTTGGATTAATTAGTAATGCATCATCAAATAATTAAATTGCTTCTTGATATTTATGATACTCCGAATATAATTGATATCCTAAATTAGAACTTCATTACCTTATTAATATAATAATTCTGATTTTTCTTGTTTTTATATATTTAATCTGTTTAGCCAATCATTGAATAGATCGATCATATTGTCTAATTATTACTTTGTTTCTTGTTAAACAGATTTTTCATTTTGATCATAATTGATAATCTCATTTAAAGCCATATTAAATTGGTATGGATTCAATGTTTTTAGCTTTTATAAAGATATTTAATATCTGTTTCTCAATTCTTACGCAATTTAAGTAAATAATTCATTTATTTATGTAATCATTTAGTTTAATTCTTATATGGAATCCTCACTTATTATCTCAATTGAATGAAATAATTCAATGACTTAATTTATACTTCTTTAATCCTTAATATGAGCAACATGATCTCCATTTATAAGACATTAATGACAATAAATTCTATTTATTTTGCAAGTCTAATTCAAACAAGCTAATTGGATATTTGTATGCCCTTCAACTTAACATTTAATTTGTAGTTCTTCTCTATCATTCATTTTTATTATTTTTATTTCTAATTCTATTATATTGCTTTTATAACATTTAAATCGTATTTTATAGATATTTTTAATTACACAAGCATTAAAATTTATTTTCAAGTAAACCAAATAAGTGTGTTGGTTGTATGAAATTTTTGAGAATAATTGAGTCTAAATTGAGAAATAAAATATTCCTTTGGAATTATGATAATATTTTTGACATAAATAAGAAATGCTCAAAATAAGTTGATTCATACATTAACCAAAGAGTGCTGATGAAAATTCACCTGTTATATAATCTATGAATCGTAAAAAAAATATAAAATTCGAAGTTATTAATAGATGAAATTTACATAAAAAGAAGTTCCAAAATTAAATGAAAAGAAATATCGATATATAATTATTGCTTAGACTAAATTAATAGTTTAAATTTGCTAATAATCATCAATTCAAGATTTTAGCATTATATTACGATAATAAATTTAACATTGTTTTGATTCCAATAGATTTTTAGTTTATTCTACCATTTCATTAATTAATTTTCATTCTATGGATTTGCATTGCATTATGCACCTCAGTATACTGCTTTAAATATTTTGTTTTAATTGAAAATTGAAGTTTACATCAGGAGCAGCAATCATATTAGTTTCTTTAGGGTAGATTATTTATGTAATAGAGATATATCTCCTATATAATTAGCGAAGGATTTCTGATAATTATAAATATAAGTTGAAATGAATAATTGGTAGACTGGAAGAAATTTAAAAACTAGATCTGAAGTTAGAGACTATCAGATTATTTATATCTTTAATTCGATTTAATTTTATTATTAACAATCCTCAAAAGCTATTTTTTCATAATTATTATATTCAACTATGAGAATACTCGAATTGTACAAACATAATTAACATTACATCAATAAAAAGAAAAGCAGTAAAAGATTCCAAAAAAGGAAAATGTTTTTAATCTTATTCAAACGCAAAGCCTAAAAAGTATTATTAATAAGCAATAATTAATTTTATAGACTCTCTTTATTTCCTTTTGGCATTTTATTCTTACATTTTAGAAAATTACAAATACTAAAATAATAGAATGCAAATTCGAAAGGAATGAATGAATGAAGAGCTTTATCAAAATTGATTTACCAAAATCCATTTCATTTTAATAATTTTCTACAATAATATTCCATTAAACATTAACATTAGATAAATCTTAAAATGTAAAACTCAATTTTGTTTTAGATCTCAAATTTAAAAGTAATTTAACCAGGTTTATTTAGGTGCCTAATTCAGCAACAAATGGAACTTATTTATAAGAATGAAAATATTTATTGTTTTTCCAGAATTAAGACAACTATACCGTAAACTTCAAAAGTTGGCTTCAGATCATTCTGGGCCTCATATTATCAAAAGAAGTATAATGAAATTCATTCTTACTATAGGAATTTATCAATAAGTTATATAGTGCTAGTTTTAGTTCCATTTTTTAATATCAAATAAAAAGATCTATTTTTCATCCTTATTCAATTATTCCTTTCTAATATACCTCAGAGAAAGTGTATGTCTGAAAGTTAAAGTGTATTGCCTTGTTGAATCATTAAATTTATTTGTTAAGCTTTTGAATAATATCATTAATTAGACTTTCCCTTAATTTCCTCTAACAATCAGAAAATGATCCTTTCATGTTTGCATTTTCGAGTGTCAACTGTCCCTACTCATCTAGCAGTTTAGAGCTAGAGTGGATTGACCTAATATGATGAATGTTTGAAGATTCGAATTGATAGGTGCGACGTCAGATCCAAAGGATTGGAAGATAAGCCCATAACCCAAAAATCTGCTGAGGCGTACCTCTTTTTGGATGATGTCGAATTGCTCTTGAAATTGTCGAAACACTAACAATGTTGACTTATTCTCAAACAAATGGAGTGTTCTTGAATAGGAAGCGACTTATGGAATATAAAATGTAGAATCAAAAAAATTAAATAGTATTGAGGACTAAGAGTTTTACATCAAATGAATGGTAAGCAATTAATGATAAGAGTGAACATATCAATAAAAATTAGAAGGAGAAAGGAGATAGAACTAGAAATTCTATTTCGCTTAAATAGCTATAGGGAACGAATAAATATTTTGAAGACATTTATTAAACTGAATTCGAGAGGAAAAAGAATAAGATTTTGCAATAAAAATTTAGAAATCGGTAGCTAATTTTGGATCAAACAAGTAACGAAACCTAGGAAGGAGCAATCCTAATTTCATCACAATTAAACCCAAAAATTTAAATTAAGTATCATATTTAAAGTTGATCCAAAATTTTGGAAAAGTTGATGCTGTTTCATTAATAAGCAAAGAGTTAAATTGAGGTTGAAATAAATTTAGAGCTAAAGGACATAATTAGAAAAATTCTCTTAGATCAGAAAACAAATGATTTAGTAAGCATGTCGAAATCACTTTTTATTGAATTCTTAGCTTATGAGAAATCAAAAAAATTGAACATATTAAAATTACGGACATTGATAGATCAAAATAAGTTGGAAATATCAAGTTATTTATATCAGATCTATTAGGATTTGGCAAAAAGTACCTTTGATAAAACAGTAATTGGTGTAATAGTATAAAATCAATCCATATGAGCAAAATTGGATTCCAATTTAATTAATTATTCTGGAAATAATGAATCCTTAAAGCACCTATTTATGAAATCTATCTAAAGGCAGAATTTAGAATTAAAATAGTATGATTCAGACATTTACTAATCAATCCTTAATTATTTATAATATATGAGGATACTATTAAGAGTAGGATGGTTTAATATATACTATTAATGTATTAATTAATTAAATACACTATAATTTCTCAATTACATAATAAGATTGCATCCAACATAATTATGCTCATTTGAGATACAAGTAGAGAGAGCTTTTTTACACAGAGTATCAGTTGTTAATTGAAAAATCTTCGCATATTGTTGTCTTTATTTCATAATGTCTGTAGCTCAGTATTGCATTCTTATCTGATATATATATACTGTCTGTTGGATCTGAATTGTGATTAATCTACTAATTCATCATAGCATGTATTTTATGTCATACTTTCACAGACCTCAAGTATTACAATAAATATATTAGCTGTAGCAATAAGCACAACCAGCTCAATGATTCTTTTATATAATCAAAGTATTAAAATATTACTTGGCTACTGAGTAGCTATTAATTGCACAAGAGGTTCCATTTCTTCCTTACATCTTTGTCATCCTTACCACTACTAATTATTTATTATGCCTTTAGTAAATTAACTAGTTGTTTTATAGCATAAACCATTAGTGTTCCATTGGCATCAAATCATTCACTGACTAAATCTTTTATGGTGGTCACATGCTATTGCTGCTGCTTTAAAGAGTTTGATACTATTGCTACCAAATACAAAAAAATTCATTATTGGTATTTAGACTTCATTAGTTTCATAAATGCATACCCAGAGATTAGCACTACCTTTATAAATATTCATTTTCATCTCTGTTTAGTGGAAGGAATGATCCAATATTATAATTTACAAGCTGAATCCCTAAAAGATAGTGGCTGTATATCTCAATACTAACCTTAGTTTAATATAACTAACATACATCAATCAAGATTAATAAAAATAAGAAACAGTAGGCTTTTGGAATACATTTATCACCAGTTTAATTAATCACAAGTTTCTTTTTTTCATTAATTAAATCAGTCATTTTTGGATAAAACATTCATTGGTTTAATAATTTTAAATATTAGTTTATGCATTTAATATATCACTTCATTCACCAAAAATATGATATTGTTACAATTAATTGAAAATTCTACAAGCATACATAATTTTGGTTGTCAAAAATATGTATTCAATTCCATACTTCAAGTATTCAACAAAACTGATGGAAGCTTAAGATTAAATTAGTTGCACTATACGATTAAATTTGATAAACAGTAATTTCTACTAAACAAAAAATTAGTACATATATTTGCTACTAAAGATATTTGTCTACAAAAGTAACTTGATTTAACCTTAACCTCCAACAAGAAGTAGATGCTTTGATCATACCATCTAGAACTTCTGCTAGTAGATCTGGACTAGGACTTTTGAATAGAACCCCTTAAAAAGATTGCTAATTAAAGAAAAACGAATAGGCAAAGAATAGAGCAAGATCTTACCCTAATATAGTGAAATAACTCACACAATTTAATAAGGCTTAGGACAACTCTACTATTAGCATTTCATTTAATTATAGGATATAGAAACAAAATTAAAATCGTCTCAATTCATTATAAATCTTATGCGTTCATATGCATGACATTAAGGTTAGAGAAGGAAATCAAGAATTGGGCTATAAGAAGAGAGAACATTTTTACAAAATACTTTGACAAGACTCTAATTATAAGGTTTAAGAGTTTAAGACTATGAGTATTTAATTTGCAACTAATTATAATTCTACCCGAAGTAAACTGATTATGTTTTCACTTTTTGATTGCTCAATGCTAACCAAAAGATATTATACTTATTAATGACAAGGAAAGTAATTCCAAGCTTTTTGGAGTATGGGAAAGAAAAGAGAAATAAATGAAGAGGAAGGAGAATACAATTTATAGCAACGTAAATATGAATATACTAAATTAAATCTGATCAGAAAATTAAATGACGAAGATAAAACAAACCTAACTTTTAGAAAAGAGTTAAAATAGCAACTGCTAGTCTATCTATAAGAAAAACAAGAAGAGGAATAAAGATGAATCAGATTAGGATGTACAAAGAATTCTAAAATAAATTTAATACATTGTACATTTTGTTACCTTTTTATGAAAATTATTGAATGGTATCCACAGAGCCTAAATTTAAATCGTTATACTATTTTATATTTGAGTATTCTTCATTTTTATATCACTTCAATTTTCAAGACAAGAGACAGAGACTATTTCGCTGAATTTTCAGATTAATCCATCTGAAAAGACCTAATGAGGGTAGTGTTTTAAAGGTGGGAAGGCTGATAATAGTAGGAAAATTATTCTTGAGTTATGATCGAAAAAGGAAATTTAAAGTTATCCCACTTAGAATCATTGATTGCTGACTAAAAAAGGAGAGAGGCAGTAGTATAAAAGCACATGAGTTAACAATGCGTTTTAGGAATGAATCTGAGAGTAGTGGTAATTTGGAGTTTCATTTTTCTCATAAAAATATCTTACATTTATCAAAATCGATGAGACTGTGTATTTAGAACTTAACACAAATGAGGGAAGGAATGAAACCCATATTGAATTAAGCTACAAAATACGCTATCCCAAAACATCAATATAAGGATCAACAACGACAATTAAGGAAATAGGAGACATCTATTATATAATTAATTTATTGATGGAAATTGTTTTTATGTTTTTATAACCAAAAGCTTCAACAATTGTTAGGTAAACTTTATATAACTTAGGAGTATCAGATATCAGTTCTTTTATATGAAACAACACATAATTAAATAAAAGAAGAGGGATTAATCAATTAAAAGGAATATTAGTTTTGTAAAGTAATGTTTCTTCTTAAATAATCAAACTACTAGTTTAATTAAAAGACTTTAAAATATGCAGAGGCGGACGTATTCAATTATTATATTCTATTTGGAAATTCTATAAAAACCTTAGTCTATCCACTAGAGGACTTTTAAACTTTTATTAGGTGGATTTGAGTGTCAATAATAGCTATTAGATATTATGTGGCTATTAGAATATTCTGAAAACGATCTTTAATTAGGATGAAGGTAAAATTATCTCACTGCCGGATTAAACTTTAAGTTTTAAGCTTGAGGCAACAATAATATCCTAAGAAAGCTAAGGAATATCAAAGCCGTGGACTAATGAGAATTTCATTTTCAAAAATTTTCATATTGGTTGGAGAATTCCTCTACTATTTTTGAGAATACCCAATCTAAAATCTTACCTTTCTAACCTTTATTTGGATTGTAGATGATAAATTAGGCATTCTATTAGTTTATTTACAGTTGGGTTAGCACAAGTTTAATTTAAGAGAATATTTGTGGATTGCCTGGTTTTAAAAAGAATTTTCATTTATTTTTACAAACAAATAAAACTTAGAAACTAATGAAATTAAACATCATCATTTTTTATACTAAAATTTTTATCTTAGTTAACTATTATTTGTTAGATATTGTATTCATATTCAGAATAATCAGGTTGATTTGCGAGATGTATATTTAAGACTTTTTGCATTTTTTTAGTAGTATCTAGTTTTTTTGCCCAACAATTATTTATTGCAATATAATTATTATTTTTTTAAGTGTGCTGTCGTATCGATAAATAAATCGAAAGTTGAAAATCGTAGTAGAACGAAAGTTAACATGAATTTAAGAGAGACCAAGCTTTTCAATTTTAATTAGATCAAACAGATTAGCAAAAACTTATAACTAAAAACTAAGTCTTTAATTTATTTGCAAAGTAAAATACTTTGATTTAACATAATTCCTCGTATGTAAAATGAAAAGCATTAAATATACAATTCTCAAATTCTTTTAGTTAAAATTTCAATTGCAAACAATAAAAATGAATTAACAATAAGCATATAATGAAAGTTTTAAGCCATTCAGAAATCATTATAATAAATTGAAATTAATTTACATTAATCAGCAGACAAATATTTATCTCTGATAGAAAGATATAAAGTATCCTTGGAATTTTTGTTGGTGAATCATCATTTGAAAGAATTTCTATTAACTCAATTTCTAATATGATATCACATTACGATTTATATTGATTTTGAGAATAAAAGTTTTTTTGCAGGGTTTACATTTATTTATTTATTAAAATATGATTTAATCGAAAATGATAGAAACAGAAGAGGAACTACACTGTTCTTACAAACATAAGCTTCCTGTCCTAATTGATTGCTTGTGATGAAAAATTAAAGAGGAACGAGAAACTGTTATGCTCTAAATGCATGGAAAATTTTGAATCAAAAGCCCAATTAAAGAGTTTTAAAATAGTCTTATAGAATATATAGGAAAACCAAAAATAATAGAAAGAAAACATTGAGCATGCCATAATGATAAGTATCAACCTGATTGAAGAACTCTAAAATGCTCTGTTTTTATTAAAATCTAAAGTTGTTTAATTATTAGATTAAATAATTGGAAATGTAGATGAATGGATTAAACATATAATAATAATTGGGTAATAAAATGTTACTTATAGTTTTTATAATGAATTGGACAATCTACTTACCTAAAAAGGATTAGATGAATTCAGTTTGAAATAACTAACGGCCCAAATAAATTAAATTTAATTATCATGGAGTCAAAAAGTTGAAACGAAACTAAATTTATTTAAGTCATTTTCAGAAAGTTAAAAATGTGAAGACATTTTACAAAAAGTTAAGAAATGTCAATGAAACAAAAGAGAATAACGGAAAAAAAATATTAATTTAAGAAAATTTAGAAAATAATATTATATTTTAGATATAAAAGAAAATGATTTAAGTTGAAAATGAATAGAAGTAATTAGAATAATAATTGGAGATGTCTAAATAAGTTGAATTTAACTTAATTGATGAATCAAATTAATAGAATAATTGGTGTTATGCAATAGTGTTCAACAAAGATGGATCAATCATGATTTCATGTGACTCTCAAAAGATTAAAATATGGAATTTTGAAAAAGGAAGATTTAAATTAGTAATAAACATAGCAAACCTGTTTATTGTTTAGTTTATAGCAAAAAATCAAATAACTTTATTTCTGGTTGTAGTTATCAATAAATAAGGTGTTGGTAATAATTTAATTAAAATGATTGGAAGTGCTCATAACCATTCGAGTAACATACTAGTGGTGTTATATTTTTATTATTAAATAAATAAGAGGATCAACTTATTTCAGGAGGACAGGATCATAAAATAATAGTATGGAAAGTAGATTTTATATAGAATGATCTAACTTTTCTGTATTCCTTAAATTAACATACCAATTGGGTAAAGTCACTAAGTTTTAATTAATCTGAAACTGTATTGGCATCATGTGGTTAACATGAATTTATAATATGGGAGAAAGGATTATAAGGAAAATGGGAATTTAAATATAGACAGGATGTTTTGTATGGATATAAAATTCATTTCATAAATGATTAACAATTTCTTTGGGTAACTCTAGACGAGTACATGAATGATATTTTGGTATTTGAATTATAGAATGGAGTTTTTAAATAGAATTCAAATAAGACTATTTCTTTAATTAAGAATAATGATTGTCAAGATGATATATTATTTCCAGTTTAACATAATAAAGATAGAAATGTAATATTGGTAAGGCACAAACATCATATCTATTTAATTAGATAATTAAATGATGGCACATTTAATATTGTTGCTTCATTAAATTCTTAAACCAGAGAGACTTATGGAACTCTCACCAATAATGGCTAATATTTAGTATTTTGGGATAATAAGTTTGAAAAATATTCCTCATACGAGATATAATATAAATGAAATTTAGAATAATTTATTATTTTTATCATAAGTTAAATAATTATTTTCAATATTGTTAGAATTGTGATACAAATATTTAACATATACAAACTAAAAAGGATTAATTTAGTGAAGAAAAGAGGAATACCTGCATCAATTAGTTTTTATGATATTTTCGAAAATCTAATTACCAATTTTTAATCTCAATGTAATCGAAATCTAAATTTTCTTTCATAAGTTTAACTATTTAATGTGTTTATTTCCTCTTGATTTTAGAATCATTAACAATATTCTCTATCTAATTAATATTAAATTAATTAGATGACAGATTCTTTAACTCAACCTAGATACAAAAATAGTATGCAAATTATCGAATGCAAGTGTTCTTTCATCAAAGTGATATATAAAAGTAAAGGTTGGGAAATATGAAGAAAAATGAAGTAATTTAAATTATTTAAGCATGATATTGCTCATAATATATTGAATAGTATTTTTCAAAAAATATTCAATTCATCTAATTTGGAAAGAAATAAGTAATTTTATTTCATAAATTCTGGATGGTGATACAATTAGATCATTCCATAATGTTTATTAACTTTTTATAGATTTCTTGTAAAGAATTTGATCATTAAGAAAATTTGACTGAAAAGAAATCAAGTGAAAATCAAACTAATAAATTCTCTTTATTTTTATTAGAAACGGATCCTGCGAAATGGAAAAGAGATATTTTATAATAACTAAGTAATCTCTACAAAATAGGACCTGAAAGGAAAAATGTGAAATTTGAGATTACAAGTGATTTACAATTTTTATTAAGATTAGGAAATTTGGATGATGAAATATACTTTTCCATAGAGGAAATTATCCCCAAAAACAAGAAAAGAAGATCCCAAAGAAATTTACATTATAAATTTTTTCACTTAAGTGTAATAAGAATTCTTACAATTGTCTTTAAATAATCTAACTAAAAAGTTCGAGTAAATTTTTCTGATATTCATTGTCTCGATTTTATTTACTCTCCCAACAATAAATATTTGTAAATTTCTTAATAACTGAAATATCTCTTCACTAACTATTTATAATACTAATGTTTAATAATATAATCAACTCACTTATCAAATAAATGTATGTATTATAATATATAATTCAATTTCTTAAAATAAGGAAATCCTATATCTGATATAGCAACTTTAATTTTGAATATTTTTTTGTTTTGCAAAATTTAAAGTTTAGGAGAAAATTTTTAATGTTCTATCATTACCTTCCTAATATTATCATTACACGTTAATAAGACGTGGACCTTCATAAATTATTAGTGTAAAAGTCTACAAGTTACACTTAAGATCTCTAATTAATTACATAATAAGAAGTAGTTATAATCGCTAAATAAAAGCAATACACTCTGTAATACAAAATATGATCACTTTATTTTATAAAAAATATTACTAGTAAAATTTTAAAGTGTCAATCTTTAAAACATTATATGGTCCTAAATTTACAATCTTTCCAATGTGGTAATTTAATTATAAGATTATTGATTTTTTGGATTATTAAGAGATATACACTGTTCCAAAAACCAATTGAAGATAAAAAATCAAATTAATAGATCTAATTGAATTGAACATTGTATTGCTTGTGTAATTCTTTCAAATTAAAAGGCTCTTTGTTTTATTTGTACGCTACAGATATTAAATTAGTATGATGAGAACTACTTGATAAATCATAATAGAAAATATTAAATTCTATTTGAAATAACAATGCAGAGCAAAATGGAAGTCTATTTCCTGATTTTTCTTTATTTCTCTTTATAATAGATAAATAACACTCATACGGTATANTGAAGTAATTTAAATTATTTAAGCATGATATTGCTCATAATATATTGAATAGTATTTTTCAAAAAATATTCAATTCATCTAATTTGGAAAGAAATAAGTAATTTTATTTCATAAATTCTGGATGGTGATACAATTAGATCATTCCATAATGTTTATTAACTTTTTATAGATTTCTTGTAAAGAATTTGATCATTAAGAAAATTTGACTGAAAAGAAATCAAGTGAAAATCAAACTAATAAATTCTCTTTATTTTTATTAGAAACGGATCCTGCGAAATGGAAAAGAGATATTTTATAATAACTAAGTAATCTCTACAAAATAGGACCTGAAAGGAAAAATGTGAAATTTGAGATTACAAGTGATTTACAATTTTTATTAAGATTAGGAAATTTGGATGATGAAATATACTTTTCCATAGAGGAAATTATCCCCAAAAACAAGAAAAGAAGATCCCAAAGAAATTTACATTATAAATTTTTTCACTTAAGTGTAATAAGAATTCTTACAATTGTCTTTAAATAATCTAACTAAAAAGTTCGAGTAAATTTTTCTGATATTCATTGTCTCGATTTTATTTACTCTCCCAACAATAAATATTTGTAAATTTCTTAATAACTGAAATATCTCTTCACTAACTATTTATAATACTAATGTTTAATAATATAATCAACTCACTTATCAAATAAATGTATGTATTATAATATATAATTCAATTTCTTAAAATAAGGAAATCCTATATCTGATATAGCAACTTTAATTTTGAATATTTTTTTGTTTTGCAAAATTTAAAGTTTAGGAGAAAATTTTTAATGTTCTATCATTACCTTCCTAATATTATCATTACACGTTAATAAGACGTGGACCTTCATAAATTATTAGTGTAAAAGTCTACAAGTTACACTTAAGATCTCTAATTAATTACATAATAAGAAGTAGTTATAATCGCTAAATAAAAGCAATACACTCTGTAATACAAAATATGATCACTTTATTTTATAAAAAATATTACTAGTAAAATTTTAAAGTGTCAATCTTTAAAACATTATATGGTCCTAAATTTACAATCTTTCCAATGTGGTAATTTAATTATAAGATTATTGATTTTTTGGATTATTAAGAGATATACACTGTTCCAAAAACCAATTGAAGATAAAAAATCAAATTAATAGATCTAATTGAATTGAACATTGTATTGCTTGTGTAATTCTTTCAAATTAAAAGGCTCTTTGTTTTATTTGTACGCTACAGATATTAAATTAGTATGATGAGAACTACTTGATAAATCATAATAGAAAATATTAAATTCTATTTGAAATAACAATGCAGAGCAAAATGGAAGTCTATTTCCTGATTTTTCTTTATTTCTCTTTATAATAGATAAATAACACTCATACGGTATATAGTAACAAGCATCCAAACCCACTCTAATTCACTTCATAAGATTTGATGATATGGATTGATAAGTTTATTTAAAAAGTATTGCAATATAAATAGGTTTAGAAACCATAAAAAGTGTAAATATTTATGAATGAATTAATAAATATTTGAAAAAATTAACGATATAATTTTAATTAATTACATCAAACTATTTCAATATAATAATTATTTATTGAAAGTTAAAAATCTAGTATTTAAATAAGAACAATGATTTTTCTTACAATTTACAATTTTTTAATCATTTTTCAATAAATTGATGCTGATATTGCTACCTTTTCAAAAGAATAGTTAAAGGTATTTTGAATTGCGTTATCCTCTCAAATCTCTTTCTCATAGCCTAATAATATTCACTAATCACAATAAGAAAATTCTTCACAAAATAAAATGCATGAATTATTAATTAGAAGTACTAATGAATATCAAAAAAAATTAGATATTATAGGAATATAATATTTGATTAAATTTTATTGTATTTCGTATTATTAATAATCAAGGCTGGTTCAGGAAAATACAAGACCATTAAATTTATGACATCCGGTGCACTCATCGAAAGGATTTTGTTACTTCTCATGTCTTTTTATGTTCTTTTTTACAATATTTGCAAAGAGCAACGTACTACTTTTGAGTTATAGGGTGGTAAACAAGGCCATTAAACTTTTTACAGTTAGTGCATTCATCAAAAATTTTAATTGGTTTAGCTTGAAGTTAATGTTCTTTATAACAATATTTGCAAAAAGCAATATATGTTTAATTCATATTTTTTTAATATATATTTTTATGATTTGAAAACCTTTATAAATTGCGGTTCACCAATAAATTCTGATCGAAATATACTACAAAATTTACATTGTCTATTTTGAAAATCTCCAAATTTTTTTACTAACAGCATACATCCATAATTTAATTAAATTCAATTATATTAGTTAATCGGTAATAGCTCAAGTAAAGATATCGTATTCTGACATTTATTATACGGCATTTGTTATAAGAGACTTTAGAAAAATCCTGATATTAACTTGTCCTATTGCAAATTGATCAACGTATTAATATTATCTTCTATCATCATTATATAAATCTTTATACAAAAAATGTTGAATTTACTATAATCTCAAAATGCATATGCAAGATGGAAACAATAAAATACTTAAAATATCTGATAATATTTTTATTTCAAATTTGAAGATGATTTTCAATCTCAATAAGACTAGATTTCGAAAGAGTTAGTTGCATAGGGCTGTATCCAATTTAAGTAACATAATAGATAGTAATAAATTAAGTTATTTGGAAGTTGTTAAATTCATTATCGCAATTTAAATAGCACAATAAAGAGGAAAGTTCAAGTTTTCTAAAATACTTGAGGTGAAGTAAAAACTGATATTTACAATCCATTTTGGATTTTTATGAAAATTTTTCAACAACAATTAGGTTAAATAAAAATTAGTTACATTTACTATGTGACTGGATGGATAGATTAATTTGAAATATATTTATTTATTAATTAAGTAAGTTAAGTTAGTTAATTAGTAAATAGAAACAAAAACAATGAATTATTGAAAAAGAGAGATACCACAAATATACTAAACATTATATTTTGCTCTTTTTTTCAAATAATATGGAATCAATCTTGCATTGAGGACTCCTTATTTAATTATTTATTACGATCCTTAGATGGAAAAAGTTATCTAAACTAATAGTTGAGTTTTGAATTCGAAATAAATCACTTCAAAAATCACTGCTAAGCTACTACTCTTCATAAAAAATAAAATCAGAATGAGGTTTTTATTGAGTCCAAACTTTTCTTCTTTTCAGTTATAGAAATTTTATATGAAAATATTTTCTTAGCCTTTTCTAATTTAGAGGCGTTTAAAGCTTGAACATAAGTGCATAACTTTATCTTTTCCAAGAAGCTATAAGGAACTTTAATTTAGTAGTATTAATTGCAATTAGATTAAAGAATTAAATCTTCATATCCATCTAATTCTCTGTATGATATGAACTGTTACTCTATTTTTTTATTTATGTTTTAAGATTTAGAAAATTAACTTACTTCTTTAGAAATCGGAACTCTTAAGTCTAGCTTTCAAGGATTCTATAAGAAATACATAATTATTTAAAGTTGAAATTGATAATTATTGGAAGAATGTTATTTAATTTGTAAAATATTATCAGAAGTAAGGCGTTGAATGATAAATTTATACATTATATTTATTAGTATCTACGTGAGTTTGATGGCAGATCAAAAAGGTCACATTAATAATCTCTTTTAATAATTGTTTGGAAAATTACTGTATAATTTAGTAATATTGATTATAATTGAAAGTTTCCTATCTCAACATTGTTATCCATAAATCGTCTATAATATATTAATTTCTGAATTCATCAAACGTGATTTTAATTAGAACTCTATTATTTAAATATAAGGAAAGACTATATCATAATCAAATGTAAGCGTAGATAAAGGATGAAACGATAATTTAACATTTTCTTCATTATCTCATAATATAATTTATTTATTATTGACAAAGTAACTGGCCTATATTGGAAGGGTAGGTTTTAAAAAGAATTGAAATATTCTTATTTGAGTTTCAATTCCAGCATATATTAAAACAAAGTAATGTTATTATCAATTTTAAGAATATTGAATCAAATTTCGGAAAATAATAAACTCTTGAACTAATATTAAAGGCATGGGAAACAAAACAGAACTTAGTAATTAAAAATACATTTGATTGAACCTCTTAATCATAAAGTAATTGTTGCTCTGCTATTTTACAATTACTTGCTCCTTGAAATTAGATAATTGTTGTTTAAGTTCGTGAATTCTAGTGTTTGTTTATTTCTAAAACTGAGGAAAGTAAGCATTACGTAATAAATAAGAGTAAAATAACAATAAGTAAAGAGAAATTAAGCGATTTTTAATGAAGAGTGTTTTAATATATATCTGGGTTCTAAGATTTAATATTCTATATGACTAATTTATGAATCAGAATGCTTTGAAACTTAAATCTATTTAAGTTAATAATATTTGATTTGTTGCCTTTCCTTCACAGATTTTAAGAATAGTTCAGATTGAGTGAATGATAATATCAGTTTAATATGCTAAGCTTTTAAATTGAATATACCTAGCAAGCATCTGTGGATCTTCTAATATATTATATATTAAGTAAAGAAAATAGATTATTCTTTAATATCCCCAGAGAAGTTACTCTATTTTAAATCAGATTGCATCATATAAATGTTAATTTAGTTTAAAAGTTGATCATTGGTATGAATAATTATATAATAATAATATTAGGCTATTGAATAAAGTGTCATAGCGAACTGCCCCTTCTAAATCCAAGGTCCACACTTGGTATACAGGAGTGTTTGAATATTTCAATGTCTCTTTCAAGAAGTCCCAACCCCAACCCAAACCCAACCCCAAACCCAACACCAACCCATTCAAAAAATCTTTATTTTGGAAAAATGTATCCATCATCCCCACTTTGTCACATCCCATTTCTGGATAAATCGCTGCAGTGAAGGAGCCCTCAAAACCTTGTATTTGGCCCAGCGTCCGTCTTCAATCAACCTAATTCATAAATCCCAGAAGATCTCTTCTAACACTCTTTCCGGACTAAATTTAGACTTGTCTTCCATCCGACGGTCCTTCAATATTTCTTCGTTTGTCCTCTCCCTCATACGACCCCGAGAATAAAATCCTAATCCTTAATTCTATGATTCCTTCTACAAAATTGACTCATATGGTGTTCAAAAGACTATGGACTCTCCTCCGGTGATCACTTCTTATTTTTGTCCCTTGAGAGGTTTCTTCCTGAGTTCCTTGGACTATACTTTCATTCAATGATATTTAAGTTAGTATTAGGTTAATGATGAAGGACATTAAAGAAAATGAAAAAAAAAAGAATATAAAATAATGACGATCGATGTAGAGCTTTACACCTTTTGTTTAACAAAATCAATAAATTAATATTTTCAGTAGAAAATAATACGATATTCTAAAGAAAGAAGAATAAGTTTGTAATTTTTCTATAAGTACATTGATTAGCAATTAAACCGTTTCAGCCAACAAATATACATCCAATATTGCAAATCTCTTATTCATAACTAATTTTTGAGATTGCAAAATCCAAATGAAGTTTAATCTTTACTGCAAGATATCATTTTTGATCACATATCTAGGACTCTGACTTTCATCCTAAATTCTACAATAGAACATTACCTAAATTAGATAGCCTTATACCCCAATATTCTAGCTTCTCACAATACTAATATCATAACTAATCAATAAGGAAACTGAAAATAATCTCAGAGGTTTGGTCATAGGCAAACTCTCTTATGCAATAATTTTCTACTATTAACAATATTGACAATACATTTTGTATATCTATATGATCAAGATAACCTTGTCTTCATTCAAAGCTAAGAAGTTTTCTGATTTAGAGTAAAAACCGATTAAAGGAATGTTTGAATTCCCATCTGCGATGATATTCTTTTCATCTATTAAAATCCTTTTCTAGCATAAGGCAAAATAATATTCTTGTATAAATTTGTATAATTTTCTTTCTAATTTAATTTTTCTAGACTTATATTTAAAAGTTTAAACTATTTAATAACAAAATAGTGCCATCATTAAATTATTCAGACCTGGACTATTGTTTGTCCATTTCATCTTCTTTTAATGTACTAACTTGAAGTTTTATTCTTAGCTTATTTAGGTTCATTTATAAAGCCATTTTTCAAATTGAGCCAACATATTATGAATTATAATGAAATTTGTATGATCTATCAAATCTCAAGCAACATAGATCGATTTGTATTAATCCGGCTACAAGCTTTAGATGGTTTCATATATCACCAAATTTTAGCTATCAATGTATGAATCGCAATCTATTTGAATTTTTCTTTTATTTTCCGAATCTTATATATATTTTTTGTATTTTTTATTCTTGTAACAACTCTAATTTAGGTTTTCTTCATTATATTAAGTTAAGGATCTATCTTTATAAATATTTTTGTTTCCACCAAGAAGACGAATTCAAAATAACTGTCTGAAATGCTTTCGCAATTTAAAAATCAAAAAAACTAATACTTAGTGGTGAGATGTTAAATGATGACTCAATTTCATATTCAAATAATTTATTGTACATCCTAGTGTATCTTAAGTAACTATTTAAATTAGCAAATTAATTTTTTTTCTCTATTGACACTCCTGATGATTGCTTAATCTAAATCATACTATTTCGTAATGTTATTCATTAGATAGTAGACCTAGCTCTTTTACTGCTTAATGATTCTTTAAATGTCTAATTCAAGGTTTCCCAAATATTTATCGATCATCTTTGGTTTTGTATCATTGAATACACAGATTAAATAACTCCTTCTTTCATATTTATTTTAGTGACTAAAATATTGCTGGCTTCACTCATCATTAAAACAATAATTCGATTTCTTTAATATAATTTATGCAATTTTAATAATTATATCTAATAATTATACAATTTACAAGCTCTGATCTTGATACAATCAACTTTACTGTTTTTTCATTAAGTTTAGCTTAAATTTGTTTCATCGATGATTGAGAAATAATGTTTGAGACTATAAATTTAAAGCTTGAGATAAATCATGAAATCTAACCTAATGTTTTATTGTTATGAAACCTTCTGAACGAAATAAAGGAAGCGATTTTCATATCGATAAAGTGACTAATACATTAAGATTAGAATAATATTTTAATATTTAAATTTGAGAATATAGTTTTAATAGTAGAATGGATTCGAAATAAAACTGAAATTTGTTTATGTTATAACGATAGAGATTTTCTAAATGTTCTAAATACTAGTATCAATTTATGATATATAATAATAATTTAATGAAGTACAGTGAGTGTTTATTTTAAAATTACAGTCCCTTTCTTAATTACTATGTTGAAAAGTAGTTCCAAAATGGAAAGAATGCTTGTATCCCAGATTATGATAGAAAGAAAATTAAATGAAAAATCTGCTATTAGGGAGGTTTCGAAGAAATTAAAACTATTAATCATAAATTTAGAATAATTCAATTCTGAAGAAAAAAAACAGTAAATAAAATAATAACTTTAAAAAACAGAATAAATATTTGTATACTATTAAGCCTTGGCAATACTTTCAAAAGATTGATATTAAAGGTAAAGATATATCTATTATTCAAATTTGGTTGAGAATACTTAGAAGGTTGAATGGCAGATATATAAAATGTCGGGATAAACAAAGCACATTTAAAAAGGATAGAAGGTTATCAGATATTATTAAACATCAATATGAACTGTTATATTCAGAATGTTATATCATTTTGTAGAATGAAAAATAGCCGTAAAATTAAATTATATTAAATCTATTGATATTTTAATCATATAAATAATGGATTTCTCGCACATTATGGTTTTTTTCTTTTGTATATCTTTTTCAATTTTACAGATAACTCTTTGATAATAAAAATTACTTCTAAAATTAAACCCGAAGATAGAATCATTATATGAATCCATCCTAATATTATTTTTTTCTTTTCATTAAAATATTCATTACACTCTTTGATGTATAAGAATGAACTGAGCATAAATGTCAGTACTGATATCTCTACTACCATCTAAACGATTTATTTATTCTTATTTTAAATATGCCTATAAATAAATAATAAGCTAATCTAAAAGATACTTGTCAATAGGAGTAATCCTAATTATAATATTTCAGATCTTTAAATACTAATCAAGAAGAATAAAAAGAAAAATTATCTTCCAAAACTTAAAATCTCAAACTTTTTCATATTTACTAATTTTTATTTAGATTTGAAACCATCTAACAATATTGTAAAATAAAGAATAAGAATTATGCTTGCTAGAATAAGTTGTACAATATCTAAGTAATTATTAGTTGAAATGTTTCGCATATACAATAGAGTTTTAAATGTCATATCCCAACCATTTAGAATTAAGGCTTTTTATAAACCTTAAAATGATATCAATTTTTTCAAATTAAGTATATCTCGGCAAATGTTATAAAAGGATTCCTCACACTTAAAAATTAATTTTGGTTTGATGTATAAGGATAAAGTAGAGGCATAGTAAAAGTTTCTAGAACAAAATATCCATTTGTATATAATTTTCTTAATTAATTGGTACAACATAATGAGGAATAAAAAAATCAAGCATTATAATATTTGGCAGGAAAGATTTATTATCAAGCTTGGGTTCTATTTGTAAACATCAAATTTTCCCTCTGAATATGATTCTTAATTTTACTAAAGTTCAATGAACTAAAATATTGATAAAAAATCTATTAAATCTAATAGAGGTTGAATTGTTATCAAATCATTAATCGAAAAATAAATCTCTAAATTTTCTGGAAATTACAGATTAATGTACCTCAAATATTGCTGAAATTAAAGGATTGCCAAAATTTCGATAAATAAATCCCCATTTCCTGTGAGTAGATTTACACAGATAATCCCAGACAAACCATAGATTAAATAAATATTTAAATTCTTCAACTTATGAGAATAATCCTTCTAAGTTTCATCAAGATATTTTGGATATTATAAAGTTATTGATTTTGTAAAGTCTTCCAAAACAACATTATCTATATTAGCAACTGTCTGATTAACTAAAATTGTTAAGATGGGTTTAAATTCAAGTAATTGATAAACAATTATTTCGATGTTATATTCTCCAAAACTTACATATGATCCAACATCCTGTATGATATATAAGCTGCTATTCCAATTCTTCTTGTCTACGTTTGGTAATGTAAAAATTATTGTTTCTGATAAAGGTTAAGTTGTGTATATTTTTACTTATTGATTAAATTTGATGCTTAGGTATTATTTATTCGAAGTCATGTTGAGATATGAAATTTCTAATTTTGGAGGTTTAACAAAAGTGCATGCGCTTGGAGAATTTCTTGTCAACTAGTTGCATATCCAATTTTATTCAATCAAGCAATCCTTACAACCATCTACTCCTTCGTAATTTCCGTCATCGCATTCCTCTTATTTCTAAAGCAAACCATCTCCACAATTTAGATATAATTTGCATGAATTTGAATTTAATAATTAATATTGATCAATGCACTCTACACATGTACCTTGATAGCATTCTTTGCAATTTTCTGGACATGAATAAGAATACTTGCAGTTGAAGCAACCATCAAATTAGATTGTATTGCCATCATCACAATCCTCTTCTATTGTGATAATTTGATCACCACAAATTGAAAGACACCTATCATTAACAAACTTGTATCCATATCCACATTTTAAAATGCATTCTCCTAGATGGCAAATGTTGCAATCTTGAGCGCATTGAAATTTACATTCAAAACAACCATCATAAGGCTATAAATTTCCATCATCACATTCCTCATATTATTTGACAACGTATTTATCTCCGCAATGAGGGAAACATTCATTATATAACAGTAAAAATCCTATTTCACACACCAAGCACATTGAAAGTAATTAACGTTTGCAATTAGCTATTGATATAAATCTGCAATCCTAACAATGATCCCATTCTCCATTATCCGTGAGATCACATTATTCAGCCGAATAAGGTACTACATTACCATCTCCACACAAAGACACACAATTAAAGTCAGCATTAAGATCAAATCCAAAAAGACATTCAAAACAAATTCCAAATACACAGGTTTTGCAAAAATTTATGCATGAATATTTGCATTAATAACAAGAATCATTAGATATTAGATTAGCATCATCACATTCTTCTTATCCTTGTATAATTCCATCACCACAAATTGGATGACAATTGTCAAGAAATTCATCTCTTATCCAACCTTCTTTGCAGACCTAGCACGAATTATCAATTTACACTAAACAACCTTCATTCAAATTGCTTACTACTATTTAAGCTTAAGTGTAAGATACTTTTAAATCTCTTATATGACAATATTAATCTTGAATGGTTCCATCACTACAAATTTGATGACAATTTGCAAGAGACTTATTTTCAATCCAGCCTTCCTAACAAATCAGGCATTTATCATCAATTTACTCTAAACATCCTTTATTCAACTTGTTAACTATTTTTTTCTCTGGTTAAGTGTAAAACACTTCAAAATCTCTTATTAAACAATAATTAGAGGTTGGTAAAGTTGTAATTGTCACTGATAATATCGGATCAGAATGGTTTTCTATTAGTACTTCTATTAATTAATAACCAGAACTTAAAGTTGTTTAACCTTATGAATAGTCTATAATTATAGTAATTAAATCATATTTATAAAACCTGAGCAATACATCTTAATGAAGGGGTAGCCAAGTTTAATATTTAATTAGCCAAAATTTCAAGAATTAGCAATCTCCACAATAAAAGGAATACTCATAAATTGATGAAAAAGTCCATCCATCTGAAATTGCGATATATTTCTAATTTAATGAATATGAATGAAATAACCATTTTAAGCAAAATATTTTCTAACTCTCTATGCATCCGGCGCAATCATACTAGCATTTAATGATACTTAATTAGAATGATAATAATCCTCCTACCCAATAATTATTTATCCAAGTCCAAAGAGTTCTTCTGTTATGTTAAATAGTTACTGATATAGTTAACTTTGTTCCACACGCGTGGCTTTAAGAAGTGGTAGAAAAATCATATATATAACGACCGTCTAACACCACAACAGGAGTAGATTAACTAGAAATCCTAATTTAATTGATATTATCTTTTACTATAACAACTGGAAATCTACTTTAATATGAGAATGATCTTCTAGATTTAAAAATATTCTGCTAACAACAATATATAAACTTGAAGAACTATCAGGTTACCCATAATAATAACTCCCACCACAGCTATTAAAATAACAGTTACTTCCTAAACAACCCCATCCTAAAATATATAGTATAAGAATTACCATCTTAGTTGATAGAATTAGCATTAAACGAATAAATCTGAGCTTGATGAGTTATATAAATAAAAATTATTAATAATTTCATAATAATTAATGTTAATTATAGAATTAAATAAAGTAATATTTTAAAAATAATAGAATTATGTAGATTAAGATAGAATTATGGAATGAAAATTTCAAATTTAATGATCATAAATTAATTTAATATCAGCATGTAGGATGATACTCCTATTTAACCCAATTATCAAGAAATATATCTATTATTCTCTTCATTATTTCTATTTTTGAGATCCTTTTTTTTGAGCTTGGTCCTCCTTGAATCAATTAAACTTTAATTGAGAAACCCTCACCTCCTATAATATAAAACGTGATTATAAATCGATTGTAAGACGAAACATGATTTTAATTCTTCTTATCAGAGACAATTATTACCTTCTACTTTAAAATTTTTGTACTACTATCAACACAAATTATGCATTATTTTATAAAATAATACAACCTTCGATTAAGTCTATAAATTACAACATTCAAAATCTGGGAACAAAAAATTGATAATTTTTCAGTTAATATAATATTAGTGGTTATTTAGGACTCAATAATCATTCAAGGGATGATAAAAGGACTGCCCAATGAAGGTTTTGATGTATTAAGGTAATGTACATAATTAGAAATTATTAATAAGGATAAAATTTGGTTGATGGCATTTAGTAGAAGAAATTTATCAGTAAATTTAATTATAATAATTATGGCAACTTGGATAGCATTTGTAAAAGGAAATACAATAATAAATTTGTTGGTTGGCTTAAACTGATCATTTTTAGGTACTAGAAGAATAAGAATTATGGTTTGATAAAGCAGATATTAGATTCTATATCGAAATATTTGGAAATTGTTATAAAGAAATTCTCAAATCAAATCCTGAAAATAATATGAAAATCATGGCAGAAAAATTATAATAAAGTGAATTAAAAAGCCATTTTAATAAGGAGGAATTGCAAAATGGAGGAGGAATAGACTGTGAAAATATATTGAAGATGAGTATGAAATTCAAGTAATATAGAGACAATATTCACAGATACTTACCAATGAAAATAGGCTATGGGGGGAGAGAAATGAATATAGTCAAACTTGGTTTCCATTCTGAATAGGAAGGAATATAATTTAATGTTGTCAGATGGTACATTGACTCATACATGACTTAGAGGTATTCCACTTCTTAAGGCAAAGATTATTATTAACTTTAAAAATTGAAAGGATGTATAAAATCCGACATGTGGATAAGAAAAACGTTCCATCATACATAGGTTGATAGTATAGATGTTTGAATCCTCAATCCTGAAAATTCTATGAGAACAGATAATTTATATTAGGGAAGTGTAAAATACAAAAGAGAGCCTCAAATTACAATAATGACGGAATGAAAAGTGAGATATAATTAATCAGCGAAGCTTGGAAATATTGTGGCATTGACAATTTCAATGATATTTTATAAGCCTGTACCTGATTATCTAAAATAGCCATAGAAAATATAAATTAGAAAATTCATGAATCTCATTTTTTCTTTGTTTTGCAACCTTTGCATCGCTTCTATGTATCAAAAAAAAAGATGATGTAACCTTATGTTTGGAGATTTTTTCTTAAGTTATTCTTTTAAAATTAAATCCTGTTATTTTTGATAAATTTATGAAATTCTTTGTTTAAAGTTGCTTCTAAAACAGTTTTTGGAACCTTATGTCTTATGATAACGAATATCTTTTTAATAAAATTTCTATTTATTAAGCTAAACAGATTTTCATCACAATTAATGTATCATTTGATATTAAAATAGATTCATTATATAATAACTTTGCCTTTGTTCATCGAATGTATATATTTTTAGAGCGAAAATTTTCATAAAAGTTCATTATGATATTAAAATAGTTTTATAGATTTTTAATTTACTTTTTATATACTTGTCAGTATAACTTTAAACTATCCATTGATTACACCATTCTTACCAATGCTTGAATATTAGCATTATAGATTATAGCCACTTTAGATTGTCATTTTATAAAAATTTGAATTTTAATATTTTCAAACTTTGACCATTTCTTATGGGTTTGTTGGACTATTATTTTACAACATTAATTTATTATTCTTTTCTTGCTGTTAAATAGCTTAAGATGTTAAAGCATATCTCCACTATCTACAAAAAAGTGACATGATGACTAGTTTAGAAGAATTATCCCTTTTACTTATAAGCACCAAAATATTAATTAACCTCGTAAAAGAAATATATCTTTAAACAATGTAAAATTTATATGCTAGAAATCTGAAATGATTTGTAAACTAGAGAAAGAATAGCTGCATTTTCAGAAGTAGTACTTGTATAAGAAGCCTGATGAAAAATATTTTCATAAAAAGTCTCAGATTCTTCAAAATTATTAGTGCTCAATCAAAATCCATTTAAGTAAACAGTTTAACATTAAATTTTGATTTGTCAAGCATTAATGATATTTTGTTCATGCTAATCTTTAATCAAGATGTTAAGAACATTTTTATTTTTAGTCTAATTGATAAGTAAATGTATTACTATAAAGTAAATTTATTCAGAGGTATTAAATTGTTTAGCTGATATTTAACATCCATTTCAATATCAAAAGAATGTAATATTATTGCCTTATAATATTTATAAATCAAATAGATTAACTCCACAAAATTCTTGATTTAGGTTGGAAAATAGATGATTAGGTTTAATTACTTATAATAATTACATATGAAATAATTATTATCTATTTTTTTTTAGCTATTGCGGTGCACACATCATAATCATTCAAGGAATATATATCTTATATATAATCGCAAGAATTAAAAAGGTTTTGTTTTTGAAAAATTACTCTTCTATGGCATCATAGAAGGATCTTATTCAGGATCGAAATTGAGATTAACTTAATCCTCATAGAAATAGTATATCAAATTAATATGTAATTACGACTGCTTATCTACATTTTCATCATTCAGTTGAGACTAAATCATTATTTCTAGCTTGTTAACTTCTTCAACTTTATGATACACATATATATATATCAATGGTAATAATTGTTGCTGATTAAAATCCTTGAGAAATCTATCATTCCTTAATTTTTAACGACCTATATATTACTATTAGAACATTCAATAAATTAAGAGGTATTAATTAATTTCTGTGATTTCATTAATACCAACTTTATAGGTTCCATCATTCTCATTACTATTTCATAATTTGAGAAATGATATCACATAATAATTTAAATATTAAAATTGCTGGAATTTCATTTGTCAAACGATTGTTATTATTTCTAAGCATTCAGGATAAGGTTTTAGAAGATAACAAACCTCATCATCAAATACTTATGAAAATCTTATAATATTTTATGGATTTGGAATTTATAATAAAATAATAAATTATAAGTTAGGTTGAAAATTCAAAATTGTGTTTTTATAGTTTTACTTTATGGCACAATAGTATTCTAGAAGGATTGCCTTATTATTATTAGTGCATAATCTTAAGGGATTTCATTTATTAAATGATATATTATATAAACATAGAAAATCACCTATTTTACTTTTATCATAATTTATTGATGATTTAAATCAATGTTGATAGTTTGCATTTCATAAATAACTAACTTTAATTTACTCTCAATTAAGCATTGGCCTGGTTCTCCCTTATCCCTTACGAAAAGTGAGTGTGGTATTCAATTCATTTAGTATCACCAAATAAATATAATTATTACTAATTAACTTATAATATGATGAATTTAATTTAAAGAATTATTTATTATTTTAATAAAATCAGAAATAATACTTATATAAAATTATTTCATATATTTAAAATTTCATAAGTTTAATACTTTTCTTTCTTCAAATCCCAAAATATTAAATACTCTCCATCATTGGTCATATTCCCAAAAACCTATTTAACTTAACAATTCAATTAGTTATAAACCTTTAGATTACCATCTATTAATTATCGAAATAAATAGATATGATATTTATGTCTTATCAATAAAATATTTTTCTCTTAATTATGGACGATTGAAAAATTCATATCATCATCGCTTTTATTATTCTTAGTTAATTTGATAGTTTTATTATTATTTTATTTAAAAACTCCTCTCTACAATTCAAATACTAAAATATCGTCAATATCTGCATCCATAGTTACCCAAAGAAGCTGTTGATCATTTATTAAATATATTTTATACCCTTTATTAGCAACTGATTATTTATATTTAAATTCCCATTTTCCTTAGAGTCCTTGTTCCCATATTATAAATTCATCAAATCCACAGGACACCAATTGAGTTTCATTTGAATTAAACTATAATGACTCTACACTGTTTATATGGTTATCTAAAGCATATAGAAAAGTCAGCTGATTCTTCATAAAATCTACTTACCAAACATTTATTTATTTATCACAACTTCCTGAAATAACCTAATCCTCCTATTTATTTAAAATCAAACAATTGACTCCTTCAAGATGCTATTAATATGGCTATGAATATTTCCACTCGTTTTGATTAATTTATTACCAACAGATGATAGTATGATCTATAGAACCAGAAATAAAGGAATTTCTGAGTTTGCTATACACTAGACACCTAACAGTATCTTGATGTTATGTATATGTGTTAATTAATTTTAATTTTCCTTTATCAAAGTTCCAAATTTAAATCTTTGGACTCTCACACGACACCATAATTGATCCTGTTTTGTCAAACACTATTGCAAAACAATACCCACTCGATTAATTTGAATCATCAATTAATTTAAGTTCAATTTTTTTATCTATCATCTATTATTATTTTTCTAGTTATTCTTATTAAATGGCAATTTAATTCATTTCCTATTGTATCCTAGCATCACATCTTTCGTGTCCTTGATTTTAAATACTTTATAATAGTTCTTCGCACTTTTTGGTTTCTTAAAATGATTTAAAAAATGTTAATGTATGATTAATCTTCAAGCATTTTGACTTATTAAGCTTATTTATTTTTTCAATAAGAGATTCCGGATTGAATTAATCATTTTTTGTTTTAGTAATTAGGTTTTCTAATTCATCAAAAAAACTAAACGTGGCATTTTATTATCCGCATTGTAATACTTCTTCCATCCATTAATCTACATACCCAATTAATTTTACTATATTTTGAGTAACTTGAGTTTTTAAATCAAGTAGAACCAACTTAATTTATTAAATAGAATTGGTATTGAAGTTTACAATATTCTCAACATGACTTTTTCTTAGCTTTTGATTTTCTACAATAATTTCTTTAACTTGCTTAAAAATTTTAATTGGCTTATTTGATTCTACATTTTCCATGCATAATTTGCATAATAGTCTTTACTTCTTCTTAAACTTTGGATCGCTAGATACCATGATGATTAACTGTTAATGAATATCACATTAAAGAATTTCCTCTTCTTTTTCGATCATTCTTGAAGAAATCATTTCTTAAATTTAAAAGAGAAATTTAATATATATATATACAATTTAGGATGGATTTGCAATATATCATAATGTTAATTGTTAAGAAGCATAATGATACGACAACTACTTGTAAAGTGTTATTTTTAACAGAATTCGTCAAAGAAGTTACATTAGCAATACCCTATATAAAAATGCAATCATTTATTAATATTTTCCTAATTATATCCTACAGTTTAGTTAGCATAGACTTTATGAAAAATTTAATAAAATCATATCGAAGCTAACAATTTTTACATTGTTTCAAAAATATAGACATTTATAATGAAGACTGGTACAATTTATTCAAGAATATTGAATTTTAGATTTCATGTAGGTATTTCAATATTCCTCAAAGAAGAATTTGATGAAAAGCATAATAAAAATTTCTCATGATATCATATTTTTAAACTTTTATTAAGTCTGTAATAATTTTTGTCCAATTTAATTATCATTTTGGTATGACTTTTTTTACCAATTAAGGTCTGTATTATAAAACCATGACCAATTAATTATCAAGTTGTATAAAAAATTCTAAACTATCCTTTAAGGTATTTTAAAATTCTTATACATTATTTTTACATAATATAGAATATTAATTCTGGTTTATGCTTTGATATTTTCTTTGAATATCCTCTCATTGCTTTTTTAAGCTGACTTTGCTTATTATTATTCATAAATCTAGGTGTCGTCACACTACATATCCCCTACCCGATAATTTTTAGGATTATTTTTCTTTAGCCAGTAGATTTAACAACTTCATACGATATCTGCTAGGCAAGGTATAATCTGGCGTCATCGAAATTAACTTAATGTTTGTGAAATAATAATTCTAGTATGATAACAGTGAATATGAGATATATATTTATTATAATTTATAATTTATTTCTAATTGATTTTGATTTCTGCAAGTTTAGACCATTTATAATTTTTATTAATTCCTGCATAAATCTGTATGATGGATAGTTTTGTATAGTAAGACTTCACTCTTTAAATATTTATTTGAATATTTTAATTGATTCATTTTAATAAAATAATGATCACTCAAAATTTATACCTTGAAAGTTGTTACGATTATTGCAAACTTTAGTGGCAAAATCGCCTAATATCATAAGGTGAGTCTATACTCCCAAGACTAAAGGAAGACATAGGGGAACATGAAGACCTAAAAACATAGTAACGTTGTAAAGAAGAATGATATTAGAAAGACTGGCCTTCTTTAAAGAAGTACTTAAGCAGGACTAATCTTTTTATCTATAGAGAAGAAATACATATATAGCTATGCCATCTGAAGTTTATAATTATCTTTATAACTAAACTTTACTGAAAACTACTTAAGTAAATCTAGAAATATATAAAAGTAAATCTTCATCATGATTATTTTATTGAAGAAAGAAATAGTGAGCATCTACAAAAATTCATCTAATAAACTGATTTCCTAAACGAAGTAAAAGCTTCCATTAGCAAGACCACTGATAGATTTCACCATTTTGGCATCAGTGTCATAACCAAATCCATAGGTGCGTAAAGTAAACACTTTGAGATTTAATTTAAAAATATGCAGAATAATCTAAACCATCTGATGTTAAAACATTTAAGTAACAGAATTATTTTCTATTCTTCATTTATTAAAAGGCTATTTCTGTTGCACGTGAAATAATAGTACCATCCTTCTAATTAAAACCTCAAAGTGTATTTAACCTTGGTTATTTCTTTAATTATTAAATATTCCCTATATCCTTTGTTTTCTTAAATTATACATTTTAAATTTGTTAATCTAATTGGAAGATCATTAGAAATATTTAATTGGAATCTGCTCCTAAAATTTGAATAAAACCAGTAATGCTTGCTCAACCATCTACATTTTTTCATCTCTCATACAGTAACTTTATCAATTAAAAAATCTATTTATCTATTTATTGTATGATACCAAATCTACTCCTAGTCTGTCCTTCCAATCAGTGCCTGTTTTCGAAGCTTCTTTTGATTTTAAACTAATCTTTGCAGGAATGTATTGACCCTTGACACTCGTTGACCTCTAAATTTTATTTAAAGGATTAATTTTGAAAGATAGGTTTTTTTAAATCATCTGATATGTTAGAATTCAAAATTTATACATTTTATAGATTATTAAGACTTAAACTTCTTAATATAGATTTAAAAAGAAATATATGACTAACCTGTCCCTACATGGTTTTTAGTTATTGATTACTATTTAATCTATCATTTGTTTAAGCATTTTATCTTATTATAATTTTCGACCTATATATAACCATTATCAATTCAATTATAATTCCTGTGGACAACCGAATTTCCTAGAGCCATCCTAATAATATCTTTTACTCTTCATTAATATATTAATTACTTTTTCAATGTAAAAGAATGATCTAAGCATACGCTTGATTAGATCAATATTAGTATTATGCTTGCTATTATTATCTGTTTAATATCTAAATAATTAATCTAAATGTTTCTAGTATATAATAATATTTTTTTATATTATAAGAATGCTTTTTATAATCCTGAAAAGAACATATGATGATCTAACTCAATTATATTTAAGCAATTATAATATAATAGTTAACTAAACTAAATCATTAAGATTGGGTTAAAAATTTAGATAAGGATGACATGCATTCAAAGTAATATCTATCAAAATATAAAGCCATAATTATTTGAGATGAAAGATTCCTTATCAGATTAGAATTTTATTTAATTATTTTTCCTTTTGAATATTCTTAGTCGGTTTAAATATTAACAAACTTAAAGATAAACCCAAAATGAATAAAATCTACGATGATGTTTGTTCGGTAAGAAATCATTACTAGACATATATTTCTAGAAGTTAAGGATATTCGAGATTTTTGTATCTTAAATATTATTGATATTATGAAATTATGGGGATTTCAACAAAAAGATCTCCAGTACCAAATAATAAACTTAGTGCAGTAATTGCAGACAATTGGTAAATAAGGTAATTATTAGTACTTTTCAATTTTTATGAATAATTCATTTACTCTTCATTTAAATATTTTTGAAACCTAATGTTAGATATTTTTTGTAGAATCTTCTAAGACAGCAGTAACTGATTTATTTAATTAGCCTTACGAGGTAGGTCTAAAATCAAGCACTTCCATCTCTAAAACATTCTCTCCAAAAGTCAGATTAGATCCTACATCTTGTTTAATTTAAAAGCTGCTTCTACAATTTTAATTGTCTATATTAATTAATTTAAATGAAATAGTATTTTAAGGAAGCTTAGTAGTATTGACTTTACCTATACGCTTAATCTTATGCTTATGTACTATTTATTTTGAGTCATACTGGGGTAATTAAGTATTAAGTGAGGAGCTTTTGCAATATATATTAGCTATAAGAATCTTTATTACTGAGTTACAAACCTAATTTTATTCGATTTCACATTTCAAACAATCATCACCAATTTAATAATTGCCATCATCACATTCCTCTTATGCTTAAAAAAAAAATGCAAATTAAAATTAAATAAAAGCTTATTTAATAAAAGAAAAAAAATGTAAACTAAAACAAATCCTAGATTAATAAAAATTTCAAATATTATTTTGAGTCATAACTTAAAATGATAATTTATAAGTATTAAATTGCTGCTTATTGTTTTATTTAAGATTACTTATTCGTTGATATTAAGAATTTCTATATGATATGTTGAATAGTTTTCCCCATATTTAAAAATGGTATTTAAACACATTAAATAATCTAAAGAATTTTTATTAATAATACTTTCTGTAAATTTTACATTTTTTACCAAGACGAAATACTTATTTTTTGATTATTTCTTAAAAGGAGTGTATAAAATTTATTATTTTTTTCAAAAATACTATTGTTTTAAAAATAATTATCATAATTATATATCCTTTAGAATTTTCACCCAAAATTACAATTTAATTCCTTTAATTAATTTGAGTTAATTAAATTTTTTTTTTTTTTNAAGTTAAGGATATTCGAGATTTTTGTATCTTAAATATTATTGATATTATGAAATTATGGGGATTTCAACAAAAAGATCTCCAGTACCAAATAATAAACTTAGTGCAGTAATTGCAGACAATTGGTAAATAAGGTAATTATTAGTACTTTTCAATTTTTATGAATAATTCATTTACTCTTCATTTAAATATTTTTGAAACCTAATGTTAGATATTTTTTGTAGAATCTTCTAAGACAGCAGTAACTGATTTATTTAATTAGCCTTACGAGGTAGGTCTAAAATCAAGCACTTCCATCTCTAAAACATTCTCTCCAAAAGTCAGATTAGATCCTACATCTTGTTTAATTTAAAAGCTGCTTCTACAATTTTAATTGTCTATATTAATTAATTTAAATGAAATAGTATTTTAAGGAAGCTTAGTAGTATTGACTTTACCTATACGCTTAATCTTATGCTTATGTACTATTTATTTTGAGTCATACTGGGGTAATTAAGTATTAAGTGAGGAGCTTTTGCAATATATATTAGCTATAAGAATCTTTATTACTGAGTTACAAACCTAATTTTATTCGATTTCACATTTCAAACAATCATCACCAATTTAATAATTGCCATCATCACATTCCTCTTATGCTTAAAAAAAAAATGCAAATTAAAATTAAATAATGTGTTTTCAAAATTCTTTTGTTCTTTATATAAAATTATGCGAATAAAGTATTTTAATTATTATTTTAAATATTCTTTTGTTTTGAATACAAATACAAGCTTATTTAATAAAAGAAAAAAAATGTAAACTAAAACAAATCCTAGATTAATAAAAATTTCAAATATTATTTTGAGTCATAACTTAAAATGATAATTTATAAGTATTAAATTGCTGCTTATTGTTTTATTTAAGATTACTTATTCGTTGATATTAAGAATTTCTATATGATATGTTGAATAGTTTTCCCCATATTTAAAAATGGTATTTAAACACATTAAATAATCTAAAGAATTTTTATTAATAATACTTTCTGTAAATTTTACATTTTTTACCAAGACGAAATACTTATTTTTTGATTATTTCTTAAAAGGAGTGTATAAAATTTATTATTTTTTTCAAAAATACTATTGTTTTAAAAATAATTATCATAATTATATATCCTTTAGAATTTTCACCCAAAATTACAATTTAATTCCTTTAATTAATTTGAGTTAATTAAATTTTTTTTTTTTTTCATTCCTTTAATTCTTTTATTATTTTAGTAAACTGATATTTTTATATTAGTTGATAAATACTAAAAAATAGTTTTATAGCATTAGTGCGGATAACTTTGAAAAATGTGACCTATTGTTTTGATTGCGAATTTGGAGTATTTGGATGGGATATTTGTAAAAGTAAGTAATTAGTATGGTTGCTGAATTGGGTTTCAAGATGTGTGATCTCTATTAGGTTTTGGGGTCTGAATATATCCCTCTAAAATTATGATAAAATAAAACTTGCTATTATAGTAGATTTTTTTTAAATCTAGAGTCTCATCTACTATGGTAATGATATTTAATAATTTCAAAAAAATTTATTAATATAATGAATTTTCATTCTAAGTGACTACTAATTGTGGACCGACAATACTAACAAATGTTTGGATTATTCATTAGCATAACATAAGAACAGGCTTAATTTTAAATCACGAACTTAAAGAAGGAATTATTAAACGTTATAAGCATACTGAATTGTTAGGAAGAATGTATTGGATGTATTTGGAATTATCCAATCAATTGTGCAAAATGGATGCTACACTAATATTCATTTAATTAGAAATCGACCTCTTCTAAGGGATGGAATGCTATTGTTAATTATTCTGAGATTATTTAAGATGTGATGCTAATATTTAATGCTTAAAAAAATTCTTAATCAACCCAATTACCATCTCATTAAGATATATTAATACGGTTTGATAAAGGATCATAGATTTCTCTTATATTAGACTATATGAAGGGTATAATATTGATTTTTGGGGGTGAATGAAATTGATAAATTTAATATTTTTAAATTAGTAGATTAAGTATAGGTTGTTGAAATTTTTTCTAAAACTACATAAGCGAGATTTTGAATCTGAATATAAAATCAGATAATATTAATAAAAAAAGTTGGATAAGAGATTTTAAATATATTACACAGTGGCAGCGATTTAATTTATTAGGTCTAAATTAAGGCTGTTAAGACGAAAATAGGGATCAACGTATCAATTGTGAAGATGATTGGATTTTAGATGAATTTCAATATCGCTGCAGTCCTATCTGTGAGGATATGGTCATCAACAGGTATGAAGAATGTTATGATGGAAATTTAATATCTTATGATGGTTGCTTTTAAAGCAAACATTAATGTATTGAGTCTTGTAAAACTTGCATTTTGGGAATTTGTAAACAATGTCTAGAGGGCTTTGTTTTAAATTCAATTAATGATTGCGATCCGTAATGTGGAGATGGCGTTCTGATTCCTTATTCAATTGAATAACGTGATATTAAAGATGATTAAGATTAGAGTGGTTGTTAAGATTGCAAATAAATATCAAACCTAATTGTAAACGAAAAATAATTTTTTTTCTAATTGTTTAGAGTGTGAAGAAGGGCTTTTATTTTTAATAGATTAATGCTACCCTTATTGTGATAATACAAATTTTCTTGAATAACTTGAAAATCGCGAGGATGGAGATTGCAATCTTTTGATGATTGCATAGAAGATGGTATTATTTATCTTCAAAGAAAATGTAGATTAGAATGTGGAGATGTATACGAGTTTATTAATTATAGACGTCATTTTGTTTGTGTAGATAAATTTGTCACTAAAGAAGAATGCGATGACAGCAATGCGATTATATTTGATGGCTGTTTGACTGTATCTACTCTTGTCCAGAAAATTGTCGAAATTGTTATCAAAGTATCATTATTTAAGATTTATTAAATTAATTATATATATAAATATCTGAAACAAAAATTTTCTGATCTTACTAATTTACAATATTTGTTTAGAGTGTTAAAGTCATAAGAAATTCATTATTAAATTACCTAATTTCCGTTATTTTATATTATAAACAAAAGAACTTGATAATACATTATATAATTCATAATTTGCATTTTTTTATATAGTGAGTAAATGAATATTAAACATTCATTTTTAAGTTACTTTATAGCATTATATTACATAAGAAACAAAGAATTATAAAATTCATTCTTAAATTATTACTTAATTTTCGATATTTTCAATTCAAAACAAAAGAATATTAAAAATATATAATTAAATTAAGTAAATATCCTTTGCTCAGAAAGAAGAATTTTTCATGTTAATCAGAATCTGTCATTCTGTATAATGTAAACGAAAAGGAGGTGTATATATTTTTTTTTGGTGATAAATAAAATATTTGTGTCAGAATATATATAAAATTTGTATATTATTTCTACTGCTGAGTAAATAAGGAATAGGTAATCTATAAAAAATATTTCCATAAGATAAAACTATTCTTATGATTGAAGGATATTATGTAATTTATAGAATGAACAAATTTTTCATATGTTTATAAGAAAATTGGATGGGCAAGACTAATTTTCTTTTTATATCCTGAAATTCCTAAACAAAATTAATTTCGACCTCTTGGTATACTAAGTCCAATTTTATAATTTGTTGAACTTCGTTTTTCGAAAAATAAATTCGCCCTTGAAAAAGTGAGAAAACAATTTTTTAATAACTATTATGATTTCCTAAGAATACTCATGATATGAATTTAATTGAATAAGCACATTCATATACAATGAATAATAATTGCAATTAATAACAAGAAGTAATGTTCCTTAAAATTTGGTTCAAAAATTGAGATGGAAGAAAGATTTGAATGTGAATATCGTTAAAAAAATTTAAACGTAGGTATATAAAATCTAAAATAGTCTTAAGATAAGTAAAATTTGTTTAGAAGACAATATAAATTTGAAACAATTAGAATGTTGTTAACTTTTAAGAGCATTTTTTAAACTTGCGGCCACATTGCAACTTCAACTGTTGAAGCACCAGATAATTTGTATTTTCCAGTAATAAACATTTCTTAGAATTAATCCAACTGGTATTTTTATTTTCTCGCTCATTTTACCAAATGTTATGCTTTTGTTCAAAGATAATTACTTTGTAATAATAAAATTACAAGGCAGATGTAGGAGTTATTTTTGATTGTTAATTTTCACATTTCAGTTCTTTTTATCAGATTTCTTAGCAATCCTAACTAGATAATAGTCTAAATATAATCATTTAATGTTCATAACTTCCATTTTGTTATAAATTTCAGATTTCAATAGATTGATGGATCAACTAAAACTAAAATTATTTTGCTAATATTTTTAATTAAAAGTAAATTTGAGATTATAGGCATATTTTATTTTAATTATAAACCATTTATCAATTATGATTCATTATATTTAACAGAAAGAACAGTAAGTTGGTTACTAATTGATAGATGGCCCAGGCATCATTTGCTCTGTAAGAGATTGATGATGCACAATAAGCTCCTCTTCCTCAAATTCTTCTTTCCACATTCGTAAATACTGCAACCCATCTGAAACAATCTTATTTATATTATTATCTATAAATTATATGATTTTAATTGAATCCAATATTCCCTTTTTCCAAAATATGTTTGAAGCAATTTGTAGTTCTTTCATTTAAATGTTTGATATTTTCTCTACAAAATCAAAAAATGTTAATATTTCAGGAACATCCTATTATTTTGTAGCTAAATCAATAGCAAGAAGATGAAATTCTACCTCTAAATTTCCAGTTTAATCATTCTCAATTTAGTACAACTAAGCAAAATTTCTGTTAATTATTATTTCTTTAAAATTGTCTTAGTAACCGATTGCTTCACAAATTGTTTCAAAAAGAGATTCTTTAAGATTATTATCAAATATATAATTTTCTTCTTTAAATGTGCATACATTCGGAATTAATTCTGACTTTTAGATTGAACATTGTGGAAGGATGGCTTATTGAATTTCGAAGCAAAATGACATAAAAGAGATGAGATTGCAACATAAGGATTTGAAATATAAATATTTATTATTGTTTTACGACTTTAAATTTGTAATTCCTGACTGAATTGTTGATATATTACTATTTTGCATAATTTATTGATTTTAATGTTATTCTTAATTTGTCTCTAATTACTACTCCTTTTTGAGTGATTAATGAATCAATGAGATTTTTATTCGAGTATCTTCCAGTATTTAATGTAGTTGTTCAATCTATCTATTAAGTTAATGTTAATTCGACTAAAGAGATATTGGTTAAAGAATTATTTTTAACTGATTTTCAACACTAGTTTCGATTTATTTGATTTCATTAATAGAATCTAACTTGATTTTAGATTCTAGAGGCTAGTTTTCTATTAATATATTTTCCTTTTCAATTTCAGTAAAAATTTCAAGTAAAATTAGTAGCATTTTTTCAAATAATTCTTGAAGGCTCGACAGTTATATTGGTTTAATAATATGAATATGCAAATTGGCTTGTTAAAAAAAGATAAAAGCTTGCTAAAAATTATTCATCCTAAGATAGAGTTCACCGAGATTGATGAAATAAATGGAATTTTAGGTATCGAGCTATATGGCATCTTGATAATTTTTTAATGCTTCTTCATAATTGCCAATGTTTACTTAAAAATTTCCTAAAATTACATATATGCCTACCAAGATTATTGTATGAATTCGAACTTTTGCTATTTAATTCAATAGACTTGTTGAAGTCTGATTCAGCTTTGCCATTTTCACCTAATTCAAGAAATAGGCATCCTATTCATGAGTGATCATAATTACCCCTACAATCATAGGCATTTTAATATTTAGGATTGAGCCTAATAGATTAGTTAAAATCCTATAAAGCTAAATTTAATTAATTTTGCTTCCAATACTAGTTTGCTATAATATAATTTAATAAGATTGCCTCTATGGTAGTATGCATTAAAGTCATCTGATTTTAGCAATATTGCTTAAGAAAGGTCAGATACAGCTAATTTGACTTCTCCTAAATTCGAGTAGAGTATTGCTTCGAATATTCAATTTTACATTACCTCTACTTTTATAAGCCCTTTAATCATTACTATTTAATTTAATTGATAAATTATAATTCTCTAAAGCTTCTTAATTTCTTTTTAACGCTTATAAAATTATAGCTGAAAAGATTAAAATAAATTGAGACCTGCATTAAGGTATAAAGTGGAATCATTTTGAGTAAGGCTTATGGCTTCTTTAAAGTCTTGCAAAGCTTCAACAAATCGATTTAAATTAAATAATAGGATTCCTAAAATAATTCATAATAGAAGACCTCTATTTTTAAAAATATTTGATTAAGCTTTTAATTTTATGGCTTGGTTAAAATCATCAAGAGCCTCATCATTTTTTCCTAAGTCTACATAGAGCATAGCTATTTGTATTGTTATTTTAATCACCTCTGCTATTATATGCATCTGAAAAATTTGGGTCTAAATTGATGGCCTGATTGAAATCATTTATCGCATCTTCTTATCTCCCCAAATCTTAATATAAGTTCCCTAAGTATAATGAAATTGTTTTACCTCTATTATTATATATTTTTGAATCTTATGGATTTAACTCAATTGCCTTATTATAATCGAGTAATGCCTCTTAATTTTTCTCCATGTTATAATACAAAATTCCTAGTTAAATAAGATCCTAAAATTTGAACCTCTGTTATGATATACTAAAGAATTATTTGGATTCAGGATTAGAGCCTTATCATATTCTAACAACGCTTCATCAATTCTGCCTGATTCATATGAATTATTTCCTCTTATTAAAGAAAACAATACCACAAATTACATGTTGTTCCCATGTTAATTCTTCAGTGATCAAATTCTTTTACTTTTTTCCCTTCATTATGAAATTATTAATAATACTAAAAGACATATAAATTAATTGTTCAATCTTTAGGAAGTTATTTCAAAATGTTAAAGTGAGATTAAAATTTCTAAATGAAAACATCTCTAAGTATTGATAAAATATAATATAAAGATAGCATATCACTAAATTTTATAATTTTGAAATAATTTTTTAATCATGAAATTTATTAGAAGAAAACTTCTCAAGAAAAATGAATAATAAAAGAACTTTTGAAAGATTATTTAAAAAATATTTTATTGTAATTCATTTTTAGTAAGTTATTCCTTATATTGCAATCATCTTTTTAAAATTATATAAATTATTGATACTCTAATCTATAACCTAAATTATTTTCATTTTAACTTATAGAACTATTTGGGAGAATCTGTAAAAACATAAGCAGATAGATACCCAATAGTCACTTTCTTAATTATCTTAGGTTGAGATCCAAATACATGATCAATATTTCAGGTTATTCACCTCATATTTGAAGTGATAAAATTTACCATTATTGTTAAATATTTAGACTTTTTGATATAATTCATGTTGAGTTTAAAGTATAATGAGTAATTCATAGATCATTCAAGAAAAATAATAAAAATATTTTAGATATCAGGCTTACATGATAAAATAGTTATTCCAAATAGGTCATAATTGGTTTTGCTAATTAAGAATTAATCACATAATTCTAGAGTTTACTTATAGGGTAATTGTTGGTGGTTAATGTTTTGATGAAATTTTTAAGCTTTTGATTAGCCTTCGCCCTTATAAATATTAAATTAATAAAAAATAATATGTAAAATCCACTCTTCTACAAAAGTAAATGTTTGATTGTTATAAAATGCAGATCGACTATAGAGAGGAGATAATTTGAGTTTGAAATTTATTGTGAGCTTATCTCAAAATTTGGAATATCAAAAGAATTTGCTAAAATATTGGGATTAGATTGGAAAGAATCCATAAGGAAAAGTATTGGCAACTGAGTTGTTAGAGGTAAATTTCTATTGTTATCATAGGTGATTACAGCAATAATGAAGTGTCTAATATGTTTACCAGATGAAAGTCTGAAACAGTTATCATAATAGTATTTAGAATCGATGACAGATTTGGATCCAAATCTTCCTGAATACTTGGGTTATCATGTGTTTGTAGATGCAATAACTTAATTGTTGTTTTAACTGATTATTCAACCTGATTTGAGTTCTGCCATTTACCTTTTGAAAACAATTCATGCTCGTATTTATCGTCGTTAGTTGATAGATGTAATAGGTATTTGGCTCTTATGATTATTAGACAATACAACGTAAGATGTAGATTATCATATTCTTGTAAAAATACATAATTCCGACAGAGTTGAATAGAGTTTGAAAAGTGAATCCAAAAAGTCCTACTTCCCAATCTATTATACAGAATAGTACATCTATAATGAAGAATAATTATAGAGTGCTAATGTGATTCCAAGTAGAATAATCAAATATAGATTGGCACCTCTTAATGAAATTATTCCTATTGGATTGAGTTGTGAATGCATGATATTTACTTTGATAAATAATAAGTGCTAGCAATCTGAATATCAACATTATACGTCTGCTTCATATGCATTTGCTAAGGAAATAAAACTGATTGGTAATGTTACTGAAACATTTTTATTGACATTACCTAACAGTCAACTAGTTCCAGAGATAGGATTGCAATATATAATAGAGTAGAATGACGATTCTTATGGATTTCATTCTCAATTTTATAAATTAAGTAAATTGATAGCTAGAGAAATATAGTGGTCTTAATTTCCATTAAAAAGTTAGGAAGAAAAACCATTATTCATCAATATCAAAAGTGAATTCTTTACAGAGGAAGATTACAGAATTGATTAAATAAACAAAGTAAATAAGAAATGGGAGAGAAAGATTGTCTCAGCGAAAAGATAATTGTTAACTTCTCAATTATAAACCTTTGATATTTCAAAGTCATCAAATCCTGATAAAAGATAACCAAAAAATATTCCCTAAATTCTCCGAACCTTTTTAGGTGATTTAAATCAAACAAAGGATTCATAATAATTGTAGTCTGCTTTAGAAATTATTGAACAGCAATAATCAAATATTTAATTACCATCTTTTTAGTCATATCTGAGTAAATTCATATCTCCAAAAGGATAATTACCAATTGATAGCAAGAATCCTTACGAAGATGATGTAATTGAATATGCAAATCAAGCACCTCCTTAAATATTCTTGATTGGGAAACCTAGAAGTGGTAGAAGCACATTTGCTAAGGCATTGGCTAAATAACTTGATTTAGAATACCTAGATTTGGAAAAGGGAATTCAAAGAATTTATGCCAAAGTAGCAGAAAATGAAAATAATCCATAAATGGATGAGGAGGGGAATCCAAAAGAATTTTTGAATCCTTTGGAGAGAGAAGTAATTGATTCATTAAAATTTGGAAGAGAATTGACTCAAGAACAGTTAGAATAGTTATTTAATGTTGAATTATAACAGGATTTACCTAAAAATAAAGGTTATATATTGGATCTACCTTTGGAGAATTAATTTTGGGTGAATTCAATACTATCAAACAAAATGATTTTACCAAAAATAGGGTGTAGATATTTCACACATGTTGTTAATTTAGAATAATCAGATGAAGATGTATTGCATTTTGCTGCTAGGATAATGGAAAAACAAGATGATTTAGTGGCATCTTCGTAATATGATAGAGAAGAATAAAAGAGACCTAAGATAAAATATAAAGATCCAAATGATCCAGATGAAGAAGAAGATTAAGGAGACAATCCAGATGAGGAGGAAAAACCACCTATTATACCAGAGAAAGATCTATTTTATAGACCTTTAGATTAAGAATTTTTAGTAGAATCACTACGAAGTTTTTAAAAGTCATAGGAGAAATTATAATCATTATATGATCATTTACCAGATTAATATATTATTACGCTTCAATCTGCTGGTTTGACAACATAATAATTAGTGGATCGCGCATCTGCCTAAATTTTAAAAGGGTAACCTTTAAGGCCTCTAGCTATTAAATTAGAGGGTGGTTCAGAAAAGGACTTGTTAGGATTAAATTTAACAGATGAGAAAGTTTATAGAATGTGGTCCTAATGGTAATAAGTTGATGCAGTTGAATTAGTATTAAAAGATAAGATTATACCTGGTAAGGCAGAATTTGCTTGTGAATATGCAGGTAGAGTGTTTTTGTTTGATAATGAAGAAAATTAAAATAGATTTATCAATTATCCTAGAAAATATTTAAGTAAACCTCCATAACTGCCAAAAACTTATATTGTATCAGTTTAAGGCCCTAAGTGTTCTGGCAAGAATACTGTTGCTAGTTAATTAGCAGAGTATTATGGATGGACATTAGTTGATGTTGAGGATATAGTGAGAAAGAAGGTTTAGGCTTAACAAGAAAGAACTAAACATTTAGCATCAACATTTGATCCAAGAGTTAATGATATTCATCTAACAGAAGCTGAATGGAAGGAATTCTATAAAGGAAATGCTATTAAGGATGTATTACCTATGGTGTTAAATTATTTAAATATACCATTACAAAGAAAACCTCCAGGGTGGGGAGAACCAAAGAAGGAGGAGGAAGAATAACCACCTGAAGAAGATGAAGAAAAGAAAAAGAAAGAAGCTAAAAAGTAATAAGCAAAGAAGAAGAAGGAAGAAGTAGTCGAAGTTGTGGAAGAGAATGTTAAACCAGTCACTCCACCTCCTGAAGATGTACCAACTAAAGAAATCATACCATTATTGGATAGCGAATTAAAAGTCCCTGAAACATCAAAACCAAAAGGGATTGTTATCATTGGATACCCATAATCATAAGAATAAATTGATTAATTGAATCTATGGGGAATAAAAATAGATAAGATACTAATGCTTTAAGATAGATCAGAAGAAGCAGGATAATTATTATTATAACGAAATCCTGACCTTTTAATTGAATAGGAATTAACTTAAGTAAATGCCTTATCTGCATTATTAAAAGAGGCTTATTAAGAGGAAAATGTTAAAGAAATTCCTATTGATGGGACAAGGGAGGAAGTTTGGTCTAGAGTACGTTTGGCTTTGGATCCATTTTACATTCGAGCTGATGATGAAAGCTTAGTGAGAGCACCTGCAGATGTCTAAGAAGGTGAAGAACCTATTCCTTATGGCGATTATGCTAATTATTGTCCTGTTACATTATAGAAAACCAATTGGTTAGTACCAGGGAAAGAAGAGTTTATTGCTTTAGTAAGGGGAAGAGTTTATAGGTTTTATGGAGAAAAAGAATAATAAATATTTAAAGATAATGTCTAATTGTATGTTCCATCAAAAATAGCAATACCATAACCAAGAATTATGTTCGTTGGTGTAAGAGGAAGTGGTTTGCGTACTCAATTGAAAATATTGAATAGATTATATAAGTTACCAGTTTTAGATTTGAAAACGAATTTGATTTAAAATTTAGAAATTAATAAAAAGAATAGATAATTGAATAGATATTACTTAAAAGGATTTAAACCAAAGGAATTGGATGCTGATGGAAAAGAAATTCCAGATGCTGAAATCACTGAAGATCCTGCCGATTTCGATCGCAAGGCTCATGAAATCGAAGTATTAAATAAAATTTTAGACTGTGCAGGTGTAATTATTAATGCTAATTTCTTTGATGTTTCAGAAGAGAGTGTTTCAACTCCAATTGTTGATTTATTGGTTGAAGCCAAAAAATTACCTGAATATGTGATCTTATTAAAAATAGAACCTGAAAACTTCATTAAACGAAACTTTAATTCTAAGGTTATAGAGGATGAATATTAGATGAAAATGGAAGAGTTGAGACAGAAGAGGTATTAGGAAAGAGTGGAGGCAAGAAATAAGGCTATTGAAGAAGGAGCCGAAGAGTTACCATCTCTGGAAGCCCCTCAAGGTGAAGAAGAGGATCCAGAAGCACCCAAGTTAGATGAAATGTTAAAAGAATAGAAAGATAAATTATTGTAGTAACATGAAGCAGATATGGCCAAAATTGAAGAATTATAAAGATAATTTGAAGAATTAAAAATCAATGCGGTAATCCTCAGTACTGATACTACTATAGAGAATGTCACAGAAAGAATCACATCATAATTAGAAAATGTTATGGATAGAGAATACAGAGAAAATATGTTAGAAAAAGAACAATGTTAAAAATTAAATTTATACCCAGATCCAACCAACTTCAAATTAAATAAACTAGATATCTATGAAAAATTATACACTCATAAATAATCTAAATATGGAAATAGGAATGCCATTACCTTATAAAATGTTCCTCATTGCAGAGATTATCCAGTTTTATATAGAAATAGAATTTACTATCTTGATAGTGAGGATTAAAGGGAATTGGTATGCTAAAGACCATACAAATACTTTTATAAACCTACAGTTCCTAATGATATTTAAATCAAGCCCACTATATTCATTTTAGGAAAAGTAAAGTCAGGAAAAACTGAGATAGTTAGATTGTTAAGTGAAAGACTTAAATTAGCTAGAGTCAAAGTATCTCATTTGTTGGCTGAATTCGTAACTAATTAAACAGATTTATTGGCAGTAAAAATCAAAAATCAATTGAAAGAAGGCAAAGAGGTTGATACATAATCTATCATTTAAATTATTCAAAAGAGAATTCAATTGGTTGATATATACAATTAAGGATACATATTAGATGGGTATCCAAGAACCATTGATGAAGCTTTGGCATTATCAAAGGCAGGTATTATTCCAACAGTAGTATTTGTTTGTGATAAGGATGATGAATACGTAATTCGTAAATTAAATCCTAAATTTGGAGGTATTGACCATGTAGTCCATTAAAGATTATAGGCAAATTAAACCTCATTATTATCAGCGTATTATTCATAACATTTCAATAATGTGAGATATCTGTAGGTTGGATAAGTATCAAGCTGGGGTATGATCTCATTATGCACTAAATACATATAAGAGAATTTATATTCTCGAGCTTTAGTGGCAAGAGCATTAATTACATAGGAACCAGTAAGAGTAAGTTCTTTAACTTTGACTGAAGAATAAATCATTCAAAAGTTAAGTCCCTTGTATAATTATTGTCCTGTGTTAATAAAAGCAAAAAAGAATTACGTGGCCAGTTAGTTAAGAAGTCCATATCTATTATTTTACGATGATCAATTATTCTTTGTATCAAGTGAAGATACTGAATAAGATTTTATCAAAAATCCTACTCATTATTGCAATAACTCAATTGAAAAATATAAGATACCAAGATAACTAACTGTTGGAGATAAATTCGATCCATATCCAGAATATAAGGGTATTATATTATGATTAATGCATTAAGGTCATTGCCCAGTTGAATTGATTAATAACAATTTAGTTAAGGGTCAAAGTAACTTGGTGATTGTCCACAAGAATTAACAATTGATATTTGCTAATGCACATAATATGCAATTATTTGAAATGAATCCTTAGAGATACAAGCATGCCAGATTACCTGATAAAATGTAATTGGGAGAATTATAATCTGTCAAGGTATAATAAATATAGATAAATATGTTAGAATATTGCAAAGAAGGTTGCGAAAAGAGGAGATTGCACATCATATCTAGAATTACATCTAAAGAATATCATCATTAGAGTTTTGGCTCAATTAGGATATTAAAAACCCAAATATCCAACTTTATCTTGCAAAGAAACAGTTTTGAAGTTTATTGCTATTTCTTTGAAAGCTAATAATAAGAATAAAGATGCCTTTTATAGGAACAAATATTAAGAGAAACTAGAAAAATTCATAAAAAATTGCACTTTAGCTTAAGAGATATAAGAGATGTATAAGAAATCTTAAGAAAGTGAAATAGATGAAGAGACTTTATTATAGAAAGTAGAACAGTTCGATGAATTCATGGCTGAATTATAGGGATAGGAGAAATAGAAGTATTTTTAATAGTTCATCAGATGATTTTTACATTTTCATTGAATATTCAAACAAATATAGTTAATTTTTATTTTAACAAGTATTGTGTATAATTAATATTTTTGAATTCAAAACATAAAATGCAACGAACTCTTGAGTAAAGGTAAACCACTGAATAAATTAGGCGAAATAACAATTAAAATAATGCAGATCTTCTTCTTTCAGTTTATGAATTAACTGCAAGGTCATCTTTATAAATTGGACAAAGACCTAGATAATAGAGTCAAAGTAGAGAAAAATATAAATTTAAATAATGCGAATAAAAGAAAGTAGATCTGATGAGTATATCATCACCAGGAAGCTAAAAAAAGCTACCCCTTTCACCTTAGTTAAAATTATAATCTCCAAGGGAACCTGGCTTAATTTTTAATTTAATTAGAGCAGCAAATAATGCAATTGAAAATAACACTGATGATAAGATCATTCGAACCTATATGTAAATTAGAACATAAGTGGNCTGTGTTAATAAAAGCAAAAAAGAATTACGTGGCCAGTTAGTTAAGAAGTCCATATCTATTATTTTACGATGATCAATTATTCTTTGTATCAAGTGAAGATACTGAATAAGATTTTATCAAAAATCCTACTCATTATTGCAATAACTCAATTGAAAAATATAAGATACCAAGATAACTAACTGTTGGAGATAAATTCGATCCATATCCAGAATATAAGGGTATTATATTATGATTAATGCATTAAGGTCATTGCCCAGTTGAATTGATTAATAACAATTTAGTTAAGGGTCAAAGTAACTTGGTGATTGTCCACAAGAATTAACAATTGATATTTGCTAATGCACATAATATGCAATTATTTGAAATGAATCCTTAGAGATACAAGCATGCCAGATTACCTGATAAAATGTAATTGGGAGAATTATAATCTGTCAAGGTATAATAAATATAGATAAATATGTTAGAATATTGCAAAGAAGGTTGCGAAAAGAGGAGATTGCACATCATATCTAGAATTACATCTAAAGAATATCATCATTAGAGTTTTGGCTCAATTAGGATATTAAAAACCCAAATATCCAACTTTATCTTGCAAAGAAACAGTTTTGAAGTTTATTGCTATTTCTTTGAAAGCTAATAATAAGAATAAAGATGCCTTTTATAGGAACAAATATTAAGAGAAACTAGAAAAATTCATAAAAAATTGCACTTTAGCTTAAGAGATATAAGAGATGTATAAGAAATCTTAAGAAAGTGAAATAGATGAAGAGACTTTATTATAGAAAGTAGAACAGTTCGATGAATTCATGGCTGAATTATAGGGATAGGAGAAATAGAAGTATTTTTAATAGTTCATCAGATGACTTTTACATTTTCATTGAATATTCAAACAAATATAGTTAATTTTTATTTTAACAAGTATTGTGTATAATTAATATTTTTGAATTCAAAACATAAAATGCAACGAACTCTTGAGTAAAGGTAAACCACTGAATAAATTAGGCGAAATAACAATTAAAATAATGCAGATCTTCTTCTTTCAGTTTATGAATTAACTGCAAGGTCATCTTTATAAATTGGACAAAGACCTAGATAATAGAGTCAAAGTAGAGAAAAATATAAATTTAAATAATGCGAATAAAAGAAAGTAGATCTGATGAGTATATCATCACCAGGAAGCTAAAAAAAGCTACCCCTTTCACCTTAGTTAAAATTATAATCTCCAAGGGAACCTGGCTTAATTTTTAATTTAATTAGAGCAGCAAATAATGCAATTGAAAATAACACTGATGATAAGATCATTCGAACCTATATGTAAATTAGAACATAAGTGGAAATGAGATTGGTAATTATTTTCATCGATTAGTAGGATGTCTTAGAATCTGCAGATTCATTAGCTGTGTAATTAGAAAAGATCAAGTAAGAAAATGACACCTTAAGAAAAAGAGTTAGCGATAACATTAATTCACAATCTCTATCCAATCTGGCATAACTAAAGATGCAATTGTAGAAGGCGGAAAAAAAGGCAGAAGTAATTAAATTAGAATAATATTATTTTTAGAGTAGAAAAGTTTGTATCAAGAAATTGTATTAGTTATTAGACAAGAGTGAGAAGGAACTGGAATTGTATAAATCAGGCAAGAAAAGTGCCAAAACCTCTTTCTCCAAAAAGAATGAATTAAATGAAATCTTAAATGGAACTTATCCTAAAAACAAAGAAAATATACCAGATACTTATGAACCCATGTTATTATCATTAATTAAGGATATAGATCTTAAGAATTATGAAGCTATTGAAAATCTATCAAAGAACAACAGTTTGAATACAGATGTCGAAATTGAAAAGAACAATCTCATCTAAAATTCATTAAGTAACTACTCATCTCTATTACAAAGAATCCTTTAAGCTTATGTGTGAATAGAAGGAAGAGATTCTCAAATATTCTGCTCAAATCTGTGAGAATAATCAAGATCTATGGAAAAAGTTTTTAGAAATTGATTTAACTTGCCAAAAATAGATCTCTACACTTCGATAAGCTATTTCTGAATTAGAAACCAACATTAAATCTTATTATTAATATTTAAATAAGATTGGTCACTATTCAGCATAAAAATTCCAGGATGCTTATCAATTTTAAGGTGTTATCGGTGATAGTATAGCAAAATGGCTTAAATAATTAGGGGAAATTTAAGAAATAATAAATTAAAGAGAATCTGAATAATATGAATTTTAATAATTTTAAGAAACTCTAGTAATGAGATTAAAGGAAATCATTCAAAATAATAAAATAGTTCATAAACAAAATGATTTCAAGGGACTGTTGGATGCCATTAATGAAAGATTGTTCAATCAATCTGAAGAAATATTATTAATTAACAAAGAATTAAATAATACTCATATCAAAGCCAAACAATAGATCGAAGAACTACAAAATAAATTTAAATTAGAATTTTCAAATTACGAATTGCAGCTCAAAAATTATAAAGAACTTTATGATCAACTTTCTAATACAAATAAGGATTTATTACAGAAGAATGAAAACTTATAAGCAGAATTTAATAGATAAACTTAAATAAGTGTTACAGCATTATAAAATAAATAACAAGAAATATTAAGTCTGAATGAATAAACCAAGAAACTAAAAGAAGATATAACTAAATCTTAAGAACTTAAATTGACCTATAATGAACAATAAATATAAATAAACTAATTTAAAAAAGAAATTGAGAGATTAAATTAAATTATTTTATAAAACTAGTCAAAATCATCCCAGTCGGAAGAAAATTTATTAACTGTTATTGAATAGAATAAATCTGAAATTACACGATTACATCAATTAATAATCGATCTTCATAGTCAAATAGAACAATCTGATAATCAAATATAATTGTTGAAAGAAGCTGAATAGATTATCAAAGATAAAATTACTAAAGATAGTTTAGTATACTAAGATAAGGTTAAGAAATTATAAGAAGTTATATAAAATAAGGAGATTGAACATTCTGCTTTGGAAGAAGAATATAAAGCAATTTAATCATAAAATGTAGAATTCTATTCTCAATAATAATAAGATTAAGATACAATTAAATTAATGAAAAAAGATCTTTAGAAGAATTAAGAATAATATGAATAAAAAATAAATGAATTCATTAAATTATCTGAAAGGTAGTTGGCTGAAATTAAAGATCTATCTGAAAAGTATTAATAAGCTGAAAATGAAAGAAGAAACTAAGATGACACTATTACTAAACTTAAAAAAGAATTACTAAAATAAACTAATGACCATTAAAAATAAGTCAAGACATTGCAGGATTAATAAAAATAATCTTAAGAAATGCTATAATAGAAATTGTAATCTTTTGAAAGACTCAATGAATAAAACTAAATGATCATTTGCGAATAGAAAAAACTATTACATGAATCATAGGCTTAGTTACAGAAAGTCAATTTAGAGAATGAAGCATTATTATAAAATAATAGCGAATCAATGTAATCAATGAAAGAATAGTATGAATTATTAGCATTAGAATTAAATTAGACCAAGTAAGTTGTACTTGATCAATAAGAACTAATCTAAAATTAATAATTATTACATCATGATACATAACAAGAATGTTACAAATTCAAAAAATAAATAGAACAACAAGATATAGTAAATAAATAAAACCAATCAGAATTAGGTAAAACCATTTAAGATCAAATAAATCTCATAAATTAATTGAAATCTAATCTTGAAGCAACTGAAAAAAAGCTTGCTGAAAATAAGATCACTATTGAATAATTATCTCAAACTTTAAATTCGACTGAAAGTGAAATAACATAATTGAGAATTGAATCTACATAACTTAATAATACGATTGAACAAAATTCTAAAACTATTCAAGATTTGCAATCTTAATTATAGATTGACTAGTAGTAATATCAAATTGAATTGAAGTAAATACAAAATTAATTACATTTGGTTCAAGACTAAAATATTTAAGAAAAAGAATCTAAAATATTGGAATTCCATAAATAGATATAAGAATTACAGGAATAACTTCAAAATTAAAGAGATTAATACTAAAATACTGCTTAATAGCATTAAAATTAAATCAAGCTTAATTAAGAAAAGTTTGATTTAGTTTTACAATAAGAAATCAATCAAATTAAAAACTAAATGCAATCATAAATTTCAATAAGGGAAGAAGAAAAATAAGGACTTTTAGATTAAATCAAAACACTGGAAAATAAAATAGCTTAGTTAGATTAAAAAAATAAGGATATTTATTTACAATCATAGTCAAATTAAAATTTATATCGTCAACTAATTCAATAGTTAGAGACATTATAATAAGAGTCTCAAAATGAATAATCAAAATGGAAAGAATTACTCTAATAGAAGGATGAAAAGATTAGAACTATTGAAATAAATTATAAATCTGAAATAGGGAAATTGAATGAATAATTAATGCATACAAGTGAAATAAGAAACTAAATAGAATAAGATCAAATCAATTTAATTGAATAAGAATAAATAACAAATCAAGAGTTATAAAAATTGAAAGAATAATTAGAATAGAAATAAAATGAGATAGATTCGATTGACAAATTATTAAATGAAAGAGTTTTAGATAATGAAGAATTAAATGGTAAATTAATGTTGGTTACCAAAGAAATGAGTCTTTATAAAGATTAAAATAAAGATTTATAGTCTTAGATATCTTAACAATAAGAATAAAACTCAAATACTATAAATAACTTAAAATTAAAGACAAACGAATAAAATTTCGTCATAAATTAACTCTAAACATAAGTGAAAGATCTCGAAAGTTAAATGAATCTGCAACTAAGTGAAGTTATATCATAATAAAAGGATTTAGTCAATAAGAAATAATAAGAATTGGATATTAGTTCAAATGAATTAACACTTGTGAAAAATTAATTTATCAAATTATAGATTGAAAATGATGATTTATTGAAGTAAATTACAATTTTACAAGAAATAAATAACAGCAAAGATGTTTAAATAAATGATTTTGAAAATGAAGTTACTAGACTACATTAATAAGTTAAAACAATAAATAATTAGAATTAGTTGAAATAAGAAGAATTAGATAATGTATTAAATCTATTAAAAAATCGGGAATAACAGATTTCTGATCAGATTGAACTTCTCAATAACTAGCAAATTTTATATGTGAAACTAGAATAGGATTATAATGAAAAACTTAACAATTTAAATTAAGTTTAAATGTAATCAAGCTCTAAATAGAGTGAAATGAAATTAATAGTAGAATAAGTATAAAAGGAAAAAGAAAAAATAACAGAAGAATTGTTAAAAAAGAATGAAAACTTGAAGGAAATATTGAAAAATCAATAGACTACTTGGCAATAGTTAAATGAATAGTTGTCGTCTAAAGATTAATAATTATAAGAATAAGGAATCTTAATTGAATAATATCAGCAATAGGTATTGTAATTAAATGAAGAATTGACTTTGATAATGGATGAAAAGTCGCAATAGAACTTGAAGATTCATTAATTAAGGACTAACATTGAGAAGATCTAGCAAGATTTAGAAATCAAGAGTATTTAGTTATAAAATAGTGATTTAGAATCAGAAAATCAAAAGTAATAATTTGAAAGTTAATTTAATGAAATCGGATCTCAAAATAAAGAATTATTCATTAGACTTAGTGAATTGTAGGAGGAGAATAGTGCACTAATAGAGTAAGTTAGAAAGAGAGAAAATGAATATAGATTGAGGCTATTTGAAATGGAAGAGAAGAATAGGTTTGAAAATGAGGAATAGAATAAAATTAATTAGATTTTACAATAGGAGTTATCTATTTCAGAAGTAAGTGAAGAGAATGTTATAAATGCATTATCATAGATAAAGAATGAATTTTAAGAATTATTAGACAAACAATCTCAATATTCAACATTGATATTTTAATTATACTCTGAGTTATTAACAGAAGATGAAGAGGAGGATGTTGAAAAGTAGATATAAGTTATCAGTAATCAAATAGTTGGATTAATTGATGTTAGAGATAAATATAAGAAAATAGAGAATGAATTTGAGGGAGATGGAGATGTACTGGTGAAAATTAAGGAATTGAAGTAAAGTGAATAGAAGAAGTAAAGCACCAATTAATAGGATATAAAGTCAATAGAGGCTTATTCGTAATTGTTAGATGGACTTATGCAAGAATTCTTGCATAATAGAGTAAATTTGACTATGCAATCTATGAAATCATTATTAACGGAGTAACAAAGATAGAACGTTAATGAATATAGAAAGAAGATCGGGGAACTGTAGAATAAGTTATTGTAAGCAGAAAAATAATAAAAATGCATTGATGACACAAAATTCAATTTATAACAGTATTAATAGATTGTTGATAAATCAGAAGTAAATGTATTCATTTATTTTTTAGTAAAAAGCAATGTATTATGAGATGGAATGCAAGAAATTAGTACAATAAATATAAGAGATGAAATAGAGAATGCCTCAGAGAATGAGTTTGAATGACTTGGATTAAGATTAATCAGAGTAACATAGCTTAAATATTTTGAACTTTTCATTAAGACAAGAAATCCTATACGGAGATGATTCATTTTTTGATAATATTAGTTAAATTAAAGATGATGATGTGCATTAGACATGTCAGTAATAGATTGTAAGTTATTTATAATATGCTTTAGTTTCACTTAGTTGAAGAATGTTAGTTATTGCAGGAATAATTAAATATGCAAAGAGAAGATAGAAACGTTTAAATTAAATGACATAATTTTTATAATATTAATTTACTTAATTATTTTTACAAATAGATGAAGACTGGGAACATCAAAACGGAAGCTTAATATGCTAAGGCCAATTTTTATTATTCTGATGGAACAGGTATGATAGAAGATTTATTGAAAATCAGGGCGTGATACATATGTCCAATTTGATAACGGTGGACTGACATTACATGCTTAGAGATGTCATCAACCTCCAGTTGGAAGTTTTTAACCCAAAAAATCAACGAAAATGTATAGACCTCAATCAAGCAATAAGACTCTGCATTATATTAGCAATGGAAGCGGAAGAGATAATTATATTTTGTAAATAGTATTAATTCTAAATGTGAATAGAGATAGTCATGGCGGATTGATGAATACATGTGCAGATAGACATTGGTTAGTCTCATTTAAATAAGGGTTAAGAACTCCTGAGAGGGAAAGGTAGTTATGCATACGATTTTTAGGCCTCGTTCTGGTGCCAAAACACCTTAATATTCTTATCAACAGAGAATTTGTAGACGTCTTTCTGTTCCAAAATATACAAAGATTCCATTTGAAAAACAATTATAAAGTGAAGATATTATATGAATAATACAAAATATATTATTTTAACAGAATAATTAATGAGCTTTCAAGAGATTTCATAGCAAATTGAGGACATGACCAATTTCCTAGTATGATTTCATATTTACTTTATAGTTAGAATAGAGTGATGACAATTTACTGAATGCTTCACCTACTAATAGGGAATAAATAAATCTAATTATTCATGATCAGAAAGTGAAATAGAGAATAAGCGCTATGTTGAAATAGAAAGTAATTAATTATAATCCTATAAATAGAGTCGACAATATCCACATTAATATTTGACAGTTGAATTATCAAGTGAAGACAATTATGAAATTGAACTTGATTAAGATGATATTAAATAAGTAACGAGAATTTTATATTAAAATCTTAGGTTTGTGAAAATTTTGGAGAAGTTAAATAAGTCTATACAAAAGTCAATGGTGCAATCATTATTAAATTCAATTCAGTTTTTGATGCTTTCATTGTTTACAAACTATTAAATAAACATTAAATCAAAGAATTAGATGTCACTATAAAAATAGAATTCACTAGTCAATAGGATCTATTAGAAATTATGGAATTCCAAGATTCGAATCAATAAAAATTTACTTGTAGATATGATGTATAAATCGATAATGACAAAGATTTTCAAGTTGCTCGTAAGATTATAGGTATTGAATTTGAATCTATTTTAGGTGCTAAAGGATGCAACATGAAAAAGATAATTGATTAATGTCTTTTTGATTGTGATACAAAAGAATAAGATTTGGTTAAATTACGATTAAGAGGAAGAGGATCAGGGTACAAGGAAGGACCAGAAAAAAGAGAATCTCAAGAACCTTTACATTTATGTGTATCCTCTAAACATAATCATCTCTTTCTTAGAGTAATAATAATAATAAATTTAGGCTTGTCAATTAGTAGAACAATTATTGATCAAAATTTATGATGAATATAAAATGTTCGGATTAAGCAAAGGAAAGAAATCATTCAATTTTGGTATAAAAAAGGTATAATAACCTTTAAAATCTGTAATAAAACCTAATTTCATGCCTGAATTACCAAACTTCAATTTTTCAAATGTATTATAATTCTATTTATCATAGAATCAATTCATTGATTTTAATAATGAAAATATGATGGGTTATTCAAATTTACCTAATTAATTAATGTGACACAAATATCATATATATATTTATTAATATTTTATTAAATCACTCTTGTTTCTTTTATCTGACAATTTAATCATCTTTATCTTTTTCATAAACAATTGTCAACACTCCATTTTCAACTGTAAAGGTACTCCATTTCCTTTCGTAAATCTCTGGAATTTTAAAAGACAAAGCAAACTCACCATATTTCCGTTCACTGCGTTCTAGTTTCTCAGACTTATAAACTAAATAAATTGAATTACATCATAGGGTCTTTTACGTATTCCTTTTATAATTGTTACAACATTTTAACGATATACTAGGATTTCATTTTTGGTTAATCCAGGCACATCCATATAAATAATGTATTAATCAGTAGCAATAATATCAGTATTAGGTAAGAAACTGTCAGGTCTGGTCATTATCAAACCACTAGAATCGATAGAGACTTAAGGTATTCTGACGTTGCTATCTTATACTTCTTATTAAGTAACAATAGTTTTAACTAAAAAGTCATCAGTATCTTAAATCTGAAGTGTAAGTATGGTTCTAAAATAAGATGATAATTTAGTCTAAATTAATTGATAAATAAATGAATACTTTACTAAATTGAATGATACTATCTACAACAGAGAATTATCTATTAACAGGAACAAATACTGCCTTTAACCAATACCTCAACAATGAAAAAACCCAAGGGTTAATTGACATTCCTAGATATGAGTCATCATTAACTAAACAAACATGTCTTGTAAATTCAGTTTTAAACCATAAGACATGTTTTTCTTACAATTGATGATTGATAGGATTAATTGATGCAACTTTAGTTCTTTAGATTGATCCATTCTAATAGATTTGAGTAACTTGAGTACTCCAAACATGTTCTAAGATTTCAGGTGATTCTACTTCTTTAAGATTGTGTATAACAATAATTTCTCTAAATGTTTTATTCGGAGAGTTCTATAGATTTCTACTCAATCTATCCAAATATCTTTAATCGAGACTAGTGAAATCATTGACTACACAAATGAAATAATCTGAAATCTCAAAAACTAAGTCAGTGATAAACATTTCCGTGGCTTCTTTTTCAACAATACTTAATTCATTTGTAATTTTAACAGGTGAATAACTACCTGCAGTATCAACAAGTATCAGTTATGTACCTGAATCAACATTCACATGCTTAAATGAGACTCCTTTAGTAGTTACCTTCTTCCCTGAAGGTAAATTTGAGGATGTAAGATTGTTGAGTACAAAGGTTTTTCCTTTATCATATAAACCAACGACTGCAACAGCAGCACCTTCCCATTAGGCTTTGTGTTATTATTTAGTGAACCCATAATTAGGTATTTCTGACTCTTATTTGACTTATGCATCTGCAAATTTCTTTGACAAATATACTTTCCAACCATTTTTAGCAATAGTAGTGATTAAGTCAATGTCTACAATCCAATCATAGACACTTGTTTCATCAATTTCAATTTCTTTTAAATCTGATTATATCTCCTTATATTGGATAGGTTTATACTCGAGATTGTATCCTGAAGTGATTGCATTTGGTTTGGTCATGACATCCTCATGCAATACAGATTATTCTTATTATTGTATATTTACATTTTTTGTAAGAAAATCCTGACTCAATGCTTGGACTGAGACATTGTTTGGAATTTGTATTTTTTAAATTTTAGTTGTACTGTTTTTAAATCTCCTATTAAAATAGATGAAATAACATACCCAGTCTGTCTTAATGATCTAATTTCATGCCACTTTTTAATAGATTCATAATTCTTTTCGATTTTATTGATATTGATTTCCAATTAGGATAAATGCTTCTGCCTTGATATTTAAGTGATAATTACAATTGTTCTTCTCGCAACAAGACTTTTTCATACAATTTCTTTTTGTCATTGCTTCTTATCATAACTTCATAATAGAATCCTTCAAAATAATCCTTTAATCTTTTAGGAGTAGTTTTATCATTATTATCTAGTTGTTTAGCTTATCCTATAAAATGCATTAACAGCTATTCTTCTTCATTTTGGATTCGTTTTAATTCATAAATTAATTCTTTGATTTCAGCTTTAGTCTCTGGTAATGTCATTTTGACTATCTCATCATTTATTATAGATTGATCTGCATTCAATAGGTGTTAATGTTCTTCATCTATTGCTTCCTTCAGAAAATCATGAAACTCTCTGGCTGCAGTTCTGATCCTCTTGTCTTCCAAATTCTGATTAGGAAAGAAAGGTTTCAAAGGTGCCATCAAGTGATGTTGATGCAACTAATCCAACTTCTCACTTCCAGAACTCATATTTAATTATCAAATAAATATATATATTAATTAGAATCATTTCTTTTATCTATCGTAAATTGAAGCACCTGTCATCTTAAATAGTATTTCTGGACTTCTATATATTCTGATCAGTAATTCATAAAAGATTTCTTCATTAAAGAAATCTCCATCCACTCTTGCTATGTAAATGCTTTAACACAAATCAAATAATTCATATGTTTCTGGCATCTCCTCAAACATCACTCTTGTACTTATTTTATCATATGCAAATCTCAGAAACCTACCGATTGTCAACACAAATGTTGCATATATACTTATTATTGACATATTTGTAGACAATGCTCCAATCAAACTACCAAAGGCTAATTCATTTAATACAAAGAATTCCACTCTGTTTTGTGATGATGCTATAATATATATTAATCGAAATATACCTCCTATCTACTTCAAATCAGTTGAATCATCATTGGGTACCAACTCAAAGAATACAAAATCACTAGTCTTTTTGTGTATCAAACGAATATCTTAATAGTAACTGATTTCTTCTCTTATATTAACTGGCTCTAATCTTAATGCTTGAGTCTCAGCAGACTCCCCAACATATAAGAATTTTGGAACTAACACCTTAATGTCAAATACTGCATCTGGTGCTCTCGGAGCAAGGATCTTACCAAAATTATTAACAAATGTATCAGGTGCCTACACTATAGATTGACCTGTGAATGATTTTGCACCACCTTAGCTATCACTCTTCTAAAATACCCATTCACATTGGATTTCTACTTAATACTCTTGTGACTTTATCATATTTCTGATTTAATCTCTATAATTTTCAGGAAGATTCCATTCAATATCACTGAATCTCTTGATTCTAACTTTTTGCATTCTTTCTTACCATGATGTTTCAATTTCACCATAGATTTTTTAGATTTTCTTAAATTATTCATTCGGTATATCCAATAATTCTAAATCATTTACTTAAAATAATGTAAAGAATAGCTTATCATCTTGACCAAAGAAAGCAGCCTTAATACTAAATTTGCCATTTGTGATATTATTGATTTCTACAGCTGGATTTAATGTACTAAAAATCAGAATTGGCAAGATGATAATAAAAACAATAAACATAGAATAGAGACATCCATTTAAACATTTGTCAGATGATGATCTTGGATCTCCTAATTTATGATTTTCAATACGAGAATCCTGATATGCCTAACAGATGTATAGATTAGCAAAGATATCTTCGAGTCTAAACCATTAAATTAGATCCAATGCCGTAGTAGTAAATGTCCAATCAATAATAACTCTCAATTCGTATAAAAAGGGAATCATTCTATAAATCTTAAATGCCATTGAATTTGCTGGCTTATGAGAATTAGTAAATATCTAAGTATACTTCTATATAGGATATCCATATCTAATTTACACAGATGAAATCATAAAATATATACAAACCAGAATATATGCAAATATTAGATAGTATGACTCTTAGAATCCTAAAATATAATTAAATTAATAATACTTTTATTAGTTTTTTAGGGTATAACAAAAAAGAAGTAATAATGAACAACTATGATTAAAATGAAATGAATGGCCACTTTAATCATCAAAGTATATTTCTGGATATCATTTCCACTCTAATGCTATTTATCATTTCTTGGATCCTTAGTCACTTTCCTCATGATAAATAATGCTCTATCAGTAATTATGATAGCAATCACAACTAACAGTACAAATATAACTTCAGATGAAAATCTTTGACTCTATCCTTGGGTGATGTGAGCATAACTACGTTTGGCTATGATATTTGGATAGAATAATAGGAAGTAGACTAAAATGATCATACAAATAATAAATCCCGGGGCATAGAAATCTCTACCCACTTTAATCTATTCTGGAAGTACTACTCCATCTTTTATTATCATCTGTTAAGTTGCAGGGTCATACTTCCTTTAAATATAAATGGTAGATAAAGCATGAGGGAATAAACGATAATAGTATTTGACTATTTACTTCCACATTGATGTAAAGGTGTCTTAAATGGATATCATTATCGTCTATTATTCTTTTTATTACTCCTAAACCTGATGATTTTCTGAGAAATCATCGCTTTCTTGTTCAGATTCCTTCAAACTAGATTCCTATTGATGTTCACTTGATTTGTCATCTACCTGCTGTTAGAATTAAGGTATGAAGTATTGATCTAATGACAATTTCATGTAATCCCAGATTCCCTAAGATTGCAACAAATATCTCTGGATTAAGAGAGCAATAAACAATAGTAATTCAATCCAAATGGCATTCATGAAGGTTTCTGCTCCTTAATATTTTCGAATACCAATGACATAGTCTATCCTTGTGATTTTCTCTTATTGAGTTGTTACTCTAGGTTCACATGCTTCTTCTTAAGAGAATCCTATAAATGTGTAGGGAGGTGAATCACAAAAGATGGGCATTTAATAGATGAATTTCAATGAAATTATTATTATGGTGTAGATGAGTAAGAAGTTCCAGTATCGTTTAGATGGAACTGGATTCTCTAATAATCCATACAGGAAGGCTGAAAATGGGTAGAACAAAGCTATTATATTGGCATTGAAACAAGCATTAAATACCATCAATAATACACAAACCACTTAAAAGTAATGTGCAACAAAAACAAATATTAGGACTGACAATTTCTTTTTGTCTATTTCATTTTGTTACTACTCCTATTCTCTGATGTAAGTTTCATGGGTAAGTATATAGATGATGAGATCTTTGAACTTTTCAGAGAATGATTTCTACGGCTAGACAATTGAGGGTTCATCATCTGATTTATCTTCTTCTGACTTCTTAAAATCCTTAGCACTTTCTTCTTCAGATATTTATTTTTGTCTTTCATCTCTCTCACTAAGAATTTCAAAAGACTTGCGTCCATCTTGGAATTCTTCAAATGGTATCATTTTGATGTCTCTCATGGATGTAGATTTTATTAATTGTTGTACTTTAAATAATTAAGCTATTTCATTGTCAGCTTGAATGATTTTTCTATCAATTTCATCAATTACTCCAATGTGATAATTAGTCAATCCTATTCTATCATTCAAATAGACTTTTTCCAATTATCGTTTTTCTTCTAATAACATTAACTTCTTTAATCTCAATCTCAAATCCTTTTCATTGATTGAATATTTAACAATGCAACAAGCATCATATAAATGTATTACTGGTGCCTTATTTTATTATGTAATCTTCTCAGCTTTCATCAATTTTTTAGGTTCCCCTTTGAACACTTAAAACTTCTCAGAATCAAAACTTGTATGTTATTGATTATCCTCTGATCGTTCTTCAGAAAATTAAATGATCTAAAATTATTCTTCTCTTCTCGGAGTCAAATAAAAGAAACTCTTCTTTTTCAAACTGTTATTATCATCAAACTAAAAGAAATTATCCCATCTTTCAACTCTATTTTACACTCTCTATTGTAGACTCTCATGCACTTACTTTTATGCTTAGACATACTTGAAATCCCAAATTCGTTTTAAATGTATTCCTTCTATTAATTAGATAGCACTTATCTTTTGTTATTATTATTGTCTCTGCAAATATGGATCTACATATTATTTCATATAAGGATGTGCCCAAATATTCCTTTGTAGTAGACCAAGCAAAAAGAAGAATGCCATCAAAGTCTCCTTACAGAAACCGAATCGGAAACTAATGTTAACTACAAATTTAATACTCCAATGTTTTATTCAAACCCAAGAGATGAGATAAAAACATGTAAATCACATCTAAAGTGGATACTCCTTCGTACTTCTTTAATACATCATTGGTCTGTTTTGCCAACAATTAAAACTCATCCTATAAGAAGATAAAGAAATCACTATTGTAATAATGATTGTTGAGTTGAATCTGTACACATTCCAAATTATCATAATAATACCTATCATTTTCATATATGATTGGACATTTGACAAATGGAGCTTAATATAATGACATTGCTATCATCACAATTGTATTAAATAATATTAACTTACTCCAAATTACATTTCTGTCCTTCTCTAATTTCTCACTCATATACAATAGGTTGATTGCCAAAAAGAAATAGATACAAGAGATCACTTCTGTATAAGATTGGATATCCGATGACATTCCTATCAATAAAAATATAATCAAAGCGAATTTGTAGAAATAACAAAAGATGAAAAACTTTATGAAATCCATAATTTTAGTTCTGTTTTCTTCATAAGTGAAATCATTTTTATCTATCATATTTGCTTGAATCTATTCTCTCTCAGGGTGTAAGTGATCTTGAATCTCCTATTCTTATTGTCTTCTTTAAACAGTCTTGAAATGTCGATAATAACATAAGGAGATGAGTAAGGCAATGAAATTGATCCACAAATCCCAATTAGTATATCCTTGTAAAGATAACCAATAATTCCAATCGGTTTGGCATTTCATGAAATCACTAGTAGAATCATCAGGATCATCATTATTGAAAGACTCCTTTCCTCTAGGATCGCAAGAGTAACTAAAATACCACCATGGTTTTCGGACATCCCATGATGGAGGAGTCCATTACAATGTAGCATACTTTCTTATAACTTCCAACATTTATAATATACACAAAGCTCCCCATGCTTATCCAAAAATACCTAATTTAGAATGTCTATCTAATAAATGTGATTTATTGGCAAATGCACTTGCAACTACAATATAGAAAACAGAAAAGAAATTCCTTTGATAATATGCAGTAATAACAATAAAGAATAAACATACTTCCAATCCAATCTAAGTAAAGAGATTATCAACTGATTAATGAAATTTCAGTGCTCTATAAAAGGGATAGACTCTATAATAAAACTATTCCTATTGCATACTTGATTTAAGGATGTAATAACTTTAAATCTTTGCAAACCTTTCATTTTACTCGTCCAATTCATCATAAAAAATAGATTCTTGTGATTTTTCATCTCTTGCTTACATTTCTATTTGTTATTATTATGAGGCATCTGACTCAATGCTATTTTACTCTTAGACGATATTTTATTACAATGAGTGTAATAACTCTTATAGCAAATTAAGGTTATTGATTTCTCTATCTGTTTATATAAGGAATAATTATAAATAATCATTCACTTATTATTTAAACATTACATTCAGAACCTAAAGCATTTCTGCTAAGTGAAACATAATAAGCAAATACCAGTATTTGTTCTGATATTAATTCTCAATTCCAATCCAGGAGATCGTTTCCTAACCCTAAGCAGTTCTGAGTAGTTCTGCTTAGAATATATATTATATGAGGATCTAAATGAATATGATTACCAAAATAGGAATGGATATATTTTGCCAATTGTTTTTCATCTCATTAAGCATTATTAAAAATATCATGATGGCAAATAGAAAACCTATGTAACTTTATTAGTAAACAGAGATGAAGAATGAAAACATGAATGTTACTTTTTGAATGTGATAAACACTGTAGACACATAGTTTGATATGGATACAATAAATGTAATAAGTAAGAGTGTCTTTTTTGTAAATCTACTTTTCTTATTTCTATTATGCTATTAATGGAGCTAAATAAGCTCTCTTATATGCACATAAAACGAGTAATGCAATACCAGTTCCTGCTAATTTGAGAGTGTTAAAATCTGGATCCAATCCAAAGTCACTTAAAAGAGTGGGTTATTAGAAGTATAATTCTACAAAATAGTAAAAGAATTTAATTGTGTATGTGTATCTGACAATCAGAATTATCAATGTTAGAGTGATCATGAGAGGCCAATATTGATATAATCTGTCCATTATGATGTTAAGTTGTCCATGTATGTAATACAAATAGAGAAACAGTTAGAAAAAGAAGATGAATATGAGTGACAGTAAATTAGCAGGTGGAATGAAGGCTACAATCAAAGCAATGATCTAACAGAATATCAATCCATTAGATTACAATATTTACCTTAAATAATCAAGATTGTAATCATTCAGTTTCTTCTTATATTCTTAATAGTGATCACTTTTTTAGATCACCTAAATTTAAAATGTTAATAAGACACATCCAATAATTATATCATAGTATTTGTAGATAAAATAGAAAGGGAATTTAAATTATTAAGTCACTTCATCCAAGCCACCAAATTTAAATATGAAGTTGAGAGTTGTTAATGATCTCAAAAACATTAATTGCATAGAGTACAATATGAACAATATTATATATCCAATGCTCAAATGATTTCTCATATACTTCCTTCTTTTTTCTAGTTATGCAAAAGCATACAGTATAAAGAATATCAAAAAGACTCCTCTAAAAATATCTGCATGACTAAGAGCAGTAATCAAACAATATATGATGACTATCTCATCAAAATGAATTAAGAAACTCTTTTAAACTTGAAAGATGAAACTCGATAAATTAGATTTGAAGTTACTCCAACAACTTGGTTTCTATTCTCTATTCGGACGATCTTTACTATCTAAATCATTAATCTTCTTCTAACGTCTCCTATCATCAATTGTCTATTGTGAGTATACTAGCCAACTTACAATTAGTATATAGAATAAATCAATCATAATAATGTGAAATCTATTGTAAAAGTAATTCCAAATTGCAAATAATTCATTTGGATTGAATTGAGGTTATTCATACACTCCCAAATACTAGAAGTATACACTTACTTTGAATGATGGGACATTAAACAATTTCAATAAGAAAAATTGAGCAAATGCTAAATACAATATGGCAATAGCACACTGCCAACGTCTTGTGGCTTTATAGTTTTTCCTCTTTAATTGTCCAACCAATAGAATTAAATAGACTAATCCTCTCAATATACTAAATTGTTTTGATATCCAGAAAACACTCAAAATCATAATAACCCCAAAATAGTTCTCTCCTAAGAATATCTCCAATGATGATATCTTCAATCTCATATCTTTCTAGATTTCCTTTTCTAGCTCTTCTATCTCTTCCTCCTCTCCGATTATCAACTAATAATGGTATGCTCTCATACTCAATATTAATATGGAAGTCATCAACACTAAGCCAAATAATTTGAATATTCGATAAATGTTCAGAGTTCCATTCAAAGTGCTGAAACTTGAGTTCTATTATCCTGATAAAATCAACAATAGCAATGCCACAAATGAACACACTATGATACTCTTTATTACAATTTAGCAATATCGAAATTGATTTCTTTTGTTTAGAATATGAAAATGGATAGCCAACCACACTAACATGCAAAGCACTAAAAACAAAGTGATCAATCCATCATTCAAACACAACTAAGCTATTATTAGCATTATTATTTTATCCATTATACTCTATTATCTCAAATAACTAGTCTTTCTCTATTGGAATGTGTAATTCTCATTCTATTCTACGTATTCATATTATGGCATCTGAGCATTCCAATAGATTAACAATAAAAATACTACCAACGCCAAATAAAGTAATAATTAACATAACATTAAAGCAAATACACTCTCGTATCCAAATATGTATATTTCACTATTGAAATTCAACCTTTCTATCATTACCAATTGCATATCACTATTTAATAAACTAAGAAACAATCCTATTACAAAATATACACTAATTGTTAATGATAGTATAAGGTGGCATTTCATTACTAATTTGAACTACTTTAGTATTTCCTCACTAAAAACTATTAAAATTATGAGTTTATGTTACATTTGTATCCCAAATAATAAGTGAATATGCAATAGAAGATCCAATTTACTATTGATAAGTAGGACACCTTATACCAAGAGACTATTACATAGTATTTTCTTTCTTACTTATCAGCAAGAGACAATAGTACAATGAATGGTACCATTTATTCAAATGAAATCTCTTTCTCATAAAACGATATATTATTAATAATAATTGATATGCACAATCTAATGAATTGTTATTAGCATAATTCCTAAACCACTCATATATGCAATAAACTTGATTGCAAGTATAAATTAGCATGTAATTCATGTGTCAACTAATAACATATTGGCCATGTTGATACAAATGTAACTCCCCTTTCCAAGTTTGTTGATAGGATGCTATATGAATTTCAAAGGTACTTATATATATTAACTAAGATCAGAAGTTGAACGATTGAAACGAATTTATTTCAAGGAAGACATAATCTAACACATTAAAAAAGAATTTTAATACTTAAAAGATAAGACTAATCAGATTCTTAATTAGAGAGAATAGAAATTAATATCGCTTATTGATAATCAATGGATACATAGCAAATAGTTAAAGAATATCATTGATCATATTGAAATGATGAAGGATGGTAAAGTTTATGAAGAAGGGTTATAATTGGTATTGCCAATTTTGTAACAGGGATCTTAAGATGTAATTAATAAATATGAAAAAGATAAAATTAGAATAGTTACTAAAGTGAGAGAATAGATTAATTAAGTTAAAACTGTTTTAGATGGGTTATTCTATATTGGAAACTAATACTAATTAGATCAATAATAGATCATGTTAGAAAATGCATTGAAATTAGAGAATTCTCTTAAATCAAGTGAAGATAGATTGTTTCAAAGTGCAATTCATTTGTCAAATCCAAAGGAGTATCATGTATCCAAGCCTTATGGAACATACTAAGAATTTGTGGATAGTTTGTATCCTGATAAATAGCAGGAGTATATTTAATCAATTGATTACACATCATTGCTTGCAAGACCAACTAAATTTGATAATACTTAATTATAATTTGAGAAAACAGAAAGTTTTTAATTGTATGGAGTAATTGATCATTTAACATATGTAATATCATGTATAAGAATGAAGAATGGTTAAATTGTTACATGTTCAAAAATAGTTTCTTTTTTTGAGTATCCTAGTTTGAAATTAATGTAACAATTGGGCAATAATCAAAACATCAAATAGGTGGTTGAAATAACATAAAGTCTTATAGCATTGCTAACTTAGACATAAGTATTGATGTATGAAAAGAGGAAGGATAAGTGGATACCTAAAGGTGAGTTTATAACACCTAATATTGGAGTGATTAATAAGATTGGTTTGATCAATGACCTATTCTTGATTTTAGTTTAAACTCAATTAATTGTTTATAAATTGAAATAACAAATAATAGCTGATTAACCAATTGAATACTTATTTATCAATTTGACTCCTTAAATTTACATGCACAAATATGATTGTTGTAGTTTTGCAATATTTGAGAATAGACTATTTTCAGCAGATTTGGGAGGAAGACTCTATTAATGGAAACTAGGGAATGTTTTTCATGTTGACAATGTCATACAATCAAGTAACAATGAAGTAGTGGGCATAATACCTATGCATGACAGCAGAGTTATTACAATTGGAACTGATGGAGTGATTAGACTATGGGACAGTGCATTACAATTGGTTACTACGATAAAACATAGAAGTCCATTTACAGCTTCAGTAGAAGGGAAAGAACTAGATACTTTTTATACGGGGGATGTGTCAGGAAGTAATTAACAAATGAATTATTAGAAATCTAGAAGTGGAAAGTTACAGTGTTGATTGAGTCTCTTATTGAATTAGATGCTCATAATGATCAGATCACTGATTTACAATTCAGTACATACTTAATTAGTTGTTCAGCAGATAAGAAGGTAAAGATTTGGATTACATAAAAATGAATATATACTTATAAATATTAATAAATAATGGCAAAGCATCATCCCGACTTGATTATGTGTCGTAAATAACCAGGTATTGCAATTGGTAGATTATGCGAGAAATGCGATGGTAAATGCGTGATATGTGATTCATATGTCAGACCTAGTGTTTTAGTAAAGATCTGTGATGAATGCAATTATGGAAGTTTTTAAGGCAGATGTGTCATATGTGGAGGAGTTGGAGTTAGTGGTATTTATAATTTATAATCTTAGATGCTTATTACTGTAGAGAATGTGTTTAACAAGAGAAGGATAGGGATGGGTGTCCGAAAATAGTGAATTTGGGATCTGCTAAAACAGATTTGTTTTATGAAAGAAAGAAATACGGATTTAAAAAAAGATGATTATTAATAATATATTATAAACATGGTGCATATCCCTCATTTGATTGTTGGTGCTGGACCGTAATACATTATAAACTTTATAGAGTTGGTCTCATTTTGGGACATTATTTTAAGAGATTTAACATTCCTTTTCAAATATTCGAAAAGCAATCCTTTTTATCTGCACATCCATCAGCTCATTATCTAAATATGAGAACAATGGAAGTACTACTATCTAGTTGATATGTAGATTCTAGATGAATTAAACATCCAATTACCATTAGAAAATATCCAACATTTCTCTAATTATGTTTATTTGCGTAGAATTGGAGAATAACCATTGAATAGTACACGTTAATTAATAGATTATAAACAATATTCATATACCAGTTATGCTCATTTACCATAAAGTCTATTTGTTCAACATGTCTAATAGGGGATAAGAGATAAAATTTAATTAGACACGGAAATTAAGAAAATTGAATTCAAGGATAAAATTATCAAATTTAATGATGATATAACATGTGATTATCTATACGGATGTGATGGATTGAATGGATTTGTTAGGGATTATCTAAAAATCAAATTGATAGGCAATCGAGATCTTTAAAGATTTTTAAATATTCACTTCACATCCAAGTAATTAGTAAATAGACTGGAATAGTACAACTCAATGTTGTCATTCATATATAATTCAGATATTACAGCAGTCATAATCAAACATAGAATTGAAGATGGCACCTTTGCCATTCAAATACCACTAGATCTATTGACTGGTAAAACTGACATATAAGAAGTCTAACATATAAAGTAGGATCATGTATTAATTAAAAATCTCATAAATAAAACATTACTAAATTAAGTAAATGATATCGAAATAAAGTCAGTGGGGTTTTGGAGAATGGGTGCAGTCTACGCAGAATAATATTATAAGAATAATTGTGTTCTAGTTGGAGATGCATGTCATGGAATGCCACCTGCTGGTGGATTTGGAATGAACACAGGAATTTAAGATGCTTAAAACTTAGCCTACAAAATAAAAGAATAAAAAGATCTTTTGTATTATTAACAAGAGAGATAATAGATAGCTTAAGATAATATTGAGACTGCTTTGAAATACTACAATAAGTCACTTAATATTGCGAAATCATTTACATTTGATATCAACAAACTCAAAATCTACCAAAGTGTTATGAAGAATACTCCAGATTTTCTATATTAGACTGGTGTGAAATTAGGGGGATCTCTCATAGAATTGGATCCAATATATAAGAGATTAAAAGTGGATGATTACATTCCTTTAGTCTTCCCCAAAGAGGAAATAGGTTTTAAATACAATTCAGGAGATATTGGAGAGAATGGAGGTTAATTGGCGCCATTAGTTGTCAGAGAGATATTAAGAAAGAGGGAGAGAAAATGGTACAGCATCAATTGTGATTCAAATTATGAAAGAATAGATATTGAGAATGTGAATAAGATGATTGTGAGAAATGATATGCATATTTATTAATAATAATAACAATAATGGTCATACCTACACAAATTGATATAGAGACATTGCCTGACCATGATCCTGAGAGATTTAAAAACTTTTATGAAATAGAGATTGATGGATAACCTGCATTTCAATTACAAGATGGAACAACCTTCCTTTTAGATTTCAATAATGGGTATATAAATCTCATCCTATAATTAGTTGGGTTGATGAAAAGAATTGTTATTATAATAGTTTGGCTGAACCTTTAGGATGGTTTGTGAAATTTTCAGATGGCCAAACTTTCTTTTACAACTTTGATGGATTTTTTGTTCCTTACAAAAGAGATCCATCGAAGTTGCCAAAACACAAACAGAAAGTTAGTCTAACCTAATTGGATAAGGATTACAACTTTCTTGATTAGGATGGATGCTATTATGATAAATCTGGTGAACCGTTGGGATGGAAATTGTAATGTGAAGATGGTGAAGTATTTATACCTTTAAATTACTAGCTTTATTTCTTTGATTTGAATGGAGATTATATTCATATTGATGATTAAGTTAATGATCTAAATGATCTAAATGATCTAATTTAATTTGATTTAGGTGACTTCAAATACGATTTTAAATAAAATGTACAATATATTAAAGAATCACAAAAACCATATCCTAAAGAAGAGCCTAAATAAATCAATAAAACCTAACCCTAAATTTTATAATAAAAGTAAATCCCAAAGCAATAATAAAAACCTAAGCTTCCACAGAAGCCTTAAATAAATTAGTAAAATCAATAAGCATAAATAAATCAAAAAGCATAAATNTTATAAGAATAATTGTGTTCTAGTTGGAGATGCATGTCATGGAATGCCACCTGCTGGTGGATTTGGAATGAACACAGGAATTTAAGATGCTTAAAACTTAGCCTACAAAATAAAAGAATAAAAAGATCTTTTGTATTATTAACAAGAGAGATAATAGATAGCTTAAGATAATATTGAGACTGCTTTGAAATACTACAATAAGTCACTTAATATTGCGAAATCATTTACATTTGATATCAACAAACTCAAAATCTACCAAAGTGTTATGAAGAATACTCCAGATTTTCTATATTAGACTGGTGTGAAATTAGGGGGATCTCTCATAGAATTGGATCCAATATATAAGAGATTAAAAGTGGATGATTACATTCCTTTAGTCTTCCCCAAAGAGGAAATAGGTTTTAAATACAATTCAGGAGATATTGGAGAGAATGGAGGTTAATTGGCGCCATTAGTTGTCAGAGAGATATTAAGAAAGAGGGAGAGAAAATGGTACAGCATCAATTGTGATTCAAATTATGAAAGAATAGATATTGAGAATGTGAATAAGATGATTGTGAGAAATGATATGCATATTTATTAATAATAATAACAATAATGGTCATACCTACACAAATTGATATAGAGACATTGCCTGACCATGATCCTGAGAGATTTAAAAACTTTTATGAAATAGAGATTGATGGATAACCTGCATTTCAATTACAAGATGGAACAACCTTCCTTTTAGATTTCAATAATGGGTATATAAATCTCATCCTATAATTAGTTGGGTTGATGAAAAGAATTGTTATTATAATAGTTTGGCTGAACCTTTAGGATGGTTTGTGAAATTTTCAGATGGCCAAACTTTCTTTTACAACTTTGATGGATTTTTTGTTCCTTACAAAAGAGATCCATCGAAGTTGCCAAAACACAAACAGAAAGTTAGTCTAACCTAATTGGATAAGGATTACAACTTTCTTGATTAGGATGGATGCTATTATGATAAATCTGGTGAACCGTTGGGATGGAAATTGTAATGTGAAGATGGTGAAGTATTTATACCTTTAAATTACTAGCTTTATTTCTTTGATTTGAATGGAGATTATATTCATATTGATGATTAAGTTAATGATCTAAATGATCTAAATGATCTAATTTAATTTGATTTAGGTGACTTCAAATACGATTTTAAATAAAATGTACAATATATTAAAGAATCACAAAAACCATATCCTAAAGAAGAGCCTAAATAAATCAATAAAACCTAACCCTAAATTTTATAATAAAAGTAAATCCCAAAGCAATAATAAAAACCTAAGCTTCCACAGAAGCCTTAAATAAATTAGTAAAATCAATAAGCATAAATAAATCAAAAAGCATAAATGAATCAAAAAGCATAAATAAATCAAAAAGCTATTTATCATTATGAACTTCCTGATGCAACAGAGGAGACTAAGAAATTGTTTCTTAATCTTATTAAATCAAAATTAGAGAATCCTGAATTTACGAAAAATGAGTGCTTATATACCGTGAAAGCTGAATAAGGAAACAAATAATTGGAATAGGATTTACAATTAGAGAATGGAAAGTGTGTTAAATTTAAAAAATGAAGTTATTAATAAAAAATATCAAGAATTGTTATTTATTTTGTATAAACATTTTAGGAAATTGATTATATTATGGATTATAAATCTCAATTCAAGTTTTCAATAATAATTGATGTAGCACCTCCACCACCGTTGCATATTCCTGCTAATCCAAATTTACCTTAATTCTATTTTAATACAGTGAGCAAGGACAAAATGATTCTTGCGCCACTCATACCAATAGGATGACCCAAAGCAACAGCACCACCATTGACATTAATTCTATCCAATGGTAAATCTAACAATTTCATATTGGCTAAGACTGTAGCAGCAAAGGCCTCATTAATTTCATGGTAATCAATATTGGCTAATTTGAGTCTAATACATAGGGAGAATAGTAATACCCTGCTCTTTAGAGTGCCTTGGCAGATGATTTAGCTGGGGCAATGCAGAAATCCATTGGGTCGAGTTCGGCATCAGCATATGAAACAATTCTAGCCAATGGTGTCAATTTGTATTTTTTCAAGGCTTCTTCTGATGCCAAAATGATGGCACAAGCTCCATCATTGATTTTGCTTGAATTGGCAGCTGTTACACTTCCATTTTTGGCAAAGACTGGTTTAAGAAGTGGGATTTTCTCTTTTTAATATCTTTTGACTTCCTCATCTTCAGTGACTATTTCCTTTTCTGAGACTTAGACTGGTGTGATTTCATGAGCCCATCTTCCAGTTTTGATGGATTCAAGTGCTCTTTCATAACTAGTGATTGTGAAGTCATCTTATAATTGTCTAGTTAATTTAAGATCGTTGACAGTCTTCTCAGCACAGACTCCCATAGCAACATTGCTGTAAGCATCAGACAAACCATCAGTAGCTAAACCATCTAACAATTTGCCATCTCCATATTTAAGTGGTTGTCTTGCATTGATGTAATGAGGAATGTTGGACATTGATTCAAAACCACCAGTTATGACTATATTGGATTGACCCAATTGAATGCTTTGAGAGCCAAAAGTAACTGATTTCATTCCTGATGAGCACACTTTATTTATTGTAGTGCAGGGAGTAGTTGATGGTAATCCAGCCTTGATCACTGCTTATCTGGCAGGAGCCTATTCATGAATAATCAATAGATACTTAGCCAATTCCAGCTGAACAAACATTTCCTAAAATAGCTTCATCTATGGCATCTTATGGTATTGAGACCTAAGAGAGAGCACCTTTGATTGCGGTGGCTCCAAGTTCTGTTGCCTTAACCTTACTCAATTTGCCTAAGAAACAACCAATGGGTGTTCTAGCTGCTGAGACTATGTAGGCCGCTTTCATAAGAAATATTAATTTTAATAAATTTTTAATACTCTTTTCGCTTTACGCACACACTATTAAAAAGATATCATCACTCATAGTACGTACAAATCAAACATGTAATCATTTGAATGAATAATTATTATAAATGTCTGTATATATAATAAATTAATTATAAATGCAAATAACCACGTCACTTATCCAAGCCTAAAGAGATGCTTTAACTCCAATCCTAAAGCCAGACATAAGAATTCCTTGGAAAATACTCTGTTATGATTCCTACTGTGAAAAAAGATTGTCCACTATTTACAGAGTAGGAGATCTGAGAGAAATGTGCATTACTCTTCATTTCAATCTTGACCAAAATCGAGAGAGATTACACGGAGTCACAGCAATTTATTTCATACAACCAATACAAGCTAGCATTGAAAAATTGGTTGAAGACTTTAATCGAGATCTTTATTCAGAAGTGTACATTAATTTCTCATCTCCTGTTGAAAACACTTTATTAGAATAGATGGCCAAAGAACTTAGCAAAATTAGTGGAGCTGTCTAAAAAATATAAAAAGTATACGAACACAATCTTGACTTTGTTGCTCTCAATCATAATTTCTTTAATCTAGAAAATCAAGTTGTAACTGGATTGTTTTCTATTATTATGGCTCTTAAAGTCTAACCATTGATTCTCTTCCAAAAGAATTCTAAAATTGAGCAAATTGCAAAAGAATTGATTGAAAAACTCAAATTATTTGAATTCAATTCTGATTACCCTCTTCTAGCAATCATATTACCAGACAGAGATATAGATCTAAACACCTTAATAATGCATTCAAATACCTATGGAGCATTGCTACATGACACTCTCAATATTAAATACAATAAAGTTAAATTGGAGGATCAAGTATATGATCTATCTCCTCAATATGATAATTTATGGCTCTAAGCCTGCAATATGGCTTTGCCTGATGCAATTGATAAAATTGATAATGAATTAAATGACTGGAACACTCAATATTAATAGGTCTCATAATAAAATTAAGAAATTTCAAGTGCTCTCAATGCAATTGATTTAGTGCCTTAAATGAATCAATAAAAAAAGATGGTTGACTCGCACATTAATTTGGCCAAATAATTGACCTAAATTGCTAAATAGAAGTCACTTGATAAATTTTATCAACTGGGTTAAAGTATCTTATAAAATGATACTGTGTCAATCAATGATTATCCACAATCAGAAGATAATCAGATTGAGTAATCTAAGGAAATTGATAAACTCAGATTATTGATTCTAATGTTATTAAACAATTACAATTAATAGGAATTTAAGAAATTTGAATAGCTGTTTTAAATTAAAAGTGAAAAATATTAGAACATTCTTTCGAATTTTAAATAAAGAGTAGCATCCAATTAAAATAATAAATAACAAAGCGTTTATAAATCCTTATTTGCTGCTATCACATCCAAGATGCCTAATTCTGGAAAGGTTATATTGAAAAATGTTTAAAATCTTTTTTTGCAAAGTAAATGTTTAATCCTATTTTGATAGGAGGAAAGAAGTCTTCGATTGTGTAAATGTTAGAAAACCTATTTTTAAACGAACTGAAAATCGATGAATTATAATCAATTTTGACAATGTATGATTCCAGAGTCAAGAATATTTCAGTATTTCTCAATTCTATTTTAGAGATTAGAATTCGGTTTATTGTCTACAATCAAAGGCATTTTGGTATGCTTTACAGAAGGAGCCTGTTATAATGAGTATGCTGAGTTAAGTGATTTTGCTAAAAGCATAAATAAAGTGATAATTTACGGTGGAAATAAAATATATAATGCAGAGGAATTTTTAGTCTAATTTCAATGAAAATATTTGATTTTATATCAATTTAAATTAATATATAGAAATTAGAATCCAACTGCTAGATCCTTTTTCTAAATCCTAAATTAATAATTTTTATGACCGATTTTGTTATTGATATATTTGTTGCCACAACGTCCTCTTTTATTTCTAGTTTTTGTTGTACACCAATTGAAAATATTCCAAAGTCCATTCTACATAATGAATAAAAAGTAAATATGAAAAATTGATGTAAGAATTATTTGGTCATTTGGAGAGGAATTATTCCAAAAGCAATAACTTATATTCCTCATCAATCCCTAGCTTTTGCTTTTAAGGATGTCTATTCTAAAGTTTTCCAAAAGAAAAGTAATATTATGCCGTAATTTAGTAAATGATTATAAACACTTAAAGAATATACTCATTGGAAGTCTAGCTGGGGCTTCAACGATGTTGGTTATGTATCCATATGAATTTGTTTCTTAAAGAACTAAATATTTATACAAAGTGGGAAAAAGAATTGATCTAACATGGAGAGAATGTTTAATTGAGATTTTAAAAAATGATGGAATATTAGGATACTACAGGGGGTTTAGTGCTTGCATTTCCCCTGTTGTAGTGTTCAGAGGTCTGTAATTTGGATTTTACGATAGTACAAAGGATATTACAGATGCTCTTCCATTTATTGGTCGATTGTTTTGGGTCTAACTCTTCACATTTGTATCTCATATTATATCTTTTCCTTTTTTCAAAATAATGCTAATGATGAAGGCTGACACTCTCAATTTTAATCATTCACCTGTTCAATATAAAAATGTGATTGAATGTACTAGTCGAGTACTGAAATCCTAGAAATTAACCTATCTAATTTAGGGATCTACTCAAAGATTTTTATTAGCCACTAAAGACGCATTGACATTAATGTTATATTACAATATTCAACCATATTTTAAGGGAAATTTCAATTATAAAATTGATCGAGTAATACAGAGAAAAGCATGATTTTATAAAGAAGATTATTATTTAAACAAAACTTTTTTTATAATATTGAATAATGTCATTAAATTTCTATGCAGTCATTCAAATCAGCCAATCTTACACAAAAGAACAGTTTTTGATCCTTATATAATTCCAACGGTATTGTGGTTTAAACCTGTTAATCTCTGTTTATGACTAGCTGTTTATGGAATGGTTTAAAAGTTAGTTCAAGTGTAGAGTTACTATAAAATCTTAAGTTTGGAGAACTCTTTGCCATATCCTATCCAGTCATCGATCTTATATGTCCATTGGCATTCAAAAGGTAACACCCATGATCTTTGTTATGCGATCCTGGAACATGTTCAGCAGAACCAGAAAATATAAAATTATCTTCCTGTAACTTTGATTAATCACATATTCCAACTGCCATAGGGTATCTTTAATTAGAATTTCTGCAAACCTTTATTATTAGTGTGATTCGTTATTCTCTAGACAATCCACTTCCATAGATCGAAGGTTTAATGAGTGCCATTCTTTTTTCATTATCAGTAGTCAGTTTAATTTGTTTGGATGTCATTTGTAATCCTTAACCAAAACATTCAGGATGAAATGAATAAGTTGTAGTAAATGCATTCTATGTTTCAATTAATTAAATTTGTTCTCCTACTCTTTTCTTAACTGCATTTGGTTTGTAATAAAATTAGCTGAGGGATTAGGTTATAGATATTCTATCATCTGGAGAGCCTGGAGATTTCTCAGCTGATACTACTCTCTTATAACTTGCAATTCTCTGATGTGAGCGTTTGAATTCATTATTTGTTTAAGAGAGCTTCTTTTGTTTGAAACTGGTACTCAACTAAGAGTTTTATAACAAATAATTATTGTCTATATCTTATCTAAACGAGTTAATGAATTCTCTGAGTTTTCTAAACAGGATATTCTCTCCCTCTGTTTCCTCAGATTGATCAATTAGGTAGTTGTTTCTTGCAACAAATTCTTATCTCTTTTAATTGTATTCAACCTTCAAAAAGAATTAGGTCATCAACTTTTATATCAGACTCTAATCATGTTACTTAATTGCTTAATTAAATATCTCTTATGTTGGTAACAGACTTGCAAATTCTTAATTTTATATATTGATTAATACATTCATAGTATTACAATTTTCTCTCTAGCATCTCCTTCTATTTATTAATGGCATCATTCACAATATCTTATAATTCAGTCAGTTATTTAATTATTTCTTTTATTTTATTTAACATATCATTTTGAGTATTGGTAGAGTCCTGCAATTTAAAATCCTTAAACTTAAAACATGTTCATACAATTTCATTCAATAAATGGGCTCCTTATTTTTACAAAAGTGTTATAAATTTCTTATAATGAATGACAGAATGGCCACAATGACTTTCCTCTATGCAGGCAATGCAATTAAGAACTTTATTGTTGGAAATGCATTCAGGGTTGAGACATATTAATTCCAAGGGTTCATCTATTTAATTGTTAGGTGATAAATACCTTAATGATACCCAGCCAATTAACAATAAACATTCATTTTTATTAATTAAAATATCAAAATAAATTTTATTACTTTATAATAATCACAATTCTTCTATGTATTCCTCCTAGATTTCCTCATAATACTCATCCTCTTTTTTGTTGCCATCAGTAATTTAGGTATCATTATCAACATTGAATTAGATATTTCTTTAATCAAAAATCTCTTTTCCTGTTTAAAATTCTTTTATTTAGTTTATTCTTTTCTTATTTTCTTAAGGAGACTAGAATTAATTTGTTATATTAAAATGAATCGAGTTATCTGATGTGAACTATTAATTTTCTGAAGGTCTTTTTAAAGTAGCCTGAGGTAGTAATGATTGACTATATTGGAAGATATCACTATTGTTATTATGATTGCTTGGTTTTCTAGATTCTGAACTTTTAAGTTATTGATCAGAGTTTTTAAATTCTAAAGTTGATATATATAAAATTATACATGAGAATGTTAAGTATTGTTCACTAGTAATGATATTTTATACTTGATTTGATAATTCAGGTGGCTTCATTTCAATTTTTGAATCATCTCTTTGTTTTTAGACAGATTTCAAATCCTTTGGACAATTAGATTCATCATCATCTGAATAAGAGATTTTATTAATCTTCTTTGGAATATATCTAATAGACTCCTGGCAAACATATGCTAAATTATGAAGTGTGGCTTAGAGATCACACTCCTGCTATATAAACTTTCTTAGAACATTTATATCGATGTTTTCGATTTCATTCGAATACAAATAATTCATCATCAACATAAAGTCTATTTGCTCATAAGTGAAATTATAGTTATTTCTCAATAACAATATAAAATCATCTCGGTTGTATATTTTACTTGGGATGTTGCATTGAATCAATTTTTGATTAATTACTTTTGAATAGTAGTTCTATTTCAAAATTGTCTGAAATGTCAACTATGATATTTTTATATAGACATACATATTCAGATTTTATTTTAGGATGATTATAAAGTTAATCAATAATTTCCCTTACTTCCTATGTATCCTAAAATTATATTGAATTAGAGAATCCTTGATCCTCTCCAATGAGATATCTACAAAGTATTATTGAATCAGACTTCTAAAAGTTATAGGGTGCATTCATAAAAACTTAGATTGCCTCTCCTAATTATATGAATTCTTTATAATGAAATGTAAAATGTATCCTTTCCTTTGTTAACTTTTAAGAGACGATCTTGAATTTTAATTGTTAAAATAAGATTTCTAATTGGTTGTTATTTATAGGTCGACAATTAACATTCTAATTAATATCTTATGATCGATTTTCTGGGAATTAGGTCATTGCATCTCTATATGTTGAGGGAGGAAGGAAAGACTTTTTGTGTTACAGAGTAAGGGGAGACTCAGAGGGTTTAGGAGAGTTTTTTTGTTTTAATAAATCCAAAATATTGATTCTATCATTTAAGTCTTATCTATAATAATAAGCTAAATTACATCATTATGTCCTTTTTATTGCATTAATCTTCTAAATTTTATTTTTACTTCTGTAATTCCATCGTAGTCTATTTAAACTCTTTTTCTTAATCTTTGATTTACTTCTATAGCGATTTGGACTTATTCTCATACAAGGACAACTCACCCTTTAAGGTATCCAATTACTTCAATGTTGCACTATAAATATATTAGGATTTATACGCTAATTTCATCTCCAAGAACTCTCTTTTCTTTTATTGATAAATCTCATTTTCAGTGATTGTTTATTCTTCCAATTGTTTTTTGTAATTAATCTTCTCAAAATTCAATTACTTCATTTCCTCAAGTAATTTAGCATTATCATTAGACATTTCCTAATATTCGATTTTTAATTTATCATTTTGTTTAATCAATTACTAAATTGAGTTCTCTTGTTAGTGTACAGTTATTGTAAATTTTGATAACTTTTCAATCACATTTGGATCATTAACCAAACTTGTTATTTTATATAATATTTTTACTCTTAATCAGTAATATTGAGGGCAGATTAAATCACTTGTCTGAGTTTCATAATTTCATTCTACTAATTCTAAATTTCTCTTTACAACTCCGATAATTTTGTCAATTTAACAGACTTATACTATTGATGCAGATCTGTTTATAGTTCTTCAATTTAATTACGCTATTCCTTTACTTTAGCTTTCAAAATGGGTACTATGCTACCCTCTCCACTCTATATTACTCCAAGAGGATCACAGTTTACCTAATACTTATCTACCTTCTCAATCTTCACAATTTATTTCTATGCTAAAATATTTCGATACTTTTAATTGAGCTATGTAGGCTTTGAGTTTTTAATTTTCTTATTTAACCTCATTGCATTATTATTTCAATTACAAATTTACAAAATACAATTGTTCTTAATCTTCAAAATACTCTTTTGGGGCTACTTGTTATGGAGTTTGCTTTTTAGAGTAGATCATTTATGAACTCTTTTAGAATTGTAATCTTACGTATTTATGGCTGATTCTTATCTCTCTCTTATCAGTTTAGTTATGATTGCACTTTGCGGACGACGTTTCATATTTAGTTATTTTTTATATATTAAACTTTTTATAATTATAATTTTTATCCATCTCCTAAGTGTTATCAGACAAAATATCCAAATGAAAAGGATAATTAATAAACTAATTCCCATTAAAATTTTATTCAGAACCAAAATCGTAGGATTATAATTCAAGAATTTTAGAAATTGCAACAAGATATCAATGACTTGTTGAGGGGCATTCATATAAATTATGATGACAAGTCGTGAAGATTTTACAAAAAGGAATATGCCAAATAGTCCTCTAAGTAAGAATCTTTCTCCTTAAAAAATGATGTTTTGTATTAAAGTAAAGAATTCAGAAATTCTTTCAGCGTAATTAAATTTATTCTTAAATTAATTTAAGATTTGATGTAAAAACTTAAACACACACTAGTTACCTTTAAATTATGTCCCTATAGCATGAGAGTGCTTGCTTTGATGTGTCACAAAAACATTAAATTCGAAATAAAATTTATTGAAATGCATTGCAAACCTGAATGGTTTCTAAAAATTAGTCCTTTATCTAGAGTACCAATATTAATGATCGGAGATGACAGTATATAATAAATTATCATGTAACTTAGTTGTTTTATTTGAATCCGACGCAATAATGGAGTATATCGATGAAATAACACCTCCTTAGATTATGTCATCTGATCCGATATAAAAAGCCTTAGATAGAGGTAAATTCGAATATGCAAGTGAACTAATGAAAAATATGTCTATCTTTGTTTTTAGCTATGATGAAGAGGTACTTATTTTATATATTAAAAGAAATTCTTTAAATACAAGGAATTAGTAAAAAAAAATATAGAGCAAATAGAAAAATGGTTGGAGGACAAAAAATATATGAATGGAGATTAAATATCACTTGTTGATTTTTGCTTCATTCCCATTTTTGTGAACCTAAATGCCTTTAAGCCTATAATTTAGCAATGTGAACTAACAAAGAATTTTACAAAAGTTTCAATTCAAATATATAGTAGTTTAATAAATATGGAGAGACTATTCTGTAACTTCCATGTTCCAAAGCAGGAAAGGTGCCAGATTATGAATTACTTATAGTTGAAGGTGTCGAAAAAGTCAACAGTTACCTATACAGATCAAATCCTTGCTTTTTTAAAAGTTTGAAAGACATCCACATCAGATAACCTCCAAAATGAAACTACACATTATGTAATTTTCTTCTTAATCAATAATTATAAAATCATATAAATGAACAAATTATTTTAAATAAATAATATAATTATACTTTTTAACAAAATTAAGTAAGATCTTGATTATTTAGGATTACTAATAGGATAAAAGTTACTCTTTTTGATATATGTTGGAGTCGAAGGAGATGATGTTTATGAGATTATTTAGATTACTCATCTTATAGATTCTTAAGATCCATCATTAAGAAATAACTTCAGTTTCTATTAGTATCAGGAAAATCTTGCTTTATTTATACTGAAAAAGTATTAGATGAATGATGTACTTAAATAAGTTGTTTCATAATCATTAATAATTAATTTTGTGAATAGTTTAAATTGTTTTTTAAATATCTAAAACAAATTATATTTTCATTCTTTTAAACCAACTTTTTTTTATTGATTTGCTTTTGTTCTGGCAAGCTTCTCATCCAAGAAAAATAAATACGGTACATAACAAGCACAACATATCAGAACTGCAAATCCTAATAATGATGCCGATCTTTGAAATCCATACCACTTTGTAAGATAGCCTCCCATAATTGGACCAAACAATTCTCCTCCTGCTAAACTGGCATTAAAACTATCATATATTTATTTAAATACACTGCAGATGCTATATTTGCACATTATGTAGGATATTTAGAATAGTCTTTTTTAAGAATTTAGTTTACTTAAGGCAATGTAAGAACATAAGGAAATCCTCCAGTAAATCCAGCCAATGACCATGCTACTATTGTATACACAAATTTTGGATTTAAATTGGTGAATTTATAGTCAGGACCCATATAAAATTGCAATAATCCACTGATTACCAAACCAAAATACATATAAAATTTTTGATGAGATTTTATCCTAGAAATGAAGAGAGTAGAAAATCCAAATGTTGCTGCATTTATTGATATCCAATATCCTGATAATTCTTCTTTAATGCCATATTCTTCCAAAAAATAAATAGCTATTGTGGGATTATAGAATGTCCATAGCGATAGTGTTAACGTATTTGTGATAAATGATATTACAACTGGGTAATTGAAAAGTAATGAGAGATATGATATACTAAAATCAGCATCTATAATTGATTCTTGGTTTTATATAGATGAATGTAATATGATTGATTGACTAAGATCTACTTCAGGCACATCCAAACTTTTCGAAAAAATGATCAGAATTATTGCTAACCCAAATGAACACCCACCGAAGAAAAAAAAAGGTAAAACAAACCCACCCAATTGATATAAGGCTGAACCCAATATAGGACCTCCTAAGAATCCAATAGATGTTGAGACTTCTGCTATTGCTATTTTTTCTTCAATTGATTTTGGAAATAATTAAGGAATAAATGCATAAAACGGTGTCATAAACATAGATGCACCCTATTGTATATTTCATGATATAAATACAATTCCGCCAATCAATCTAGCAGTAAAACTTCCTATTAGAATTACCCAATAAGGATCAAAATAGTATAACAAACCAAATAAGAACAAGCCTACACCTTATAAAGATATGCCAATAACCATTATTTTTTATCTATTATCCTATGATTAGCATATTTTTTACATGGGTTATTACTTTTCCTAAAATCAAGGAAGAAATAAACTGCCCCAAAGGATGAGCTGCAAATACAATGCCTATGATATCTTCAGAAAGGTCTTTAGATTTAGCAAATTATGGGTAAAACGGTGCAATGATTGACATAGCAAGATTACAAACTACATTGCATGATATCAATATAAAGAAAATATGTGTTTATTTCATTTCAATTAATTTAAATTATGCATTTTTTGAGAAACTATGCTTTAAAAATAAAGTTCTTATAATATATTTCGAGTCTGCAATAAAACCTAAATTGGTTCATCCAATATCTTAGAAAAGCAAAATGAATATTATTAGTTAATATTTTTTATATAAAATATTTTATGTAATAAATACTTCATTTTATTAATTTTATGCTAAATTAAATAAAATTATAAAATTGAGAATATACAATAAAATCAAATAACAGATGGGAGATTAGATATAATAGTTTAATAATAATATTGATATTTAAATTAAACGATATTCAATAATGATTTTTCTTCTCTTGCGTTTATTACCAAAGCTTAAATAAATCATGGTTAGTCTTATTTCTGATGTTGGATTTTTCGAAAACTGTTCCAATAAACTTTTAATTTTAAGGAGTCTTACTAATACATAATATTTCAGAGAAAGTTATTTAATTTTAGGAGTTGACTTTAACTTCTGAAACATGTTATTTTTCTTTATATCTTTCTTCCTTCTCCTTTATCAATGCTTCTTTAAATTCTTTAAGTTGCTATTATTTCAGTAGTAATCTTTCTTAAAGTACTTGTGATACATTAAAACATTGAGTAGTCATATCGATCATATATTAACTGAACACTTCATTCATTTAATCGCTCCTTTATAGCTATTATTCAATTTCTTCTCCTTCCTTTGTAATTTCATCCTTTAACGTTTTTTATTCCCATAATGTAGCACTCATATCAACTCTTCGCAATTCAGATAGATGATGATACATCTATTCTACTTTGTCAAAAATGCTCAACTAATGCTCCCATTCCTAATTCATCCTAGCAACATTATCTGTATGTCTTACAATCTCTTAACTTATTTGATTTATTGAGCTAAAATTGAATTTTTCAAAAGATTCTTTGAGATACGACTTTCGATTTTGTATTTTCTTTTTTAAACGATTAATGTCTTCAGAAATGATTCCATCATCGCTTAAGTTTTACAATTTCCAAATCTTAATAAATTTATCTTAGGATGTTGAAACTATAAATTTATTATCCGAAGATGCTCCTAAACAATTGATTGGAGCTTAGTGACAATCATTTTTACTTCCATGCGTACTTTTTTATATATCCCAAACCTTTATGGAAAGATCTTCAAAGGATAAGATTAAAACTAAACCATTTTTATTAAAATGCATTGAAGTAATTACACCCTAATAAGAATATGTGTTCAGTATCTTTGACAAATCTTTAATCTCTAAAATGTAGACATTTGAAGATTTGGTTGCGATTGCCAAATGAGAATAATCTGATGTGAATGCTAAGCATGAGACTTTATTATTTGATCTTTATGATGAATTCTATGGGAGTACGTCAATTTATAAATCAGAAATCTCATCAAAAATTAATTAATTTATCTGTTTCATTTCAGATGCTTCATCAATTAATTCATGTTAGAACGATTAAGTTTTTATATCTCCTGAACCAAGTTTAATGCTCGTGTATTTGCCAGTTTAATTTAAAACAACTAAATTTTAGTCTAGATCAAAGAATAAAGCCAATATTTAATAATTTAGTGTGATCTTTTAACCATATTATCTTCCATTAAGACTGTCCCATATTTTAATTTCGCCATTCTAAGTTCCTGAACATATAAAATGATTTTAATGAGAATAGGCTAAAAGTGTCACTTCTCCTTTAGGTTTTAGACATGATAGTGTATGAAATGTTTATTTACAATTGTATGTATCATAAATTGAAATTGAGTGACCAAATCCACCAGTGATAATATATTGATCATCATTAACACTTAATATAGGACTTAATTAACAAGCAGAACATAATTTATTAATTGAACATTCTTAACAACTCTATAAAGTTATTATTTGATTAACCATAGATGCTGTTTTAATATTCCATTATATTATTTTCTTATCTTTACCTTTAGTAATTATTCTTTTGGAATCAGTAGATAAAACCATAAATAAAATGCTGCCGTCATGCCCAGGCAGATATTCACTAACACGATAATTGTCAGAGTGATGCCACTATTTAATAAGTCCATCCTTTCCTGCAGACAAAATAATCATTCCATCTGGTTTTGAAAACTCAATGCTATTAATACCATCCGAATGACTATGCAAATTCTCTCCAATTTAGATTCCTTTCATATAATCCCAAATCCTAACACTTTTATCATCTCCTCCACTTACCAATATATTACCTTCACTAGAAAAGCATATACATCTAACAGCTTTTTAATGACCAATTAATTTCGCTTAATCCTTTTATTTTACCAAACTAAAAATTATAATCAATTCATTTGTTGTCGCATATGCACACAGTTACCCATCAGGATTGAAAACAATACTTGTTACTTATTGGTTTTATGATAAGGTTCTAATGGATTTAGTTTACTCTTCTGATATTTTATATAAAAATATTGAAGTTTGATCGCAAGCTATAAGGCTATCTTCATCTGGAGAAAAGTCAAATGCTGTTATTCTACTCTTTCCAATTATTTCTCTAAATTATGTATATTGCGAATTAGCATATTTATAAATAATTATTTTCCCTTTTTAACATCCTACTGATAGATAACTGTCTTAATTTGAAAATTTTACCAAATTAACAGTGTCTCCTATTTTATATTTAGATTTTATAGGCTAACCTCTTTATTCATTTTAATTTCTTTAACCATAATTTGCCCGATTTTTCAAGTCCTCATAAAAGCTAATGATGTTTAAAGTTTCTTCAGAGAAATAAACAAGCATTTATTTTGTGTTGGACCAACAAAAATCAAATACATCTTTTGGAAGTTCTATATCTCGTACTATCTATTCAGCGCCTATCTAATATACAACTAACTATTTGTTAAGTCCTAGAGATGCTATGTAGTTACCATCAAAGGAAAATGATGCTTTCAAAATAGGACCAATATTAAATGATAAAGTTGGCAAATCCTATGAGATTATGTCTTTCCACTTAACTTCTGCAATTTTACAATAATTTAAATTTGTCCCCATCAAAGTTACATTCTCAAATGTTGACCAACTAAAATCACATCCTATACACTTTAATCCTAATAATTTTATGTCTTTTATAAAAATTCCAGAAAAATTCTTTTCATAGAATAATTCCTACATGTAAGATAGTAATTAAAAGGAATTTGAGCTAATATTCACGAATTTTTAGGATATTCCTGAGATTAATATTAAAATATGTAAGACTGACTTTAAATCCTGATTGTTTTATATATATTCCACTATAAATCTTATTGTTCCCATATAAAATTAATTTGCCATAATTACATAATTTAATGGAGAAAAATCTATTAAAGATAATAAATCCAAAATATAATTAAAACAATCGAAATTAACCTATTATTAAACTTAAAAGGTTGATAAATAGTATTACAAAAATATCTCTCTTGCTTAATCCTGATTTTCTAATGTATCCAATCTTTAATTTAAAAATAAATTAATACAAATTGAAATAAATTCTATTTTTTTCAACTTTTTACTCTTATTTATCAAGAAAACATCTACTTTTATTTATTTGAGGATATTAATTATTTCACTGATCCTTATAAGACTAGTAATGATGAATTTTGCATAAATAAATTCTTAAATCGATTTATGTTCAAAACTCAAAATAGATCCTGTTTGTTTCAAAGGAAGGCATTTTTTTATTAAGGTTGTCTCTTCAGAATTCTAATTAAATAATTCCTAAAATCTTGGATCAGCAGAATGGTGTTTGACTTTTGAGTCTCTGAATACTCCTGACATATTAGATGTTTTTGAGGTTTCCATTGCAGTTAATTAATATTGCATTAAATATAACACTAATAATCTTGAATAATCATTAACTTCATTTACAAAATTATTATTGAACTTTAATTGCTGAAGATTTTACAACTTTTGCATTTAATTCTAAATGTAATTCTCCAAGAATTAATCATAAAAATCATACTATGTTAATCTGAAAGATTTATAACATCTTAACAAAATCTATTTATCTTCTCCAAATTAATCATAATCTTGCTGAGAGAAATATGAATGCTTTTAAAATATTTATTTTCCTTATTCTCTTAAATTCTACTTAATCTTTATTTATAAATTAAACTTGTATTTTAGTTCTTTTGATATCTTTAAATATTCTGAACTTTAATATCCTTCATACACAATCTGAGGTTAATCCGCCGATGATGTTCTGAAATTTGGAGGATAAGCTTAACTTTTTTATTATGAAACCCTTTTTGCTTATTTAACCTAATCTTAATAAAAATTAGGCGATTCGTATCCTTAATAGTTTATTTCTTCTCTGTCTTGAAAACTATTATTTTCAGGTTTACTTTGATAATTAGCAGCAGATGATCTTGAAACTTAATATGGACCTACTACTCTTTCTTGGGAATTAATATTTAAAGGCATAGGCTACTTCATTTAATCATAATAATTAGATTATCTGTATCTATCATTGTTTTCTTCAATCCTTTAAGGCATTTATTATTTCGCTTATTCATAGTTGTATTAAGTAGGATTATATTGATTATTTTATTATGTAGTATATACCCTTTAAGGTGTATTTATTGATGGCGCAGCTTTTTTCTGCTATTCTTAGTAATTCCCAGGATTTGCATAAGGATTTCTTGAATTTTAAATATCTATTGGTTAAGGATAACCAAATTCGCTATAATCTTTAGTTATTTTTTACTAATTTGATGATGACCTTTAATTTAAAGTTGAATGTTGTTATTGTTAGGAATATTAGGTAGATTACTAATAATAACCCTGAGATTTTTGTGATTCTTTTTTCAATTATTAATTTCTCTCATCCATATAGTATTGCGAAGGTGGGTTAGTTTCTTCATCAATCTCTAAGTTCTCTGGCTATTCTAATATTTATGATTGGTTATTTAATTCATCTGCTTAATCTTCCTTATATTATTCTTAAGAAATTCTCCCTAAAAACTATAGAATATCCTTGATATCTTTCTTCTTAACGTATTTTTCATACATTCCAATTGTATAATTAGAAATAAAATAATTTTACTGGAGCTGTTATTTCTAAGAGTTGATTTACGGTAACACTTCAATAACTATTTTCATCATAAACGGTGTTTTGAGAAGCTACTCCAAATTGAAATCAATGATATTATTATTATAGAATGAAGGTGTTTAAATATGTTTTAATTACCTTTCTAAAATCGCAAATTAATCTTATTTATTTGACAACTTAAACTCACTTTTCAAAATTGTGGTTATCATATTGATTTGTTTATCGCTTAAATATAAGTCATTTTATTATTGATAATGATTAATTCGTTCCAACTTTTCAACTGCATGATTCCATATTTTTTCTACTTCATTTATAAGGTTTCTTCCTCTTTTTTAAACAATGGAGTACTTTTCAAAATAATCAAGCAAAGTCTTTTTTATTTAAGTATATGAATATTATTTTAAGTAGTCTTACTTTTAATTATCATCAAAACTGAGAATTCTTAATTCTTTGTACTTTGTAAAATCCAATATTGAATCAGTACTAAACCATTATCTATAATTTGTACTATTTAACTCAAACACTTCTGATCTAGTTGTAGTAATTACTTTGGGATAATTTAGACTATATATTCTTTATTAACCCTAAGTTAAATCGCTTAAGTTTAATAACTATTACTTCCAATTCTTCAATTTATTATTTTAAATTAGATTTATTTAATTATTACTCAATTCATCAAAACTATCAAGAATGAAAACAATTGCAACTTTACCTTCTTCAACTTAAGTTTAGAAAGCTTGTATTTATCTCCAATCAAAATTATAATTGGGTGAAGCTAAGGATTCCTCAATGGCTTTAAAATAAGGATCTTTTAAACTTGCTAATTGAATGAATATAGGAACAACTGGTATCTGTTCTGAATCTTTTGACCATTCATCTAAATTCAACTATTAATATTATAGCCAGATATATTCTTCTATTTTTTTAGCTGCGACACTTTTACCTGAACCTGCTGGTCCATGAATCAGCATAGAATCTTTTGGTTATTATAAAAATTCATCAATTTCACCTTTATTCTAAGAAACATCATTAAAAAGAGTAGTTTCGTCATCTTCATCTTTAAAATTCTCTTTCAATTCCTTAGTTCTTAAGTTTACATAAACATTATTGAAATCATTTGCAATTTTTTATTATAAAACAAATTACATTCTTATTTCTAATAATTATTTAGGTGTCTTTCCAATCAATTATTTAATATCTTGAACTACTTCATCTATCTTATTAAGCATTTGATCTAATTTCTATTGAATTTTATTTAGATCTTATTTAATTTCTCTTAAGAAATTGATAGTGATACCTAAAGCATCACCAATTTGATTCACATTTAATATTTATTATTCAACTTGTTCTTCCAATTTTTTGTGTTCCTTAAGTAGTTGCTCTCTCTTTCTATCAGTTTCAGCACTTTAAATATTAAATTAAAGTTATTCTAATCTACTTATTTAACTAGCTAGATCTGATTAAATCTCACTTTGTACTTCAGGCCAATTCTTAGAGAATCCTTAATACATTTGTTATACTATTTATTTGTTTTTGAGTGTTACTAATATTTTCAAATTAGTCTCCTTGGCCGCAATTAGAATTAACATTTTTTGTATCAATTATTTATTTTATTCTTATAATTGATTTTCTAATTAGATACATTAAAATATAAATCCTTCTTTTACTCTCCAAGAATTACCTTGAATAAATTCAAGTATAGATGCTGTTATACTTTATTTACATTATTTTAGATTAGTTTGAACTTAATTCTAAACAGGTGAAAATATGAAATTCAATTCATCTTTCAGAAATCGATCTAATTCTTTGGGGTTTTAAATAATACAGTATAATTACTCTGAATAACTTTTACAGAATGCCTCATAATTAAGGCTCTTTATATTAGATATGAAGAGTTAAAATTTTTATAATAATTTAGAGATTTTATCTTCGCATTAATTATGTATTGTATCATTTTAGATTGTAAATCTCATTAAATCTACTAAATTTTGCAATGTATCGACTTCAGAAAATTCAATTGATTATTACACCTACAAAACTTAACTTTTGAAATTATTGATGAACTCTAACAATTTAGCTTAATTTGGCTTTCTTTCATCTATGCTCTCACTCATTTCAGTAATCAATTCTTGTTTCCAAGATAATTTCAAATTTTTAAACAAATTTTCAATTTTGTCAATGAAATCTAAAGTACACGTTTTTAGAGCATCAATGGTTGAATCCAATTAACTTTTTTATCTTGTTCTAGCGTGTACTAAGAACTCATTAAATTTATTTAATTCATTAACTAATTAAGTTCTGCAGTCACTATTGTTTATTATTAATAATTCTTATTAAATGGCTTAGACAGAAATTTCAAATTCCTTTACTTTTTCTACATATTCAATATTGCCCAATAATTCTATCTTATCTTTGGATGTTATCAATAGATCAACTTGAGTTTAAAGCTTTATTTAATTAGATTTAAAATTGTATAATATCTTATTGTCTTTTCTGCTAACGAATTCTACTAAAAGTTCCATTTTCTTTATGGAATCTAAATTAAAGTTAAATATTTAGTTTATTGAAATAAGAGAAAAGTTAAATATAAAGCAAAAATAGTTAAAAATTTAATTTAGTTTTCTAATTTGATATTCCTTCATTTAATTAGTTAAGATCTCATTTTCATTATCAAGTAATTGAATCAATTGCTGATGCTAATTGACTTAATACTGAAAATACAGATTGAAATCAAATTTTACATCAACTAAGAATTCAATTTTTTATTTCTTTTAAATTTTTTCAAATTCTTCTAGAGAAAAATTATCAAACAGTAATGCTTTTAATTCTTAAAATAATTCATATTACATTTAAAGAATTGAATAAATAGAATGGAGATATTCGAAATTAATATTCTACCTATTAATAAATTCTTCAATTAGATTATCAGATACACATTTCAATTCTTCTTCTTATGTTTATTTTGTAATGATTACTTATTTATTGATTATAATATGTTCTGCTGTAAACAATGATGAGAGTAGAGAAACCTATTGATTCCATAGTTAACAAAATTAAAGTGCTAAAATCAAATAATTCAACTTTGTTTAAAAGGGCTTTTCTAAAATTTTAGATAAAACAAAACATTCTTCTGGCAACTTCTTTCCAAATTGTTTTTAGTAATTAATTTGTTATTCTTAAACTAAATTTATTTGTTTGAGCCAATTTATAAGCTTATCATAAACATCTTTTTTCTTGTCAAATTATTTTTTACTCTGTATTTTAGAATAATTATATAGAAATGTCTAAAAGCAATTATTATATATAGTTGTCTGCTATTTATTAAGTTCATCTGACTTTAATAAAAGTGGAGAGATTATTTCAATAATATTATTTATATAATCCCTAGAAATCTAAAATTTAATAACTTCATTGAGCAAAGATTGATATTGTTCCTAAATTAATATTAAATGATATTGGAAATCTGAAAAATTCATTGCTTTAGTTTCTATTTGATAAAAACTAGCTAAATATGCTGAAAATTTATTTAAAAATTCATTGAAATTATTAGCAATTTTATCGAAAGGTATTTGTCTTAATGCTTATATCATTTTAAAATAATCTTGGTTTGATTCATTATCTAAATTTATTTAATCTTTTCCAGATTCTAAGGAATAGTACCCAATGAATTTAGGTATGACTTGATTTCCATTCATAAAAAAGTCTTAGAGATTGTAATACTGTCTAGAAATACTTTATAATTTAATGCCAATATTTGATGTTGAATTCTTTGCAATAATTTCAGCAATTTCAAAATCCTTATGGATGATATTAATCAAATTCTCTGATTAGGCTTATTCCCATGTCATCACTTAATTTGATCCTTATTATATACTTAAAAACTTGATTTTAGTAATTTGTGGTTTGCATGCCATCAGTTCACTAGCCATCTTAATCCAAGAATATTAAATGGCCCAATCACTTCCTTATTTAATAATACTATTGTAATTATCTTTAATTTTGTCTTCTATTTCATTAAACAATACACCAGCTTTAATACTCATCAAGATGTTCCATTTCAATTATTCTAAAAATAGGCAGTTCTGGAATTATTCCATTGATTTCTTCTTTTGGTATTGTTAATATAAAAACAACGCCCCTTTTGAAATTGAACTTGCTAAATCAGGGGAGGGTTTTAAACTAATAGCCGAGTTAAAAAGTTCTTTAAGAATAGCAATAGCAGAACTATTTTTTTGCTGTGCCTCCTCTTAGGTTGGTATATATTCTAAACAGGCTTATATAATAGTTAGCTCATAAATTAACCCATTATAAAATAAAGATGCTTCGCCTTCCAGATTAACTTAATTAGTAATATTGACAGCTAACTATGTCCATCTATCTATCTGCTATTATTGAGTTCTTTCATTTGAATTAGAGTAATAAATAAATATTAATCTTGAGAACGAGTTGCAAATTTTCATTATTTTCAATGCGATCAATCTATCCCATTAGATTGTTGTTGATGCTAATTCTAATAATTGTTAGAGTGTCTTTTCTAAAATTTATTTGTGCCTTTTCACCAGGTCAATCTAAAATTGGAAATAACAAAATAATTATTCAAGTTCCAAAAACCAAGTTATGTTTCTACTCAACACGCTTCTCCCTTCTTCTGTGCTCATGATCTCTTTTACATGTTCAATTTGCTCTAGTCTTTTATTTAAGTTGACTAAAAAAGCATTTAAAAGTGTTGAATGTAATTAAGCCTCAATTTAAATGTTTTAGGGTATCCCCTCAGAATGACTAGAAGAAGAGAAGGCAGATCCTCCTCCTCTTAAAGACGATTTACAGTATTTCAACTTAAGCATAAATAAATAAAATATAAGTTGTTTAATTAAATTAGAGAAGGAAATAATTAATTATTTCAGATTTGACATCAAATTTTATGAATTTTATTTAACTTTATTTGTTTTAATTAGTGAATAATATCACAAAACCAATTATTAAATTTTTTATAGTGTTTATCTAATAGGTAAATAAAAAGGAAGTATATAATTGATTTAATAAATTACATAATTGTTTTTCCTAGTTAAAATGTATTCTTATGTGAGCAACGAATAATGAGGAAAACTTAAATTCTAAAATTCTAATAATATAGAGGCTATCCTAACTTGTTTTCCTACTCAAATATATCTATATTATCACATTAAATGTGAATAAATACAACTAGCTTGTCAGTCTTCCTTTATCTAAAGAGAAAATACTAGAGTTTTGAAAAACTGTTAGAAGCTGTAAGTTAAATAATGTTTTTTAGAGTAAAAACTAAACTTATGGAAAGGAAACTGTAATCAAATGTAATAAATAGTGAGGTTTTAAAAGGGATTGAAGTTATGATAAAGTTTATGAAAATAGCGTTATTCACATATAAACGTTAAAATACAAGTATTTTCTTTGTTTAGCTTGAGAAGGAATTAGACTATGATTCATCAAGGATCAATATGAATATTCTTATAAAAAAGCAAATAGCAATATATATTAACAGAAAATTAATCCAAAGGTTAGAGAATGATTAATACACTTTCAAATATCAAGCAAAATCCTATTCTATACAATACTAAGTATAATTAGAATAGAATGTTAAAATAAAAATTCATGTAATAAAGATTATGTCACTCAGCTCTTCATAGTTCAATTAAAATAAGAAAATTGCTTTTCAATAGAAAAATATATCTATCAAATTTTTCCCTATTCTATGAATCATAAACTGGAAGACATTTTAATATAATTAAAATCAATATAAATTGTTAATGTAATATTTAATTTTTATTATGAATATCTCTTTAAGTCTTAAAAACAAATGAGGACTTTTAGATTCTAAAAGTGCTTTCTTATTTACAACTTTTCAAGAAAAACATCTAGTTTATTAAAAAATGGATGAAACTATTTCGTTTAATTTTATTATAGATACTAACACGATAAAAAGCAGCCAATAGAGCTTAATCTATTCTAAGTATCAATGCAATTATAATATTTGTCCTCTTAATAAATGAAGAATTTACATTTTTATCAAAATCTACCTTTTAGAGAATTAATAAATTATTTTTGATTAGGATATATTAGAAAGTTATAGATTATATCACCTTGTATTTTATTATCTAATAAGTATTTAAAATTATATTTTATTAATATATAATTACAAAAATTTTATTAATAGAAATAGCACTGATATTTATATATCAATAGAACCCATTATTAATTAATAATAAATGATCTCTACGTAAAAAGTGAGTTAAATAAAATCAACAGATTAGTTTCCAGAAGAATAAGTATGTATTGATGAAACTTAATCTAATCATAAGAAATTCAAATACTCTTCAAAAACCACACAATTAAAGTTACCAATTAAAAAATAAAGAGGTTAGGAGAGGAATTTGAAGAACTTTCCAAAATTGATTGGAAATAATCTGTGCAAATATGCCTCATATAATTCGTCTAAACATCCCTAAGGAATATAAGAAATGATCAAAAAAAAGAAGACACCTCATTAAGTAGGATTCAAGATTGCAGATTTGAGACAGGTTTGCCTATCAGATGGAGAATCATAGAAATTATTTCAAAATTATTTGAAAAATTAATTGCTATTAGATCTGATTTATAGTTCTAAAATTAATGATCCTTTGGCTTATATTCCTGGGATATGTAACTATTATGCAGCTAGTTTTGTACCAGAAAAAATGGTTGGCAGTTACATCATTAAATGAAATAATCTTTAAATATTTTTTTTTCTTCTTCAAAACTTTAATAGAATTACAAGTTATTTTTCACCACAGATGAATCAAATAATGAATTAATTATCTCTTAATGAATTAATCACACTTAGCGCTATTTGAGGATCATTCTTATTTAAATGATTAGAAAGGAGATTATGATTAAGATTTTGAATAATCATTTTTCAATTAATTTCAGCATTTACCAACCAATATGACCAAGTCGTCTGTAACCATCAGCATTAACCAAAAGGACATCAATTACAAGAATTTGCCAAAATTGATTGGGAACAACTTTGTTAAATGGCTCAAAAATATCAAATATTATTAAAATCATGATAATATTCCTAAAGGATTTTAAAGGCTTATAGATTTAAGACAAAAAGATAAATAATCAAAAATTAAAATTAAAGACTTAAGAGAATCCATATAATTTGATTATGAATGTCAAGTGGTATTTCAAGAATACATCTGTGATCAGCTATACATAGATTTAATGACCAGCAACAAAGTTGCTGACCCATTCTCCTATATCCCTGGAATCTGTAATTATTTTTCTGCTGCACAAGAACCAATAAAAATGGTAAGTAACTATATAATGAGAAAAGAATTCGTTAATTAATAAGGTGAAATGTGATACTAATTAAATGTTACTTTGAATGTTTTTTTTTTAATTATAAATTATCTATTTTAAATGAATCCGTATTGCTCTATGCATAAAGAAGATATTATAAACTTTTGTGTAGATCCCAATTGTCAAACTAGATGTATATGCAAGTTATGTAGACATGAACATGAGACAGTTCCTATATCATATCTAGTGGATAATGTTTTTGTAAAAGAATCTCTTAGTATTGTAACCCTATTCAAAGCCATCATACAAAAGTTGGTTAATTCTATTGAGAATGACTTAACAACCTAATTATAGGAAATAAAGTATGAGAAACCTCCTAATGAAATTTCCCAATTAAGTGCTTTCCTAAAGAAAAAATATTAGATTTTTTAGGTTCTCAGAGATTCCATCTCTTCAAAATTACAAAGGGTTATTGATGCTATCAAATCACCTGTTGATTCTTCAAAACCGCAATTTCCTTCATCCTTAAATAGTCTTCCTTTTCTAGATAAGGATGTAAATAAATAATCACCACAAACCCTAAAGAAATTAAAGTCAGAAGAATACATAAGAGTTGCAAGTCCTGAGAAGATAGAAAACGCGCTTATGTTAGACAAATTAGAAATCTAAAGGCTCAAAACATTTAATGAGGAAAATTGGCCATGGAGATTAGAATAAGGCTCTTAATTTGTGGCCATCTTCTCAGCACTTAGAAACTTCAAATTGCTGGGTTTTAAATAGCCTATATTATTTTGTTCGAATGTACACAATCATTAAAAAAAACCTATTAATTTTAACTTTGCCCTCTATCATAAAAAGAACCTATTGAAAAAGGCCATTTACATGGAAAGTAGAACTTTAAAGCATTATAATGAAAAAGTGATTGATAGGTGTTATGACATAGTGTTCAAGATTCCTCAAAGAATTTAAGCTGGAAAGGAGTACTCTTTGGTGATATGGAGTAGTTCTGGATTTTATAGTCATTATTATAGTCTTCCTGCTTCTCCAAACGATTTCATTGAATTTTAATAACAAGATTTCAACGATCATCCAAAAATCAAAAGATCTGAACTTGTTCACAAGGTTATTTCTACCTATAGAGCAGGTTTGATCCCAGCAGTATATATTGATCCTAGAGAAGAAAAAGATAAATGAGATTTATATTTTTATAAATAGTGTATTCGCATTTCATGTATTTCTTTTTATATTTATCATCAATAAGATTGATATATGTATGTTATATTATTATATGTTATTGATTTGAATCATGCAAATGTCTTTTTGGTCATTATATTATAGAAATCTTCGAATGTCACTTAAGCATCCCCATCAGAATCAGCTCTGTCAATCATTTCTTATAATTCAGAGTCATCCATTGTTTCTCCCAATTCTTTTGCTACTTTTCTGAGATCCTTCAAAGTGATAACACCAGCTCTTTCTGAATCAAAAAGATTGAAGACTTTCTAATGAAATTATTATTTTTTTAGATACTTGAATATCAGCTTTAGAATCTCTTTCACTAATTCTTGCTGTCATTAATTTCAAAAATTCAGCAAAATCAATTTGACCACTTCCATCTGTATCCAAATCGCTAATCATTTAATAGATTGTTTGATTCTTGGCTTCAAATCCCAATGATGTCATAGCAGCCTTTAATTCCTTTGGGTCAATAGATTAAGTACTAAGATTATCTTATTTATAAATACCCATCTGTATCAAATAAGTCAAAAGCCTCCTTAATTTCCAAAACCTCTTCTTCTGTCAATCCTGGTTTGACAAACTCAGCAGGGTTGAATTTTCCTGCTTAATTTTTTTGAGTTGGTGGAGCTTATTGTTATTATGGTGGTGGTTATTGACCTCTTCTTGCCATTATTAAAATAAAAAATAATTAATAACTAAAAGATATTAATCCCCCTTTTATATTATCAAAAAAGAACAATATCACAATGTATTTGATAACAATATTCAACATAATAATCACAAAATTATTCAATGCCTTCTTATTAATTTTATTTTTCAATTTAAGACCTAGGAGGACCTAAAGCATTCAGTAAAATTCTAAGCTTAAATATAATAAAGAATTATATTTCCCTATAATATATTGATTAAATTAGAATTAGCATGATATGAAGTAGTTACAAAGAGTTAAAAATTAAGCAAGGTAATTAATTTGCCATATATTATTGACTCGTAACTTTACATCACCTCATTTTGCATAAAACAGATAGAAGTTTATCAATTTGATAAACGAGAAGAATCATTACCAAGATTCTCTTTAAATCTCTAAGGCTTTTCAAAAATTCAATTATTTTAACAATTTATCTTACCTATTTTAGAAACAATACAATTTTATTTTAACTAATATAAATATATATTCTATTTAATACTCGAGGCTCTAACATTGATAATTAAAAATATCTAAAATAAATCAATCCAATTATATTGTATCAATTAAAAGTAAAAGTTTTCAAGCCAAACAGTTTTAAAAATTTGTATAGGTGGAGGAGCATACAATTTAAACATAAGACTTCTGAATATCACAGATCTGTGCTTTCTTAACTAAAATGCTTAATCCTTATAATCTTTCTAATTTAAGTAAATTCTTTATAAGAAGAAATCAAAATTATCCAATCTATGTAAACAATTAATTAGATCATTTTTTTGATTTACTTGTTATATAAAAAAATGATTTATTTTTTAATAGTTGGTTTTGATTAATTAAATTTAAATAAAAATAAAAATAAAAATCATAAAATTGATGTTTAAATCTGCAACAATTAATTTTTTCATCTCTAACAAAATTACACAACATTTTTTATTTATGCTTGAATTGAGATACGGTGAATAATCTTTAAGAGGAGTAGGATCTGCATTCTCTTCTTCTAGTCATTCTGAGGAGATACCCTAGAACATTTAAATTGAGGCTTAATTACAATTCAACGCTCTTAAATGCTTTTTTAGTCAATTTAAATAAAAGACTTGAGCAAGTAAAACATGTAAAAGAGATCATGAGCACAGAAGAAGGGAAAAGCGTATTGAGTAGAAACATAAGTTGGTTTTTGGAACTTGAATAATTATTTTGTTATTTCCAATTTTAGATTGTCCTGGAGAAACAACACAAATAAATTATAGAAAAGACACTCTAATATTTCTTAGAATTGGCATCAACAACAATCTTATGGGACAGATAATTGTTTAAAAAATTTTAAATATTTGTAACTCCTTCAGAAGATTATAAAGACATAATTTAGAGAAATAATTGGAAAGAGTAGAATAACACTTACAAATTAGTTGATTAACATGGAATTGGAAAAGGAATCATCATTTATCTGAATTACAAGGAGTTGATTTGAGTGCTACAATAAGGGAATAAAAAACTCTAATGAACTAAATTACCAATGAAGAAGAAAAAATTGAAGCATTACTATAAAGAAATGGTGAAATGTTTTAAGGGTTTATCTAGGATTTGCTCAATTACACTTCGAGATGTTTGCAAGTATCACAAGAAATGGAGTAATTGGTTTCAATCATTAATTATTAAAAAATCAAAGTCAATCTTTTCATGAAGTTAAAGTATATGGCTGCAGTTTTTAGACGTTAGCGAATTGTGAACCCAATCTAATACACCTCCAAAGAAGGAGTCTGATATTTTTATTGTTTTTAATTGGTATAGCTAGGAGATGATTGTAAGTTCTTACTACGACATTCTTATATACAACTTTCAGTAAGATTACAACTTAAACAAAAGAACTTTATGATTTGAAATAGACTTTGATAATATCACTTGTAATTTTCAATTACCTTGTTGTAAAATCATTATCACAAATACATTAACGCTATCTCTATGGATATTGAATAAAGCAATTAACAAGTTTGCTTGGATGATTGATCTATGAAGAATTACAATTCATATCAATAATTGTAAGAACATTTGGATTTCAACACTATTCATGTCTAGGATAATATCTCAAAAAAATTTATTGTAATTCTTTTTGGTAATGAGTAGATTATTGCAATTTTATATGGGTCCTTACTGTAAATTCACCAATTTATAATTCGAGATTTATATATAAAATAGTAACATGGTTGGATTATAGATTTATTTGAGGATTGCCATATTTTTTACATGTCCCTAAGTAAATCAATTCGTAAAAAAGAATAAGATAAATTTCCTATATAATGTGCAAATATAGCATCTATAGTGTATTTACATAGACATAAATTAGTTTTAATGTGAGTTTAGTAGGAGGAAAATTATTTGGTGAAGTTGGATGGATTTCAAAGGTCGGCATCATTATTACGTTTTGCAGTTCTGATGCGTTGTGTTTATTATGGTCCAAATTTATTGTTCTTGGATGAAAACCTTGCTAGAAAAGATGGTTTCAAAGAATGATAACATAATTTGTTTTAGAATAGTATATTCTTAACTAATCACAAAATTAATTATTAATGATATGAAACAACCTATTTAGGTAAATCATTCATCAGATTCTTTTTCAGTATGCATGAAGCAAGATTTTCCTGATATTAATAGAAACTGAAGTTATTTCTTAATGGTGGATCTTAAGAGTCGATAAGATGAGTAATCTATTTAATCTCCTTAAAATTATTATCTCCTACTCCAACATATATCAAAGAACACGGTAACTTTGAGCCTAGTTTATTACAATGTTCTATACCACTTAAAATTAGATTCTACACTTATTTTAAATCCGTTATTTATTCCTATCCTAAAATCACAGCGATTGTATAGATTAGTTTGGTTGCATTATTTTCAGCTATTGTTTAAAGATATTTAATAAAGTCTTCAAGTTAGAGATCCCCCTTAAAAACAATTTCTCGAAGTCTATTTTGATAAGTTTTGACAGCCTCTTGATAGCCTATTACTTAGGGGTTTTAAAAGTTTCCTGTTAAAGGGAATAGAGTTTAATAACCAATGCCATTATAATTAGAAAATTAAGGCTCAGCTCCCATTCCATACAGAGCCAGTAATTTATTAATGTTATAGTCTTCTAAGACTTTAGCAATATCATTTAATGCTTGTTAATAAATATTGTTCTTTTCAATATAGGTGTGTAAAGAATCAGGAAATTAAGGTACGCCATTGTGAGAAGAGTAATCAATTCCAATTATAATATTAAAAGTAGTTCCTTAATTAATAAAATCATCGAAATTAGGTCTATGTATCTTTTTTTTATTTACAATTTTAATTATTCCTGATGGTCCTCCTTTTGGCTAGATTAATTAAAAAGAATCAATATTTTTATTAAATATTTCGTCTATTGTTGTCTCAAATGATCCAACTATCTAATTATACTTACCTTTTTCATGTTTATCAACGCATTCTACTTTAAACTTTTTATTTTCATCATTGAAACACAATCTTTATAGAGAAACTTCGAATTGTTTCCATTAAGGATTGAGATTATCTTTTAGATATTCAGTCTAGTATACATGACACCATACTCCCTCTGTAAACAAATAAAACTTCAGGAATGGATCAGTCTTACCAAATATCCCATCCATTTTTTTAAGATTAATTCCAGAGAATTACCATTAAACAAAATGGTTAGATTCTTTAAATTTTACTGCCTTACAAATTAATATTCCTGCTTCTTTCTCAAATTTTTTGATTTAAAGAGATATTAAAGAATTTTTCTATTGCAATATATCCTTTATAGTTGTTTACGCATCTCCCATAAATTCTCTACCCATTCTGTTTTAATCAAATATCTAAAATTTTAATATCTATGTCAATTCTGGCTAATATTCCACATTAAATGTTTATTCCCAATTTGGATCCAAATTGCAATCAGCCACTTCAGTTTTTCCAAGAAACACCTCTTGTTACCCAGGTATTAAATAATAGAGTTCCAAATATGGGTCACTTTTTGAGAAGAATTCGAGATTAGGCAATTACCTTGCAGCCAAAAATAACTCAATATTAATTCTTTCATCTGGATGATAAATTTATTACATTATAATTATAATAAGTTATACAACAATTAATAAATATATCTGATGAATAACTTCATTCATAAGGATTGTGTAATTACATTTAGATGTTCATTAATTTTTGTTTGAAATATAATATTCACTTTTTTTGTTAATTAAATTATTAATTTTTATTATTTCTTAAGGAAGCTAAAGCTGCCTGTAATGTCACTACATAGTAACCACTTGTCGAATTGAGCATCCCATTGGTTATTAATTTTTCTATGTAAGTAAGGTGAATGTCAATATCATATATTTATGATTTTATCAATATGTATCTGATAATTGGCAAAAGATCATCAGCTTACATAAGCAAACTAGATCCTTTTTTTTCATTTGCTTCCCTAACCTAATATTGAATTTCTTAGGAAAAATTAATTATTACTTTAACCTTTGAGGAAGGACCTTGTTTTTTTGTTAATTTCTACAAAGTTTATATTGCCTTACTATAAGGGTTTGAAGATAATATCAATTAAAAGTCTTTGGGAACTTCCATATCACTTATACTAATATCTTTCTTTTACTTAAACACTTGTTCAGTCAGATATTAAATTTATCCCAGCTCTTTTAACAAAGAATTATAAATTACACTATAAATTCCTTCATTTGACATCACATAATTTACAATAAAATTAATCATTGTCTCCTCATTTAATAAAACTGCATGAACTTGATATTTCTTTTTCAAGTTTATCATGTCATAATAAATTACTATAGTCTCATAAAGTGTTCTACAAAACAATGTTAATTGTTCATGTAACTAATTAAATGTACTATCTTTATGGTATTGTTTTAAAGAATGTCTGAACTGAATTATCATTATTCCTAACTCATTCGGTTAATCGAAATGTTCTTATATTTTGTCAGTAATTTGCACAAAAAAGTACATCTGATCTTCAAAATTTACTTAGGATACCATTCCAATATTAGATGTCTTCTCATAATAAATATAAGATGGTGTAATTGACTAAATACTTAAATTAATAGAAGCTCTGCTAGGTTTGATATAATATTCAACTAGATCATCTTCTGTAAATCCTGTTCTTTTAATTATTGTTTAGTTATTTCTATTTTCTCTTGCAGCTTATCTAGATTTGATAGACTTTTAAATTTCTGAAATTGATGACTCTTCATAACTCTAAGCAAAGGAATGTAGTTATTTCTAATAATTATTTGAAATCTTTAAATCTTTAATCTAAATCAAAATAGGCTCAGCCCAACACATTTCTTTCTTCATATCCTAACAAGTAGTTTCAAGTTACTATTTCCAATGAACATTGTCAAAGTCCTTTTTATTTGTATATAAATACTCGTTCGTAGCAAAATACATTACCCATCTTTAATTTATATATATTATATATTTTATATCTCATTAAATTAATCTTGAATATATCTTCTTATTATCAAATCAGCAATGATTATTTATTAATTTAACCAATTTATATAATTTTGGTTGGTTCCCTGACTTAACATTAAAATAAATTAATTTTAGTATTAAGCCTTTCTTACTAAATTAGCAGTTGTTCTATCAATTAATTAACTTCTCTAATTAAAATACACCAATTTTTAGAATTTAGTTCAAGAGGAAGTCAAATTATTATTCATTAAAATTGGGGGTTGTAATTCTTTTATATGATTTACTAACCATTTATTTAACAAGTAGTGTTAATACTTTTCATTCTATACTTGAAGTATTAAGAGGAATTATTCTTCTTTAAGATGTAATTATAATCATAAGTTCATTATTATTTATTTTAATCATTTGAATTTGTAATTTTAATTTTTATGAGGCTCTTCAATCATCTATATAACTTTTAAATTGCAAATCTAATATTAATTAGAATAAATAAATGGTGGATAATACATGATTTTATCTATAAAAAGGGAAAATAATTACTTATACATTTAGTCATAGATCTTGACATAATTTCGAGAAATTCAACGAAAAATCAGACTGACAGCATTTGACTTTTCTCCAGATGAAGATAACCTGATTGCTTGTGATCAAACTTCAATGTTTCTATACAAGATATAAGAAGAGTAAACTAAAAATATTAGACCATTATAATAAAACTACTAAGTCACAAGCATTATGTTTAGTCCCGATGAGTAATTGTTTGCATATGCTACAACGAATGGATTGATTATAATATATAGTTTAGTAAAATAAAAGGTTAGATGTATATGCTTTTCTAGCGAGGGGAATATATTGGTGAGTGCAGGAGATGATAAAAGTGTTAGGATTTGGGATTATATGAAAGGAATCTAAATTGGAGAGAATTTACATGGTCATTCTGATGTTATTAATAGCGTCGAATTTTCAAAACCAGATGGAATGATTATTTTATCTGCAGGAAAGGATGGACTTGTTAAATAGTGGCATCAATTTGATAGCTATCGTGTTAGTGAATACCTGCCTGGTCATGATGGCTATGATTATATCTGCTGATTCCTAAAGAATAATTACAAAGGGTAAAGATAAGAAAATAATATAATGGAATATTAAAACAACATCCATGGTTAATCAAATAATAACTTTATAGAGTTGTTAAGAATGTTCAATTAATAATTTATGTTCTGCTTGTTAATTAAGTCCTATATTAAGTGTTAATGATGATCAATATATTATCACAGGTGGATTTGGTCACTTAATTTCAATTTATGATAGTTACACTGCCAGATAAACATTTCATACGCTATCATGTCTAAAACCAAAAGGAGAAGTCATTCTTTTAGCATATTCTCAATAAAATAACTTAATTTGTTCAGCAACTTAAAACGGTGAAGTTAAAATATGGGACAATGATAATCGAGGATAATTTAGTACAAAGATAACCCTAGATTACTAAATATTTTTTGATAAAAAAATAAAATTTAGTTGTTCTAAATTAAATTGGAGAATACACTAGCTTTAAACTTGGTTCAGGGGATAGAATAACTTCATCTTACTAAAATTAATTAATCAACACAGCATCTGAAATCAAACAGTTAGATTAATAAATTGTGAAGGAAATGTAGGATTCAAATAGTAATATACACTAGTCGAATGATTATTACAGATCTAATTAAGTAACCCGCTTCGCACTCTCATCTGATTATTCTTATTTGGCAATCGCTAGTAAAGTCTCAAATGTATATATAATAGATACTTAAGACTTATCAAACAAATTGTACACATATTCTTATTAAGGAGTAATTACATCAATTCATTTTTATCAAAATGATTTAGTCTTAATCCTATCTTTTGAAGATCTTTCCATAAAAGTTTGGGATATAGAAAACAATCTTCATGGAATTAAATATGATTGTCACCAAGCCTCAATTAATTGTTTCTACTTATCTTTAGATAATAAATTTTTGGTTTCAACTTCTTAAGATAAATGTATTAAGATTTGGAAAATGTCAAATTTAAGTGAGAATAGTATCATTCCTAAAGATATTGATGGGTTGAAGAAAAAAATATACCAATAAAAACTAAATTTCCAAAAATCTTTTGAGATTCTGAATCGATCCATCAAATGAAGAATGTTTTTATCCCCCGAGAGATTATAAAATTATTTTGTAAGAATGAAATAAGCAGAAGAGGAATAAAATGATTTTTTGAGTTAGTGGAATATAAGGCTAACAATCTAATTGAATTAAGAAGAGTCGATCTTAGTGCTACATTTAGAACATAAAAACCTTTAAATGATGATACTACTTATGGAGGAAATGAAATTGAAATATTACTACAACAAATAGTGAATAATTTCAGCGTTCAATTAATAAGCCATCTCCTAAATTTAGGAGTTAATTTAGATAACAAAAATCCTTTAAGAACATTTTATAAAGAAATAAATGCTACTTTAAAAACTTTAAGCTACATAAACAAAAGAAAATGAATAGAAAAATATGATTCAGAAATTAAAGTTAATTCATCAAATTAAGATGTATCTTGAATTTTTTAATCTAGAAAAATAAGATAATTGTTATTCCTTATCTTATTTAACTGTATTCTGCATAAGTAAGACTCCTTAGAATTAAAGGTTTATTGGAACAGTTTTTAAAATTCCGAAATTAAACATAAGACTAACCATGATTTGTTTAAACTTTGGTAACAGACACACGAAAAGTAAAATAAAGTTTGAAGAGGATTTAATTAATATATATAAAATATATTAATCATTTTGTGGTGTAAATCTAAAGAACTTTCTACCATCATAGGTATTGTACTTGCAGCCAATCCTCTGGACCATTTATACTTACTTGATTTTAGGAAAGTAATAACTCATGTAAAAATATGCTAATCCTAGGATAAGAGATAGAAAATTTTGGTTATTGGCATATCCTTATAAGGTGTAGGCTTGTTCTAATTTGATTTGTTATACCACTTTGATCCTTTTTGGGTAATTCTTATAGGAAGTTTGCTAGATTGATTGGTGGAATAGTATTTATATACTATATTTGAGATAAATATTGATTTCATTTCCAGAAAACTATTTAGGATTTTACCTGTTTTATAGCTTTATTTATATTTTTAGTGATATTTCTTTTCTATTTATAGAAAATTTTCTTGTAGAAGATTATAAAAAGTTATAATACTAAAAACTCAAACTAAGATTGAAAAAACAAAAACCTCGCATGACACTGTTTTATGCATTTATTCCTTAATTATTTCCAAAATTAATTGAAAAAATTTCAAATGCAGAAGTCTCGAAATCTATTGGATTCTAGGAAGTCCTATATAGATTTCAGCCTTAGGTCAATTGAGTTGGATTGTCTTTTCTTTTGTAGGTGTTCGATAGGGTTAGCTGTAATTTTGGTCATTCTCTAAAAGTTTGGATGTGTCTGAAGCAGATCTTAGCCAATCGTATTCCATTTATCTATATAAAACCAATAATCAATTATCGATGCAGATTTTAGTAAATCATATATCTCATAGCTTTTCAATTACCCAGATATAATATCTTTTATCAAAAAACTTAAAAGTTTGATTATCACTTTCACTTTTGAGGGAAGAATTTGTTTATTTGGTAATTTCTAAAAGTTTATATTGCGTTACTATAAGGGTTTGAGGAAAATGTTAATTAAAATTCTTTTGGTACTTCCATCTCTACTATACTAACATCTTTCTTTTGCTTCAACATTTAGTCTGTCAGATTTTAAATTTAGCCCAGTTCTTTTAACAAAGAATTATAAATTCCTCTAAAATTCCCTCATTTGACATCACATATTTTACAATAAAACTAACTATTGTCTAAGGCTCTATGAACTTGATAATATTTTAAAATTTATAAATTGTTAAATCATATTATCAAATATTTCTCCTTATTTAAAATTGCACTTTGAGATTTATCTAACTCTTCCGCCGATTCATTAGGAATATAATTGCATATACAAATTTTTAATTGTTTTTCTTCAATCTTAATCCCAGCAAAAGAAATAGAATTGATTTGTATAATATTGAGAAACCTAGATATTTATAATCTATATTTTTTATAATTTTTATACTTTATAAATTAATATGAATTGAAATGCATGATATTTTGGCCTCTTTTCAGATGGGTGGTTATAAATTTAAACTTCTATTTTAGTATAAAAAAAAGAAGCTTGCCAAAATCGTAAGCAACTCGAAAATTAGGAATAGGGATTAAGATATACTAAAAGAATGAGAGTTCTTTAATAGAAAATAGAGATAATTGTAATTATTTAAGGAGTTTTTATAAGTTAAGTACTCCATTTAATATTAATTATCATTATATTTATTAGCGCATATCCCTTTTGGAATATTCTTCTTTTAGTAAGTCTTATAATTTATCGATTTCTTCTTTAGTAAAGGATACTTGGGCTTCCTCTGTATCATCCTTCACAAGTTTCCATTCAAATTATAGTTTCTTATCAAAGTCATTATTTTCACAAACGACTTGATTTTCTATAGAATCTGCAATATATTTCTGATTAACTCGAACCAATTTAAATAAGTGCCAATAGTAGTTCATGTCATTTCCTGTTTGTAATTTCATGTACAATTCTACTTGAAGTAATTAAGGTTGTGATTAGTTAAATGAATAAAGCAATTAAATCAATTGAGTGAAAATATCCTAATCAATGTATTGCTAATGTTCAATTAAATTCATCAACAGTTCTAGAATTTCATCGAAAATGTTATCAGCAATGCAATAACCACATTATTCAAATTAATTCATTATCATTTGATTATCCTTGAAATAATTTTTGATTTCAATGATCTCTTTTTGCATAGTGATTTGATGCGCAACAAACGGTCTTTTCATCTAAAGACTAATCAGAGAACTGTTGCTCGATGATGTGTGCAATACAACAATTTATTCTTTCATAAATTCATTTACTTATTTAATTAGAAATGCTTCATAGATTCTAATTGCTAATGATAGACTCAATAAGCGATTTTAAAGAAATTAAAAATTCAATTTATAATTCTAAATTTTCTCGCATAATGATTTTATTTTATTTATTTCCTCAAACATTAAATCTAAATAAGATAATGCTTATTTTTGCAATTGATATCCAATATATTTTAATTATAAATCCTTAAATACTTCATTTGTACTATCATCTTTATCATTAAAAATCTCCTCATCCTAAATATCTTCACTAACTTTATGATGTGCAACAGGTGTAATTTCACTGACATTTTCTTAAATATCTTATTTAATGCTTTAAATATAATCAGCCTTCACTTCCCCTTGTAACCAACTATGTTCAAAGAAATCTCTAAAGCTGATTCTTCTTTTGAAATCCTATTGTAGCATTTATAATAACAATTCCTTTAATTTTGGTGTGATAGATGAATCAGGAAATTGCAAGTCTCCTTTATTGATGATGGCAATCAAATCATTGATATTGCCTCCTTTAGGTGGGATAAAAGGAGATTTGCCATAAATCATTTGATAAATGATAACCCCAACTGACCATACATCACATTTTTCATTATATTGCTTTCTTTGCAGAATCTCTGGAGCCATAGTCAATGGAGTACCACAATAGGATGTTAAATATTAGTCATCCTCCATATACTTTGCAAATCCAAAATCTGCCAACTTAATCTTTATTATTTTAAAACCAAAAACTTACTTAAAAATTCTTCGATACTAGTATGTTCGCTAATTTTAAATCTCTGTGTACGATTCTCAACTTGTACATTTATTGTAATGCTAGTGCCAATTGTTGAACTATCCTTCTTACTTCCTCTTCTGGCAATTTGCCATTCGGAGAATATTTCCTAATTGATTCAAAGAAACGTGTACCTTATGTATGCATCCAAATCCCCATTCTCACAATATTCAAAAACTAGATAGTAATGATTTTATGTCCTCTTGAAATCTATCAATTTAATAATGTTTGGATGGTCTAATTATCTTAAAATTTCGATTTCCTTTTCAATCATTGACATACTCTCATTTCTGACATTTTATTTAGAAATCATTTTTATTGCTACATCTTCTTGTCTTCCATCCATCTTCCCTCGAAATACTCTGGCAAATGACCCTAAATTCTCAAAAATTTGTACCTGAACCAATCTCCCTTATGAGACTGTAGGGTCCAACTTTTTTTAAATAAGATGCTGGTTTCATTAAATTATTAATTATAAATGTAATATTCATTTCAATTCTTAGATTAAGTAATCCCTTTTTACTTCAACTCATCCAAAACTCTCTCAAAATAAGTAGGGTCTGGATACCCATAATTTTATGGACCACCACCTAAGTTAGTTTTATGGTGAATTCCATTCCAAACTATGCAATTCTCTATTCCTGTTGTCAATGAAGTCCCTATGGTAAATACTAATCTTTAATCAAATGCTTGTTTTAACAAACTTAACACAAACTTACCTTCATCATTTTCAGGTAAATAAGCAAACCTTGTTGTTCCAGAAAAAAATCTTCCATTTCTCTATCCTTATTTAAAACTGTATTTAATTTAAATAGTGTTGCAATTATACCCTTCACATTTTTTTTTTATTGTTACTACTTCCATTATCCCATCAGGTTGATCCCCTTTTAGTTGACCCATTATTTAATTACAAACTGGACATTTAAGAAAGCTTGTTTACAATAAAGGTTATAAACAAACATAATGAAATTGATGAGAACAACTCAATGATAATACATATCTATCTTATTCGTTGCTATCAACAAAACTAGTTTCAAAACAAATAGGGCATAAAGTGATACTACCATCTTCCGATAGCGAAGGTTAGTTCACAATACTCATTTTAAATTTACTCATATCTTGTTTCATTTCATTGTATAGATCCTGTTTCACATTATATTTGAATACCTTCGGTTTCAGTTTATTATTGGCATTATCTTATTTCTTAAATTATTATTATTAATCTTCAAAATATTATTATTACTCTTAAATTTATTGTTACTGTTGTTATTATTATTAAATCTATTAATAATATTCAATTTATTGATTTTAGTTTTAGTTTTATTGATACTTAGACTACTATTATTATTACTATTAGTATTATTGTTATTATTATTGATATTGCTACTATTGTTAAAATTGTTATTATTATTATTATTGTTGTTGTTATTAATGTTGTTGTAATTATTATTATTGTTGTTACTGTTGTTGTTATTATTATTATTATTTTTGTTCTTATTGTTATTATTATTCAATTTTACTGAAAGAAGAAATTGCTGAATACATTGGTTCATCACCATTTTCATCAGATTAATTAAGGGAATTACAATCCTTAATTATCTTTGAATTGCTTTAACCATTTTCTTATAACTAAGATATCTTAATTTATGAGTTTTTTTATTCTATAACATCATTTTTCGGTTCCTTTATATGATGATGCTAATCTAATTATTTATTATTAATTGCCTAATTCTATTAAGAATTCGATTCTTGTATTTTAGGCTATTCCTTAACTGGGAGTTTTACATTCTATTAGTGAATAATTTCACTATGACATATTTCTTGAATGTCACAGAATTGTTAATTTCTACTTAATCCTTTATTTAGAATTTCCAGATTATATGAGTGTAAAATATCAAATTCTCTAGTTTCATTTGTTTACTTATTTTATTAAGAAACGGTTTGTTATCTCATTTATAAATATTATCTTTCTATATTTTCTTCCAAATCCAATATTAGAAGAATATTTTGAACCTTATTACTTATTTCATTTATATGAAATTCAATTTTAGGGTTTTTCCAAAGGCTCAAATCACTCAATCTTCTTGATATTTATTCTATCTATTGATTAACTTCACTCAAAATTAGCTTCCCACTTTTCATTTAATGATGTATAAATTTTCGGTATATTAATTTATTATATAATGGCTTTTGTATTTTAGGCAGAAAGAAATATGGTTATTAAGCCTTCTGGTGCTCCTCCAAATGTAAAATGGAATCAATACAATTAGGTTGGCCCTGGTAGCTACCTTTCTCATGATTAATTAAAAATAAAGTAGGGGAATGCTCCATTCGATACACAAGTTACAAGAACTCAACCAATTAGACAAGACAATTCTCCTGGACCTGGAAGTTACAACATCTAAAATGATGTGTAAGGGTACAAATCCATATAAATTTGGCCATAGTTAAAATATTGTGTTGCAATCATCTCAATCTGATGTCAAAGTTGTTGATAAACCTCAACCTCAATCTGTCTTTGCATCCCAAACCAAGAGATTCCACCCTCCCAAAACTATGATTTCACCTGGGTATTCAATTATTCTAAATGAAATTAAGTCCTGGGGCATATGATACAACTAACTGTGGAACCAGAGTTATTCAGTAGCAGTATACATCGTAACATTACATCGAAACAGTAATGAAATTGAATAAATATCAATCAATTCCTTCTATCCCTTCATCAAATTAGGTGTATGGATACACAGAAAAAGGAAGTAATATAAATAAATCTAAGAGAGTTTAGCCCATGATTTAGAGGTTAACAAAATTCCATTTCAAACATTTTCTGGTCTTAAGTAAGACTCGGTTGGTCCAGGTCAATATGATCTTAAGGATGCATTTGAATAAAACAAATATAAAGGAAGTTTTTGGCATAAATCTAAGGCTCCAAGATTAGCACCCACAATCTCAAAAGAAAAGGAATTGATGGTGGGACCTGGAACCTATGATCCAAGTGCAATTGTTGTACCATTACACAAGTTAAACCCTTCTGGAAATTTTCAATCTAAATCTCAAAGGATGTTTGATTCCACTAAAGAAGAAAAATAAAAATAGTTCATGAAAATATTCTTCGATAAACAAAAGGATAGACTTTCAAAGAATGCGGCAAATTACTTAGAAGATGACGAATATGTATTTTGTGATGTATGCAATATTATTTATAAACAAAGGATACAACCCCAGGTCCAGGATAATACTTAGGCAATGTCTCAAATTAATCAGCAATTTCGACCAATACTTAATCTACAACGAAAATGGGAAAAAACTGTTTTGGATCTAAAAGCAGGAGATTTTAAGAAAAAAAAATGCCATGTTATGTTGGTCCTGGAGATTATGAGTTGGAAACAGATATAATAAAAGAAGGCGTATCATAAAAGTAACCACCTTTTCAATCAACTAATTTACGTTTCGAAGCTAAGGGTTAAGAGAAACGCCCAGGACCATAAACTTATAATCCAAAAATTACTGTACTTTTGATCAAAATATAGTTAGTTGGAAGATAAATTGATTAAGAAAATAGAAAGAGCTCCAGTTGGTAATTTTGGATCGAATTAATAAAGATTTAAATAATAAGAAAATGAGATGCCAGGTCCAGGAAGTTATGATTAAAATGGCAAAAAGGTTAAAGGAATTGCATCTGTCTTTACTTCCAAAACTAAAAGGGCAGATGCAGCCTCAGTTCCTAAAGATAATTATCCAGCTCCAGGGGCCTATGATGTCAAAAATTACACTATTGAATAAACAACAAAAATTGAGAAAGAAGAGGATCCAGATCTAGCAATCTTTAAACCAGCCTTTGGATCATCATTACCTCGATTCTAGCATAAAGAAAAGAAGGCAATTGATTAACAAGATGATGAATAAGAAGATGAATAAATTAGAATGCATGATAGTTCATCCTTGTTTTAGAAAAAAAAGAATCCTCACCCTCCTTTTAATATTAGAGTAATATCTCTCCATCTAATCTTAGGAAAATAGATTTAATTATGATAAAAAGAAAGAAGATTATTTACCTGGTCCAGGGGAGTACTTTGATCCAAAAGAAAATGCTTGGAATAAATCTACTTTTAATATATTATTCTAAGAAATATGATAAAATTTTATAATATTCATTATTAAACCATAATTAAAATTCAATTTTAATCTAATTCTTTCCCTTAGAATTGAAGATATTATAGGACTAAATCATATAATTTTAATTTTATTTATAAGCGTTTCTAATGTTAAAAATATAATATTCACAAAGAAATTAGTCTCAATCTACCTTAAATCTTTGCAAATTATTGATGATGCTCATAATATTAGAAAAAACCTTTTTCAGAATTACAAACTTAATTAATATATTTAAAATTCAACACAATATAAAATATATTATATTGAGGTAATGTAATATGATTTGTAAAAGTCATAACAATTCATCAATATATCAGATTTTCATATTTTTCTAAAGAATTTCAAATCTGACTTAGTATGCTAATGAAGTATAGATGATAGCTTCAGCGAGTCAGTAATTTTAAATTGTTTAGAAATGGATACAGTGGTTTTACATTTATTGGATGGACTATTTAATATGTTACGGAATATACTTATTCACATTGACTAACTAAATTTTTAAAGGAGACAACAATTTAGATAGTGGATTTTCTTTGACTACTCGTTAAGTGAATGATCCAAAGTGATTAAACCCCTTTTAAGTAGGAAGTTATTTAGGGTTGGTTTTTAATGAAGATTAGATATTAGGAGGTTGGTAGTATTATGAAAGCTGTTTACTAGTTTTAGCAGTGTTTAGGCTAGTTATTTAAGTTTATTATTAAGTGATCATCTTTCTTGACAATACCTATTTAATGGTTCTTGATGATAAACCAATTGGAAATTTAAGGATTAGAGAATTGGGAACTTAGGATTGTTTTTGTTTCTTTTTAGAGATGTGTTTTAAAAAACTGTCTAGTTGTTCTTGTTCTCTATTTGATTGCATTAACTGTAGATCTTCAACATTTAATTTAATGGAGTTAAGTTTAGATTTAATTTTATCAATGGTGTTTGGAGTTTCAGTTATATTATTCAAAATATTACTATATTTTTTGCCTGATCTTTAAGTAATACTCAAATCGGATATATCACCAACAATTTTTTTTTGAGGTTGATCAGGATGTATTTTATTTTGATAATCTATCATTCGCTTAATCTTAACATATTCTACCTTCCTTCTCTTGTCATGATAACTAAATAATGATTCCTATACTCTACTTGCTCATAATTTCAGCGATCTTTGGAAGAAAACACCTTGGAATGTCATTGTGAAATTTGTAATAGTGAACCAAGGAAGTGATTTTATTTACAATTTCATCTATTTATATATTGAAAGCATTACTAATAGCATAAGTTCTTCTCAATAATTCAGTTTCTTGATTTAAGTTTAAGATGTAATGAAAGTTGATAACTTGAGTTGATCTTGCATTTTCCATAAAGTCATTCAAAGATTTAGTATAGTAGTAATTATCTGCTTAAGAATGATTACGTAGTAATATTAGTTATGTTAACTAAGTGTTACTCATTTATATATAATTAATACAAAAAATAAATGTTTAATATTATTATTATTTACTCCTTTAAGATGATAAACATCTTAAATGATAAAGGTGGAATCATTATTATCACTTCTATTCTTAGATCAAATGACACATTAAGAACAAATACATTTTACAAAGAAAGAGTTACAAAATATTTTCATAAGGACAAAACAGTTATACACAAGTTATTACCTTTGTTAAATCTTTATTCTTAGCAATAACAACTAAAAATAGCTATATATTATGAAATAGATTGTATATTTCAATTTTTATATGTATTCTTTATTAAAAATTCACATATTATTTACTTGTCAATCCTAAATTTTCTCAATAATTCAACTAAAACATAGGTTTATTTATTGAGACTATTTAATTGCAATCTTTTATTAATTATTTTTAATAATCTGTCCTATTGAAGTATTTATAATTATAAAGTTTTCTCCCATTATTATTATCTTTCCTTTCAAAATGAATATTATTATTTCAAATATTCCCTAATTATAAAATTGAATGATTATTTATAGAACTAATTGATTTTCATCATCTTATAATATGCTAAAATAATTACCAATATTAAAGAGACTATTTTAAACAAAGGATAAATATTTAATAATAAGATTACAACAGGAATTTTAACTGTTATTATATTATCAAGTCTAATCAAAATGCACTATCCCACTCAGCGTCTTTAGCACTTGCCAGTACTTTCTTTTATCCCTGTGTATCTTTTTAAATTTAGTCATGAACTGAGATTCCACGCTATTAGGCACTTTGAATCTATGCTGGAGTCATAATTTTATCCTTTCCAGGCAATAAGGGAGCTTTTAGTTATTTGACCAATAATTTTTCCTAGAAATAAGAGTAATATTTACCCAATCAAAATCTTTGAACCAAGTATGAGATTTCAAAGTAGTGTAAGAACCTCCCAACCTAACTTCAGGGATCTTATTCATCAATTACTCTATGAAGGGCTTTGCAGATTTATCGGACATAAAATGAGGATAGCTGATTGGCTTTTTAATGATTTCCTTGTAGATTTCAAAGGGATCTTCCGCTTCTTCTCCAAAAGGCAACCCACCACATATAAATTCATAAACGCAAACTCCCACACTCCATAAATCTGCAAAGTAACCATAACCTTTTCCTGAGATGACTTCTGGTGCCATATAATGAGGTGTTCCTATGATTGTGAAAGTCTTTGACGATTCTAAAATATAGTGATGAATGTTATTGTTTACATTGATTTTTAAATGACTTAGCTGTACCCATGTCAATTAACTTCAGGAATCCCTTATCATCAACCATAATATTTTCTGGTTTAATGTCTCTATAAACAATGCTGTGTTATGTATGTAAGTATTCCATTTACAACAACATTTGTGCAGCATAGAATTGCGCATCATACTTACTCAATAATCCTATATTATAATAATTTGAATAACATTACCAATAACTCTGATGGCATCGAACAATTCCATTCCTGGAATGTACTCAGTCAAGAAATAAATATTTTCATTGTCTTTATAGGGTCTGTAAAACTTAAGAATGAATGGGTGATCCATCAATTCCAAGACAGCCTTTTCTTATTAAATGTGTTTTTGGATTCCAAATTATTATACATGTGCTCTTGTAACATATTTGAGAGCAAACAAAGTCTCCAAGTCCTTAAATTTGCATAAATAAACAGAACCGAACTAACCAGACCCTAATTTATTAAGATATATTAAATTCTTGAATGATTGACTTTTGATCTATTCTTCAAATGCATTTGCTTTTTCAGATTACTAAGCCTTGCCTTACTAAATCTTCTCAACACTGCCTTGAGCATTTCTGAATGATTCATAATCTATAATGGCAACATGTCCTTCCCCTTCTACTGTGTATGTTTTCACATGAGAAGTGCCTTAGAGTTTATCCTGTAAAGTATCTTCGACTAGGATTGATCCCTTGAGAGCCTTGGCTTTGTTCTCATCTAGTGCATCAACATCAAGAAGGATGACTAGTTGTCCAACTTTTTCTCCCTTTGTAATTACTTTAGAATTCGCAGCTAATTTCTTAATTTACACTCCTTCTAGCAATTTATCTTGGTATGTGGATTGAGTTTTGCTGAATAACTTAGATGAATTCAAAGCCCATTTGCATATATTTTTGTATATGATAGATTGCACTTGATCGCCTAAGATTTATTAGATCATATCTTTTCCTAAAGCCAACACTTTTGTATCTTTTTGAATAGCTTTAATGGTCATCATTCTCACCTAATTCTCATGTTTGAGTGCTGACTCTCCAAAAGAATCACTGGGATTCAAAACTGCAATTTATTAGCCATCCTTATTAAAAACACCGCATTAGCCTTCCACAATGATGTAAAATGAGCTTGCCTGATCTCCTTCATTTACTATGACTTCTCCTTAATTAAATTTCTGGGATATAAGTACACCTGCCACGGCATCTTTCTACTCTCTTGTTAATTAATCTATTTATTTATGTATTTGATATAATTACTAAAAAATTTAACACTCTCTAAATATTTTCGATTTTTCTCTTATTCACTTCTCATAATAGTTTCTACACTCTTTCTAAAGGTATGTCTGTCGATTCCCCATAGAAAGCATTCTTCCACAGCCATACATGTAGCAGAACGAGGAGCATTATATAACAATGCCAATTCACCAAACCCAAATCCGGATGTTAATTCTTTACGTGGTACATTATCCACCAAGACATTTATTTTTCCCTTTTCGAGAATGAAGAATGAGCTTGCTCCATCTCCTTATTTGATGATGTTTTCTCCTACTTGCAATTTGCAATAGAACATACTGTGCGCCAATTGTGTTCTAGGGTTAACATAATATTTTACAATTATGTATCAGTCATGGAGCTAAATACGAAATGGCTTTAAAAGCATTTAATGATAAATTTGATATCGTCAAGACTTTAGGTTTTTTGTTCGGGATGAAATGTTTCAAATATCTGAGCTACTCCACTCTCCTGAGTGGGTCTGATTGCAATATTACGTTTGGACACTCTTCGAATCAAAGAAGCTGGTGGTTATCCCTAAAGTTGTTGTTACTAAACACTTTTGTCAATTCCGAATTCTTAAACCGAAGACTTTTATATCCAGTGGTTTTGATCCATAAATTTAATATAAAAAAGTAAATGATAATATCTATTTATGAACTAGATATTTGTATGACTTTAATAATCTCAGTTAATTTATTAATCATATTTCAACCAATTATATCCCTGTTTTTTTATTGCAGTTACCATTTACTGTTTATGCTCAGAATCAGACGTTATTGTAATAGAAATTCAAAACATATTTATAATGTTATAACATCAAATGTTAAATAAATTATATACTCAAACTACCCATTTCCTTTATTCCCCTTTCGTTTTATTTTCATCTGGAGCCACAGAATTGAACTTCAGACTCGATCTAACAATTTATTCTTTCTTTTTTTTCAAGGTCTTCTTTAATGTTTCTAAAGTGTTCTTTATTTTCGCAACCATTTTTAAAGGTGCTACAAATTTTAGTTTATCATTCCTCCTCAATTTCAAGAAATTTAATACATATTAAAACGGATAGAGCATGAACTTCCTCATCCTATCCAAAATGGTTGTTTGCCATCCAAAAATATCCTCCTTCATTAACTAAATGACATCCTCAGCATTTTGTTTATTGAAGTAATAATCAAATTAAGACTTTGTTTCAAAATCATCAAATTTTTATTAGTTGAATTACCAATAAAGAGGTTCAAATTGTTGCAAGGCTTTTTTAGCTATAACATCATTCTCATTCACTTCTAATTGTGTTTGCAATTGATGATATAAATTAGTGATGTTATCGGTCATATTATCATTGAAATCTTGAGTAGCCTAAGCTCTCTTCTCTACTAATTTCTTATAATCAATCACCTTCTACTTCTCCGTTGATTCCTCACTTTCACCACTACTCGATGAACTGTCACTCTCTTTAATCTCGTCAATCAAGGGAATCTCTATTTTATTTTTAGGTGTGTTGGTCTTTGCAAAACCCAAAGAGATACCTGCAGTTAAAATAGATTGTTTCCTATTCTAGAGAGCTAGGTTTAGATTTTAACGAGAGTCTGCCTTATTCTAAAATTGTGGATCCTAAACGAGTCTACTTTTTCTCGATTGTTTAATGTGTTATGCTTAAAAAATAGGGGAATTTTGTGGAATCTTAATGCCAGGTGAAGCCGCATCATCAACTGATGAATTTGTATCAGATCCATATTCAAAGTTCAATTGAATTTTAGATTACATAGCAATCGCCTATTAATTTTCATTTTGAAACACAGATGCATACTGACTTGTTAAATCTTTATTGGCCCAGGTTTGCCACTCTGAGATTATTTTATTTTATCGAGGATACTCCTTATTTTACTTTTAATTCTCAGTCATACAATATTTTTTGATTACTGCTTCTCTATTTGGTACAAATTGAACCTAAGGACATCTATTCAGAGGATGTTTAAAATTCTAGCAAGCTGGACAAAATACTCCATTTTCTAATGTTGGTGGAGCATAACTTAAGGTCATGTTATCTTTTAATTAACAATATTTCTAAAAATCTTCAGGGTAATCTTTTAATGTTTCAATGAAATCTGATTTGGATAGTATCAATAAACTTGCATATCCTATGGCTTTAAAGAGATCAAGTTAAGGATTATTGGTTATGAAATTATTCACACAAAAAAATTGACCTTGGTTGATGACGGCATTCATCTTAGATCTCTGTTTTCGATCTGGATGTTGATACACTATGAACCCTTATTCAACAAAGCACAGATGTTATTAATTCGCAAATTCTGTTGAAAATGTATTCTAAGGAGGAATAATCTTTCGCTTGATGGATTTGAATAGAGCATTTCTCAATTCCTCACTAAAATATTTCTATAGGAATTCTGACTTCTCAATGTATACCTTATGAGCCTACTTATCTAGTTCTTCTTTCAACTCATCCGACAATTGCTCTAATAAAGTCTATTCAATTTCAAGATCGACTTCATCGTCTTCCTTCCATCTAAAGGTTAAGTATTCTTTAACCCTAAATAAGAATTTATCCAAATTTATACTGATGTTATAAACTATAGGGTATCTTTCTCTAATTCATGTATTTATTTATGACTCTCATCTTTCGATTCCTTTCAACTTGATTTTATGTAATATCGTCAATAATGCTACCTATGAAGTTTACACTATAAGACACCCACAAGCCTAAACAGTATATTTAGATGATTACATGCTCCTAATACAAACACCATAGTGACTATCTTTTCAATTGCATTCTTGGGTACCATGTCACCGTAACCAATTGTTAACATAGTCACAACTGCAAAGTAAAGTGCTTACAAATACTATTCCTCCCAACTCTTATCCTCCAGATCGTTAAATCTAATCCACGAATCTTCAATGCTGATACTACTGAAGTAGAACCAGATGCAACTGAACAAATGTAGGATGTAGAGAAGGGTTAGGATGAATTTCAGCAATCCAAAAATACCTCTTTGTGGTCTTGTTAAGTACGAAATTTGATCACTTTTGGCAAATGTCTCATATACGTATTTGTGTTAGGCTAAGATTAATAGCAAAAATAGGTTTGCTTTAGTTTTCATGTCGGGAATGATCATAAATATTATCAAGATTAAAGAAGTGGAAAAGTCAGTAAGAAACTCCTTTTTTAATTGATGTATAACCAATTCCCATTTATCTTTGATTGCTATCCCATTTTTGTAAGTGAGAGTGTTGATTCTTATGAGAAAGTCCAATTGCAGTATCATTAGAATGACATAGGTGATTGAAATGAGATTGTTAAAGAGAATTTCAGGTTTGAAGGCGATTTCTAGAGGAACCAAGATGAGAAGGATGATCCTAAAAAAGGATGTAAAGAAATCCCAGTACATTTTGAATAGGGATTCTGGTTGAATGATGGGGATTTTATGGATTATTGTATTGATGCAATTAACAATTGGTTTTCTAAGTCTTCTCAAGTCTTCCTTCACTTACTCAAGAGTAGTGCTGTCCCTGATCTCTGCATCTCTATCGAATAGAGTTTTCATTCTCTTCAGATTAATTCCAGATTAACTTACTCGCTTTGAATAAGTAAATAAGTTTTGCCTAAGAGAATAAAGGATTTTTCATACACATCTGATGCCTTGTCCCCAATTAGATTAAAATGAGCCTCATTTAAACAGCCCAATCGTTTGCGATTGAGTGACAATTTCTCTACAAACCTCCCAATGTAAAAAAAAGACATAAAACTTGTTTAAGCATTCGTCTAACTTTTTCTTTTGCTTGAATCTCTTGTTTATAAAACAGCTAATTTAGGGGTTTGGACATTCGAAGCCAATATGTTCTCGTCTGAATTTGAGTGAAAGGAATTCGGACTATGCAAATATTTGGCTTCTAAATTTTAGGCACTCAATGTTCTGCTAACAAGGTGAGGTAATAACTGATATTCCTTCTTTGAATCCCTCAGACATTGTCCCAAATATTATTGTTCAAAGTCTTCATTCTACACTGCCTTCAATTCGATATCTTATTCTAAATCAAAGCCATTCTAAAGATTAAACATTTAATAAATAATTCAGTTTCGAAAAAACAATCATTATTAAATTTACTAANTACATGCTCCTAATACAAACACCATAGTGACTATCTTTTCAATTGCATTCTTGGGTACCATGTCACCGTAACCAATTGTTAACATAGTCACAACTGCAAAGTAAAGTGCTTACAAATACTATTCCTCCCAACTCTTATCCTCCAGATCGTTAAATCTAATCCACGAATCTTCAATGCTGATACTACTGAAGTAGAACCAGATGCAACTGAACAAATGTAGGATGTAGAGAAGGGTTAGGATGAATTTCAGCAATCCAAAAATACCTCTTTGTGGTCTTGTTAAGTACGAAATTTGATCACTTTTGGCAAATGTCTCATATACGTATTTGTGTTAGGCTAAGATTAATAGCAAAAATAGGTTTGCTTTAGTTTTCATGTCGGGAATGATCATAAATATTATCAAGATTAAAGAAGTGGAAAAGTCAGTAAGAAACTCCTTTTTTAATTGATGTATAACCAATTCCCATTTATCTTTGATTGCTATCCCATTTTTGTAAGTGAGAGTGTTGATTCTTATGAGAAAGTCCAATTGCAGTATCATTAGAATGACATAGGTGATTGAAATGAGATTGTTAAAGAGAATTTCAGGTTTGAAGGCGATTTCTAGAGGAACCAAGATGAGAAGGATGATCCTAAAAAAGGATGTAAAGAAATCCCAGTACATTTTGAATAGGGATTCTGGTTGAATGATGGGGATTTTATGGATTATTGTATTGATGCAATTAACAATTGGTTTTCTAAGTCTTCTCAAGTCTTCCTTCACTTACTCAAGAGTAGTGCTGTCCCTGATCTCTGCATCTCTATCGAATAGAGTTTTCATTCTCTTCAGATTAATTCCAGATTAACTTACTCGCTTTGAATAAGTAAATAAGTTTTGCCTAAGAGAATAAAGGATTTTTCATACACATCTGATGCCTTGTCCCCAATTAGATTAAAATGAGCCTCATTTAAACAGCCCAATCGTTTGCGATTGAGTGACAATTTCTCTACAAACCTCCCAATGTAAAAAAAAGACATAAAACTTGTTTAAGCATTCGTCTAACTTTTTCTTTTGCTTGAATCTCTTGTTTATAAAACAGCTAATTTAGGGGTTTGGACATTCGAAGCCAATATGTTCTCGTCTGAATTTGAGTGAAAGGAATTCGGACTATGCAAATATTTGGCTTCTAAATTTTAGGCACTCAATGTTCTGCTAACAAGGTGAGGTAATAACTGATATTCCTTCTTTGAATCCCTCAGACATTGTCCCAAATATTATTGTTCAAAGTCTTCATTCTACACTGCCTTCAATTCGATATCTTATTCTAAATCAAAGCCATTCTAAAGATTAAACATTTAATAAATAATTCAGTTTCGAAAAAACAATCATTATTAAATTTACTAATATAATAATCATTCCAACTCTTTATATTTTAATACTCTCTCTACGATTTTCAAGATATCAAATCGAATCAAATACAAAACTCCATTGTCCCTATATAATTTCAAATAGTTCCAAATCAACTCAAACCAAATTCAATGGAAATAATAAAAAACAGTATTAATATATACAAATAATACTATAAATAGTACTGATTATATCATATTCAACAATGAAGTGAGATCCAAAATTAAGATACATAAACATTTTACAGGTCGTACCATACAACAGATCTTCAGTATATAATGATATGTACATTAATGGTGCTTGTATATTGTCTAATGACAATTTTCAATATATATTAATTAATAATATATATATTATCCGTTAAATTAATGAATTCTCCAAGAGCAGAGAGCCTTGATCAAGAACTCAGTGAAGCAATTAATAAAATATACAACGGTTGCCAGAAAATCAACGCAAAACATCTGAAGATTAGAATATTGTAATGGCTGGATAAAGTGAGAACTCCAACACATAATTTTATTTGGAAATAGAATTCTTTGCTATATGCGCGTGTTCTTCTGGAAATGACTCTGGAATAACAATTGGATAAGCCATTTCGAGGTGTCCCACCAGACGGTCCATTGCCTCGATTGGATAAATTTGATGTCGTAATATGATCAATCTTATTCCAAAAGCCTTAACATATATGGTAGAAAATCAAATAAATAAATATCCAACAACCTATGTCCCCTCGAAAACCTTTAGGCATGCTCTCCAATAGAAATTTCACTCCCAAACTAAAAACCGAACCCATTCAATACAAATCAAATAAATTTCATAATAGCCAGAAGTCTCAAAAGTGGGATTAGATCAAAGAAACCTTGGAGGGTGCAAATAGGAATATGCGAGAGTTCAAGCAGTTCCTAGAAAACATCCAAACTGAAAAACTATTTGTGTGATTATTATTAATAATGACTAAGTATATTAAAGAGAGCATAGTGTATTCGTAATGAGACATTTAGGATGTCTATGGGGAATATACGATTTGATTATAAAATATATTATATATTTTTAACAACTTTTTCAAAGTGAATAATGCCTCCATTTACACCAGATGCGCGTAATTTGGGTGGTAGGAACATGATATCATAATAAATTTGGAATCACTTACAATAGTTAAAGGAAATATCATAACAAATACCACAGATTTTAGTATCACCACGGAAACTTCCAAATTCGCCTAAGCAAAGTATCGAAACTATAAATTACAAGAGAGTCAATAGAAAATAAGATTACTTACTCTATCCAACTTACTTGTTTAGACGTAAAACTGTGTCGGAAAGTTTCACTTCATTGAGTCCCAAAAACATTCGAGATGAAACACAATTACTGTTTTAAGAACCCCTTCTAAGAAGACAGAAAAACCTGAAATCTCCTCAAAAGATCTTCCCATTCAGCACCATCCAATTGGGGGCTCTGCAGAAAATCAAGGCGAATGAAATTAAAATGAATAAGAAGAATGATGAGATGTGAGTTTAATGTGTCTATTAATTATAGTCCCTGGTGCGAGGTAGAAATGACAGTCAAAGAGTTCAACACCAAATATGAGGATTTGTTGAATGAAATCTAACAGGTAATCTTGGAATTCGGAATCTACAGTGCATCTGATTATCAAATCCTGATCCACATGATTCTGCGACTCAAACCCCAGATACCCAAGATGGACTTACTAAATATTTTTAATGAATTGATTATTAAGCAATAATTATAACTGTCTTGAAAAATTTAATTAATGGGAACATGTCAATATAATAATTGCAAGTCCTACATAGACATCAGCACTCTCAACACCACAGTCAACATAATCGATCAATTAAATAACGACTTCATGGTTGTGCATGAAGATTATGAACATCCCCTCTATGGATAAATCAATATACTAGAATATAAGGAGCCCAAATAATATGATTTTAAATTAGTACATAAACTTATAACCTTTGCAGAATAAGAGGACTTCCAACAGGCACTCTAGTATTACGAAGCCAAATTTTACGGGTTCAATCATCCGAACCTCCTCATCATCCACGGTATCAACATTTGCCATTAATTTAAGCAATGCAGTACAAGCAAATCGATTAGTTTTTCACCACTGAATACAAATTATCACTCTTCCTAGACTATTATGAAACTACCCTAGCTCAAGAATTGATCTACAGAAAAAAAATCTACTTTGAAGAAACAGAAATCTTGTTTTTTCTAGACTCTCTCATAGGATCGCAAGCGTTTCTCCAATCTAAAGGCTATGCATTGCCCTCTCTGAAATTTGACAAAGTCTATCTCTCCAACCTCCTAAATGGAGCCATCGGACTCAAAGTTTAAAGTCCCCTCTTCCACAACTAAGAAGAGGCTCAATTCACTCAATTATTCCACAAAATCGTAAATGGAGAAGAAGTGCGCTTGCATGAATACCCTTACATAACACCTGAACAATGGTTGATGATCCAAAATAAGCAACTAGAACCCTACAATGAATTCAAAAGCAATGTCTTTATCTTGGGTTTAGTAACACTACTAATTTTATATCTTAGATGACACTGGAACTCTGCTCAGCCAAACAAAGCATCTCACTCTATTAAGATTACATGATAGATCCAAACACCTTGACAGAACAGATCAATAAAGTAAGTGATAGATATGGGGAAGCCCTGCCCCTGATCTTGGAAGCTATGCTCCATTATGATCCAAAAGAACGTCGAGACTTTCTGTAATTGAATGAACTACTAGATGCATCCTAACTCAAAGGGAAGAGGTTGGCCTAAATTTGGACTTCTGATGACTACCAATATAGTTTAACTGAGAAAAAGGTACATCTAATCATATTATGGGATAAAGGTGCACTTTTCAACCAAACAACATTCGTTGATACATCCAGAAGTCTAATCCTAGTTGTCCAATTAGTCTCTCTTGCAAAAAGGATCGCATCTATCCATTCGCCAAGTCATATCCAAAAACTCAAAGGAGTCAAAGGCATCTAGTGTATTTATGATCAGTTTTATTATGTTTTAGTCCTTCATACAGAAAAAGGAATCCTACTCACCTCAAATTTAAAAGAAGAATTTGTTCAAGAAGTTCGAGACCGAATAGGCCTCGAAAGGAGGAAGCAAAAAGTTAATCACGCAAGATGGTTTTGGAGTGGAAACAACTCCTAATGGACTTACGTATGAGGGTTTTTTTAGTGGGGGCAAGAAACAGGGCATGGGTAAATTAATTAGTGACGATAATGAGATAATCTATGAAGGATATTTCCATGAGAATTAGTAAATTTAATATAAATTATCAGAAAAGATTTCATCGCACTGGAATTTTAAAAAACTAAAATGCTTAAAGTTTTTAGGATGCTTTTAATTATAAGGACTTCAATCAATTGGGCGAGAAATGGGCACGTTATGATGGTGATTTTAATTTTGGTCAATAAGACGGGTATGGATAATTAGTTTTAACAAATGCAGAGAGATACACAGGTTTGTTTAAGAGTGGGAAAGTGCATGGGGCAGGAGTGTTTTAAACCTTGGATGGTAAACAAATCAAGGGAGTATGGGTTAATAACGTTTTATAGGAATCATGAGTAAATTTCGAAAATAATTATAATAACAAAAATAAAAGTAGTTTATTTTGTTCAGGTGTTTGGATTAAACATTTTTGCATACACGTTTTGTTCTTTTTGTTGCATAGCACCTCTACGATGAGGAGTCTTTACTTGAACCTATGTACTATTTTGAGATTGGAAATCAATCAATTTAGATAGTTTAAATATCAACTGCAATTCAGGACCTAATTTTTCAATTAATTATTTGCTGACATTGTTATTTTTATTCTGCACATCATCCTCACTCTATCTAAGAACATCATCATACGACTTGTTAATGTACATTAAACAAATTACATTATAAATTTTGGCATAAAATAGATAATTGTCCTGATTGGCACTCCCTCGCTTGAGTTTGAATATGTCTCCACCTCCGATTTCTTCATCTTGATCCTTTTCCTTCAATTTCAGAGTCAGAATATCTCGAGTAGGTTATGTCGTCCTGTCATCTAGGGTGATCTGAGGTTTCGGAGTAAAACCGAACATCAATTATTGATGATAGGATAATACTACTTCTTTCAATTTAATCATCTCATTCATGTTTTAAACAATGTTATAAATGTCTATTTATTCAGCTGCCTACTGCATGCCTTTATTAATCAACCTTATTCTGGGCTATTTTGAAAACAATCTGTTACAAGTGATCACATTCGCCAAGATTTTAAATGATAAATATATAGGTTTAGCTCTACTTATTATTGATTTGATTTGTTTCTCAAAATATTCCAAACCAGATTTGCAATTCAATTATATTGCTAACATCTATTGATCTTAAATAATCCGAAAACTCTCCTTTTTTTGTTGGTTTTATAGATTATTTTGTTTGAATACAGTTAAGTATTAGACAACAGCCTTGAATCGTTTGACTCCTGTTAATTTCTTTATTACTTGGTTGTTCTCCTTTTGATTTATCAGTGTTTGATGAACTGTTTGAGGCTTATCCTCCTCATCTGAATTATTGACTGATGAACCAGGTTCCTTTTACTATCTTTGTTATTACTATAAGGCTAGATTTATCAATTCCAATTTCTCCTATTATTATCTCAATTTTTCAGTATTGTCTAATGAAAATTCATAGACTCTATTAGCCAATTCGATCATCACTTAAATAATAGGGGGTTATTGATTACTTTATAATTTATTGTATAGGGTTACGACAATTCCGACGAAGAAGAATAGGATTTATTGGATTCCTCCCAAATTGGATAACATTTCATCAAATTTCATATAATTTCTTGTGATGGTAGTCTTGAATGGACTTCGTTTGAAGTTGATCTATACGTATTAATCAGATGCCTGATTTCCGATTTCAGACACAACCTTAGTTTCTAATTATTCAATTGCAAATGTGTCAGTTACATAAGTTTCACTTAAATCTTAACTTTCAAAATTACCTCAACGGTATCAAACTGTTATCCTAAACTATGTGGTAATGTTTTAGATAGACATCTATAGTTCTTCCAATTTTATTGGGAATGAAAGTATATTGCAATGAGTCATCCAAATAGAGTTGCTTGTAGTTGTCATCCGATTTATAGGGATTGATAATAGAGTTGATGTTATAGATTTGAAATTTAAAGCTGCCATGTTATGCCAGAAATTCATCCAGTTGTTCCTGGTTGGCACACTCGTACCCTCTATTCAAAGCTTCTTGAGCATTGCATTTGCTTATAATAATTTATAAATACGAAAAGTCCTCACCTAGATGTTTATAACTAAATTTTACTTATGTGTGTACCTCCCAACTTGAAATTTGCTTCCTCCCTAATATAATCATTTCTTTTACACTGGACAGAGATAATCTGATAAAGAGGACGAGTTGAAATACAGTTAGGAAAAGTCACTCCCTTCTTCCTAAAAGTACTTTTCGAATCGGTCTTCCGTACATTCAACTAGAGGGATTTCTTTAGACAAAGACTCTTGAGAACCATTCTGATACTTATAATTTAATCTAAAAATTATGATGACTTTGTTATACTTCTAGACTAGAGAGATGTTGAAAAAGGGATTGTGAAGAAAGTCCTCCTGTTATATTGCAATAGCAAATAGCAACTGTTTATCTGTTATTGTATTATCCGATACTTTGGGGTCGTACTCTGTGATGGATACAGCATTCAATTATTCCTTGTTGAGAAGCGAATTAAAGTTAGCTGAAAACTGCCATATCATCACTCCAATCACAATAATGGACATCACTCCTCCCAAAGCTGTTCTATATGTGGATTGCTAATTCATTCTCAATGTGATTTAGTAACCAAATATGTCAACTCTCCTTAATTCTAAATAATTTAATTATCATACCATTAAGAAATTTTTCCATCTATAATTATTATTAATTAGATTATTAAATTAAAGCTCATACTAAAACAAAGGAAATTAACGCATTAATCTAGAGAGTCATAATGCATTAATTAATAATATCTACATTTAATAAATAAAAATATAAATTAATTATTAACAACGAGATCTTCAACTGTATCCCAGTCTCTCTCCCAATAGCCCTTGGGTCACTAGACAAAATTATTATTTTTGAAAGAGATCTTTTTATTTAGTACCGAGATTTTGACACTGCCAAATAATTAAACTTAATTTAATACTCCCATTATACAATGTAAATGACTTTACAAAATTTATCGCATTTTATATTATAAAATAAATTCAAATAATATCTTATCACACAGATGATAATCAATCCATCATATACACCTCAACTTTTTGCCGTTGGACTGCAAACTATTAAATACTTCCAACTCATTCATTATTTTCAGATGATCACTAAAGTATTTCGCATCTTGCTGAATTTGTTGTTTTATTGTCTGAAATTTGTTACTGCGAACCATGAAATTGATTTCATCCAACAATTGATTTCTATGCAATGAGATCAATTTCAGATCCTATAACAAAATGTCTTCCCATAAGACTGTTGCTGCCGGTTTCACATAATCATAATGAATAGTGGGCAGATACGTGAAGGTCACCTTATTTTCATTTTCTATTAATTTTATGTTAAATTGGTATCTCTTTGACAAATGCTCTCTTATCTGAGGACAATAGAAGAACTATCCTTACAGAGTAGTGCTCTTCATAAATTACTGCAATTTCCCATCCTCATAATAGATGAATTCAAATATATAAGGAAATGGTTGCTCTTAAGCCAATATATCAATCAGAAATATCTTAACTAGTGATGGCTTTGCTAAAAAGGAGTATTGAGATTTATCATACGAAGTCTACTAAAACTAAAAGTGTTTCTCCTTCTTCAATAAAAAGTCAAATTTCACCAGGGGAATTACTGCCTTGGTGAAGTCTTCATTCTACAGTTTGATTTCCAAATGTCTAATACAGCAGGCTATTATGATGTCCTTTTACTGTTTTTAGAATTGGAGATTCTAAACCTTGTCTATGTCACCATCATATTTATTAACATATTCTTGATACAATTCATAGATTTCCTATTTATTTTATATGAACCTTAAATCATTGAATATAATCCTAATCTTGTTTTTGTAAACTTGAAAATTATTAGCTAGGAATTTCAATTGAGACTCTATAAAGTAATCCTCCTTTGTGTCTGAAAAGAGTCTCTCTTTCTTGTCACTCATGAATTAGTCATATTGTTCTTAAAGGTATTGAGGTATATTGGATTGCATTTCAAAAGGGATAATCTGATTCTATTCACACCACTATTTTACAGCTGGAATTCGATAAACGAATCTTAAGAATGTAATCTTCTATCTCAATCTAATGACATTGCTGTGATCCTTGTCTTACTTTAATTTATCCAGTCTACCTGTTATTTTAGTATGATACAACATTTCTGATAGTTCAATTTGTTTCACCCAACAATATGAGAGCAAGATTCGCTACAGATAATACAACCCATTTGCCTTGTTCTGCGATAGTTTGATATTTTCAAGACCATTACAAAACTCTTGCAATTTCTATAAGATTTTAGTAGACTGTTAAGTGAACTTGTCATTCTTCTCAAATTTCTCTCCTTGCTTGTCCAACAATTTTATTAGTTGAGTCTTTTTCAATTTAAAAAATATTTCATTTAATTCGTTTTTTAACTCCTGTCTCTGTTGCCAAATGATTGTCAATAATTACTGGAGAATCTCCTTAAGCTTGCATTCCTAAGGCAATTCCTTGTTCCATTGAGACTCTTTGATATCATTCAACATGAGATACCAATTGACACCATCCAATAATGCATCCTCAACCATCAATGTCAGTTTGTATTGCTTATCCCGAACATTTTAACTCTTTATGAAATTTATGATAAACGGAATCCCTTTGGAGATTCTTATTATACAGAGCAACTTCTTCTTTACTTCTATTAGTATTTCTCTATTCTTTTCAACCTCCTCGTCCTCCTTAACCTTGTAATATCTGATTCTCTCCTATAATTAAGAACGAGGTTCTGTCTTTTTCTTTATTTTCAAACAAATTCTCTGTGCTTTGTTATAAAAAGAATGTATTAACTCTTTGGTCTCCTGAAATTCAGAGGATGCTTGTAAGATTTCGTTTGATTATTCACAGTACTTCCTCAGATCATCAAAGATTTAAGTAGTGAACAGCTCTGTGTTCGTAATGGCTAATTTCTGATTCTGAAACCAAGTTTAAATTTATTGCAAATTGGATACTCTGTCATTGATTGGCAATTCATGAAACGATGTGGATTCATCTTCGTCCATGGTTTCTATTAATAAAAATTGAAAATCATTACATACCTAATTTTTACATTTAACATCCCAATGAATACAATGATTATTATAATTAAAAGTATAAGTAATTATATTTAATAATGATAATAATAGATTAAAAATAAAAAAATATATGGATTATAATTTTATTATTAATCTACTTATTGATTTAAATATGACAACAACAGTATTGAATGTATAAATGATTATGTAAAATAATATTCATTAAATCACTTACCACTCATCTTGTTCATGTTTAATAATATCTTCACAAGTAATGATTTCAGTCTAACCATCCTTAATAGATTCAGGTGATTGAAGGAATTAATCAATCAGATTAGCCAAGTCTAGTTAATATAGTAATTCACACATTACTTTGTTTCTTCTCCTTCTCTTACTCTTCGTTTATTGTCAATAACACTTCACTTATAGCTGTGTTTAAAGTCTCATTAAAATTAATCAAAAAGTTTGTTATTTCTTAGAATACTTCTGCACACCCTCTCAATTATTAGACTTAATCACATTTCTCTAAATAAGTAGACACCTTCCCCAAAGCCAAGGAACCAATTACTCCACCAAACTAATCATAATATAATATCAATACCAGCCACTTCAATGAAACATTAGGTATTATGACATTCCATGGCAATGCAGACTTTCCAACTAAGGCATGATAGATTACCAAGGCTGCTCCATATGACAAATTAGATTCAGATAATCCATTTGAATATAAGTACTTACCAAATTTCTCGGCTCCCTAGGCTAACAATCTAATCAAGATATGTTTTGAATAAGTCTAATGTTCAATTCAGTCCATACCTTAAAATCAAAATCATCAGCTGGCGAGAGAATTCCCTTAATCTCAGCCGTCAATTAAGCTTCTTTGATCTTTCCTGATGGAGCCCAAAGGTCGTATAATTAGACTCTTGTAATATTGTCGACAACTATTTCAATTTATAGATTCCACTAAGCTATAGAACTTGCCAAATCATTCAAGGCTCCCAAAGTGGAATTATCCAATTTCAACTTCTCAACATCCAAATCTTAAGGGATTCCATAATGTCGAACCAATATCAAATTCTAATATGGTTTTATGATCTGCTCTGAAAATAAACTCAATATTTCAATATCGACCAATTAGATGAATTTATAGATTGCCATCTTCCTCTAATTTAAATCGCTTACTTTTGCTGCCTAAAATATTTAAATCACATTATACAAAGTAATTTTAAAAAGCTTGCTTTCTCAAAGGCTAAAAAAAGGATGACAGGAAAGGAGGCGATTGAAGACTGAGATCAACAGTATTTGTTTTACTTGTTATGAACTATCGAATTTCCTCTAAATCATTAAATTGAGGGTATAAACTAGAGAATTGACTTTGCATAATTTTTAAAAAATATTATTTTAATAAATATTATAATTTTTACTATTTAAAGTCATTCTTATAATACTATTAGCTCCTTCATCTCTATCCCCTTAAGTGTCGTCCTTTTCTCTCATAATTGGAATATAATTTTTATAATTCCTCTTCCACCTCCTGCTTTTTAGAAATCCTTTCCACTTTAGCATTCTACACCTCCTCCTCTACTTGACTCTCCTTCTCTGAATTATTTGTGTGCAATAATATATTATAAACTATATCCTCCTTGTTTGTAGCCCAATCCAAATAAATTCTCTCGAAATCATAAGTGGATAGATTATCAGATTTTTAATTATTAAGGTTCTTAAGTCTCTCCCTCTTCAACTTCAATTCTTTCTTAATTTTATCAATCACCTCCTACTTTCTCTTATCCATATCCTTCTCATAATCACTAATGGCAGCAGAATTGCTTGCTTAATCCTTGCATTCTCTTTCAAATTCTTTCTTATTTTGAACAACCTCTTAAATTTCAGTGTTAGCTTTTTAAGACTATTGATAAGTATGCACAACCTCTGCTTCATTATCATATTCTTCATCCTCATCTTCCGATTCTTCCAAATCTCTATTGAAAATTCTATTAGCATATCTCAATTCTTCCATATTCTCTATGATTTTTTAAGTGATTTAACTATCATAATCTATTATGTCCCTTTCCCTTTAATTTTTGAAATCAAATTCATTTATCAAATCATTTATCATTTTGTTAAATTCATCTTCATTACTCCTCTGATACTAATCTCGAATCTAAGTGTTCTTAATCTAATCCAGATTATCCTCTTTAAATCCTCTTTATTGTCTATTCGAATCTATTTTCAATGAGTATTCCTTATCATCCTCAATGCGTTTCCAAATTCTTTAACTTTTATCAGGTTAAGCCTAAATTTAATTTTGAGTCTTCTTGTCGAATTATACGTTCTCCATGCCATCCTAAAGATCTTCTAAATTTTCAATGACTTCTGCCTCAGATTCAGCTGCAATCCTCAAAAAGTCATCATCAGTCAATCCCACTTAATCATTGATACTCTCACTTGTTATCATATTATCCAAATTAACGCTAACCTCCTTTTTAATTACTGAATTCTTCTTTATATCAAGTTCCTTAAACTCATTAGGTTTATCAACCTAAAATTATCCAATCTCATTATCCGGCTCTAATGATTAATTAGAATCATTTTACACTTAATTGTTTTCAGAACCTCCACTTAATTCAACTTAGTTATCCTCAGATTCCTGACTCGATTATTCTTAATCATTATTATTATCTATAGAAATATTAATTTCATTCTCTTAAGAGGATTCTCCACTAAATTATTACTCAATTTAATTTTCAATTTGATTATCATCTACTAGTTAGTCTTCATCTTGATTCTCCTTTTAAATAATTAGTTGTTCAGGATTATTTACTATTAGAATTTGTGCTTCTTATTCATTTGTTGATTCCATTGATGAATTTAAGACATCTTACTATTAGGTCTATTCACCCAATTCATTCTCTAAATCATCCAAAAAATAATCATCCTCCAAATTATTAACAATAATTGGATCGTTATTTGTTGATATTGTTATGTATTATAATGAATCATTACTATTCTCCTCTTCTAAATTTTCACTATTGCTATTATCACTTTAAGTTGAATCTAAACTCAATTAATCAAGTTCTCTAGCTAATTCATCTAATTCAGACTAGAAATCTTCAAATGATCCTCCATCAACATCTAAATTCTAAGTAGCTACTATATCAACCGTATCTTAATTCAATTCCTAATTAATTTCAATTACAGTTTCCTAATTAGTAACTTCACTTATTTCTTATTAAGGTTATGAATCTTATATTTCATTTTCTGTCTCATTTACCATGGTGTTTTCTGAATCCTCAACGATTATAGGTATTAAATCTGAATTATCATCTGCAAATATACTAAGATCCACAACATCAACTTCAGGTTAGACTTTGATTAACTCTCCAATCAATTTCTAATCTCCTTCTTTAGAATTAATACTTTAATCCTTCAATGGTTATTCATTTTTCTTTGAATTCTATTGTTTCTTATTGTTAGATAAAACATTAGTAGATTACTTTTTATTTTTTTCATTTGATTTTTTAGTTATTTTTCTATCGTTTTTTTAGTCAATTTTTGATTTATTCAATTCTTAACGTTTATTTTCCTATTATGAGTGGATAGTATCAAGTTCTTCTCCGTCACATTACTCAATTTAATCTTAATCTTACTCACTCTCTGAAATTAACTCATCCTCTAGACTCTCTGATTTAATAGAATCATTATTATCTAATATTCCAAACACTTTAGGAGTCGCTTTAATTTCTTCGTCTGTTTTAATGATGATAACATCCTCATTCTATGATTTGGTCTCTTCTCTTTTGGATACAGGTTCTTCATGAATAGATTCTATCTTTATATCTTAAATGGTTATTTCATTCTCATCATTATTTTCAATCACTTCATTTTGTTTTGTAATTTTTGTGGGCATCTTATCATTTTATATTGGTTAAAGCTCTTCTTTTTTTACAGCATTCTAATATTCCAAATTATTTTCTTATGAAATTCCTGTATCCTAGATTACTTTCTTGCTCACCCTGATCGAAATCCTCGTTTATTCATCCTTCTGTTCTTGCGATAATTCTGATTCATTTTATTCAGATGATTCCCTTAAGAGTTCCTCTGGTTAATTTTCTACTATTAATGACTTTGATGAATAAACTTTTAATGATTTTTTTGGTGGTTCAATCAAAAAGACGTTATTCGCTTCATTTCTAGGCTGAATAGTATTCATTAATACTTATCATCACTAACTTAACTTTGATTATCAATCCATTAATTTTGAGTTGTTTGATGCTAAATTTCTGTTTTTCCAATTTAGGCAATCAGATTAATTGGTAGCATTCCATTAGTTTAAAAAACTTCATTACTAAATGTAGTTACTGCTAAAACCAATAGCAGCAACTAAATGCTATCAAATTATAACATTATTAATATATTAATTATAAAAACGGATTAAAGACCAACAAAATGCTCTAACCTTTCTGATAAACTAATTCTAGAGCTTAAACCTTCAATTTATTATTATTGCAAAGTCAATACATAATTTAATAATATTAATCTAAATTTTTACAATTATCATATCATATATAAATTTCTATTATAATAGTTTACTCTGAAACATAATATCCAATGATTCATAGCAATCCTTTAAAGTGATAATTCCAAACTAGTACAATCTACATAAAAATAGATAAAATATATCCTCATTTTTATCTCACCCTTTTTCTTCAATCTGTTTTCTTTTTTGTTTAGCATTCTGTTCATAAAATTCTGATTCCTCATCTTCAATAACTCTAAGCCTTTTTTACTTCTAATCCCTGTTCTCATATACACGTTTGGATGAAACATATCCAGGCTCAATCGATTCCCTCATTGGAGATAATTTAGAACATGGTGATTTATTTTCTCTAACATTTAGTTTTACTATTCTTCTTGGAGGTTTAGAGTTCTTTGATTTAATTTAATCATTTATGTTTTCAGCTTCCTACTTATTACTTCTTTTATGAATTTTATTATTAGTAGTTACTTAATTATTCTTAGTAGTTTCTTAATTGCAGCCATCTTTCAAAGCTTGTTTTTGTTTAGAGAGAGCAAGTTAATTTTAATGTTCTTTCTCTATTTCATTCAAATATCTCTGATATTCCTATCTTCGTTTTTCTTTTCTTTTTTAATTAATTTTTTGTTTCTTTTTAATCTCATCATTAGTTTCCAATCTACTCAGTGGACACTCCTTTATTTTTGTATTCTTAACTTTCTTATGATCCTTTATTTCTGAGTTATTATTATTATTATTAGGTTTTTAACCAAGTTCATTTGATTCTATTAATTTTGACTCATCAAACTATAAATTATTTTATTATGATTTCAACTCCTTATCCTTTTTATCTAACCTTTTTTATCTTTCTTATGTGATTTTGAATATTTAGATAGAATCAGCATCTAAAAGATCCTCATCCTTCTTTTCCTCATCACTCTCTTAATAACTAACCTTATTCTTGGTTCTTTTTGACTCTTATTATTGTCCTAATTCATTTTATTAAAAGTTTTGTTATTCTTGTATTCCTTATTTTTATATTGTATCCTATTATTCAATTTAATCCAAATGTTATTACTTCTCAGGATTCCCATTCATTTAATTATCTTAAGTTTTCTTCTTACTATCCTTATTTTTGATAACTTAATTTTCCTTCACCTTTTTATCCTAACTAATTGACTGTTTGGGGTTTTCGATTTCATTATTAATTTATTTTACAACATCTATTTTTTGGATTTCATTAAGTTCCTTAAATTCATTCACATAAGGGATAGTGACTATATCAAACATAGCTTATTTGGTTATGACCACTGATCGCATATTAGCCTTATGCAATTACATAAACAATTGATCTGATATTCTCTTTTCAAAATTAAAGATCTCACTTTCCCCTTTGCTTATGAGAGCAATCTCCGAATATCTTAGCCATTTAATAGAGTCCTTTTACTTTTATCTTAACTAACATCTATAGAGAATTAACCCTTAATTTATTTATTTTTTTGTTAAGATTTTATAAACTTGCCGTTATTCTAATAGTTTCTATTTCTCTTTCTCTTGTTATTACTTTTCATGTCTAATTTATCTAGCTAATTATGCCTCTTATAGTTATTACTATTTCAGAGCTTATTCAGTTAATTTTTCTTCCTTTTGTGCTCCCTTTTAACACTTCTTTTATTAATCAGAATCTTTCTCTTTTTCATTCTTCTTCTGTGGTTAAGATTCTTTTTGATGTTCACCTTTTTCATCTAAGCGATGCCTATGGATTTATATTGGTAATGGTTTCTATTTATCAGCAGCACCAACTTTCTTATCTTTTATTTTTGATAATCCAATTAATAAACTATTGATGCACTCTAGACCTTCTAAATATTCGTCTTATTCAATAGGTTTGGTCTAATCATCAAAAATTAACTCTTATTTTTTATATAAATCTTCCCTACCCTTTAATCTCAAATATATCAATGAATTTTTGGGATTATAAAATTTCTATTTTTTCTTTTATTTTGTTTTATCCTCAACATTTCTATTTTTAGATTAATCTATTATCTCCTCTACTCTCTCTTATTCCTTTCGAACCTTCATAATCTTTTGTTATTATTATTACTTTTTAGTTATCAAGTCTTATTTCAATTATTCTTTCCTCTATTCCAATTTCAATTACTCTTATTCCATATCTATCTCTTCAATAACATTTTGATCTTCAAAATATTATTCTATATATTAGGGTTCTTCAACTATTATAGTTGGTGGACTAGGATCTCTGGGTATCTCTATAGCAACTTGTGACTTGTCACTCTCTTCCAATTCCTGTTCAGATAATTCATCAAAGTTGACTTACCATTGTTATTTTTGAGTGTCCTACTTTCGTCTTATTACAGGTTCTTCCTCCTCTTGGATTAAGATAGATGGAATTTCGACAGTCTCTTTTTTAACTTGTAAATTGGGAATCAATAATTCTATTGGATTAGGAGTAAGAGTTAATTAATTAATTTATTATTGGTGATTCGACTGTTTAGAACTCTCTGATTCATTTTCAGAGATGTCTTCGATATCTGAGAAGTCTAGAACATAGTGACTCTATTATTTGTTATGTTTCATTTTTAATATAATACTATGGACCGAATTAAGATATATTACATAAGAAAAAGAAAAGAATGATTTTTTAATTTCTAAAACAAAACATTCATAAACCAATTTTAATTTACTACCTAATTCCAACTATTAATTGATGGATANATTAAAGATCTCACTTTCCCCTTTGCTTATGAGAGCAATCTCCGAATATCTTAGCCATTTAATAGAGTCCTTTTACTTTTATCTTAACTAACATCTATAGAGAATTAACCCTTAATTTATTTATTTTTTTGTTAAGATTTTATAAACTTGCCGTTATTCTAATAGTTTCTATTTCTCTTTCTCTTGTTATTACTTTTCATGTCTAATTTATCTAGCTAATTATGCCTCTTATAGTTATTACTATTTCAGAGCTTATTCAGTTAATTTTTCTTCCTTTTGTGCTCCCTTTTAACACTTCTTTTATTAATCAGAATCTTTCTCTTTTTCATTCTTCTTCTGTGGTTAAGATTCTTTTTGATGTTCACCTTTTTCATCTAAGCGATGCCTATGGATTTATATTGGTAATGGTTTCTATTTATCAGCAGCACCAACTTTCTTATCTTTTATTTTTGATAATCCAATTAATAAACTATTGATGCACTCTAGACCTTCTAAATATTCGTCTTATTCAATAGGTTTGGTCTAATCATCAAAAATTAACTCTTATTTTTTATATAAATCTTCCCTACCCTTTAATCTCAAATATATCAATGAATTTTTGGGATTATAAAATTTCTATTTTTTCTTTTATTTTGTTTTATCCTCAACATTTCTATTTTTAGATTAATCTATTATCTCCTCTACTCTCTCTTATTCCTTTCGAACCTTCATAATCTTTTGTTATTATTATTACTTTTTAGTTATCAAGTCTTATTTCAATTATTCTTTCCTCTATTCCAATTTCAATTACTCTTATTCCATATCTATCTCTTCAATAACATTTTGATCTTCAAAATATTATTCTATATATTAGGGTTCTTCAACTATTATAGTTGGTGGACTAGGATCTCTGGGTATCTCTATAGCAACTTGTGACTTGTCACTCTCTTCCAATTCCTGTTCAGATAATTCATCAAAGTTGACTTACCATTGTTATTTTTGAGTGTCCTACTTTCGTCTTATTACAGGTTCTTCCTCCTCTTGGATTAAGATAGATGGAATTTCGACAGTCTCTTTTTTAACTTGTAAATTGGGAATCAATAATTCTATTGGATTAGGAGTAAGAGTTAATTAATTAATTTATTATTGGTGATTCGACTGTTTAGAACTCTCTGATTCATTTTCAGAGATGTCTTCGATATCTGAGAAGTCTAGAACATAGTGACTCTATTATTTGTTATGTTTCATTTTTAATATAATACTATGGACCGAATTAAGATATATTACATAAGAAAAAGAAAAGAATGATTTTTTAATTTCTAAAACAAAACATTCATAAACCAATTTTAATTTACTACCTAATTCCAACTATTAATTGATGGATAGTAGTAAACAAAATTTAACATACTATACTGATTATAATTTAATTTTATTTAAGTTCTAATAAAATAGTTAAAATGACTCTTCCTTTTGTTTATTACTATTCACTATGTTTATCAAAATTTTTTATTCATACTTTTGTATTCCATTGAAATACAAAATGATCCAATTGAAAAGTTTATAACTTAAAACAAAGGAATCAATAATACCTAATACTTCCATTGTTTCTCTTATTTATTAATTTAGTATTTATTCTATTTTTCTTGATATTTTCATTATTATATATTCAATTAATAATTTAAGATAAATAAGATTTATAGACACTTTTGTTATTATTAATATACAACTTTAACTTTTATTTGTAAATGATTTTGGGAACTGAAGTGAATGAATCTGTTTCAAATAGGCAATAATCGAAAATTCATTACCTCTAAGAATAGAATAAGTAACTGTAAGAATATATTATTGACCTTGAGAATGTTTTAAAACTGAATAAATAAGCTATGTCACTCATGATGGAAGGAGTGAATAAGCGATCTCAAGTAAAATGAATTTGAATCATTAAGATGACATCTGATTCCAGTACCATGTCTATGTGTTATCCAAATTATCAGAACTCATAATTGGAGAGTGTGGTGAAACTATTGAATGAAGAAAATGAAAAACTCATGAAGGGATTCCAAAATCAACAGAAAATAGCATAATAATTATAAACTAGGTTGCTTCTGTAGGAATAGATATCAGAAGAACAGCAAAACTATTACAAAGATTTAATAGCCGATTTAGAATATAAATTAATGGACTTGAAAAGGAGTATTCATGATAAGGAATATGCAATCCAGGAATTAGAGAGGATGAAACCTATCTAAGAAAGAGAGGGATAATTAGTTAAATTGGTTGAAATTGTCACTCCTTCAGAATAGAATTTAAAATTGCATGAAGAATTGGATAACGTTCGAAATTTGCTTAACAACTACTGAGGCTCAATCTATCACAGAAACCAATAATTCCCTGAGAGAAGTCAATTATGTATTGTCTTAATCTAATAGTATAGCATTTGAAAAGAGAAATCTTTAAAATGAGAATCGTCTTACGTAGTTAAACTAACTATTAGTGTATGAAAGGTAAATGCATTTTGACTTAGAGTAGATTTTGTATATAATGAATTTATTGATAAGACTGATGACAATCTAGAACTTAACAGAGAAGTCTAAAATCATCGAGGGAAATTGGAATCCTTGCATCAAGAATTGTACGGTAATTATGGTTTAGGTTATGGATTCTCCCCAGAACCATAGTAACTCAAGTATCTAAGCAAAAATGAAAGGATGATTTATTAAGAAAAATTGCACAAGATGGAAATAATGGTCAAAGGATTTAAAGAATTATTTGAAAAGGAAAAGAATGGCAACATTCAAGTTAGAAGACTATACAATGAACTAATAACAAAATATGAATCTATTTTAGATACAAATGAGTTGCTCATAAAATCTAATTAGTTGAAGGATGAAAGAAATGAGAAGTAGCAAATCGATTTGCAATTTTATAAGAAACAAAGTTAGAGTTTAATGGAACATTTGAGAAATAGAAAAATTACGTTTAATTCCGTTGTTCTAAACTAAGAATAAGACATTGCCATTAAATTAATTAGTCCTAGGTTTCAAAAAAAAATATAATCAAATTCATAACAATCCACCTCAACTAAAACTCAGCAACCAAGTATTAATGAATGTGATATCAAAATCTCTTCCAAAGAAGTCCAACCATCTGACCATCACTAATAATCAACCAAAAAGTAACAAATAGAAATCCTCTAAAAGCCTAATCTACAATAACTTGAGATTGACGAATCCTCTACTGAAGAACAGGCTAAATATATTTCTTAGACAACCAGAGTTGATAACTAAAAATTAAGAAACTTGAATCAATAATAATAATAAGGATAAATTCTTCAGTATTACGACATGACCAAATAGGAATGCATTGCATTTCTAATGTCCATGTTTAATGATTTTTTTAAGAATCTAGATGTATTTAATCTATCAATAATTGTAGCTCAGAAATATCAAAAAGATTCAATTGATGAAATAAATGAAAGACACGCCTATAATTTAGAAGGCTATTAGGAGATCTTACAGTAATCCCTTCTTATACTTTTCTAATATTAATAATATTGCACTTAATCAACCACCCAAATAATCAGTTGTGGCCATCGTAATTATTGATATTAATTTAGACTAAAAATGAAATTCAATTGCTATTAGCTGAACTAAAGACCAAAAAATAATATTTAAATGATCAAGACGAAGAAGCAAATAAACTATTTAGTGTTGATGTTTCTAGAATAGATATGAAACATAATAGAAGAGAGCTCATAGATAATGAACTAAGTTTTATTTCTAATTTTGAATAATAGGAATGAATTATAAATAAAAATATTTTAATATCAATAGAAAGATGTCTAAATAAAATGTGAAGACAACCTCATCTACTCTTGCAGAATCGGCTTACACCACTGAAATGCAATTATGCCAATATAACTTCAGTTTGAAAGTTGCTTAGAAAACTTTACAAGTATAAATAGAAATTACTCCTGATTCTCTAATGATGGAAGCCATAGAAACAGCTATTGATTATTTTACTCAAATATACTATGATTAAGATATAAATGAAAATGCTGAGATTTACGATGTATTCTCTGCAGACCAATAAGGAAATCCTTTGAAAACAAAGTTCAAGACAGAATAATTACTTTAAGAAATAGAATGCAAGTCCTTTGCTTTAGTTTTAAAAAAGAAGGGAACTCTCTTATCTATTTTGAAACAGCCAATCTTGAGAGAAACAACAACATAAGGTACTAAAGAATTGCCTAAGTTCAGATATGACACTACTATCACCAAATGATTACTAAAACCTATATAATTTTATTTAAAACCATTCATGATAAATTTATTCTTATATTATAAAATAAAGGCTTAATTTACTTCTTTGCTTTTTCTGTAGACCAAGTTAAAATTAAGAAGAAGCCAAATTTAATAAGGTTGAAATAAATAGATGACATTATTCCTCACTTTTAAGTCTTTATACGACCTTGTTATTCAAGAAAATTTTTCAATTCCGATGGCATAAGTAATTTCTCCGCTTCATGCTTAGGCAAGATTTCCTTGATTATTGAAGCAGCCGAAGCGAACTTTTAATCCAACGACTTTTTCTTTTTAAGCAAAACCAATTGTTATTATTCAACATATTATTCATAATATATTGGATCTTTAAATAAAGAAGCTGCCTGCTTTGCTTTTTCCCATAATGAGTTTTCTGATTCCTTTTGTGTCAATTAAGACTTCAGTTTCCATGTATCCGAGGTTCGAGTTGATTATTGTGACTTTGCATCCTTATTGTTATTTTATTTAATCTAAGTGTTTAGTTTGACCCTTTGAGCATGAGCTCTATTGAATTCCACATCCTCCAAATTCAATTATAATTTATCTTTGAGTACTAAGGATTTCTGTTCCAGCAATTTCTCCTTATTTAATATTACTTGTTCTTGTTTCTTTAATAATTATTAGTAGGTGTTGCTGAACCCTTCTTAATGTTTCTTATTTAAACAATACTAATACATTTTATTATTCATAGTTGCTTTCTTTACATTTTCTGAGCATTTTGATATACTTTTCTTTTCTCTCATTAATTTTCTTCTTTTCATCTAGAATCAATTAAGACTTATTTTCTTAGAATTTCTTCATTTTTTCACATTGTTCTTTAATGTATTGCTATTACTCAAATTACATTATTTGAGATTTCTTTTCTTATTTGAAAAGAATCTAATTGTTTTTTTGGGCAAAGTAATTTTTCATGTCTTTTTTATATAACTCAACCTTTGTTTAAGCCTAGGTTTCTTGATTAAATCATGCATACCTTTTAATTGTAATTTGTTCAATCTTTCAGTAATGGTTTATTAAAACTAATTCTCCTGTTGTCTTCTCTTCTCGTAAGCCCTTTCAGTGTAATTATCATGTTTGAAATGCTTTTTTAGGAATCTTCCTTGCAATTGTTCTTAAATTCTGGACTCATTTTCAATACAAGTAATTAAATATTGATTTCTTTTCTCCATTTCATCAGTCTGCTCAGTAGATTTGTTTTTATTGGTATCTCTTACCCTCTATTTGGAAAAACTAGTTTCACTTTTTCTCAATTATATATTCTGATGATTCTGTAACTTTTAATTTTGTTTTTAAAGATACTCAACATTCTTCTTTTCCTCCTATAACTATTAGTAAATCAGATTTTGCAATATTTTTTGTCTAGATAAACTTTTTTTCTCCTTTTTTTCTTAAATAACAACACTTTCTTCACTGATATTCGAGAAACTAAAATCACTCAGAATTAATACTTATTCTCTTATTGATTGAAGGCTATTTACTTAAGTGATTGATCTCCTAATTTGTGCCTTTGTTTATTCGTTTATATCTCATTGATGATTCCTATTTTTATTTTGGGGGATTTTACTCATTACTCTATTCTTATAATGATTGTATCTCATCATTTGAACCTCTGGCGAAACTGATGGAAACTACTCAATCGATCTAATATATGGAGTTGAAATAAACTTATAAATGAGATCGTTTGGATCATAACCTAATCTTAAACACAATTTTTGAGTGGTGGTCGATTAAGGACTTGTTTAGTCAATCATCTTCTTAAAAATCTGGTCATCAACTTGGTTTATCATTAAAATTAATTATTTTGATGGCATAAATACAGGATAATACAGATGTTATTCAACCGACCTTCCTTAAACTTAAAGAAACCTTTAATACTCACAAAACAAAGTGTCTTAAGTTTAGAAAGGCTTAACTCAAAAGTTTGTTGAGAGGTCTCGAAGAAATGGAACAAGAATTTCATGCTGCCATAGAAAAGGATTTGGGAGTGACATTATTTAGCAGTTAAATTACTTCAACTATTGTCACAAAGGCAGATGTAGAAAATCAATTAGCTCATATTGATGAATGGAGTAAGGAAGAAAAAGTAGATACACCATTTGTAATATTGTGATAGTCTATAATAGGTGATTGGGCCTGGGTCATCAAAAATCATTTATGAGCCACTCGGAGTAGTTTTGGTAATAGCTGCTTGGAATTATCCACTTTACACAGGAATACCTCCGATGGCTGCTGCAATCGCTGCTGGAAATTGTGTTATTCTTAAACCATCAGAAATTGCTCCACACTCTTCTCAGGCTATGTACAATTTAGTTACAAAATATCTTGATCCATCCTGCTATGCTGTGATATAAGGAGGTGTAGAAGTCTCAAAAAAGATTACCACACTTCCATTAGATTTAATCATATTTACAGGAAGTCCAGAGAAAGGTAAGTTGGTTGCAAAGGCTGCCAGTGAAAATCTAGTGCCTTGTATATTGGAATTAGGTGGTAAATCACCAACCATAGTGGATAAAGATTGTAATTTGAATGTTACAGCACAAAGAATCATTTAGGGTAGATTTACAAATGCAGGTTAAACTTGTGTTGCCTGTGATTATGTCTTTGTTCATCAAACAATTAAGGATGCCTTCATTAATGAGATGAAGACTGAACTTAAAAGATTCTTTGGAGAAAACCCTCAAAATTCCAATGATTATTCAAAAATAGTGACTGAGTTCCACACCTAAAGATTATAAGAACTCCTCAAAGACCATTAGGGATAAGTAGTACTAGGAGGTTAAGTGAATGTAAATCAAAGATATGTTGAACCCACCATCATTGTACAACCAAAAGTAGATTCTAAACTAATGACTGAAGAAATCTTTGGCCCCATTCTTCCGATACTCCTATTTGAGAATATTGATGAAGTCATTCAGTTTATCAATGCAAGACCAAAACCATTGGCTTTATATTATTATGGAAGCAACAGCAAAAATAAAAGGCTGCTTGAATAATAAACTTCCTCTGGTGCTATTGTACACAATGATTCGATTTTCCATCTATTGAGTAAATTAAAATTATATTGTAGATCCAAATTTACCTTTTGGAGGTGTTGGAAATAGTGGTTATGGTGCTTACCATGGAATTAGCGGGTTCAAAGGTTGTAGTCATGCTAAACCTGTATTTGCTAAGTCTACTTTGAATATCTACCCATTCAATATTAGATACCCTCCTTATACCAAACATAAGTTACAAACCCTGTCATTATTGTATTGATAATCAACCTATGTGATAGTTTCAAGTTTGCTGAGTTACCCTAAAGACATGTTGTCAATGCCACTCTTTTAGTTTCTTTTGTGGTAGCTCTTAAGTTGGCTTAAAAGAAAGGCTATTTGAAGAAGCTATTTGAGATATCCAAGCCCTATGTTGAAAAGGTATGGAAGTAAGCAAATTTATGAATAAATCAAATAATTTATTATAAAAATGTCTGAATCAAATTATTATTAGTAATTTGGAATAAATCAATCAGTTTTTAATAGTGAGTCACCCAAAAAAATGACTCCTATTTTGAAAGTAAGTCCTTCATCATCAGATGGGGATATTGATATTAGAAAAGACAGCTATGGAAATTTAATTAGACATGGGGAGAAAAAACATCGAATTTAATTTAGGGAGAAGAACGAGGTCTTTATAGGTATGAGATGAATTGATTTCAATAGTTGAAAATTGGAAATAATACAACACTGATATGGCAACTCAAGAATCTCCTTGTCTTTGCACAATTTTGTGATTGATATCATTTTATTTCGATTAACTTATATAAACTACTGCATTTGTAATTCTAGAATCTATCGATGTCCATGATATACACTATTGCATTTTTAAAGGTGCAAATATATCATTGTTATTTATTATAACTTAGTTTTAATTTTCTTTAATAACATTTATATAATCTGAACTTAATATAATTCATTTTGCACGAGCTGGCTATTTGACTGCGCCTCTCAAAGTATTTTTATGTTTAAGATAAGAATCGAAAAATGTATTCAAGTCATTCTTCATCAAATGATTCTTGATGTTTGGCTCATTGATCATCTCCTTCATTGTTTCATCAACAACTATACCATATGTGTTGATCAAATACCATAATACGTTCGGTGTGCTGATTTATGTTAACCATATTCTGTATGAGTTTTATCCTCGTAATCCTTGATGTGATCAACCTTAAATAGAATTGCTTGAGTGGCTTGATCCTTTTCTTTCTATTGTTTCAATGGTTTCACGAGTTCCTCTAATCGCCCTTCCTTTTTTAGTTATTTATAATGGTTAAAATCATCTTCCCTTTTACGATTTACATCCTGCATCTGAGTAGTCATTGTCCCATAATTATCAAGTCCTAATGAAATCATTGCAGATGTAGTCAAAACTGAAACTGGAGGTTTAGGCAACGATCTCGTTAAACTGTTAAGGTTGGCAGGAGGTTATTATGTCGCGAACTCTTCAATATGCTAATCTAAAACTGGTTTGATCAATTTAGTATGTTCAAATTCGGGGACTTCCTTTTCATACAGTTCATCCTACACTTTATTATAAAGAGCAGCTCTCTCTTACAGAATCTCTATTTTATTTCTTTTATCTAAGAAATTCATTATATTATTTAATAATATTTTTCTATAATTTATTATTATTACATAAAAGTATCAACAGACTTAAAAGATATAATCTTAAGGTATTAGGATTACAATCTCTATAATTATTAATTTTTATAAGTATAATCCCAAAAATGAAGCATGTATTAAAATAAAAATAAATGTTTAGGACAATTATACACAAAAACAGGATATTTAGTTAACATAAACAATTGATATTAAATCCTAACATAATATAGATTTCTTTTAATAAACTTTACAGTATTAATAGAGATGTCAGCTAAAGATAATTAAAATATTGGGAGAAAATATGTTTCATTATTAAAATGCTCGAACACCTACAGTTTGAATTTTGCTGCTGAAAGGTCTCGTGTGTTATTAGCTTTTGATTTGCCTGCTTACTCCAGTTTATGGTCTGAATCCTTATGAGGAAGTTTTAGTAATTATTGGGCTTTTGTTAGAGTTTTCTTGATTAATAAGTTTCATCAAATCGAGTAGGTTATCGTATAATTAGAAACCAGGTTGTGGTTTATTATTGTGACTTTAATTTTTAGAAGTGCCTTTTATTAAAGCTACATGCTGATAAAACCCTTCGGTTAATTATTAGACATCTCTATCATTAATTTAATGCCTTTGCGAAACAAAAGTCGGCGAGAGCAAACGATTTTTAATAATTTATTTTTCAATCAAATTATGATTTTTGATTTCTTGTTCTTCAATATTATAATTTTCACAATCGCCTCCCAGTGATACTTTTTTCAAGGCTGAATGATTCCTAACAACATTCTAATTAGCTAATTAATAATAATTAATATGAACTTTTATCATATTTTTTTGTGTTTCTCCAATATTTAGTCTCCGAATGATATGGCAATTAAAGCATTTCTTCATTTTCGTCAATTTTCATCATTTATTTGGTTTATGTATTGAGACCAGGGGCTGTGATGGGTCTTTATCTTTGTGATGAGCTCTGGACAGGTGAGATTAGAGCAGTCATCGGTCTAAGTGATTTTTCAGGAGTTATTTAGATGTTTTCTAGTTCTTATTCTTTTTTGGCTTTGAATGATTATTTAGAAAACCCTTAAAGAATATGGGAATGGGTAAATACCATAGTTCTCTAAGTCTTCTTAATAATCTTAACGAAGATCTTCGATATTATGATGTTGTTTCTTGTGTCTGACAACTGGATCAAAATGATCTTCGATCTACTTTTCTCGAAGCATCAATGCTTGGTATTTCTTATTTAATAAAGTAAGACTCATTAAAAATAATAATAAATATATATTCAAACTTAAAAATCTTTGTTGGTCATCCACTTATCTTTTTAGATAACTCTGAAATGAGGTTGAGATGAATTCCTAGGCATTCTTGGAGTAGTGTTTTACTTAAACTCAGTCAAAATGTGAGTATTAGATGGGCCATCCTCACTAGTTGTATTTTGTTTCTTGCTCATTTGACTTTTCTGAAGACGACACTAAGATAAATACCCAGGAACCCAAAAAGGCTTATTCTACGTAAATATGGCAGTATCAATTGAGGGATGTAGAATTTAGATGATCTCTAGATTCGTTTTTTAAAAGACTTAAGGTTTTTCCTCAAAATGATTTGGCTGAGCACTATAGATGCTTGGCTTCCTTTCAACTTCTTATTACTGAGTTGATTAGAATTTAGGGGAAGAGCTCTTTCAATAATAATATTATGTACATAGAATAAGAGTTAATCTATGTCTTTTGGATTTAGCTTCTATTGTGTCTATTTGAATTTCTTCTTGCCAATAGCATTGTTTACAACCACATCAAGTTGGTTGGATTTCTTAGCTGCAAATCCAGCATGATGAAATTCTGTGATTACATTAAATTTGATCGTTTTTTAATTACTATACTTACTCCTACTGAGTTGTTCTAGGTAGATGTCCATGGCATTGTCATTTTGTTTGATTGAGGCAACCTCTATAGGTATGGTTTACGCTCTTCCTGAACATAGTTTGGCTATAATATAGAAATTAAAGTGATTACTAAGCTAGTAGCCCATAAAGTTTCTTAACATCTACACAGTTTCTTTATATTTAGTTCTGATTGAGAATTGAGTAGCCACTATGTTATCGGAAATGCAAATCACCAGAGGACCTAAGAAATAGAATAGGATTTTCACCTTTTTCACATTCAGCCATGGTTTGGAATGTCTTTTTTGGATTCACAAAATTAAAAGGATGGACATCCCATGAATTCTTGAATGGAACTACGAACTCAAATGGCAAATCATAGAATAAATAATTATGCATAGAGTTCTTTCGCAATGAACAAACAACCTCGTTTTCCTTTGAAACATATAATTAATCTATTTCTTTCATCCTCTACACCTTATATTGAGGTGCCTTTACTATATACTTCCCAATAGTCTTGAACTCCTCTGCTGCTCTTCTACTATGCAGTCCAGCATTGCCCTTCCCCACCCATTCTCCAGTATCGTAATTGAAACTGTACAGATCACCAGTTACATTATCAAGAAAATAGTCACTCATACGAATTTCGTTCATTGATTTTTTAATTCTAGACAAGTCTCCTAGTTAACTTCCGTTTAATCCATTTATAATTGAAATTTACTAAAGTAAAGCATGAATGTACACACTCAATATTAGATGCTATCAAGAACACCAATCCTTGCATAGCAAAGGAAGAAGCAAAGAGGATTTTGTTACTTCTCATGCACATTCTCAATAGAATTAGAAACTTATATGCATTAGGAGACCAAGGTCTGAGATTGGCATCTCCCTCAAAAAATATCAAATCTATTGAATCGAACATCTTGCCACACTCTATCCTTACAAACGAACTATCAATCTCATATAGAAAATCATCAATTGTGTCCCTGTCTGCAATAAAGAACTCTAACTCTGTGTCTATCATTTCCTTCTTTCCTGTAAGCAACTGAATTTAGGACTCATTAATACATCTTTTATGATTTATTTATAATGTTCGGAACTTCGGAATCCTTTTAGACATTTGCCATACCCATTTACAATTAAAATTTTCATTAATTATAAGTTTATTCATACATCAATTAAGTAGTCATTCGAAAATTTACTTTATTTGATAGCAACAATTGGTTCCATCTCTCCTTCCATCCTATCATTCTTCCACAACCCAACATACTTCTATCCATTCTTCCAATAATAAGTTCCCTTCCCTTATCTCTTGCCATCTTAAAAGAACCCCTCATACTAATCTCCGTTTGCATACTCATAGCGTCCCTAACCATTCTTAGTGCCATTAGCCCATTCTCCAATAAACACATCACCATTAGTCAACATCAACACTCCTTGCCCATTTCTCACATCATTCCTATATTCTCCCTCATACTTATCCCCGCTCAAATAATAATAGATTCCTTTGCCACAACGCTCACCATCAACAAAAGTTCCCTCATACCTATCACCATTGACATAATAAAATATTCCATGTCCATTCTAATTCTCATTCTTCCATTCTCCTTAATATTTTGCTCCATCTGCATAAAAATAGGTTCCCTAACCATGTTTCTATCCTGCAGTCCACTCTCCTTCATACCTATCTTCATTTGAATATTGCATGACTCCAAACCCATTGGCTTTGTCTTCTAAGAACTCTCCTTCGAATCTTGATCCATTTTAATAATCAAAAACACCTTTACCCGATTTTTCCCCGTCTCTCCACTCTCCATAATATTTATCACCACTAGTATATATGTACATCCCAGTTCCATGTTTCTCTCCATCTAACCATTGTCCATCATATTTCTCATTGGTTGCAAAGTAAGTATAAGAACCCTTCCCATTCTTTTTATCATTCATCCATTCTCCTTCATACTTATTTCCATTCACATACAAATACACTCCTCTTCCATGTTTTGCACTCTCTCTCAACTCTCCATCATACCTCTCTCCATTAGCAAATATATAGACTCCTTTTCCATGGAATCTAATTTATTCAAGCTACATTACCTGTCATCCTTCCATTCTCCAACATATTTATCTCCATTACTATAATGATAAATTCCCTTGCCATTTCGTTTCTCATTAATCACCTCGCCTTCGTACTTACTTCCATCAACATAGTTTTTAATTCTGATTCCTTTTTTGTATTTACCCACTTCATCCAAATCCTTAATCCATTATTATTCAAATCTAAAAACTATCTCATCTTTCTCTTTAAGTAACTTTTGCTTCTCCTACTCCAAAGTTTTGCTTGGAGGAATTTTGAATTTTAGATCAGCCATTTCAAAATTTAATTATTATTACTACTAAAATTTTCTGTTAACATTATTACATTAAAAATAAATTTATTCACTTTCAGTTGCAAAAGAACTTATATAAATATATACATATTGATAATAAAATACTTAAGAGAGAAGTACAATATATTAGATAATTCCAAACTTGTTTATATATTTATTATGCATTTTCGATTAAATAATAATAAAAGGTTTTTCATTATTTTTGTTGCTGTTGTTTCAATTATTATTTTTTTTATTAATTTAATTTTGCTATTTGCTCTCTCTTCTCAACCTCCAATTGAATATTTAATAATGGTTCATTATTATTTTATTTCATCAAATTTACTTCATTTAAGATTAAAATTTTCAAATCCTTTAATTATATGGTGTTATCATTCTCAAACTGAGAATCTAGGTTTCCTTCAAATGAAGGTTCATCATCAGGATCTCTTATAGATTCCAAATAAGGATGATTTAATGCCTGAAATTTAATTATAAAAATAGTACTTCAGCACTTGTAATTCTCTTTTTAGGATTGATCTCAAGCATTTTGTCTAATAAATCAATCGCATGTGGATTTGAATACTTGATTACACTTCCAATTGTGCCTTTCTACTTTGTCTAAAGACTATTCACATATTTCTTAGCATTACTATTTGTGATAAATTATAAATCATCATCCTATGGCTTACCTAATGTATCAAAGATAAGCTTTATCATTTATATATAATTAGTTCCTTTAAATAAAATTTACTTTGTAATCAATTCAGCAAACGTACATCCCAATGACCAAATATCAATTGCAGTTGAATATTCATGTGATGATAACATGACTTCAGGAGCTCTATAGTACCCTTAATTTATTATATGTTTAATACTTGTTACTACGTATTCTGTCAACATGTTTTGGCATCGATTATCCTCTGCTTCCAATTCTTCGATTTATCTTGCCAATCCAAAATCACAATAGCAAATTTCACAATTCTCAGTAGCTAAAATATTGCTTGGCTTTATATCCCTATGGACTATGCTTGCAGAGTGCAAATACTTTAACCCTTTGAGTAATTGATATCTAAATAGTAATATGGCAATTACATTATATATTGATAGTGCTAATCGGTAAGATTTTGTCCACTCTTAATAATCTTATAGAGATCCACTTCCAGGTAATTAGTAACTAGGTAGATTTCTCCAAATTCTAACTCCTTATTGGAATCATCATAGATTAGGTGCTCCAGATGTAGAATATTTTCATGCTGCATTGTTCTCAAAATTCTAATCTCTCTCAACACTCTTTTTGCGTCGATCTCATCTCTGACCAGATGTAGCTTTTTAATAGCCACTTTCTATTTCTCTGGATCAGTTTGTTTCTTGTCAATGGCAAGGGCTACATGTCCATAGGCACCAGCACCTAACAATTTCTTTACTTCATATCTAGCACCTACGTTGAATTGAATGCCAGAAACTATTTGATTCATAAGTATATAATTAATAAATCAATTCACCATTTTATGTTATGTTTCTAGGCGATCTATCTTAATTATATCTCAGTCTTGTCGTGCTTCCTTACCAACCCAATCCGTTATTGATATTATAATACTCTTTGCGTCTATGAATCTGTGGGATCACTCAAAATCTATTAATGTTGCACTTATTTTTATTATTATTACTCATCATTGACTCTGGTTTCAAGTAACCTCCTCCTAGAACCTTGCTTAGTACCCTTATTCAAGATAAAATTATTCGGAATTCTTAATGGATTTATATCTTTTTAAGATTTAACTTTGTTTCTATCCAAAAGCTGCCTAATATGGCCCATAAACTCATTATATTTTTATTCATTTTTCATAGAGGGCAGTGCAAATTCCTGATCCATTATTTTAAACATAGGGTGTCTCTCCGATTTAGATACATTAATACGCTAATCTTTATTTTGTCTATCCGTAATCTGTTACAATAAATAATTAGTCATTAAATATAAATAATATTTCAATCATTTTTAGATTTTTCTAAGTACAATATCATCTGTAGTAGTCTATAGGGAACTTTGAGAGTTCACATACAGAATACTAGCATTTCTTTGTGGTCTGATTTTGAAGACAAAATCTTCTAATCTTTTCTTTTACATTACACGTTCATCATAATTAAAAAGATTACTCATTGAAGCACTCTTTACTGATCTAGTCTACCCTTTCATTCCATTGTAATGGATGTCGCTGATATTCGATAGCACAGGATTAAATTGCTTTGGTTAGAGTGTTCTTCCCAATTTGATTGGACTACACTCTTCCAAGGGGGTCTAAAATAGCGTAGATCTAAGAGATATCTTCTGTGGATATAATTAGAATTTTTGTTATCTTATAGGTGTTTTCAATATTAGAGATGTCTGCTGATATTTGGTTGGGGATTCCACTTTTGTCTATGGTTCTATAGCTGGTTTCTTATTTGGTGAATTTGGCTTACTGCTCTCGTCCAATTTTGGCATAGAAGTTGTCCTGAATCTCATTCTTGTTTTTGGTGATTCTTAAGATGCCAAAATGACAGGCTTTTCAATTTATTAAGATCCCTACCTCTTTAAACATAGAGGATTTTATATTAGATTCTCTAAGTAGTGCTCTTCACTTACTTCCCATCCCTAATCCATTTTGCTTACAAAATTATCAATTTTTTATATTATTTTATCAAAGAATAATAAATTACATTAGCCAAACTATATAATATAATTTTGTTTTTGATTGAACTTTAATATATTTAATAGATTTACTTGTAACATAATTATTTCCTTGATAATTACAAATTAATTGGCTGTTCATGGGGGAGTCTTCAGTAAGCATTATATTTTGTATGTTTTATATTTATAAATAATTATAAATGGATGTAATAGATAAGATGAGATCAACTTAATAATGAAAGACATTTTTAATAGTAGACCTCCTTTTGTGATTCAGCAAGAACTAATTCTTAACAAATGATTTCAGCCTTTTGATTGATTTTGCTTAGTTCTTCTTTATTTTATCTACGTGTTTAGAAATAACTAATACATATTGTTAGTTTTGATCATTTCTTCAAGAGAATTTAAAATGGATTTATTTTCCATTTGAACACTTTTAATTTTTTCTGTTGATAATGTTTCAAAGGATAAAATTAAGTTTTTGATAGATGAAAAAGTTTCCTTAATGAAATTTTTGAAATCACTCTATTATTGTTTGAATGATATAATTTAGCTTAGCAGATTCTTGATTTTAGCAATGTCATTGTTGTTGGATACCTTTAACATGGATGGTTATTGGGAACTGAATTGGGTGTTTTCATGAAATTGAATACCTAATTTGGGAACCTTTACTGAGCTAATGTATTAACTTTTAGGATCATTTTAATATAATTTAGCTAATAAATTGGAGCAATATTATTTCTGAGATAACAGTTCCTATTGTAGTCTATTAATTTTGAACTCCTACAATCTGATAACAGAGTCCTGTTAATCTATTTTATTTTTCAAATCATTGACTAGTTATTCTATTATCAACAGTAGATGATACTTGTGATAATTTTCTCCGATGTAGATGTCTGGGATTATTTATACAATATCAAAGATAAACCATCATTCTCTTATTGCATAAGTCGCGGATGATTTGTTTACAATCTGTTATGAGTGTTGTGTTAAACTTACTTAATGTGAAACTTTTTATTCTGCTTGAATGCCGTGATTCTCTCAGTTTTAATTGATTTACTACCGATCTCTGGATCCGAATTGCCTGTGGTTTTATTCAACATATTAGCATCTGGCAATTGTATAGGCTACACATGCAATTTGAGATGCTGTTTTTTTGCAGGTGGTGGAGAGTGCGAATTTTATGTAATTTACATATTAATATTTAATTCTCATCAATCATGCCAATCCCCCTTAATTTAATTTGTTTCTAATTACTGTGCTAAATTCAGCAGAGTTCACAAAATCTTTAGCATTCCTAGTAGTTTAGAGTTGAATTTAATATTGAGCCTTCAATTCATTATAAATTTGGGTTTCTTGGGCCTAAGCATCCTTGTCCTATTCTAATTGATATAGGCTGTTATTTACATAGAGATTCATTGTAATTTTGTAAATCAAGTTCATTTTAGGCTAAGGCTTCTTGAGTTGATTTCAACTTATCTGAAATATAAATTTGTGTATGTATTTACTTTAATAGGTAGCCAAAACGTAAGTAGCCTCAAGAAGAGATCTCTTGAATTCCTAATACTCGGTGTTTAATGTTTTTTATCTCTCTGCCCAAGTCTCTTCAATCTATTTTTCATCAGCATTTTCCTAATTTAGACATCATCTTATATAGTACCTAATTCAGACTAGCAACCAATTGGTTTCTAGTGTCTTATAGCAAGTCTCTAATTTTCTAGGCTTGTCCTTGATCTGAGAAGTTCTGAGTCAATTACAATAAGGCTTCAACAACTGGGTGAATAGTGCTGGTTTTTGCGATCTTGTTATTGACTCTTTTGACAGCCTAATGGATTGTTGCTTTTTCAGTGAATGCAATGTTTCCGTTGATTAGGGAATTGATCAATTACAAAGCTTCATCCACTGCACTAATGGCACCTTAATGTTCACTCACTACAATTTTTTAGTTGTGTTACCTCTGTCTAGATAAGCCTAATGTTAATTTTATCTATTTAAGGTTTCTCTAGCCAATGAGTCTCTGTTGTCATTAATGAACCCATTCAATCTATCTATCTTTTAATTAGTTTAATCTATGCTTGGTAACAAAATAGCATCGATAAAGTCTTTCTCATTAAAGATGTTGATTTCTGTTTGACCTATGTTAATATCTAAGTTTTCTTGAGTTATTTGATGCTAATTCGTTGATCTAGTAAAATCATCCTCTAATTATTGCAATTCAGCAGTCAGTTCATTTTCTAAATCGCCAATTGCAGTCACTAAATCATCTTTGATGTTAATTACTCATTCATACCTAAAGGTCCTCTCATTTCTGCATGAGTCTGAGCCATTTCAATAATAAATCTCCCCAAATTACTTTAAGAAAGCTCATCGATTTTCTCAGTGCTCAATTACACCATACTTGGATCCACAGAGCAGACTAAATATATAGTCAATGTAAAAGCTATGAATTTTTACATTTGGTAATTTAATATATATAAATATAATCCGTTTTAATATACAGTTTTCATGATATATTTGATATCAATATTTAATTAGTCAAATGAACATGATCAAACTAATATTTTGCTAATATTTCAGTATTCTAATTAAATTTTCTATTTATAATAGTTTAAGACAAATTTAGAGTTTATATATCAAATTAATGAAGGAAAATTATTATAATTTAATTTTTTACTATGGATTTTCTTGCATCTTTTGATAAATTTGGAGCAGTCTATAAACCCAAAATAAAACAAGAATAAAAGAACTATCAGACAGTGCTGGGTGGAATTATTTCGATAATGATATATTTAGTAAGTTTCATATACTTTTGTTACAAAATCTATTAGTTTGGAAAGAATGAAGTTAACCCCATCTAATCGATTGCTTATGAATATACTTAAAATTTAACCATGAATAATAAGGGAGATTTTTTAACCTTCGAAGTTCTTGGAACTGAGATTAACCCTTTCAACAGGACTGCCCAAATTCTTGTCCCAATGATGATTTTCTAAGGATCTGATGTAATGCAGACATAAGGTAATATAGTAATTGAGCCTAGCATTTTTTACTTAAGATGACGTATACAATAATGGGGAGGTCGACTTTGAAACTCAAAAATACACTCCTAAAAATATAAGCCTTTAAAATGGTATTGGAGGAGAATATCCCCATCGAATTTTGATTGTTTTGCAAGTGTGTGATCCAAAGGTCCAGAAGAATTGCGCTGATGATGCCCTAATTGATTCCTTTTTTGAGTACTCCATTATGATTATACCATTAGCTAATATAATCTCTTGATTAAGACAACTGTTCAGACTGAGTAATACAATTCATTTCAGAGAATTATAAACAACATGTCTACAGAGTTGATATTTGCTATTGACAGATCAACAACTTTTTATCAAAGATTGATTATGCAGGCTCAACTCTTAGAAATCGATGAAGGTCCTCTTCTCCCTGCTTACGACTCTAAATGGATTTTTAGTGATCAATTAGTCCAGACTTAAAGCTTAGGGTAAAGTTTTAAGAGCAACTTTCCTGCATTGTTTATCACAGAGCTTTCTATGTCCTCTGTAACCTAAAAAAAGGTTGTTTAGTATATTAAGGTTTCCCAAGTTCTGGCTGACGTAGGCTCTATATTTTCAAGTCTTATGCTCTTCAGTATTATAATCTCTTCTATCAATGAATTTTTAATGGAACAAGAACTTATTAAACAAGTCATTGAGATTTACTATCCCTAATTCTCTAAACTTGAATTCAGGCGACTATTAAATTTTGGTCCTATATCAGAAGTGAGATTTGAAGGGAAAAAAGTAGATCTAGATTAATTTTAAAAATTCTATGAGAATGCTAAGACAATTGCTAAGAATAAACTAACTGTGCACAATAGCATATATTAGACATCGAGATTATAGTTTGCTGTTCAAGGGTTGATTGCACGAGAAGTCTTGAAAAAATTAAAATCCTAGGGGATTAAATTAAATTTGAATTATGATAACAATTTCAAATCTCCTCGTGAAAATTAAGTTTAAGTATCTAAATCCTCGGTTATAGTATATCAGGAGATAGAAGATCATGTAAATCTCCAATTTACAGATGGAGATTTTAATCTGTTTGATTAAGAGGAGTTTAGTTAGAATGAAAAATAAAAAATAAATGAAGAAAACTAAGAAAACTAAGAGTAACTTTGAATTGAAATATAATTAATAAATCTATGTATTATATATTTATTAATTTAAAGATGCAGAGCCAAATAAAATAATTTAGTAAGGATGGAGTTATGTTATAAAGAAAGATTATAAAATTAATTTAATTTTTCATTTAATTTATTAATTTATCATTTAGTATATTTTTTGAAACCTTCGGTAAATGATGATTACCCTAAATTATACTCCATAGGCTCATCTACTCCTACATAGACTTTGTTCATGGCATGACTGATAGGAGAGGGGGGAATATTAAAATATACTTAGGGTGGAACAATAAATTACACACTTGGTTGCAATACTTTACTATTGTTTGAGGAATCCATCTATATTAGTAATGAAAACATACTCTCTCCTTGTTGAGATACTTATTGTATTGCTCACTTAGAAAATTATTATTTGGTTTGCTGTTATTGATGCCATTGAGTAAACTATCCATTTTCATCATTTTAATTGGGTGAGAATTGGTAAACATCGACAATTACTACTTATAATCTTGATGATCTTATTAGGAATTGGATTGTTCGTCATAGGGATTGCCACATTAATAGAGATCATCAAAGTTTCTAGCCTATTGATGATCAATAATGTCATTGACTTATATTTCATCATTATTATTCATTTTATTTTTAACTCTCATTTTAGATTTCTAGATATCTTAATCTTCTGGTTTGTTCTCTATTTTAACTATTTTTCTTGAATCTTGTTAAAATTATTATTATTATTATTATTATTATATTTTTTCTACATTCTCTAACATTTTATTCCTGAGTCTCATTTATTAATGGGCAGAAATTGTTTATTAGTGATTGATTTATTATTATTATATTTCTTATTATTATTTATTTGAAGTCCTCGTTCTTTTTTATTCAACACTCTATTCGCTCTCAGCTTCAGACATAGAGTCTGCGTCTTTTTTCTTTTGAAATCCTGGATACTGAATGGATATAATAATTTAATGTACATCCTATTTGGTGAACACCTTTTTATGAAATGACGAAATCAATTCCGTCTCAATGTTGTCCGTCGATGTAAATTGATAGACTGTTCCATTTAGATCTGTAAAACACAAAAGCATTTTGATATTACACAATACTGCCAACTCACAAGCCTTCTTCAACAAACCATTTTTCCTTTTATTGAATGTGATCTAAAATAATATTAATTAGTTATATAAATTATATAGAGGTTCTAAAAATAGTAGAATAAGTAAATAAATTAATAAATTTACATTCCTAATACGATCATCTTTTAGATATTGAATGTCAATTTTATTTCTTCCCATTATCTATATAATAAATATTTAATTATTTAAATTAAACTTTTATAAATGTCTAATTTTTGGAGAGAAATACAGAACTACTCAGGATGCACAGATTTCGAATAATTGCAATAGTATCTCAACATCATCTACAAAGTAAGTGCAATAGCAATTTTAGTTTGAAATCCGATTAGAAGACTTCCAAACTATACATCCAGTATATTTAGCAAAATTATTACATTTACACTAATTAGCCTTATAATATTATGAGCACTCCACTGAAGAATTGACAGAGTATGACAAGTACATAGCAAAGTCAACCATAGACATTTCTGAAGAAGTACTCATATGCACTATTCCTAGATCCAAATAATAGAGAAGAGACTTATACAGAGCAAGGTGAATGTCAAGGCAGCTCAAAAAAAACTGGCATTGGAATTGAGTCAAAAAGATAAATTCATGTAGAAGGTGGTAAACACCCAATTAATCTAATGTTTGTATTGTGACAAAGTAGTCACAACCGACTCCTAATTTGATTTGCACATGTAATAATATCACAAAAGGGAATTTAACAAAAAAGAAGTCAACATCATCAATCAAGCCATGCAGAATCAATTATTAACATAGCAATTAAGTAATAAAATTATCTAATAAAATCAACAAAACTACTTAGCCCTAAACTATCAACTTCTTTAATTCACCAAAGAGTAACTCTCAAGAGAAACCACTGACTTTCTGTAAAATACAATGTAAGTCACTTAAAAAATTAAAAACATTGATTAAACATACATCAATAAAATTAAAAGTTTGGAAGAAGCAATTTAAAATAAATTAAAATTGATCTAACTCAATGCAGAAAAAGAAGAATAAATTAGGGAATAATAAGTGAAAGATAAAGTTACATCTTTGGAAGAATAAATTTAATAAGAGTTTGAAAAATCAAGATTTCAATTCATGAGAGCAAGATCACAAAATAAAATGAAGACTAATACATTTGTACAGAGATCATAGGAAATTCCACTCAATAATTCATAAATCCCTCATTCTGCCATCTTTCAATCATAACCAGGTTTCCACAGAGGCTAAACCACAATGAATATCGCCAGTCTTGCTAACATAGAATAAGATGAGCTAATTGGAGATTCTGAAAACCAAAAATCCAATTTGCTGCAATTCAAAAAACAAAATAAACAAGGTTCAGACTAAGAATCACCTCAGATTGACCAATCTTAATAGTTGTCTGAATCAATATAAGCAAGCTAGGGCTTAATTAAACCACCGCCAGAGATATAGTAATAATAGTCGAAATTCTCTAAGCCAGTTCAGAAGAATAGTTCAGAATCTGAGGGGGATTAATAGGGTGAAAACAATAATGCATATAATTATGATAATGATGATAATATCGATTATGGTGCATAAAACCTGGAAATCTTTCGTAATGCAATTGAAACCTAGTAAAACATGCTATTTGAATTGTACTTATTTATTGTTGATTCTATTTAGGTTGTTAAATCGAAGTAGAGGCTTAAGACCAACGTGCACAGACCTATAAAAATAATATTATAGAAAAATTTTGGAGAAAAACATCTAATAAGATATCAAAGGAATTGAGTAGAATGATGTTAAAGCTTTAAAGAAGAAATATGATGAATTAACTAAACAATTAAAGGAATAATAGGCAGATGTTGAAGAGAAATTATAATTATACTCATTTAATGAAGAATCTCGTACTCCAGAGGAAGTCGATTCGAGAAGGGCTACGCAATTTTTAAATATTAGATCAAGAAGAAATACTGAGAAGCACATTAGGAATTTATCCTAAAAATGATATTTTATTTTTCTTCCCAATAATTAAGAGTTAATCTAAATATTTAGAGAGGTAGCTTATAGTTATAATTTATTACATTTTAGCATCAATAATAAACAATAAATTAATTTAATTCTGTGATGAATTTAACCTTAAATTTATATTAATTTGAATATAATTATTGGATTAACAAATAGATTGTATTTTCAATGTGTTTATAGTCGATTAGAATATGTAATAAATTGCAAATAAGAAATACAATGTTTTAATAAAACTGTTAGTCATTTTTACAATTTAAATTTAATTATATATATAATGTGATGATAAATATATTCAGAGATTTTAGGAACAAAAATATTCTGACGGTTCTTCCTCTTAAGAACAGCTTTCAAAATATTAACTAGTCGAATCTACTTTATACCAACTTATGATTGCCTAAACCTGTCCATTCAATTTCTCGTATTTAATTTCCATTTACTCTCTCTGTTATTGTAAATCCAAATAAATTTATTTATGCTGTTATAGTATAATCTCGTGCTAATTAATAATATGTGTGAATTATTATTCATCTTATTTTAAGTTTTATTTTATTGAAGTGATTTCCTCTATCAAAAATGTTTAATAGCATTGATGATTAAACCTCTGCTTTTATTACAATTTGTTTTAACTTCTTTTCAACAAAACTAAGAGATGTCTAATATTTAAATTAAATAATACTCTTGTCCTTTTAAGAAATTTTAATGCCAAAACACTTGTTAATTGTTCTGGTTTCGAATCTTCTAAAAATCATACATGTTCAACTGTCGCAAGAAGGAAGTAAAATGATTATGTTTAAAATGTTAAGGAAGTATTTATTGTTCCAATATTTCTGGATTTAAAACAATAAATGCATCTCCTTGTGGTGTCCATGTGATTATTAACGAATTATTCTTTTGCTATATATATTACTCATTACTAAGTCTTCTAATATGGCATGCAATTTAATAATGAAAGACGGAATAGTATATTTTGATTTGTTTTAATCCATGGAATATTTGAGGAATTTCGAAATGTATATTAATTAATAAATCTTTGGAGATAAATTATTTATATTAATTATAATTTTTCCCCCCTTAAAAAATAATAACCACACAAATCCTTCTTGATTTCCTTCTCCTTTTTAATAATTTTGAATGACTCATTTTCAAATATTATATTCAAACTTCACTTCTCTTGATCCATCAACTCCTTCGCGTAATCCTAATTAATATGTTATGATCGCAATCTTATTCTACACACCTGTTTAGTTAGGTTTATTTTCAAATATAAATTGTTCAGATCATTCTCTTATCATAGGTAGGCAACTTATGAATTTTTCGTTTTGGCTGAGTTTTCTAAAATTTCATCAATAGGCGATATTGAAAAATTATATAATTTATTTAATAACCTTTATTATTAAAAACATCAAGGATTAATTACGTCCATATTCTACACATCTGCAGCTCTCTTCTTTGCAGAACTAAGAATTTAAGAGGATCCTTGACAACTATTAAATATTTTGTGAATAAAAATAAATTAGTAAATTTAAGAAGTCAAAAGGTTATTTAAGGATTATGATGGTGTAGAAATTACTAAACGATCAACATAATCACATGCTTATTTTCAGATCTTAGATAATTTATACTATAAGAATACTTTCAAATCTTATCCTAGTAATATTCTAAAGAGATCACAAAAAGTATGACCTTATAATCTATTTTTGGCCTAAAGCCCTTTGAATTTGACAATTAATACATAAGGTTGATAAATTCTTCAAGAAAAATTGGAAAAATTGAGTGGTTCTTCTAGTCAAATCACTCAAGTATCTCATAATCTAATAAAAAGTTATTAAGGAAAATCAATAATAGATAAATACATAATTTATAAAATCTATGCTTTTTTTTAATATTTTCGAAGATATTAGAGTTAAATTTTTTGAGAAATAAACAAAATATTAAATTAGAAATAACTAAAGAAGTTAAGATTGTTGTAATTAAATTTTGTAATTTTGATAAATCTTCTTTATTGTATAATTAGTTATTTTTATTTTTAACTGGAAATGATTTGAAATTTTATCTAATTTATATTAATTTATGATTTTGATGCTATAAAAATAATTGGATTGAAATAGTTTTCTAATATAAATAAGATTTTTAAAAAAAGAAAAAACTTCAAAAATACTCTAAATTAAACGTATTTTTTTTGATATATTTTATGTTTTATTGAAAGTAACATATTGCCGCCCTAATCTTAATGACTTTGATGATACATAGAGCTACATCTGATCAAATAAAATTATAGAATTTTACAATCTAGAGATGGTGAGATGCAATCATACACCAAATCCCTGGGTAATAATCTAAACAAGTATTACAGTGTTGTTCTTTTAGTTCTTGTTCACTAATATAAATAATTTTAAGATATTATTTATCATGCATCGAGGAAAACATTATGTAATATCATCAAAAGAATTAATTTTTTTTATTTTATGGATTTCAATATTTCTATAAATGTTGATAATTTGTTGAATTTAAATGTGTAAAAATCAATCAAATGGATTCTTGATTTACTACTTATTTTTCTAGCATATTTTAATTGATAGAGTTTAAACGAGGTAAATTCTAAGACTCAATTTGAGCTTTTTATCCTTGTAATTCAATGAGATTCTAAATAATTTGCAATTATCCTGGATTTAGTGATTTTATCAATTCTTATTGGCGATTACTCAAGGGTTGTTATTTTAAAACATAACTCTCTATTAATTACAAAATCTATTATATTTCATTCTAAGGTTCAATTGATTATCTACTGCTTTAAAATATTTCTTCATATTTCGTGTATGTATTTCTTTTTTAAATTTATTCAACATTATCATCTTTATTTAGATATTTTTTGAGATCTTATCTTGTTGTATTATTTCGTATCTAATTGGTTATAAATTCATCATCCTATCCTTTCAACTTGATATCTTTTAAACTTAAATAACCCAACAAAGCAGTAATATCTTCTAATTAAGAATAATCCTTATATTTAAAAATGCGATCAAAAATATAAATTATGCATGGAACCTGGCAATATAAATGTTAATACATTGAGAAAATCGATAAATAAACTTTATAACATGCTGTTAGCATATTTTTCTAAATATTTTCTGAAAAAGAATAAATCTGTTTGCTCAATTTAATGATTTTTTTTCCCAATTTCTTGCAAAGCATCAATTTCTGAATCTTAGAGTTGTTAAGCATTTTCTAATAATCTTTTTAAGCAACCTTCTTTTCTTAATAAATTGATAAAAAAGAGAACTAAGGGTTGGGAATGGAAATACAATAAAAACTAGGTTAACTAAACCAAATTCTAAAGTTTATTAATAAAATTAATCTACATAAGTACATTTAATAGAGGGGTTATCATATATGAAGCATTGCAATACTGAAGAGACATAATTGGTTATAATACTATCCAATAACTCTTTAATCTATTCTTAAGTCTTATCTTTAATCAAATCTTTGATCAAATATTTAGTCAAATAATAGTCGAATTCTATCATGGAATATTTAAATTAAGAGCGCATCTTGATTTAATGAATAATCTTATACTTGAATTACGTAGAGTTTGATTAATTTAAGATTCTCATAGTCTTGTTGTGTTAAATTTTTTTTGCTTTCTTCTAGTTTTTAATAATAATAATCGTTAATTATTAACTCTTTAGCTCTAAATCATCATATCTTATACTTATCAATACAATTATATTGAAGCCATTCTTTAGTATTAAGAGAATTTTTATTGTATTGTAATTTCTTTTCGTTTATCAGCTTTTCTAAATATTCCTACTCATTTTTGCAAACTGGACAAACTTTATGTTCTTTTTTGAGATCAAAATTGATGACCTCAAATTAATATAAGTAAATACTAATCCTTTTCTTCCACAATCGTAACAAATAGCTCGCAAACAACTCTTGCATTAATGCTAATATTGCATTCTGAAATAAACATTTAATTTACAATGAAAAACTTTTCATGCATATTTCACAATTATTTTGCTTTTATCGAGTTTAGGTTTTGGTATTTGTGGACATTCTATCAAATTTAATAATAAAATAAGAAATTTAATTTTGATGAAATATCATAATTCACTATCTAAAAATTATGGAATCGGATCTTGATCATAGTAAGAATTCTTACGACTTGGATTGGGCGATTCTGAATTGACATAATTATCTTCCAATTTATGAAAAAAATATGGTTCATTATAAACTATAAGTTGATTTTCTAATTTTTTATCTTAATTCTCTTGTTTCAAATCCATTTTCTTTATAACTGGATATTCTTCATCAAAACTAAGATCATCGTCAAATTTTGTAGCATTTTTCTTCTCTTATTTTTAATTGTTTGTAATAGCACTTAAAAGTACTTAAATAATTTAAGTTTTTGATAGTTTTTCGATCTATTATTCTAAATTCTGACTCATAATTTGAGATGGCAGTTAATCAAATTGCAATTTTTCAGTTTCAAAATGTTTTTGATTTTATGCTTCAACTTACATTTCCTCATCGTTTTCGCAGGTTTATTTCAACATCAACAAATTATTTGCTTAAAAACTGCTCTTAAGTTTATTGTTTTATTTGGTTCCTTGTAATGATTATAAAACCCATTTCATAATTTATTCTTCTGAATTTTCATTCTTATGCCTCTATATTAATATTTATCATACTTGCTTTTTGTCAATTCACTCCACAAGTATTTATTTTCCTTCATCACCTTTTCATTTTACTTAATAAAGATTTTGATCAATTTTTCTAATTCCAATTACTTGTTTTACAATTTTCCCATCTACTTCAAAATCTAACAACAATGTCTAATTTACATACTTCAGGTGTCTCACTTTATTCACTCCTTATTTATTCGTTTTTTATTAAACTCAAAGAATTCTATTCCTTTACATCATTGGTCTTTCGCTTGATCTAGCTTAGCAAATGTCTAAAATATTCATATAACTTACTTTTTACTCCTTTAAAACAATTTATGCTTGAATTCATTCTCGTTATTATCATGTCTGGTCTTGTGAAAATCATACATATTCAATTATCGAACAAATGAAGCAAAGTTATTATGTTTAAATGATTTAGGCAATATGATATCTGAGAACTCATTAACTTTCTTAACAATGAAGGCACTTCCCTCTTCATTCCAACTAATTATGTCTTTATTTTAAGGGTTCTAATTCTTTTAAATTACTCAATACATCTATTATTTCATAAGTTTTCAACAAAAATGCAGGTATGGAATCCCCATTATCCTTGCTTTATTGAGATCTCATCTTCTTCACTATTTATTACTCAAATAAATCCAATTGCATTTATTATAAATAATTTAATCATTAGAATTATTAATAAAGTCATTATTTTTTATTATATGATAAATAAGCTAAATCTCTTCCTAATTCTAGCATCTCTATTCCTGCTAACTTCCTCTAGAAAATAATAGGAGAGTAAACTTAGCAGCAATGATACTCCTCTTGAAATCTTAATAGAATACTGCACTAGTTGATCATACAAGGAATCGTACCAAAGATTAGAAAATGCTCTCCTAAATTAATACCCAAATAAGATTAATGTGATAGGTTAACCTTATCCAATAGGGGCTTAAAAGGAATTGCTAGTCAAATGTTTGGCATACATTCAATATGGTTCCCTGATTGTCTTAGTGCTTTTTGACTCAATATTACATTAGTCCACACAAAATGAGGGTAGGAATTTTAATATTTATTGGATTCAATTTTATTATTTAGAATTTGCAATCCACAGGAGCATTTGAAGTCACAATAAATGGATAACTTGTACACTCTAAACTAGCAACTGGGTAGATGCCAACAATCAATTAAATTTCGCACTTTGTTAGTTCTTATATATGAAAAACTAAGATAGAGCATATTTAGAATGACAAATTTTAGGAAAAATATAGATCTTAAAATTTTGAGATATAATTTTTATGCAATATTTTAGTTTCTCATTAAATGATAATTTAATTTTTTCTATAATTTGATATGGGCAAAATTACTAATGAGAAATTTAAACCCTTCCCAACACTTATACTATATTGTTAACCCAAAATAAAATATATATTGAATTATTTATTATAAATACTATAAGATGAATTAAGCCTTGAAATATGTTCCAAAAATCAAATTTATAGGCAGCAGATCGAATTTAGTGCCTCATCAACACAGTACATAAACAACTAAGTATGTACATAAAGTTGTGGATTATTAAAGAAGAAAGATGACATAAGAAGAAATTGATGTCATAAACTAAGGAGGATTTGCAGACATGAGTTGGAAGAAAATCAAGCCTATCAAAATATGATCATATTATCAATATCAATTTATACATATTAATGCTATATGATTTATAGATAGAATATCAAAAAATTAAGAATTACTTCTATAATTCTAATAATAATCTAAGCTGCGTTCCTATAATAATCACAAATAATATTTTTCTGTCCAATAAACCTATTTATGGTTTTATAACCATATCCTTTTAATTAATTATGATTTAAGTAATCCATTATTCAAAAAATTGCTTAATTTATTTCAGAAAATAGTAAAGTTAAATTACATGATGCTGTAGGGAATATGTTATTAGGCAAATTACAAAAAAATCATTGCATAATCAGAATTATGAATGTAATTAGTATAATTTATATAGTAATATCAGATTATATATAAAATGCAATTTGTTATTATAATTAATTTGATTAATATTGGACTAATAAGGGATGCTGCAAAGATATCTGTAATTCATTAGTTATTTCCAGTATTTAGGTAAGATCTATTAATAGCAGGTTCTTATTAATTAAACTGCATTTCCTACAAGGAAAAATAGGGTATTTTTGTTGTTACTTATTATATCAAATTATAGTTTGAATTACTCAATTTACTTCTTTATTTTATTTTTTTAATTTGAATACAATAGATTGAATATATTTGAGATTATATAAGATTCTCTATTCTTTTATTTAAAATTATTATTTCTTAAATAACCTGATTCTATATTGGCTCGAATGANATACATTAGTCCACACAAAATGAGGGTAGGAATTTTAATATTTATTGGATTCAATTTTATTATTTAGAATTTGCAATCCACAGGAGCATTTGAAGTCACAATAAATGGATAACTTGTACACTCTAAACTAGCAACTGGGTAGATGCCAACAATCAATTAAATTTCGCACTTTGTTAGTTCTTATATATGAAAAACTAAGATAGAGCATATTTAGAATGACAAATTTTAGGAAAAATATAGATCTTAAAATTTTGAGATATAATTTTTATGCAATATTTTAGTTTCTCATTAAATGATAATTTAATTTTTTCTATAATTTGATATGGGCAAAATTACTAATGAGAAATTTAAACCCTTCCCAACACTTATACTATATTGTTAACCCAAAATAAAATATATATTGAATTATTTATTATAAATACTATAAGATGAATTAAGCCTTGAAATATGTTCCAAAAATCAAATTTATAGGCAGCAGATCGAATTTAGTGCCTCATCAACACAGTACATAAACAACTAAGTATGTACATAAAGTTGTGGATTATTAAAGAAGAAAGATGACATAAGAAGAAATTGATGTCATAAACTAAGGAGGATTTGCAGACATGAGTTGGAAGAAAATCAAGCCTATCAAAATATGATCATATTATCAATATCAATTTATACATATTAATGCTATATGATTTATAGATAGAATATCAAAAAATTAAGAATTACTTCTATAATTCTAATAATAATCTAAGCTGCGTTCCTATAATAATCACAAATAATATTTTTCTGTCCAATAAACCTATTTATGGTTTTATAACCATATCCTTTTAATTAATTATGATTTAAGTAATCCATTATTCAAAAAATTGCTTAATTTATTTCAGAAAATAGTAAAGTTAAATTACATGATGCTGTAGGGAATATGTTATTAGGCAAATTACAAAAAAATCATTGCATAATCAGAATTATGAATGTAATTAGTATAATTTATATAGTAATATCAGATTATATATAAAATGCAATTTGTTATTATAATTAATTTGATTAATATTGGACTAATAAGGGATGCTGCAAAGATATCTGTAATTCATTAGTTATTTCCAGTATTTAGGTAAGATCTATTAATAGCAGGTTCTTATTAATTAAACTGCATTTCCTACAAGGAAAAATAGGGTATTTTTGTTGTTACTTATTATATCAAATTATAGTTTGAATTACTCAATTTACTTCTTTATTTTATTTTTTTAATTTGAATACAATAGATTGAATATATTTGAGATTATATAAGATTCTCTATTCTTTTATTTAAAATTATTATTTCTTAAATAACCTGATTCTATATTGGCTCGAATGATAAGATATTGAACAAACTTATGATATTTTTGATACAGTTTTTGATTGTTTCAAAATTTCTCATAAAATGAGTAAAGTAAAAAAATGATGAGAAATAAATAAAACTGTAATTTATAAATTAATTCATACATTATTATGATCATTATAAATGAGATAATATTTGTTTGATCGAATCTTTACTGATGGGTTTGATGCATACAGATTTCATTCCAGCATTCAATAATTCATTAATATCATCAGTTGCAGAGAATGCTGTGCATCCAATAATCGTTGGTTACACTTATTTTAATTTATTACATTCCTCTATAATAGCTTTTGTACTTTCCAATCCGTTCATTATGGGCATTTGATAATCCATAAATATTGCATAAAACAATTTACACTCATCAATATCACATAGATCATACTATTCCCTATATAATTTCAATGCTTCCAATCCATTTTACGCTTTGACCACTTTAAAATGAAGAGATTTCAAAATTGACTCTAATACAAGGTTATTAAAAGGTTCATCATCAACAATCATAATGTGCTATAAACAATCACACTTATTTTGATCTTTCTTTTAAATTCTGATTTGCTATATACTATCTTCTGATTCTATTGATAATTCGTAATCTTTGATCTAATTATGAATCAGAAACTTTAAAGTCACTTCTGTCTCTTCTTTCTCTGTTGAACGAATGTAGATATTTACAGTTGACTGTTTATTTAATTTTTGAAGTAAAAGATTACAGGATCTTAAACCTAAATAGAATCCATCAGATGATGAAGTTGTAAATTAGTAATAATTGTCATTATTTAAAATTTCTTAGATCAATTTGAGTTTCTAAACATTGATTCCAGATCCATTGTCTACAATTTTAATATTTAATGTTGTCTCAATTTAAGGGACATTATAATCCTGTAAACTTTGGAAGGATGAATAATGGGACATCTTTTACAAATAAGTGATATAAGGATTATTTTAGTTTGGAATTGGAATTGCAACAGGATGTGTCTCTTTGCAGATAGAAATGGATACTATGGATTAGTTCTGCTTATCACAGTGCTTTATGGAATTGCTTATTATGTTGGTTATTATCTATTCAAAGATTTCTGGATCAGTATATAGGGTATGGTTAGTTTCAGGATGATAATTGTCCAGGATTGCTATTTGTTTAGATTTTATTTCATATTTGAAATTGTCTATAATTCTGTCCAGAATGTCATTGACTTTAATCAATTGATATTTTATAATCACCTGATCATCTAAACACAAATTGTAATTTATAATTGAACTAATGATATTGGATTCTATTTTTGAATTGTAATAGGCTTGACAAATCAACTCCTTATTTTAATCGTCATTGTTTTTATCCAAATATAGTTTTAACAAACCTTATATGATATTTTTTCTGGTTCTTAATTCATGGGATAATGATTTAATTAATTTGCTTTTCAAAATTGTTCTTTCAGAGAGTTTAGTTTTCTCAATTATTGCTGAAATGTCTGATAGACAGACCAGAAGACATTTCTTATCGTTGTATATGATATTGTTGTGAAATCTCACGTCATAGACTTCTTTGTCATTCAATATAAACTGATAATTCACATTTTAAGTAGTTACATCATCTTATAGTTTGATAATTTAAATGGTTTCAAATAAATTCAATCTTTCGGAATCGATTACATTAAATACTTATTGATTTCCATAAGACTAAAATTAAGTTAGCATCCTCTTTGTAGAAGTGATATCCAATTCGTCCTTTTGCGAATTCAGATACTATTTAAACATGTCATTGTAGATGACAAATTCTAGAGTAGATAAATTAATTAAAAATATAGGTTATGGCAATGAGCTAATTATTTGTTTAGGAATTATTTAATTGCAAATCAGTTTTCTGAATTTCTCCTCTTCTTGCACTGTGTAAATTATAAATATGAGTATGGCAATACAGAAATCATAAATGGCACTCTTCCAAACTGAAAGAAAGTAACAAATGACGACATAATAAAATAGAAAGATTATCACCTTACACATAAAAAGAGGTTACGTACTAATTAAAGCAATCATCCACATAATCTTAGTCATAAAATGTATTAAAAAGTGTTAATTGAATTAGACAAATTGATTATCATTTAAAATTTTCTCTGAAATTCCAATATAAATGCCTTAAAAGAAATTTAAAAGAATAATTACTACAAATTTCCTTCCCTTACTCAGTCTATTTAAACAGCATCTATCAATAATATTTATAATTAACGATATTCCAATATCAACCAGCAAAGCTTTGTAATGATTATTTGATCCAAATAACAAGAAATTGAACAATAATTGCATCAAAGCCAAAAATATTTGAAGACGACATAAGTTTATGAAGTAAGGCCATTTTGTTTTAAGCAATTCCTTTTTTTTATACTTCAAAACTGAAATTTTAGCTTAATTTATCAATGTATATTCCCAAATATATGTCTTAAAAGCATTAATAATATGCATTAGTATTATAAAAAATTTAATATATTAGATCATAATCCAAAGCTCTTTGATTTTCATAACTTTATTAGAGACATAAATTATTTTTCAAAGATATTAAGTATCCACTCTTGCAAAGCAATAAGAGTTTATAAAAAATATTTAGTTTTTATTTTTTTATTAATGGATACATCTAACATGTAAACTGCATCTTAAATTTAATAGACCAGCAGCTGGATCCAGACCTACCAAGCAGACCTTTGATTAAGCTCCTGTTACAAGATAAGTGTAAACTATTTCATAATCTCAAGAATCTAAAATACATCTGATATTTTTGGAGTCAATTCTCCTGCTCCTGTTCAATAACCATCAAGACAGAGCGCTCGACCAAAAACAGATATATTTAGTACTGAAACCTAAGCAACTAAGCAATAAGAAGTAAAACAATATCATACCAGAAGGTTCGATAAAATAAAACCTTTCAATCTCAAATTTTCTCATCAGAACCAATTTAAAATGCCCCTCCCCCTGCTAGAAATACACAAACATATGAATCCTCACAAAAGGAAGTTAAAAGATACTAGAAAAAGAACAACGATAATAGATAAGTTGATCATGGAAAAGAATTCCTATTTGGTAAAAGTGGTAAATGAAATTTAATATAATGAGACTTTGATGAATATAAATCATTAAAGAGAGCAGTCACATTAAACGAATTCAAACCAAAACTTGCTTATGATCCAAATAACAGAAGAAATAAGGAACTTTATGGAAATGAAATTGCTAGAGAACATCTCCCAACCAAAGAGGTTAATCTAGAGGTTTCCAGTCCTTAAAAGCCTAAAAAGTCACAATAACAATAGTAGGATCAAAATCCAAGTAATAGAAAACTTATGGAAAATTAATCGAGTGTTTTTGGTGATAGTGCAAGGTAAGTGTTAATGAAATTTTTGTTTAGCAAACCAATTTAAGGCTAAAAAGCAGAAAAACTAACTGCTTCAACTCAAAAATGGAGTACTGTAGGAGGACAGAGCAACAATCAAGTCAAGGAATTTGATCCAGAGACATATGCAAAAAATAGAAAGGAGGCTGAATTGCAATCGAGTGTATTTGGGGAATAGTCAGTTAAAGTTTAACCTGTCTCAATTTCAGAATCAAAAGAGGAAACTGAAACTCTGTAATGTAAGAGTATTCTATTAAATTTAGCTTAATCACAAGAGTAATCACAAAAATAGTAAAAGCCAAAGGAGAGATTGATTCCCAATAATTAAACATGGCAATAAACTGACTCTGTAAAAAACAAAAGAGACTTTGATCCAACACAATCTCAAGTGAATGATGACATAGATCCATCATAAAAGAAAATGGATATTCTTAAGTCATCTATGGACACACACTAATTTGAAGCATAATAAATTCCAGCAAATTAAAAGATTTCCAATAAAAGTCTTAAAGTAAGAATTGAAATTTAATCAATCTTAGTAAAAGAAAGACATAATTTAAAGAGAGGAAAAAATAACTAAAGAAAAATCAACAAAAACACAAAGCAAAAAAAAGTGAAATCCCTATAAAATAAGAGATATTTTAATTTTATAAAATATGAATGCTAAATTCATTAATTCTTGTTTGGATTGACTTGTTTTTGATAGGATTCCAGATGAGAATTTTGATATTTCAAAAATTCTATCTCTGCCTTTCGCCTTTGTTCATTAGCATCCTTTTTCTCCCTAATTGATCTTTCAAGTGCTTCTTTCTTGTTTGTCAAAAATTGTTTCTAATAAGATCGCAAAGATGAAATACTTTTAATTCTAATTATTGTTTGGTTTCATTCAATTTAGTAATTTATTATTCTAATTTATTAAGCCCATCCTCAGCATTCAATTGTTTTTGAAGACTAAAAGGCATAGATCCCTCATATAAGGTTTTATACGCTACAATAGTCTTATTTAGATCGTCTCTAACTCTTGCCAAAATGACTCCTTGAGGAATAGCTAAAGTGAATACCTCTTTCTTGGCAATCGATGGTGACTTATCTGATAATTTCATCAAAACATTAACCAAACAATTCTTCTCTGATTGGACATAGAGGATACTCTCGTGCCTACCTAGAAACGAGTCGTTCATCTAGAAGTTTTTGCAGATTGGTGATGTCATCCCTTGAGGGAGGGACAATTGAAACTGTCTACATTAATCGTCTTCCATCGATTTCCCAATCTCTTGGTTTAATTAGGGAGTTTAATAGTTCCTTGGATTGAATTAATAGGGTTACATCAATGGTAGGTTTTGATTCTAAGGTGGGTACAGGCAAAGATTGTTTTTTTCTGATTTGTTGTAGAGTGGCTTCTTATTAATTGGAATATTGGATGAGGGACTCGGGTGGAATTTTCTTGTTATCGTCTGCCTTGTTTTCTTTTTTGGATTTGTAAAGAGAATTGAGTTGCTGCAATTTGAAGATGTTCTCGGACATTAATAAATAAAATAATATTGATGAATTTTATTAGTATGGCTTAGATAATATATTGATATAGTATTACAAACTCTCTTTGATTTGAGAGTAGTAATAATAATTAAATTTAAATTAAAAAGTGATGTCTGAACTCTAAGTAAGAGAATGTATATAGTAAGATCATATTTAATGTGGGCAAGAATGAACAAGGGAATCCAAGTCAAAATTACAAGAAGATTTTGAAGAAGTGCAAGGGACAATAATATAAGGTAAGTTCTTAATTTTTGAATTACCTAGATTGGAATACATAAGGATGAATTAGTGTATGAAAAATTAAGGAGTGCAAATTTAGTAATTTTTGGAGGTTCCAGGGCTCCATTTACAGGGAAAGGTTAGTTGTTTGATTGGTATGATTAGAATTAAAGTGTCTTGAGGAATATCTCGATAATGGAGGAAACCTATTGATCATGTTTTCAGAAGGCGGAGAGAACAAATCTACAAGCAATTTAAATGCATTTATAGAAAAGTATGGGATATATGCGAATAATGACTGCGTGGTCAGAACGTGCTTTTTTAAATATTTTCATCCTAAAGAAGCCTATATATAGTAGGGAGTGATAAATCAAGAAGTAATCGATTCCCTCATTAAAATTAAAAGATAGTACGAGTTATTAATGGAGATCAGAAGGAAATTAAAAAAAACAAGGGTTCCACTCCTTATTTGCAAGGAGTCATTGAATTAGAGGAATCAGAGATAAATAACAATGGAGGATTGGATTTTGTGTATCCCAATGGAGCCACATTGGTTGTGAAGGACAAAGCATTCCCAGTTCTTTCGACAGGACCTATGTCTTATCCATGTGAAAGACCCATAATGGCGATCAATTAGGATAAAGGGAAGTTAGTGGTTATAGGTTCTACGGACATGTTTAATGACGAATACTTTGAGAAGGATGACAACCAGAAGATCTTCGATTTTCTGCTTAAATTTTATTTTAGTAAAGATGTCGAATTTGACAAAAAGGCTCCATTCAATGAGTCAGAAAATAAGAATGCTCCAGACATTGCAGAATTGTCAGAGAAACTTAAGAGTTGTCTATAAGAGAGTGAGGAATTGCCTAAGGATGTGACTACATTGTTTGATTCGAGTCTATTTAAATTTGATCTAGATATGATTCCTGATGCTGTTAAATTATATGAAACTCTTTGTAATTCACATTTATAATATGTTAATTAGCTGTCAAACATGAACCCTTAACTCTGATTGTACCCCAATTTGAAACTCCTTTATTGGGATTGTAGCCTGCTTTGTTTCCTCCAATACCGAGAGAGTTGCCTCCTCCTCCTCTGGAGTTGTTTGATTTGGACGAAGAGTTTGCATCCGAGAAGTGATCTACCCATCTTATCATAATTAGAGTGAGATTAGCCTAATTGACCAACAAATGCAGCAACGATGATTTAGAATATTATGTGAAGGAAGCAGGGGACATCATTGGGATCACTGACAAACTCAAGAATAGACAGAAGGCGCAGTCAGTCATTCATTATGTTTTAGAGAATTTGATCAATTTTAAAAAACTAAATTAGGGTTGAGATTTATTAATAAATATACAAAAATGTTTAATACATTGATTCTAATAATCAATGCTTTTTTAATAATCATTCTATTTTGTCCTGTATGGATAAAGTGGTTGGCTCGGTTCCATAAGAAAGTCCTTGCTCTCCAATATTCATACATACCATTTTCGCTTTACAATATGGAATTAAGATATTAATACAAGAAACATATAATAGTTGTTGTAAATATAGCACGTATACAAATTTCAAAAGTCCCCAATCAGTGGAGATTCAATGTCAACATCGTTGATTTGAACCTAAGGTTCATTCCCAACCAACCTATCAAAATCGGCTTTTAATTTGAGGAATAATTGTATATGGAAAGACTCAAATCCAAATTCCTCCCTTACACTCAACAAAAAATTCAACATCGTAAAACCAAACAAATCCCATTCCTATCCTTGCTTCTGGAATCTTCAGCCATCAACTGTCTTTTTCTAACCCTCTCTCGCCTCAATATCCATTTCAATGCAATCAATGTCACCTTGCCAAAACTCAATTCCAAAGAGAAGGATTTGCCAGATATGACTGTGAGATTGGGCTAGACATCAGTATCTTTGCAACTCAATCAAAATGGTCATCTTCAATGGAAACTCAATAGCGAAGGAGCCAACATGCAACAATGTTTCACAATTAATACTATTAATTTAAATGCAATCACCAAGCCTGGATTGTTGGTTGATCTATTAGAAGAACACAGCTACATAGATGTCAACATCCAGGAGGTCTGTTGGTTTTGTAAAAGTGAATACTTCTACACTATGGACGTTTTAGCCAATGAATTTTGGACCAGACCCGACATCAATAAAATTCTGAAACGACAATTCAATGAAAAAGGATTCATGTTTTTAGGAAAACCAAGAGAAATGAATCTCAACTTCGCCTCCTTCAAGATTGAATTCAGTATCTTCAATGATTCCGATAATGAGAAGAAGAATTCATTCAACATTTTAACTCAAAAGTTTTATAAGTATACTCAAAATAAACTTGTGTTTGAATGGCAACACTTGAAATATTATGGGTAATTTGATATCGTCGATACCGATTAAACCAAAAAAGGCATTATCCAATGTAAACAATTTACTGTGAATACTTTACAGGAAGATATTAAATTCTAAGATATTTCTTGGAACCTTGAATCTATATCCAGCAACACTGTGCATTCTAATGATCACACTAAAAATTTCATCAGATTTGAAGATCTTACCATTAATTTATCTCCTTAACTGATTAAATTCTTTACTCTTATTTAAACTGAATTAGCATCAGAATTCAGAGTTGCATTTGTTGAAAATTATGAATAAAGCAAATATTTTAAAAAATACAATCGTATAGCTAAAGAGATGTGTTGTGAATTCCTGAATATTGATCTCAACAGTGCATTAAGTACTTCTTTTGATTTTTTAATTACTAATAAATTTTAAATTAATTTAATCTTTGATGGTGCAATTATTAATTCAATCACTATTAATAAATTTCATTATATTTCAAATGAAGGAGATGTTAATGAATCTTAAATTTCATTTGACTATTGCCAAATTTCAAGCAATATTAGCTAAACAGATGGATTAATTAAAGATTTCAAAATGCAGACTAATACTCAAATTGTAAATTACACCTTCAACACATTTGAACTATTGATAGAGTAAATCAACATTGAGAAGATATTAAGGATTTATTAACTTTAGAAGATATTCAGATAACAATTGTCCAAATTTACTTCTTTCAAATTGACACCTTTAGAAAAAAAGAAATCAAAAGCCCATAAACCTGAAATCAAGGATAAAATCGTCAATTGCAAGGAAATTAAGTTCAAATATTTGTCTAAACCCTTCTTGGCTGAAGTGAATCTTCTAGAAATCAATACCAAAGATCCTAATAATATTGATCTAAATTAATTCTCTATTAAATTTCAGGAATAATCCTTATTTGTAATAGATCAAATTCAAACCAAAAATAGTGCTGAATTGATGTAAATTAATATTAAGTCTGCCATCCTCAATTTTGAAGAGGAAGTTAAAGATATCAATGTATTTCTATAAGGTGTTAAATAAATGAACACTATTGTGTCTAGAAAGTAGATTTTTGACATTAATCAAGAAGAGATTGACACATCCCAATTGAAGAAGAGAAGATCATCTCATGATGGTGTTCTTAAAAAAATACCTACCGATTAGGATGTCGCCACAAAGGTTAGATCGATCTTTGGTAAAAACACAAATCTCAGTATCATAAATTTTGAAGTAATTATTAAGGACACAAAACTGAATGATGCAATGTGTAGATACAGAAGATTCTAAGAGAAGTTTGAAACAATTAAAAGTAGACAGAATGAAAGTAGAGTATTGGAGGGTTTGAGAACATAGTAGTCATATCCATTATTGCATTTGAAGTTCTAAAATCTCAATCTAAAATTAAAGAAATAAAATTTGACTGTCAATCAAGTACTTGATAAGATTACCAAACTAGATTCTCATCCAACTTAATTAGATGAATCTTTCTTTGAGTACTTTGAGTTGGCTAATTGCGAGATTTCATTAGAACTAATTAGAATATCTCTAAGGGATTATAAGTTAAACATCCTCGATATAAGAGGCATCAAATTAAACACATTTCTATGTCTGTCAAGATTGAACACCTAAAATATATAGATAGGATTTAGAGTATTTTATGATTTAACTTTGGAAATCAAATAGTTGTAAATAGCAGCAGGATTGAATTTAGTATTTGCTTTTAGGGAAATCTCCAATAGAATTAATTAGATTATGGGTCAAAGTGTAAACTAATAATAGAATAAGATAGTAATAAAGGAGTAATTGACATTTTGGGATAGATTTAGATTAAAATTCCATGGGAAATTACACTTTCAACTTGATCATTTAATTTTGCAAATCACAACAGACATATTGCCTTATTCTGTTGATTGCATTAAGTTTTCATCGAAGTTAATAAACGTTGAATTTTTAAATTGGACTTTAAAGGGCTAAGCTGATAAACTTAAATTGGGCAGGATTCCAAAAATCTAAAAAGTCCTTTACATTCCAAGAATCTAGATGGTAACTGAATTCAATTGGTTTGCTCAAAAAGATCAATACGATCATTACTTTTATATGAGAAAACCATACTTTAATTAAATAAATAGTAGCTTAAATGATTTTATAAGTCAATAATTACAGATCGAAGTAAAAGTAGATTGCATTCAATATGAACATTATAAGGAATCTAATTTTAGAGATCAACAAAAGCATTGTTTCTTTATTCATTATCAAAACTAATTTATGAGATGGTTGAAGAATAGACCTATATTGAGACACGATGTCTTGAGGATGTTTTCAGTGTAAATTAATAAATTGCCACAGGTGATGGACAATCAAGTATACGAGATGGAATGGAACATGTATGCTGATTATAAGACTTTGGTTAATTATACATACATAAAATTGATGGAATCCTTGATGATTAAGTAATCCTTATTTTAGCATACAAAGAAGATTAACATCAGAGTCTATTCAAATAAATTTAGAATGTTCTTTACGAACTCAGAAAAACCAGTATAACACAATGAAACATTTCTGAAGTATAAAGATGTCCCATTCATTGGATTCTAAGCCTTACTTTAATCATTGAAAGTCAATGTCCAATTAGAACCTAATAAAATTGATAACGATTGGAGGTTCGAAGTCCAATCTATTGCAGCAAAATGTGACCAATTGGTATCTTCTATGTTTGATGGAAAACAGATGCTGGATATGGAATAGCCTGAACCTTTGGGTTAACAAGAATAGTTTGTCAACTTCTTTGACATTCAACCAGTAGATTACTATTAGAGTGAATTAAATCAATCATAGAACTTATAAAACATGACTTTTCATGAATTGAAAAAATTGAAGAAATTCCTTAAACAACCCTTCATCATCAATACTACACTTACTCCACAATATCACTTATTTAATTTATAAACTGATGAGTCATACTTGGAAGATTCACTCGAAGATGTTAAAGTCAGAGGCAGAGCATCAGGCATTTAAATAAAACCATAACCAAAAAATGAATTTAATGCTTTTGACATCTTCCTAAAAGCCAAATCATTAGAGTATAAATAGAACTAAAAAATTGATTTGTTGGATGATGACGAGGAAAACAATACTAATACTGTCATGACTAAGAAAATAATAAAGAATTTCATATCTGCTTTGGATAGTTAGTTTCTATTCACATTTTACTTATAAGATATCTGGGGTAATGTGTTTGAGAGTCTTGAAATACCTTAGAATAAAGAGACTAAGTAAAACTTCGATATGCAATTCGATTAATCCAAACCCAAATCATATAGTAGAGAAGAATTAATATTAATGGTTTCATTGGTCAATCCTCAATTCAATTTCTAATATCACAATGCCAATTGTCAAATGATCCTAACTTCACCCAAAGATTGTTAGATCATAATGTCAGAGTATATTCTACCATTTGATAGCCAAGAAATTGATAAAAAACTTGTTACCAAATTGATATTCAATGGATTAGATTGTTAAGTATTACAAAAACATTTGGATGCCAAGTAGACTGTAAGATTTACTAGTCAAGATTATGAGAAGATTATTAAATGTGATTATGCTCTATTTTAGATCTAAAGTTATCAATTAAGAGAAAATGCCAGAGATTTCACAGAAATATCTTCATTAAATAGTAAAAAACACAATCCCAATTATTGGAATTAAGAATTAAGGAGACCTATAGTACAAGTAAAGGTTGGATAATTGAATGCAACAATGAAGAAATATTAATTAGATCAATTCTTAGATATGGTAACTTTTATGGAAATGGCAGTAACTACAAAAAATGAATTTGAAAACAAGGAGAGGTTCTTTAGAAATAAATTAAAAGAATTAAATTAGTATGGCATAAAGTAACTTGATCAAATGATTAAGAAGAAAATCTCTGAAAATCTAGAACATTATGGGGCTGAAAAATCAAAACTAGATTATGCCATTAAGGAAACAAGTCTATCATTATTGGATGATTAAGAAATCAGCTTTATTTTATTCAATATCAGGTAAATTAGAATCATTGAAACTGTGTTCGAAAATGATAGTCACAAAATTGATATTCTACTCTAGGATTTAGATGCAGTTAATAAAATTGAGTAAGATCCTGATTATAAAATGGTTTTAAGTTAAGAGATCAAAGAATCCAAACAATAACCCTTTTTCAGAATGATCAAAAAGTTTTATCCTCTTCAGATATACTAATAAAAATGGTTTATTATTGATTAACATGACATTAAAATGAATCCATTAACAATCATCTTGACAGATGAATTGTATGATCAGTTTTATAATTATTTCTTCGGAGATGAATCTACACAAAGAAATAATAGATTGAGTATTGAAAAGAAGGAATAAATGAAATGTATCTCTTATATTGTTATATATTAGCTGCAATGGAGAATATATCTAAATAAATTCCAGATTATTTCAATTCTTTATAAGTAAGCGAACTTAAATTAGTGGCTACATTCAAACACCCATCCAAAATTAAGAGATTTAAGGATGTCACTATTTAATTAGAACCCTATAAATCACCTAAATAGTTCACCACCACAAAAGAAGTATAAATTATATCTAATCCTTAGCAATTTGATGAATTTGCCGCTTTTGTTCTTAAATAAATTTCAACACAGATCTTTTCTATCATTGGGTAAAAGCTTTTTGGATGAAAAATATATTAAAATTAAATAATTTATTATTCTATCTAAATAAAAAATTCAAATATTCTATTTATGATCAAAGAAGGTGAATTTGCAAGAAATTTCTATGTCATTTTAAAATAGCAAGACACTTATTAAAATTAGAAATATAAGTGAGTGAGCTCTCTATAATTTTTATTAAATTTGTATATTATAATGATTGTTTAAATAAAATACAAAATTAAGAGTTTTATTATTATAAATTGCATACTATATCAAATAAATAGTGTCAACAATTATCTTCTTGATAATCATACATCTGATTATCTTTCGAAGATGTTGCAGGCCATTAGAAGTCTTCATTTTTGCAATTTTACTACTAAACAATTTATTTTTTATAAGCTTAAATTTATTAAATTTGCTATTTATAATAATTTTAATTTACATGATAAGTGTATGACTTTTAAGTTTATTATAATGAAATTTCGAAATGCTGTCTTGTAATTTGAGGAAAAGAATCTAATGAATAATTTTGGGGTGTGCCTTTTGCGTTTTTTTAAGCATCAATCATCTAAATCTAAACCAAATAAAATACTTCTTTCAATGCAGCCTTTTTGGCATTTTAGCAAACTTATTTTATATCATAACATGAGAAACCGTCAGTAAATGAAGCAAGGGAATTTAAATGAACATCTTAAGAAATTGGAGTATTTTTTAAATTAATTTTGAATTCAATTACTCTTGCTTGAAATTCCGGTAATCCAACATAGATGAAAGAATTGAATCTCTCTTTTAATCTAATATCATCTTAGATGTCTGGTTTACTGGATGTTCCTATAAAGAATAGATGGTCTTCATTAAAGATATCATCTAATTCACTTATGAATAACTAATTAAGCTGAACATCTTGTATATCATCAGTACTCTACTTTTTGAAAAATAAGTCAATTTAATCAAATAATAAAATGCAAGGCTATAATTGCTTCGCTAGGTTGAATACCTCCTTTAAATAGTGACTTGATAGAGGTCTTTTAATTTAGATTAAATTCATGGAATTTTCACCTGCCAAAGCTTTAGCTAGAGACTTCTTACGACATCCGGAAGGACCATATAGTATAATGTTTTTGGAGAATTGCAACCCAAATTATTTCAAACCTTTTGAATATTTTTGTTTCAAAGTAACAATCTCTTAAAGCTACTTTTTAATATCCTATAGATCTCCAATGTCTTCCCAACGCAAATTAGGTACCTCAATAGAATGCTTATTTAAATCATTGAGTTTCATTGTTCTTAATGCACTGATGAAATTTTCATTTGTAACTGTTATAATTTCTTTGGTCATATCATCCAATTACTGATTATCCATATTAAGATAATCCATTTTATCTTTTAAGCACTATAAAACACTTTATTTACAAAGTGCTGCAATATCTCCACCAACAAATCCTCTAGTGGCTTTAGCTATATATGCTAAATCAATATCCTAAGCCAATTTCATTTTTTTAGTGTGTATTTTTAAGATTTCCATTCTTTCATCCTCATTTGGAACTCCAAGTTCAATTTCCTTATCGAATCTATCAAACCTCTTTAATGCTGGATCAATACAATCAGGTCGATTTGTTTCCCCAATAACAATTAAATTTTCGCCTCCCTTTAAGTGATCCATTATTTTTATTAATTAAGACAATAGTCTTCTATCCATCTAAGATTTACCTTCACCTTTTTTTAGAGCTATACAATCAATATCTTGTATTAGTATAATAGCAGGTGTATTTTACTCTGCATTTCTAAAAATCTTGTTAAGTATATCCTCAGCCTCCTCTTATTTTCTACATACTAGTTCAGATCCATTAATAAAAAATATGCAAGCGCCTGTTTCAACAGCCAGTGCTTTGACAATTAATGTCTTTCCAGATCCAGATGCTCCAGATATCAATAGTCCATTAATAGTTTATAATCCTGATGCTTTTAAAATTGAAGGGTTCCTTAACTATAATTCAACAATTGTTTTTATAATTGCTAATTGCTTATTCATACCTCCAATACTTCCATAACCATTTAAGACTGAATTTTCATCAGTTTAATTATCAAATTGTTCTTTATTTTCAATCTCTCTTTTGATAGTTCCACCTTCAGTATAAATAATAGTTTTAGGTCCAACCACTCCCATATCTTCTGGTTCTGTTGCAATAATCTTGAACTCTATATCCTTAGCCATCTTGACAACAAAACAATCCCCTTTTGAAATAGGTCTATAAGCATCATTAAAATATGGAATTAAATAATTCTAAGTTATGTTTTTCTCATTTATTCCTGAAATTGAATCTTGGAATGGTAGTATGTGAACTTTAGTTAATTAAGGCAGCTATAGTTGATAATTCATAAGATACAGATGCTGTTGGTTAAATTGTAATAAAATCACCAATTTAAATCCCTAAGTTCTTTCTAATAACTGAATTCATATGGACTGTTTCTTTATCCTATCTGTTTGAAAGTGCCACTGCTACAGTTTTCTTGTTATTTTTCCCTTCTAATAATACAATATCCCCTTTAAATAATTTCAATTAATTCAACTTATCCTGACACAATTAAACAACAGAATTATCATCAGCTGTAGATTCGCACACTAATAGTCTATTATTCACTTTTGCTAGATTTAGAATTGATGCAGGATACATAAAATATATTTTATTATTTAATTGAATTAGTTAGTGTATTGAATTTCTCATTATATGATTTTTTGAATTAAATATAAATATGAAAACTCAATTTAGATGAAAACATCATCATCATATAACTATATAAATTTTATAAGTGTGACTTAGATTGCTTATTAACAATTAATAATTAGAAGACACAAAGCTTTATTATTAGTCTATAGAGTATTCTGATACTCGGTATCAATATAATGATATAATTGCCAATATATAAGTTGATTCATTCACCATTGTTACAGAAACAAAAGAAATTGGTTTTTTTGCCACTTTTTTTTTATTATTCTATCATGGGGATACGTTTCTCTTTATTCAATGAATTGCAATAAGAGGAACGAGGTTCAATTCTTTACGGAGGAGTGACTTATCTTACTAAAAAAGTAACTTTAAGAGAAAATTTAGTTTGATCACAATCTTTTAGTTGAAGCTCATTTCTAAATGCTAGAAATAACCTTAATTAATACATGGAAAATCTTCATTTGGTTTACCTTGTTTCTTCTTAGGCAAATACAATTTAGTTTATTCAATATCAATCTTTGGTAAATTCATATTCTTTAACTTCAAAATTGCCCAGTTACAAATATCTCCAAGACTCAAGATTTCACTGAAGCCTTGAGAAAATTCATAAGTTTAATCATGTTCTTAATCATACCAATATATCGTGATTATTTTTTCTGTAGCACAATCGATAAAACTTTTTGAATTTTTCCTTAACTTAAGTAAACTAACTTTCTATTCAGGACTGCGATCTATATAACTAAAATTTCTACTGTATGGTTTTATTGATTTCATCTTAATTGTCATATCAATTGATTCATCGATTTAATCTAACATTATATAAAAATTTTATCATAAATACAGAATTAATTTCATTATGATAATATCAATTATTTATCATTTTTTGAAGAATGTATTTTTGTCCAAATTTCATGGTAACAACATAGAATCATAAAAATGTATAATTATTATCTAATGAAGATATAAGGTAGAATTCCTACCTCTATAATAAAATAAAATACAAATAATTTATCCTTATTTCATAAAATAATAACCTTAATTTTATATGTAATTTGACTTCTTTTTTGTGAATAATAAAGTATTAAGCTATGAGACAATATAGAGGAGTCCAATAACAGGGATCTAATGTTAGTATTTTCTATAAGAGATGTTTTAAATATGTTCTTTATAATTAGCAGAATAACAAAATTTCCCCTTTCAATCATGATAAATCAAATATAAATTTCTCTTAATACAAGGATATAAAAATTACAAATCTATCGAAACTAAACAAAGGATTAATTTAAATTAAAACACTCTTTCATAATTTAAGTAGGAAGGTGAGACTTAGATATTTTAGTATCGATCTGAAAAATTACAATAGTTAAAAATATGAATGCTCTATTAGAAGTTATAGAATACTTTCAAACAAAGTTTAAGTAATTATCTATAAGAATTTTATATGATATATTCAATAAATTGGTGACTCAAAAGTACTAAAGACTTGAAAGCTTGGCTAAATTAAGTAAATATCTACTTCAGATAGTGAAATTATATTAAAAAGATGATAAAAATTTACAAAAAAGGAGATAAATGATTGTAAACATCAATAAAAGAATATATATACTATTAGTTCAATAATATATGTTTATAAATAAATTTTTTATGTAATTAATAATTAATAATATATATATATAAATCATAACTATAAATTTCAATCGACTTGGTCTACTGTTGGTTTGAATTCTGATCCAGGTCCTCTATTCATATTAGGCATAGATGGTCCAGCTCCAGCAGCAGCTCCAGTTTAGGCATATACTCTTTGCATGATTGGATGGAATTTAGATTCAAGTTCTTTCAATTTGTCTTTGTAGACATCAGCCTCTTCATTTTAATGTGAGTCCAACCATTTTTGAGTCTGTTCAACTAAGTCAGATAACTATCTCTTTTCATCCGAAGTGAATTTATCCTTAAATTGTTCTTCATTCATGGTATTCTTCATATGATAAGCAGTTGACTCTAAATTATTTTTAGCTTCAATTCTCAATCTGATTTTTTCATCATCAGCCTTATACTTTTCAGCCTCATTAACTAATCTGTCAATATCCTATTTGGAGAGTCTTCCCTTATCATTAGTGATGGTGATCTTGCTATTTTTCTTAGATGCCTTGTCTTCAGCCAGGATGTTCATAATACCGTTTTCATCAATATCGAAAGTGACTTCAATTTAAGGAACACCTCTAGGAGCAGGAGCAATACCATCTAATTAGAATTGTCCTAATTTATGACAATCTTTGGTCATTTATCTTTCACCTTCAAAGACTTGAATCAAGACTCCTGGTTGATTATCAGCATAAGTAGTAAATACTTAACTCTTCTTGGTTGGAATTGTAGTATTCCTTGGAATCAATACACTCATAACACCTCCAGCAGTTTCAATACCCAAAGATAATGGTGTAACATCCAACAACACCAAGTTTTCACATTTTTGTGATCCAGTTCCAGTTAAGATTGCTGCTTATACTGCTGCTCCATATGCAACTGCTTCATCTGGATTTATTGATTTATTCAACTCTTTGCCATTAAAGTAATCCTTCAATAATTCTTAGACCTTGGGAATTCTTGTTGATCCACCGACCAAAACTACTTCATGGATTTGACTCTTAGACATTCCACTATCCTTGAGAACCTATTCAACTGGCGGAATGCATTTCTTAAATTGATCCAAACATAATTCTTCAAATTTAGCTCTTGTGATTGAGCAATTGAAATCTTCATTTTCAGCCAAAGCATCTAATTCAATTGTAGTTTAGTTGGCAGATGACAAGATTCTCTTAGCTCTTTCACATTAAGTTCTCAATCTTCTCAAAGCTCTGGCATTTGTTCTCAAATCAATTCCCTTCTTCTTCTAGAATTCTGCACAGCAATACTCAACCAATCGATTATCGAAATCTTCTCCTCCTAAATGAGTATCACCAGAAGTAGCTTTAACTTCGAAAATTCCCTCATCAATAGTGAGTAAACTGACATCGAAAGTACCACCTCCAAGATCAAAGATTAAAACATTCTTCTCTCCTTTTGTCTTCTAATCTAATCCATAAGCTATTGAGGCTGCTGTTGGCTCATTTATTATTCTCAACACATTTAATCCACAAATTAAACCAGCATCCTTAGTAGCTTATCTTTATGAATCATTGAAATATGCTGGAACTGTAATAACTGCATTCTTAACTGATTTTCCAAGATATGCTTCTGCAATCTCCTTCATTTTTGTAAGAACCATTGATGAAATTTCTTCTGGATGGAATTTCTTAGTTTCTCCCTTGAATCTAACAACTATCAATGGTTTGTCATCTGCACCAGCTTCTACCTTAAATGGCCATAATTTAATATCCTTCTAAACTGTTGGATCATTGAACTTTCTTCCAATAAGTCTCTTTGCATCAAATACTGTATTTTAAGGATTTCTGGCCACTTAATTCTTTGCAGCATCCCCAATCAATCTTTCATTCTCAGTAAAGGCTACATATGAAGGAGTTGTTCTATTTCCTTGATCATTTGCTATGATTTCCACTTTATCATTGATAAATACACCAACACAAGAATATGTTGTTCCTAAATCTATTCCAATTGCTGTTTCGTTTGATTTTGACATTGTTTTTAAAAGCTTGCTTGTTTTTTATTAATTAAATCAATTATTCTACTCTATCACAAGTTTTAAAGGACCTAACTTGCAAATTTCTGGAATTTATAAATTCTCGAAAACAGAATTTTCCAGAATTAAGAAAAGTTAATTTTCCATATTATATAACAAATATATATTAATATTATTATTAATTAATTTATACTATTCTATTAAATGAACAATATTACATCTATCAATATCAATTACTTCAATAGAATTATATGGTTTCATTTAATCTAATGTCTGATATATATATATGACTTTAGCAATACATAAGACGATCCCTTGGGATAGATGCAATATTTTATTCAATGACTTAAGTCTTCCTGGTTTAAGAGCAGAAATTCAAACTCCAATAATTGCAAAAGAAATGATTCTCTATTAAGTGTGTAATTTTATATATATTTTTATTAATATTAAATTTTTATATGAGTGATCAGGAATTCGATCCAAGTGATTTTGCCTTTCTTTATTTCGCAATATCTATTATAATTGTCGCCATAATACCCTTGACTTATAGCCTTATCAAACAACCCTTTCAATCTATGAAATTAAACCCCAAATACAAGAAAGCTCCAGCCACCGCAAAAAAGGCTATTGAAATTGATATTCAAAGGAATTTGTTCTATAAAAAGAAGGGTTTCTATTGGAAATTGTTCTTTTGGGTCTTATTAATGATGATCTTCATAAACACGTATTAATAATTACCTGATCCAGAATTGATGAAGGGATTTGATCCTTATGAAGTCTTGGGTGTTAAATCATACACACCCGTCGATTAAATTAAAAAAGCTTATAGATAATTAGCAAGAGAGTATCATCCAGACAAACATCCTGATGAAACTCAAAAGTACTCAAAATTATTTGATACCATTACAAAAGCTTATCAATGTCTCACCGATCCAAGGAAGATAGCTAATTGCAAAAAGTATGGTAATCCTGATGGCTTTACAGGATTCCAAATTGGAATTGCCTTACCCGAATTTGCAGTATCAAAGGAAAATCAAGGATTTTTGTTAGCGGGATTATTTTTCATTTTTATCTTGATAATCATAATAACATTTTGCACAGCGTTTTCAGGATTTGGTAAATTTGATGTAAATGGAATCTTGATGTCAAATAGAAAGTATTTAGCTGAAAGAATCACTGCAGGCAAAAACAAAACATATGAGGAATGTTTAGAAACCATTTCAAATTGTGAAGAGATTGATAGTAAAGAATTCATCAATACAATTCAATGTGAACATGCCCCAGGAATTCTATATATGAGTGTAGAGATATGTTTACAGATCCTTACTTAATTATGGGCACATTATGAGTTAAAGTAAATCAGAGATGTTACTGATCAGATTGTTGCTCAAATTGAATCCATACCTAAAATCATTTAAGTATTTGTTAGTTTATATATGTTCTTTAGCATAATTCCAATATCAGCCATCCAGGAAAACCACAATTAGATGCCAAAATAAAAACTGCTGAGGATACTCTTACTGAAAATGATTATAGGAATACTGATTTGTTTGAGATTAAATGTCATTTAAGTGGATTGATAGATTAATTTATTTAAAGTCAAACATTTCCAGTTTTGAAATAGAATTAATGGAATATATTGTTGTTTTATAATAATATGATTATTGGATCAAGATAAATTAAAGAAGATTAAGAAAGTAAGACAGTTGTCTTTCGCATTATTCCAGCTTAGTTTGAATAGAAAAATATTACTGAATTTGAATTCAAAGTAGTTGCCTATGCTGACAGTTATCTATTAAAATTAGAATAAAAGATTAATTTAAAGTGCTCCTTATATCATGAAGAATAAAAGAAGAAAAGCAATAAGCAAAAAGACGAATGATTTTTTATTATAATCAAATTTAATTAATCAGCAAATTTATCATCTTTATTTAGACAGACTAAGGGTTTGTATTTTCTTCTCCTGTCTTTGTATTGTCTATTGTAGAATGACCTTTTCCTCTCTTAAGTCTTACACTTCCTTGGTTATCTTATCTAAATCCTAATTTAACTATTTGTTAGTTCTCTACAGAGCTGAGATTTATTCTGACATAGTCTTTTATCTCATCTAGTTTAATTCCTTTTGTCTTTCAACTTATTATTATAACTTTTCAATTTAATGAATTAAATCCTGTTCCCTCATTTACAGAGCTTCTTTGTTTGTAGAAGTTGCTTAAAATTTTTGTTTAATATTTTGATTTTCACTGGATAAATTATCTACTCTACTCTATAATTCCTCACAAGTTTAGGCGTTAATTTCAGATTCAATTCTATGTCATTTAAATTAATAAAAATACTTAAGCAAATCTAAATCGATATCCTTTTTGGATATAATCAATTTCTATAAAATATCTTTGACTTCTCCTTTGTTAGCTACCTTATTAGATAATTCTTCATAAACTGATTCACAAACTTTTATTATTTTTGTAATTTGCATCTGATAGAGCTTTTCTTATTGAGCTATCTTTAAAGTAAGTTCTTTTTCTTTCAATTTAGCAATATCAGCTACTTATTGTAATTCTTGTAATTAATTTTGATAATCTTCATCCTTATTTTTATTTGAAATCTACAATTAATAATTAAGATCTTCAATGGTTTAATAGAGTTGCTAGTTGTTATATTTCTATTAATCAACTTCTGTCATTTATTTATATACATTCAGTTGATTCTCTAATTCTTAGATATAAACTAATTGTCTTGTTATTTCTTCACAGTTTGATTCTCTAACTATTTTATGTTCTTCCAAAGCATTAGACAATTTAATAATGTCATTTTATAATTAAGCTACTGTTCTTTCATGCTTTTTAAACTCATCTCTTTTGAAACCTTTTTAAAACAATGTAATTGTCTCATTGTTCATACTCTAGTCCTTTTTCAAGTTTTCATTCTAGTGTTTCAACTATAACAATGAGAATAAGCATTTACATGAGAGTGCTATTTTTCTAGACCTCTGACTTTCAATCTATACTTTTTGAATTCTTCTGCTTGATCATGGACTTTCTGATTCAATTCATCTATCCTGTTCAACATAGAATTCTTTTCTTATTTTAAAATCTGAATCTTCTTTTTCTTATGAGCCAATGATGCTTACAATTCAGTAATACTTTGTTTGCTATAAAAATCGCAATCTGTTAACATTTAAAATAAATTAAAATTTTATCATTCCTTCACTAATGTAATCGCATTGAAATCTCTTCCTCTCATCTCTTAATCCTTCAAATATTAAGCTCTATAAGTATTGACCTTACGCTCATTATCTGTCTTTCCGAATATCCTATTTGAAGTGTCCACATTTTAATTGGCTGTTCGTTTCTTCATCCAATCTTTATGCATCTCAAAATTCATAGAAGGGAACTATCCTGAATGCAAAAGTGGGTCTTCTGGATTAGGCTTATTTTGTACATGTCTCACATTGTCAAACTCAATTGATGGATTGCTACAATTAAATCTCTCAAGTGCTACACATGCTATATTAGTATTTTACACTTAAATCTCTTGAAATGTTAATTAGACTTATACTCCTCTTATTTTTTTAGCTTTTCATGTTCTTCTCTATACAATTCGGTCTATTCATTAGTTGGATTATCCAAAGCAAACAAACCAGATTTGAAACCCAATTTTGCCTTCTTATAGGCTTTATTGACATCTTAAAACTGAGATCTCCATTAGTGGTATTTGGCTTAATGTTATTTAGCTTCTTACAAGTCCTTACGATATTCCTCAGGCTTCTTGAGTTCTGCTTGAGTTTAATAATTAATTTTGGCTTCATCAAATTGTTTTTCTGGAATTTACAATAGTTTTTTTTTCAAGAATGTCTGACTAGTGGATTGTAATGGATGCTATGTAATCAAATGATTGATGGATTGTTAGTGTAGATAATCTATATTATCTTCAATCAATCGAGGCTATAGACTTCGAAAATAATAGCTTTAGTTTTTCAGAGTCATATTTTATTGAGTGTCTCCTAATTTCATAGTTCTAGCACCTAGTGAGGCAAACTGACTATGTTGTAAGAATTTCCCCAGATGCTATGCATCCCAAGTGTTTCCTAACATCTTAATAGAACCATCTAAGGCTGATGGAGTTTGCCTTGATTAAGTTTCACAATATTTACGATTGCTTTGTTTAAGCTTGAATTGTGCTATTCATGAAATTTGGTAGGATATTTTAAGTATTTGCACATGAGTCATCTTCTCTTCTCATAAATTCTCTAAAATTGTCTTTCCCAACATCTGGTACTCTTTCCTTTTATCTAAATAACATATATTTTATAATATAATAAAATGATTAACTTATTTCCTAATAAATAATCAATAATTGATATTTCAATCTTATGCTTCAAATTTATCAAATACTATTATTTACTACTGTTATATTGACGATGAAATTGAGATTTTCATTTATTTTTCTTTGTTCTTGGTTTCAGTTCTGGTAGAACTTTTTTATTTTATTTTCATATGAACTATTAAGCTTCCTATATCATTTTCCTGTAGAGTTTCCTTTACACTGTCTAAATTGCAAACAAAATATTCAAAACTTAATAGATAATAATTTTCATTTCTTCTATTGCAATTATATATTTGGTTAATATCATAATTTATATCATTAGTTAATATTATTCTTATGTCTATCTGATTGACTTTGAGTCATATACTTAATAATTTAATCAAATTTATTACTAATTAATTTTAGTATTATTTCTAAAATTAGCCTCATTGAATATCCTATATATTAAAATGAACCAATATAAATAATATTTATTTTCAAATGAAGGTTGAGTTTATTGTAATCCTAAATGTATCCTCAGATCAGAAACTCAAAAAATAAGTAATTTTAAATATAATTCATTAAATTATAACACAAATTTATTTCACCAAAGTTACCATTATTAATTTTAATGTATCTTTTACTTATAGAAATGAGTAACTTAATTTCTTTTGGTGAATTTATTGATTGGTTGATCCATCTAAAGCTCTCATCATTGATTTTTGCACTTAAGAGTACAGAGACAGCCTCGACGATTGAACATTTAATTTTGAATGAATAAATAACTTTACAATTATTTTCTTACCTCCTTATCTACAATTACTAAAGTTTGAGTTTATTAAAGAATTTAATAGAATTTCATTTTTTAGATATTCTAATATTTTGTGTTAATTATTCATTGTTTAATATTATCTTATAATGCTAAGAAATATTAATTATATGTAAATATCGCTTGTTGTTTAATTAAATATGATAAAAATTTTAGTCTTATTTTATAAAAAAATAAAAATTAAATTATCTGATTATCAATTAATTTTTTTGATTATACTCTAGTATTATCACTCCAGTGATTTCATATTAAATAAAATAATAACAATTTATTTTTAAATTACTTTTAATGCAATAATCAGCAAATACTAGGTAGATACTAGATTTAGATTTCTAAAAAGAACTTTATTAAGAAGACTTGAAGAAACTAGTGTCGAATATATAAGATAAGCAAAAGTCATATAATGACATAAGAATTTAGTAAAATGAACTGGTACAAAAAATCATAAGAATATGCTATTAAAAATTTGAGGATGATATTATTAAGAAGCGAATTGAATTACAAGAATTAAAATAAAAGTCTGAGGAGCAAAAAGCCATATAGGATGAGGAGTATAGCAATTTAGAATTGGAACTTAAAAACAAAATAGTTAATGTATTCATACGCTTTCAAAAATATTATGAAAAAATAACATAAGAAAAAAGTAAATTAGAAGAGTATATTGTGGGAAATTTAAATGATAGTGAATATACTCTAATTTTGCAAAGTGTTCATTAATCATTATCTGATTTTGAGTTGGCCAAAGAGAATGAATGTATTAATTAATAAACATTTTTATCTTTAAAATCTCCAAATGTTCACACTAAATAGCATTAAAAAATGTCTCACTTAAATTCATATGTAAACACACTTATTACCAAAATTGAAAATGCAGATTAATAAGTGTTAAATATTAAATCTGAAAAAACATAGGTCTAAATTATTATATCATAAAAACTCACCTCCCTTAAACAATACATTAGATAACTATAATAGTTTAATAACGATAGTGTACAAGAAGTATTTGAACTCTAATCAGATTTCCTGACAAATCATAGAAACCTTAAAATCAATAGATAAAATATCTAGAACTCCTTTGCTAAAGACGAAGAATTAATATGTGCAGAAATAATTTAATTAGAATAACAAAAAAGCGATATGGATAAAGGTTATAAATCTTATACACAAGTCATATTATAAGGAAACAATTAAAGAAAAGATTTTGAGGAAAATGTATTTAGATTAATTTCATTATCTAATTCATTAATCTAATCACTAAATAATAGTATTGAATAATTTAGATCATAATTGGAAGCATTCTCTTTAACTCCAGATACAAAAACACCATCCACCACTTCAAACAAAAAACATAATATTTTGAATCCTTACAAAAAAAATATAAACGACAAAATTTAGACAGAACCTTCAACTTACAACTTATAAAAATCTATGTACTTCAGAAGAAAACCTTAAGTTGAAAAATTAGGATCAATTAAAACAGATGAGAATAACGTTACATCATTCTAATCAGTTTTCAAATAGACTTCTCAATCCCCCAACTTCAGAAATTAAATTTTGCCTGAGAAGTAAACTGCTTTGCCTCTAAAATGTACATGTCCTCCTGAGTGTTAATGCTAATAATATATATAAGAATAGATGCACTCTTGCAATAATTAATTGTATATCAATTAGAAAGGAATCCTATTATGTTAGGTTTGTTAAATATCTTTTTCAATAAATGAACATTACTTTTACTGCTAATTTAATAAGACTAAAAATAAATTCAAGTAGTTCCAAGATTTTATCCATAGTTTTTGGAAATACATAATAAGTTTGACATTAAACTAATAAATTGTTGATTTTTGGATTGGCCTAATAATTAATTGTAAATAATAATGGTAAAGTGGATCTCCTAGATTGCCTTCAATAAAATAAGACGAAATCATTATTAATTTCTTATCAGGTTGTCCAAATCAAAGTAATTGCAATCATAAAAACATTCTTCCTCAAATACATTCTACTTGTAACACTCCATTGTAATTATCCAATTATGGTGAGGTCATTTGTAAAAGGTGTCAATACTCAATATTTATTTAATATCATTTAATTTAATGTCCTGAAAATAATTAGTTTTATGCTTTTTGGAGCGTTGAAGAAATCATATTATCAATTGATCCGTATATAAAATAATTAATGAGATAAGAAAAAAATGATTGTAATTAATTTTTATAATCATTGATTATTAATTTGAATAAAAAATGGAAATGATTTATTTTATAAATAATGTTTATCACATAAAATTAAAAAATTAAAAATGTATGCCAAGAACATAATTGACTCTGATTTTCAATCCAATGTTATCAATTAAGATTTGAAACCCTTTGTGTAGAAAATCTAGGATAGACAAAAAAGATTATAAGAGTTATCAAAACAACTAGAAGAAAACATTTAGAAATCATTGTCAATCAACTCCATTATTTTTGAAAGAGAGTTGAGAAATAAACAAAAAGAAATGAGGAAAATTAAATTGGAAAATGAAAAAAGAGTGACTAAAATTAAAAAGGAATATGATCTTACTGAAAATTCAAACCTATCAAAATTATTACAAAAGCAACAAGAATACATTTCAAATTATGAATAATTATATTAAGAGGAGATCCATTTTGTTAAATTTATAGATCAACAAACAAAAAATAGTAGTTACTATACAGTTATTAATTCTATACTGAATGATAGTTTAATATTTTCAGGATTCAAATTAGATAATTCAAATGTATTAGAATACTTAACAGGACACAATAAACAAAAGCTTCCAAATTTTCATAACTCTCTTAAATCAACAATTCAGCAATTATAAAATATTGAAGAAAATTTATTGATAATACTCAATTCTAACAATCATGATTCTCAATTGTAATTACTCTAACAATCCTTATCAAACTTTATTAATATTCTTAAAACTACTCAAACTCAAATAGATGAAATCCTATTGGAAATGGAATTAATCTAAAAAGAAATATCAGATTCAGATAAAATTAGGAAAAACAACATCATTCTAATACAATCAATAATTAAAGAGAATCAAGATTAGAAAGAATTAGAAATCTAAGAATATATCAAAACGAATGATAATTTGATAAAGCATCTTTTCTCCTCTATCGAAATAAATAGAAAGTATTCGATATTTTTACTATAATCAAATGAAGATCTGTAAAAATTATCTTAGTTATCAGAAATTCAATTGTAAAATAAATTCTAAATTGAAAATAAAAAATAAAATAAATAAGGGTGTGTTTAATTAAAAAAAGTGCCCACAGTTCTTTTATCTAGAACAAGGATTTATTCTGACCATAAGAAAGATATCAACGACATTCTGAATTTGTCTAATGATTAATCTTTAGAGATGATAAGTAGGAAGGATATTATGGCAAAAGAGTCATCGTTTCTTTATTAATCTTAATAAACGATCAATTTTGAAAAATCAACTAGCAATTCAACCTTATAAAAGCAATTTTCACAGATATATGTATAAAGTCCCAATAGTACAAAATACATAGAAAAAAAGTCTCCTCATATTTCTCATAACGCAACTTATAAAACCATTGCACATTCTGATAAAAAGACAGCACTACCTTTGAGATGTGCTTGTCCTCCTTAATGTTTATGTTCTGCATAAACTATTGTGTAGATTCACTCGTGTAATTGTTAACTTTATATCAATTCTAGAGGATACATTATGTGCCAATAATGCTAATTTTCATAATAAATCTAAGACTATGGGTTCTACTGCCCACAAAACAGGTAAAAAAATAAATTTAAGAATTATCAAGATTTTTTTATTTCATTTTGGTTACATCTTATAACCTTAACAATTAATGAACAAATAGTTGAATTTTGGGACAATTTGTAAGTAAATTGTCAGCAATAATGGATTTAATATAAGCAAATAGACTTTAACGATTTAACAGATGAAGTTAGTTTTATGAACTTTATTGCATACTGTCCTTTAAATAGTAAATGCTATCACAAAACTAGTCAACAATAAATTCACTTTTGTTAGAGTCCATTGATTATCAGTTCATTAGGAGAAATAGTTTGTAAGAAATGCAATTTTTAAGGGAGTCCCTAATTTCATTTTATATAATGCCCAGAACAAAAGGAATTCTATTATTATTAAAATGCAGATTTATTTCTCAATTCTATTGATCTAAATCATTCAAACTTTGAATCTGAAAAACAAAATTAAGAATTCTTGTCAAAACTAAGAAAAAATCTAATAAAGAAATGGAGATGACATTGATTGCTATTTCTTATTCATTTTTTTATATATACGCAGTCATAAATTTTCTAATGCTTTATCAATCAATTTTCTCACTTTCTTCTTATATTCATCAGGTTTATCTCTGAATTGAATTCCAGCATCAACATTTGCAGGTGAATTAATATTAGGCTCTGACAACATTGAAACTATAGATATTAAAACATCTTCTGGTGTGAGAATTGGTCGCCATCTAAGATAATTCTCTAAAAATATACCTAGTTTCTGGGGGTTCTTAATCATTGAATTCATCTTATGCATGTAAAATTGAAATGCAAACTCTTCCATCAGTATAGACTACGCTTAATGATAATCAAAATACTATTTGGATGCCACATTTCTGTTAAAAATCTAAAAGTTGGTGGGGAATTGGGATAATCTTCTGGAAATTTCATTAGAGCTTAAAAATATCCGCCTTCATATAAAGTATCCGAAGGTCCCGCAAAGCTAATATTCCAAGAATACAAACTATTTCCCTCTAATCCAACAGAAACTCCTTCAATTGTTTTGCTCTCTTCCAATTCTAAAATTTTAAGATAAATCAATTACATCTAAGTTGCTTTTTTAAGAGAGTGACTGTGTAACTAGCAGATTGAATGGGTGCTGTGTGAGTTGATTGCGACTATAACATAAATTATTTAAATTAAATATTACAAAACTTTTTTTTTAATTGTTAATATCAAAGACTCAATCATATAGTAACATTTGAACAAATCCTGTATCTATGATGAAATATCATTAAAAATGAATGTAAAAGGCTTAGCACATAAAAAAATAAGTGAAATAAATGCTTAATTCATTACTATATGAAATAGATTAAAAACTATAAATGATAATTAGTGTGATTGAATAGAATTATTGATATCTTTATGCTTTTATTATAGCAATATCTTTAAGTTCAATAATATTGATAGTTTATGCTAAATATTAATAAACTATGATTATATTTATACTATTTGAAATCATTTTATTGTAAATATATAATATTTTGATTTTATGATAGGATAAAGCAAAACTGAGTTACATTAAGTCTTTAAGAGCTTCGATAAAGATGGAAGTGGATTTGTAGATAAGTCAGAGCTTCATGCAATAGCCTAATAACTCAATCAGGAACTCAGCAAAGAAGAGGTTGATAAGGTATGGTTATTGTATTATACTTTAGTTAATGTCAGTTGTAGATATAAATAAAGATGGTCAAATATCGTTCGATGAGTTTTGGAATTGGTGGCAATTCGGAAAAAATGGGCATTTAGAAAAACTAGTATTTACGAAACTGAAGCTTATGAATTTACTTAAGAAGGTTAACTCATAATTCACAAGATTTGGAATTTCTATCTTCGAAAAATAAGATAATACTTTTGATCACCATTATTGGGCAATAAATTATGGTGATTAACCCTGTCATTTAAGAGTTGATAGCACAATCTTATATAATGGGAAAGGAATTGCAGAAGCCTTAAATAATGAAAACAAAGCATTAAAGGGAGTCTAATTAACTCCAGGGAAGTTTTTCGATATAACCTTGATGATTCGAGCTCTGTAACCTGAAGTAGCAAAACAAAAGTTTTAAGAATTATACAATGACTTTATGTAAAAATTATAAAAGGATGAATCTTCAGAATCATAAGAAGTTATTGAATTTCTTTCAAAGTGTGACTTGAAAGTTACATCAAATACAGATAGTGTAATTGATTTATGTATTATTCTAGATCATTATCCAATTTACAGTCAAACATCCCTTAGTCTAGGATTTTATTGAGACCTAATACACTCCTTTTTCAGAATAATTGGGTGAGGATCTTGAAGTTTAGGTAGAATTCAATGTTGGTGTAAAAAATGGATTGAAAAAGATGATGAAAAAGAATTAAATTTTTATCAAGTATTTGCTAGAAGGTTTCTTGGTTGAATTCAAAACTAAATTTAATTCATCTCTTGCTAAAAAGGTATTCAATTTGGGGCTTTTTATGCTTTAACAAGCACAATCAAAGAAAATGCAATAAAAAAAGGTCCTTTCGAAATATAAATAAGCATTTACATTCCCACTCCTTTTTAAACACTCAAAATTTCATTTACAATTTAAAAATATGGAAGATGTGGATGCTTTCCTAAAATCTCTAGGTCTAGAGGAACTAGTCGAAGATTAACCTAATGCAAGGGATTTATTACAGGAGATTATTTAAGAGGATGAAATACAAGAATTTAAAAACCCAGAAGAAGATGCATACATCATCTATTAATTTTATTAATTTGGAAAACAATACTTGATTGCTAAAGGATTAGCCTTTGCATAATTTCCAAACGGAATTGCTAAATTTGAATTCAATTTTGAAGGATTAGCTGATGTTATGGAATGCATATTTAGAGAAGATGCAGAAAACTAAAAGAAGAAATAGAAATGAATTGAATTCAAAATATATCTAATCAAATATAAGATATTATTATTCTCATCACTCTCATCCATAAAAAAGATGTGATATCAATTTTCAATAATATATAAACTAAATAAAATAGAAGTAGTTAAAATTATTAATAATAAATTTTTATTATTAGATTCATGAATTTAAGAAAGTTTTCTTAATAGTCCTACTTCAAATAAAAGGCATCCAATTCAATTAAAAATGAAACAATAAAAGAAGAATCAGAGGAGATCAAAACAAGTCAAAGTAAAAGCTTTAATTTAACCTAAGACAATCTACACAAAAAATGTACAATTCAGACATCTGCGTCACCTTATGCCAAGAATTCGTCATCATCATAATGTAAATAAGAAATAATCTATAGTATTTTAGAAATTCAAAAGTTTCACATCAAGTACCTCACCTTTATAGAAATATCAAATTAAGTAAAAGGATTTAATTAGCACTGTATCTCACTTTACTATAGAAAATAAACATCACCAATCGCAATCTGAGCAGAAAGAAGTAGTGGAAAGACTTTTCAAATGGGAAAAACGGAAGTAATGCGTAATTAAAGAGAAACAAGAAAAGTACTAAAATGAAGAAGAGAAAAAACTCTGGGAAAAACCAATATTATCTAAAGAAACCCTTAAAATTTATGAGTCTGGGCTGAAACATCACTTAGAACTCAATAAATTTATTAAATTCAAAGATCAATCCACTCAAAGATCAAGCGACTATCCGCCTCTTTAGAAATTAGATAAACTAAAAAGAAAAACCAAAATAAAGTTTGAATACGATGAAGATATAGAAGACAAACCAGATGATGTTAATGAAAAAACTACTTAGTATAAATTTGTTAATGAAGCACAATCAGATTCGACTGAAAACTTGAATAGAGAAGTACGGAGTAAATCTGATTACACCACTATGCCTATTCATTTAAGATATGAATATGAAATAAAATTGAAGAAAGCAAAATTGAAATAAATGATTGACGAGAAAGAGAAGGTGGTTTAATAGGAATTAGATTTAGCAAAAAGTATAATTTTATGTATATCTAAGAATATAATAGTACTGCTGAATAATTTGAGCATTTCTTAAGCGAATAGGAGAATTTCTTGAAAAAGAAATAACAATTTTATGATGCTAATTTAAAAAAAGAATTAGAAAAAATACAAGAAATAGAATCCCATTTCTCATATAAACCGGAAATTAACTTTCCTCCTCAACCTACAAAAGTATCTAAAAGCAAAGAGTAAGATGAGAAGTTCAATGAAAAACTTCATACCCTTAGAGAAAGACAATAAAGATAAAAAAACATCTACTTTTTTAAATCTACTTTACCTGATATGAGAAGAAACATCAAACAAAAGTATCATGAAGTATATATCAATCTTAATATGCAATAGATCCTCCATAAGAGTGAAAATTTTGGAGTTTCAGAAGTTTAATTTCAAACAGAAAGTTGATAAATGATTACTTATATCAAGATAATGCATATATATTCACAGTTTATTAAAATAGAGGATTACTTAATATTTATTCTATTGTAAATCTCTAACTAGCATTTTTTTCTAAACAGCCTTTAATTAATTAAGCAATATCTTAATTCATATCGTTTGGTAACTTCAATTTGTTCTATTGTATTGCTCTATATAATTCCTTGTCATTTTGTCCTTTAAATGGATATTCTCCAAAAAGCATTCTATATAACAATATTCCTAATGACCATATATCTGAGCATAATGGATTATGAGGTACCTAAATTACATACTATTCTTACTTTTGAAACCAATTCAGGAGACATATAGCTTGGAGTTCCACAAAATACATTGACCTTTTAGTTATCTTATAGGCATATGGAAAATCCAAAATCTATTAGTTTTACATAATTGTCTGTAAGTAAGAGTATATTTTCCATTTTAATGTCCCTATGCGCAATGTTTTTGCTATGTAAATAACTTATTGCATTTGCCAGTTATTGAAAAATGTATAATCCCTCTTGGATTGATAGAAGTCTTTTAGATTTTGATTTAACATAAACGGCTAAGGATTAATTGGAAATATATTCCATCACTAAATTTATCTATGATATATAAATTCATACTGATTTTTTATCTTCAATAGCATAGATTAATTTTATGATATTATTATGTTTAATTCTTTTCAGAATTGAGATTTCTCTTTTAATATTATTCATTTTTTAATTGTCATTAATTTTACTTTTATCATATATTTTAATTGCATATTTAACTTTACTGTTCTTCTCTACACATAATCTCACTGTTGCATAAGAACCTTATCCCAAAATGGATTCTAACTTAAAGTTTCCAATCGGGATTTCTTGATTACATAACTAATTCAAATCTAATTGATTTTTGATTGTTTTATTAGGTTATAATTCCTATTTATCTTCTGTATAAAGTGCTAAGATGTTTGTAATTTTGCAGAATGGTTATTTAACCATAGTTTAAGAATTAAATTATATTTTAGTGTTTGAAGTGATCCTAATATTTTCTTTTTCCTTTATGGTTTCTTAACTCATCTTCTTGTGATTTTCAAATGCATTAGTTTTCAATTTGCTTACTAAAGAAATCTTACTTTCGATATTTGATAATATTTTGTTTGCTAATCTATTCTCTTTATTATTTTCAATAGATTATACATCATAATGATTCATTGATGTTTTACTTTAATTAAAAGGCTGCTTTAATGTGTGTTTCATATTTAATTTATAACGACACTAATTTAATAAAGATTATTAAAAATCTATAAAAAACTACTCTACTCTTTAAATTGCCCATGTGAATTAATTATCAATATACAATTACATCTTCTTAAAGGATATATGGTTGACATTCGAATATCTCTTTCAGAATCCATGTTTTTTATATAAAAAACTTTAATTTCTATTATCAACAAAGAGAAAGTGTAAAGGAAGAAGAATTGCTAAGAGAAAGGCAAGAATAAATAACTTTAAGAAGAATTGTGATATTATAAATGATGTGATTATGAATTTTGTGCATTTAAATGTAAGTCATTATACTTGATTTAAGAGTTCTCCTTTAGCCTCTAATTCTTTCACATTTGAACAGCCTCCAATAAACTTATTGTTTATGAATACCAAAGGTATAGTATCATATTTTAAGAAATTCATTAATTTCTATTTTTGTTCATCATATTCTTTATTCTCATCTATATTCCTATAATCAATCTGAACTTTTAATTCTTCAAAAATCTTTTTAACTTTAAAGCAATATGGGCAATTGTCTGAACCGTAAACGACAACTTTCTTTTCAGTCTTTATTTCTTCTGGTTTCATTGTATTAGATGAATTTGCTCCCATTGAAAATATATTAATGAATTAAATTAAAGCGAAAATAAGAATTTAAATTATGAGTGTAAATTAATAATGCATCATCTTCATAATTCAATTAAAATCCTTCAAAGTTGCTCCGATTTCATCCGATTTCGTATCCAATAATTTGCTTGATTAAACTGGAGTTATTAGTTATCTCGAATCTGGTATCTTTCCAAATTATTGTAATTAAGCTTATGTTCTCAGGCTATTAAGTTACTATTGGTAATAAAACAGTTAGGGAGTAGGAATTTAAAGAAGACTTTGTTATAAGAATTAGTTTCTAAAGTAATAGATAAAATAATTACTACTGTAGAAGTAAAAATGGGTTCATTGAAAGACTTAATAATAATGTTTGAAATTATTGGGCTTGTAATTATTGGACACTCATCTGATTTTGATTAATTGGTTGAGGTATTTAGAGAGATTTTTGATCATTTGAATCAATTGGTTATTATTTCTCATCTTGCTTCTCCTGTTTTGATTCATTTTTAAAAATGCTTCTTCTAGACCTCGTCTTTTTCTTGCCCACTCTTCCTTCTCTCTTGTAGGTTTACAAAATAGCCTTTGATGTGCTAAACTTAATTCCAAATTCTTGAGCTGCCTACTTGATCGTTGACTGTCTTGATTGAACTCTTTTTATAAATGCCATCCTAACAGCTGGTGTTATTATGGCATATTTCTTTTTGGTTTAACTACCATCAAATTAAGGCTCCATTGATATATATATTTATAATGAGATTTCAAAAAGATTACATTTACATAGTGAGTTATTATTACACATTCAATAAATAAATCTTATCCTTTTTTTAAACATAAATTTAATTTATTCAAGAATTATTACACATCGTTCCAAGCAATATTACAATTCTATATGGATAACAATATCCATGTGGAAAATAGATGCCTACATCGTCTTTTACCATCATCTATGGTATTTTAAAGGATTCCAAAAATATTAAATACACATCAGTTAATCAACTAAATAACATCATTTCTTATTAATTTTTTTAATTCTTGTTGATGTAATAGATATAATTACTAATTCGCTCTTATTCTTATAGGTTTGAGTTTATGATTTTCTGAAATCTATAATTCGAGTCACTGAATAAGAATCAAAATAATACAATTTTAGACAACAGATAAGCAATGCAACATCTACTTACTGTTTAATTATTTTTCATATTTATAATCAATGTTATTCAATATTATATGAGTTCTATTTGAAAATAAAAATGATATGGTTATTCAACTCACACGTAGATAAAGCATATTTATGCAAAAATTGATTGGGCTTATATCTTTTTAAATCTTATTAAGGAAATGGAATTCAAGTGTATTAAGAACATAATATAAGGTTTATTACTCCTAATTGTCAATTAAACTTTCATTTTTCTTTTGAATTATAAATCAAAAATTATTTAACATTATGTATATTCCTATATTATCATTCAAAATTATTATGAGAACTACTGATCATAGAAGAAATATGCTTTAAATGATTTCTATATTATTATCATAATAGATCCTTATAATCAATATTAAGCCGAAGCAACAGAAAAAGTTAATAAAATTAGAAGTTAAGAAATTTTAATAGAAAAAACATAATTTAATTAGTTCTTTTAATGATACAAATAAAATAGCCAAGAATACAGAATTTTAGATTATTTATTCATCCTTTTATATTTTTTTAAGAATTTTTTAATTTAATCAGTTCTATATTAAATAATGCTAAATAATCATTCAATATTAACTTCTATTGACAGTTCACATGATTTAAGTTCCTAGCCGAAGGAATATGTGAAATCTTTATTCGAATTCCATCATTAAACATATATTATCTAATCTATCTGATTGGATAATTCATACCTGAATTTAATTAGTATTGGGGGAGTTACTGATTGTTAAGAATGATTTCTTTTGTCTTATTTGAGGAATTGATATGTATTTTGATATTATTATTTATTAACTAATATACAGAAAAATAATTTAAGCTCATATAATTACAGTTTCGTATCACCTTGATTTAAAATAATAAAACTCTTATGGCTTTGCAATTTTATTAAATATTTCTCCAATTTAAGATAAATATTTTAGTTTCTCTGATAAATCACTTCGCAATATTTAAGCATAAGCATGTTTTGTATAAAATTCTATAGAGAGTTTTTGAAATAATAGTTTGAACATATCTTGGTATTGTTATCCTTTTGGATCAAAATGACAAAGAATGTACATGTCTTGGATTGCTTTGATTTCTAATTATTTTAGCCAGGTCCAAAAATGAGGTTTTAGATTTAAGTTATCTTAAAAGAAATTATCAATAATCTCCTTTGCTTCCTCGTTTTCAAGTACAAAGGTCATGTGGTTTTATAAGAGGATGTTCTACACTTTTTTTTCCTCTGTTATAAAATATAGTAATATTATAATACCATCAATTGGGTAAATTCCCTTCTATTGAATTTCAATTTATGTTATTAACTCTTCCACTGCATCATTCCTATTTTCTTCAATGCGAATTGATGGGTTATTGATAGTACGTAATTATTTATTTGAATATGCCTATTGAATTAATAATTATAGAAAACTTAGAGGAATAGTAACAGTTGGATCTTAACGAGTCTACTTTAAATGATAATGTTACTGAGATTTCATCAGCTGGTTAAAATCGCAAATTTAATTGAGGATATTTTCGTTTCTTCTCACAGTCTCCTACTTTATTATGAATAATTTTAATTGGAGCATATTTCAACCGCGCATGATTGTTTCCATTGTGATTGCACTAATTGTTATCAGATTCAAAATTTGACTTCGATGAATGATAGCGTTCAAAGCTCATAAATAAAGACGATAAATTATAAATAAATTATTATATAAGAATCAATATAAATATTGGAAATTATTTTATAAAGAATAACAAGAGTTAATATTATCAAAATTTATAAAATTCATTGGATTATTCTATTTTTATATTCTTTTTATACAATCTCTCTTGATTAGAATATAGATTGTTATTGAACCAAGTGTTTTAAAGTATTATAAATTTTAACTGCCTTCTCCAGTTTATTACCATCCTTTATGATTTTCTTGATTTCATCATGTACATCACCTAATTTCTTTGGAACCTAAAATAAACTAATTTCGATTACATTATGTGTCTAATTCATTTGAATATCACTAGACTTCTTTGCATGAAATGAATTATGCTTTTAGATCGGCTGAGTAATATTAACCTTGTTTCTCTCAGAGTTAATTTTTAAAGATAATTTTTTAACTTAATGATTTTGACTTCTAAAACTTAAAAAAAATAGTTTTTACTTTATAATATTTTAAGGGCTAATCACATCAGCTTAGTTTTTAGTTGTTGATGCGTTTTATTTAGGTATATCTATAATTTTAACTTCAACCATATTTTTTTAGTTTGAGCTATTTCTCTAAGATTCTGCTAATTTTGAATATGAACCTTCATTGTATTTATGTAATTTATAATGATTGCCATTAGACTTTTTAATTTTATTTATTAATGAAATTTTAAAATCAGACTTCGATGCATCTGTCTAATTTAATTGGGAAACAATGGCTTTAAGATTAAATAATCTGTTATTCGAATTCATAATCTAAGTTTAATTGGTAGGAGTCTCATAATCCACTGTCATCTTTTAGATCTCCAAATCTATAATGCCAATATCTTAAAGCAAAGAGCTATTTATAATATTTCTATCTTATTTTGATCTTGCGTAGTAATATTATGATGAATTCAGCTTTTCAATGCAACTTTAGGGTTTGGATTGTTATATGAGAATATGAGAGTAGGATTATTTTGATGTTGATTAACTTAATTGATTGATCACATTTTCCAGAGCCTTTTTCTTTCTTTAGATAGCATTCTTAGTAATACCTGTTCTGAGTTAGAGTGGAGCCTTTCTCATCATAGAAATTACTCATTCAAGAATTAAGTAAGTATTATATAATTTATTGAATAATTCATTATTATGATAAAAACAATTTACTTGCATTTGCTCCTTGGAGCTATTGTGTGAAGAATGGGTTGTTTTCTTAAGTAGTTCCAAAGAGAGAACGTTCCATTTCTTCTAAGGGAATCTGTTTAGGACGTTGAGGTTTCTCTACTTCAAAAATTCGAAAGATTACGTCCTTCCTATTTTGTCTATTGGCATTGGCAATCTAAGAACTAGTAGTCATAACATCATCATCAACTGATGTTTTATTAAGTTTCTTTTAGAATATTGAAGAGATGTTCAGATCAGAATCCTGGAAAACTCTAAATATTGCTTTCTCATTATGGGACTCCAAATAGACCTTGCCAAGAGTGTATTATTGTATTTTTTTGTTGAGTTGGTATTTCTTCTATACTATAAAAATAGTAGGATGTATTTACATAGGCTCTCTAGGAAACTGACTTGAGGTTTGATTTCAGTAAGATCTATCAATGGGAAATGCTTGCTGCTGTTCTTCTTTTTGATTTCTGTAAAGCAGACTTCTTCACTCATTAATTTTAATATTGAAGTGGTGTTTTCGAACTACTTCAAATTTTATAAATATTCTATGAACAAAAAATATATACTAATTTATTCTGATAAAGTCCTCCTCAAAGTCTAAAGTGATTCTAATGTGGGTTGTTTATGAATGGTTTGAATGAGAAAATTTTGAAATATTATTTAATTTTAATGAGATATTAGTAACTAATAACTCATGCGATCGATCTAATAAAATCCTACAATCCAGTGATATTGACACCTGACTCTCATTGTGAATAATTCATATAAGAAAACTGTAAGAAGTTATTCGACACTGAAATCATGTTTCTGAAATAAGTAAACATTTGATTTAACTTTACAGGTATTCTCTGGAGTGCAAAGATACGAGGAATTCCTAAAAATCCTCACAAAAACAATGTTTACATTATTGTCAAGTACTACCAATCGCAATGATGGAACTCTCTATCAAATATTTTCATACCTAATCATCTTCAGATTGGATGAATTACCTTATAACGAATTCAAAAAAATGGTAACTGAATAGGATCCAGTCAAAATGAATGTGCTCTTGTAATTCCTTTTTGATATTGAGAAAATTCAAACTCACGTTAAACCTCTTTGGATTGAAATATACGATCCTCAATACATTTAAGAAACTGTTATTGGTGGTCTCGAATAACACTTTCCCATGATGAAGGATTTGTTGAGCACTTTGAGTTCGAGGGCAACAGGCAAGTAAAGTGAATTGGTGGAGGAAGATGAAAGACCTCAATCAGCTACAAAAAAATAACCAACCAAAACCATCCCATTTAAATTGAGTGAAACCAAAAAGAAACCTGAACCTCCTCCTCCTCCCAAACCTGAATAGTACAAAAGCAAACCTGTTCCAACCTATTTAAACAAAAGAACACTCTCATAGGTTGAGGAGGAGAATAAACAAAGACTAGAATAATCGAAGAAGAAAGTTTAAGACACTTATAAAGAAGCCAAATAATTTGAATTCAAAACCGATCAGAGACCAACCAATTATGAAACAGTCAAAAAAGAGGTTGAAGACACTCTCAATAAGCAATTATAATTTAATATGAAGTATGCTAGACCAGTACCTACTGAATTGGAAGCTGCTGAAATTAAATTGAATGCTGCTGCCATTCTAAGAGAAGAAATGTTACTTAAGAAGAAGTAGGAAATTGAAAAGGAAAGAGTCAAGAATCTGGAAGTCAATCTTAGAGATTCTGGAGAATTTGAAGAATGGAAAAAACAATAAGATGAAATTGAGTAGATTGCAAAAATGGAACACTAATAATAAAAGAAAATTGAAATGGAATTAGCAAGAGAAGCAGCAATGAGAGCTTAGGAAGATAAATTCAAAGAAAATAGAATCTTGGCAGAAAAAATGAAGGAAGAAGCCATTGAAAGATTAAAAGAAAGATAGGAATTGTAATTAGAATAAGTGGAACATAAAAAGTAATTGATTGAGCAAATTATAGAGGCAGAAAAGAAAGTGCACATTTAAGTTGAGAAAGTATAAGAGAGGAATAAATAAATGGCAGAAGATCAAAAATTAGAAATGGCCAGAAAGTTGGAGTTAAAAAGATAAGAAGATGAACAAATTAGAATTAAAAGAGAAGAACTCATTAAATAAATAAGAGAATTAGAAAGATAACCAATCAAGAGAACTAAAGGATATGATCCTACTGAAACAATGGGATATGGGTTATTGGAGGAAATGTCATTAGCCGAATTAAGAGATAGATTAGAAGTTGTAAAGGCTGAAAGAAAGGCAGAAGAAGAAGAAAAGAGAAAAGAAATAGTCTAATCAAAAGATGAATATTTATCTTCAATGTAGAAAAAAGTCCAGGAGATTAAGGCGCATAGAAGAGCTGAGTCATAGTAAAAAAATATGGAGAGAGAAGCAAAGAAATTGAAAAAGTAAAAGGAAGAAGAATTGAGAAAGAAGATTAGAGAAGAACAATTGATTGAGGTGTAAAGTAAGATTAGCTAAAAGAAATCAATTAAAAGTGCAGAGGAATAAAGAATTGCAGCGGAAGTAAGAGAAACTAAACTCAGACAACAGTATATGAATGCTAATAAAGCTATGGTTGAAATGAAGGCTTGGAAATCTCAACAAGATGGTAATTATTTCATTATATTTTATTCAGGGTTGGAAAGAGAAATTAAAAATAGGCAAAATGAAAAGTTGATTGTTTAAGAAGGAATAGAATCAGTTAATTTAAGAGAAAGGAAGATTCTTGCAGAGTAAGCAAAGAGATTAGTCAAGACTAAAGTGGATTTCAATTAGGCTTATGATAAAGAATTGAAAACAGCTTATCAAATGAATGAAGAACTTCATAGAGAAGAAGCTGAAAATAGAACATAAATGCACAATATTTAAAGAGAATGGAAGGAAGAGCATACTAAAAATATGATAACAAGAGATGAGTATAAGTAGAAAATCTCTGAAACATCTTTATAAAATTCAAAAAAAAAATCACAATAATAAAAAGTCAAATTCTAATAAAGCAGATAATTAGAACAACTACCCTCAGCATAATATTCATGATATTAATATCAAATTATTATTCTAAAATATGTGAATATATATGTTAAACTGTTTAATTCTTCAGATACTTTTATAGATTTAATTTATTAATTAATCAAAATTAGGTGTATTTCATTATCATTATATTACTAAGTCATATTATTAATAATACCTATTATGTTTAATTCTTTTGATTTTTAAGATTAATTAAAATATTCATTTTTATTTAATTAATAAATATTTTTTTAATCTTTTTTATTTAATTTGCTCTTAACTTTATCAGTCAATCTAAGGTTTGATATCATTTTAAGAACAATTAATTCACTTTTGTAAATATATAAAAAGAGAAAATTATTCTTGGTATTTTCTTAAAATTAAGAATACTTATTCAACTACTTTTCATAGGATAAATACGTATTAAAATTAAGAGTATTAAATTGAATAATTAATTTTTTTCTTGAAAAAATAGTAACTATTCTCTCACATTTTAGCTATGTTTTGATTCTTAGAGACTATTTGTAAGTTTTATTTCTCGTGATCGAGATTATTCATTATTTTAATTGGTTGTGTATCTATACTTATTTCGATAAAAAAAGTATAGATTTTCGAGATATTCCTATTTCTTAAATAGGATATTTCTTGGAATCCATTCTTAGAGTATTTTTCTAAATCTAAAATGTTATATTTTAATTGTGTATTTCTTCCAATACATTCGAGTAATTATTCCATATTTGAATTAAAATTAAATATAAAAAATAGTAGTTTTATTTTTTAATTTTCTTGATGGTGACCAATATTCGATTATATAAGATTTAGAGATTAATATGGGTTTCGAAAGGCTTTGAATTTAAATAATTAATTTATATTCCTAATTTATATATATATAATGCAATTAAAAACAAAGCTATTGCTGACTTAATTGATGTTATAAAATTTAACAAGTTTGATACAGGCTGGAAATCAAGAGACTAAAGAGATGCTGGTATTGACTCAGAATGCAATTGGAATATTATTGAATTTAATAATTTTCTGTCTCATTTATTCAAAGCAGAAAGAGGACATCATTAACTTAGTGGTTCAATTTTAGATAATTATTTAATTGGAAATTATATTTTATAATGTCCACAGCATTAATAATTACTTCCTCCTAATATATTTACTTACAATTGAAAATATATTGAGAAATAGCAATAAATGTTATTAAATTTTGACTCATTTACTCTACCTGTACATATTTTTAAGGATGATGATCTAATTTTATTCACTATTTGCCTTATTTGAATTCATATTATTCGTTCTCTGGTAACCACTCAACCATACTCTGTTGCATTTAGAAAAATAACCTTTAGAAAAAAAAACAACTAGTCCCAACACTCCTGTTGAAAAGTAAGCAAATCCGAATGCTCACTTGAGTTACGGGGATCAAGTATAATAGGATCTGCTAGAGGAGAAATCACCACACCCAGAAAAGAATGGCAATGTTACCTTGGATGAAGATCTTCTTAATTGTCTACCATATGGATTGGCTTTGATAGATAAAAATTATCATGTGCTTCATCACAACGAAAAGCTATTACATTACCTAATGGTGTAATCAACTGAATAAATTGTAAATTCGTTAGATTAATGGTTATCCAAGTAAATCTTTCCCTTATTTCTATAGTGCTGAGCTCAACTCTTTTAAAACCCATCTTCATGCCAAACATAAATCGCCCATCGTTCCTCTTCGAAAACTAAAACAAAGTTCTGCAAACCAATATTAGGTGAGTTCATCAAGAACCCTAAATTAAACAAATTGGCTATCAGATCGCTTGAAAGTCACTTTGAAGAATAGGGAATCATTCCAATCTAGCATTCATGATGAAGTCACCTATTCATATGTATAATTCGTTATGAATGAATTCTAATCGAACATTCATAGAAGAATGAGTATTGGATAAGAAAGTCAATCTAAGACGTCAGAGACTACTCATATGTTTCAATTCCATGTAGTTTAAGATCATAAATCCAAAAAGAAACACTATCAAATAAAAGTCTATGAAGTCAAGTTACAATCCAAACTTAAAGATCCAGTGTATTTGTTTGTGATAGAAAATATTACGAACAAAGAAGAACTTAAAGAACTTACCTTCAGGTTCAAATTCCAATAGGCATTGCTTAACTCTTTCAGTCACGAATTGAGGACACCCTTAAATTGCTCTCTACCCTTGTTGGAAGTACTAAGTAAAAAGATCGACGAAGAACTCTATGAGAACTTACTCTTGCCTGCAATTACTTCTTGCAAAAGGTTATTATTATAAATAAACGATATTTTGGATTATGGATAAATAGAATGTCAGGATTTCAAATTAAATTTAGGAAAATTTTGTGTTAGCGAGATTTTGAATGATTTAAAAGAATTATTTCAATCAGAATGTCATTAAAAGCAAATAGAATTGATATTGAATTTTAATAGTTCATTGCAACTTTGCAGTGATAAGTTAAGGATAACTTAAATTCTAGTGAATTTATTAAATAATTCTGTTAAATTTACCAAACAAGGCGGTAGAATAGTACTCTCGGTGAAAAAAAAAGAAAATTAGTATGTGTTTTCAGTTTGGGATAATGGGGAGGGGATAAGCAGCGATTAAATGTTAAATGTGAATAACAAACTCCTATAACAAAATGGATCTAATAAATTAGGACTAGGTCTCAGGGTTTCTCAAGGGATAGTCAAATATTTAAGTGGAGATGGGGAATTACAAATCAAGAGTGAAAAAGGCTTCTATACTATTGTGAGTTTCACTATAGATGAGCCCACTTAAAATGAAATTAAAGAGGTTGAACCTTCTCTAAAGGATGTTGAAGAGATTGCTTCTAATTCTAAAGATTCAGTTTAGAAAGTTTACGTTTCATCAAAAAAGTTCTTAAATTAATAATGCAGATGTCCTTAAATTTTAATTGTCGATGATGTACCCTTTAATCATATTGCATTGCTTGCGCTTTTATAAGCATTTGGATGGAAAGCAGATAGTGCATATGATGGGGATTCTGCAATTCGAAAAGTGAAACAGAAATTACATAATACCTGTTGTAAGATCTTTAGGTTGATATTTATGGATATTGAAATGCCTGGAAAGAATGGATTTTTGGTTAGTAGTGAAGTATTGATGTATAAATTAATTAGAGATCTAGGAGATTCTTCGAAAAGAACGATAAAAGACAGTCCTCGTAATGTGTTCAGCTTATAATGGATAAGAGAATGCCGAAAAAGCCCATGAGAGTGGTATGCATGAAATAGTACCGAAGCCAATTTCATTGGAATCCTTGCAAACACTCATAGGAAAATACTTTTGTTGATATGTTTCATCTTTTTTATTTTATTGTCAATGTTCTTTAATTTTTCATACAGCATTCTATATTGTTAATCATCAATGAAATCTAATTGAAATGCATAAAAATATTATTAATTTTTAATGTTCATTACTTTAGAACAACCTCTTCTCTCAAAATAATAAGTAGAAACTAATAAATCGAGTAAGAATGTCCAAATGCAGACCTTTAATTATATCCAATAGGATGAAAATGGGTCATAACTTGAGGATGTTCCGATAACAACAAGGAAATTCTTACGCTATACAAATGGGATTGAGGCTTATTTGAATACATTCCCTTCTTTTAATCCTGATCATTGGGCAATATTTACTTGGCGATTATTTATCTGCTTCATAGTTATAATTTATTTCTACTTAATACCAATTCTAATGTTTTTTGGATATGAAGTAAATTGTTGATTAAGTTATTAGATCATCTCAGAGAATTTGCATATTGAAAATCTTGCTGTATTTTTGTATATAGTGATGTCTTTTTTGTTTATTGATATCTTCATTACTCTAAATACAGGGTATTATGATAAGGGATAGATCGTGTTGGATAAGCATAGCATTTTTGTTAGGTATATTACTCAAGAATTCTTATTCGATATAATTGCAATAGTAGCCCTAATTTTACAAGTATCTTTTCGAGATCATTATGGGTTTTTAATTTGGATTCCGTATCTCTTCTATTTCAAATATTATTATGTTACTTTGGTGGATTCATAAGTGGAATAGTTACTATAAGTTCAAAGGAAACTTAGGGCATTTTACCAAATATTGAAATTAATTTTGACAATCTTTTTTTTGGTGAACTTGTTTGCTTGTTTGTTTTATGCAGCTGGAGATTATTGGGTTAATTAAAGATAAGATTATGGATCATGGCTGATTTCATCTGGATTATAAAATGATATTTATTCATTGCCAGCAATTATAAAATATGAATATTCCTTTTATTGGGCATTAACAACCATGTTGACTGTTGGATATGGAGACGTAACAGGTAAGAACCCTTTAGAAATATTTGTTTCGATAATAACAATGATTTTTGCTTGTGTCATCTTTGCTATGATAGTCAGTGCATTCTAAAATGTATTTTCAGAAATTACTCAACACAATATGTAATTTGACAAAAAAATGACTGATATTAATAGATTCATGAAGGACAAAAACGTAATCGAATTCTTATAAAAAAATAGATTGATTAAGAAACGTAACAGAAAGTAAGGAGATTCTTTAGTTTTATGTTCAGTGAAAAAGTGAGAGATTTTAATGAATAGATAGAAATAATTAATTAATTGGGACCTTAATTAAAGGATGAAGTTATAATGTAATCATATGGTTTGATATTCAAAAGAACCTTTTGGTCCAGTCAATTTTCTTTAGAGTATTGAAATTAATAATAATTTAAAAGCTTTCAAAAGAAAATTGCCTACCTCATTAGTGAATAGATGTATTGCGATGGAGAAATGGTGTTTAATTAAAACCTATGTAGTTTGAATGGAAATAACGACGATGATTGTCTCTATTGTGTTAGCATAGGACATATTCAACTATTTCTATAATTTGAAGAATAAGATATGAGTTTTTATGAGGCAGAATAAGATTCAATGTTCGGAGAATTAGGGTTCTTAACAGGAAATTCAAGAACTCTGTCAGCTAAAAGCACAACGATCTCATAATTATATAAACTTAAAAGAATGGAATTTATTTAGTTATTATAGTAGTTCCCACTGGATTTTCAATACTTCTGCTAACTCAGAGATTAAATCTTATTCGGATAGTACAATTTGATCAATCTCAGCTGTTTCTGCTGTCAATCAAGTAGTCATCTAGCTAACGATTGTCCAAAATCGCATTACTATCCTAATAAGATATTCTTGATTAGCAGAATCATGAAAAATCTATAGGAAAGACAACCATTCAAAAGAAACAACGTTCGAAAAGATAATCTAAATTTAAGAAAGATTTAGAGGGCTTAAGAGTAAGTCAAATAAGAGTTGTCATTTGGATATGATCAGGAGGAATTTGATTAACTCAGCAAATCCTTTAGTGTTGATTTCTTGCAAGATACACACAGTCAGATCAGTGAATAAGATATCAATCACGAATTCGACATTGTCAATGAAATTGTTAATAGATTAGAGCAAAAGAAGAAGCAAGCACTCATTGAAATAGATACAAAATGTTCCTTCAAGAATTACTATCCAAAATACAATGCGGAATATATCATCTAGCATTTTAAAAAGGATAGAAGATTCACTAGAGCATTTACTAGATTTATTTGATTAAAATATTATTACAAAATATGTTTTGCCGCTAACTCACAAGAAGATTATTTACTAAATCAAGGGAACCAATTGAACCACCTTATCTTGAATTACAAAGGGATTTCCTCGAACCTGCTGAGTTTTACTAAGAATTGTCAAAACATGGAGTTTCATTTTATGCAGGAGTTCCTGATTCTCTCTTAAAAGACTTCTGTGCTTATGTCTAAGTATCAATCTCATCTATTTATAAGGACAATGCTCCACCAGGATAACACGTAATCACTGCAAATGAAGGTACTGCAGTCTCCATGGCTGCTGGATATTATTTGGCTACTAAAAAGATTCCTTGTGTGTATTTATAAAACAGTGGTTTGGGGAATATTGTGAATCCTTACATGTCATTAGCCCATCCCAAAGTTTATGGAATTCCTATGTTGTATTTAATTGGGTGGAGAGGAGAGCCAGGAAAAAAAGATGAGCCCTAACATTTAGTCTAAGGCAAGAGAATGAATGGTATTCTTACTGAAATGGGAATGCAATACGATGTATTGCCAGATTATATTGAAGGAGCTGCAGAGGTTCTTGATACTGCCTTCTATTCTATGAAAACTAGGTAATTCTATATTTATATCATAGAAATGGACCTTATGCTTTACTTGTTAAGAGATAATGCTTTACCAATTATAAGTTGAAGAATGTGGCTAAAAATAATTACCAATTAACTAGGGAAGAAGCTTTAACTGAGGTTATATAAAATAGTCGACCTCTTGATGTTTGTGTTAGTACTACAGGCTTTCTAAGTAGGGAACTCTTCGAATTAAGACAACGTCTCAATTAAACAGGAGAATAAGACTTTCTAACTGTAGGATCAATGGGACATGCATCTAGTATTGCTCTTGGAATTGCATAAGTCAAGAAGAGCAGACAAGTTTTTTGTTTAGATGGAGATGGAGCCATGTTGATGCATCTGGGTGCAATGGCTCAAATAGGTAATATTGGCCCAAAAAATTATAAACATATCCTATTCAACAATCAAGCTCATGATTCTGTTGGTGCTTAACCCACAAGCAATCCTTAGGTTAATTTTACTCAAATCGCTTTGGGATGTGGGTATAAGGATGCTTTCCAAGTTGAAACAAAAGAAGAGATCACCAAAGGGATGGAGAGAGTATAATAATTTGATTCATATTTCATAGTTAAATCGAAATGATGGTCCCATTCTTATGGAGATCTTGATCAAACCAGGAGTCCGAAAAGATCTAGGGAGACCAACAACAACAACATTTGAAAACAAAGAGAAGTTTATGCATTTTTTGACGTATTGATTTATTCTATAAAATCTGAGTTATATTTCTTATTTAATATATGAAATTAGAATCAATTTAGTTAGCTTAAATAAATAATTATAATCAATGTGGAGATTCAATAATGGAATTGAGCACTAATCTCTTGAAGAGTTGATGATTTTCTGATAAAAATTTACCATAAATTTCATTTGCTACATTTTAACATCTTCCTGCTAAATCCATTTATCCAAGATATTTTTATATTACAGAAATATTGTTTAAAATCTACCCTTTATATATAGAATTGGAACTAGTATCAATATTAAATTAAAGTGTTACTTAATACATTTGTAGGCTAGGCAAAAATAATAATAAGCAGCTTTAAGATCGTATATTTAAGCGTGGATCAAACCTAATAAATTATACGTTTCAAGAAATGAAGGATGATCCTCTTGCATTCCTGTTTACAGTTTTAATTGTAGCACTTTAATTAAGAACTCCTTTGCTGTTTCATATTTCTTAGATACATAATGACATTCAGCCAAGATAAAGTAGGCCTAATCCAATTTTGTTTCATCATTTATGTAGGCTTCTCTGAGCAGGGAAGTGGCTCCGTAGGCTAACTTTGTTGCCAGATCAAAGTTGTCTATAATTAGGGTGAAATAATAATAATACTCATCCAAGAACACATACGTGCCTAGAGAAGCAAAGTTCTTGCAATTTCACCCTTCCATTATATCTTCTCGTAATGCAATAATGCTTAGTTGAGGATTTCCCATGATTCTGTAATTTAAAAGTTGAGAAAATATAGTTTGGATAGTTCAAGCATTACTTTGCCAGCAAAGTCAGGATCAAAAACTTGGTAATTTTCTCGAACTCTTTATAGCCAATGAATGGCTGTTCTATAATCTCCCATAAACTTATGTACTTTGGATAATAGCACGGAGACTCTCAGTTGATAAATTATATGCTTCTGATATGGCAATTCATTTTCAATATTATAATTAATTGATTCTGATAATTTTTCATAGATGATATTTAAAGAGGCCAACATTTAATTAAAACTTGTATTTGGAATGTCCTGTTCAATTTCAGTAAGCTATACGTTAATTTGATCTAAATTTAGAGTTTAATGTTCTTCGTCTGAAATTGTTTAAATTGTTTATATAATTTTTGTGTCTATAACTGGCTTGACCATCTCTTATAGTAGTTTAGGTTCGAATCCATTGATGTTCATCACATTTTCAAGGTTGGTAGGATGAATCGATAAATATTTGGATCCTGTCAATCCTTAAATTTAATCTTAATTTTGACAATCATATTTAGTAGGTTCCTTGATAAGTGAATTAGACATCGACTAAAGTGGTGAAATGATCTTGGATGCATTTTCTAACTGAGTATAATAGCGAATTACATTATTACTGCTATGAGAAGATTTGTTACCCTCACTATAAAGTGAAGAAATGTCTAATTCTTTGGGTCTGTTTTTTTAGAGTTGAATGCTCTATGAAATCATCGACATTTCTAAAATTATTATGTAAATTTAATAATTAGATTAAATATCACATTCAAGCTCCTTTAAAAAATCTGAATCCGTCTCTTCCTCCCCACAATCCTTTAACCATAAAATACCAATAAGCAAAGGGGAAGAAATCCTTTTTTAAATAAAACATCAATCGACTTTCATTAGATTGAAATATGGGGAATGTCTCATCCAACTCTGAATTGTATTTGAATTCAGCCAACAACAAAGTACTTTGACTTGTAAATATTGGACATGAAGTGTAACCTAAGAAATTACTCTTCATTTAATACCTTGATATTCAGGAATAGGTTCTTATCCCTACTTCCATGTTCTGATTAAATTCTTCACTAAAATAGGTGTCTGAGCCATCACAGCTGCAGCAGTCTTAGAAGTAGGCAAGGATGAACAATCTCCCAATGACCAAATATTTTTATACTTCACATGCTACAAAGTATTTGGATGCACATTACAAAATCCAGCAGCATCACCTAATCCACTAGCGGCTATAAATTGTGCTGGCACCTAAAATTAAATTGTATCACATACTTAAGGTGGTACTAAATGCAAGAGGTCGAATGTCACTGACTTCAATTCCTTGGTGTCTTAGTCTTCAAAAATAGCTACGTGATCTTGGACTTCAACCAATTTTTATTTGAAATGACAATTAATTTATTTTCTCTTACATACATCTGTCAATATTTCAGCATACTTAGGTACACCAAAAATTAGAGCAGCTGTTTTATAGAAATGAATGTCAGATTTAATTCCTCTTTTCCTGAGTCGGTCATGAGACAAATACACTATCTTCTATGGAGCCCCGCCACATTTTATTGGCATCTAAGGTTCAGAAAAGACTAGTTTGCCACCCTCAAATTCATCAACTAATCTATTCATTTTTGTAGCATATTTATAATGATAGATTGAAGCCACTGGGGAATTAGGGTCTTCTAATTGCTTTCTTGCTCCTAAAATAGGTTTATTTTAATCATACCTTTAATCTAATCAAAATCTGTTCGTATACCTGTGGCCACTACCAACTAATCATATGTATATTTCTCTCCATCATATGTCTATATTTAATTTTCTTCTGGATTTATCTTAATAACAGGACTATCTGAAACAATCACATTTTTTGGTAAAACCTTTTCCATTGGTTTGAGAGTTTTGTTGATGTCATACAAACCACCACCTTATTTTTAATGTTTATAGCATACCAACCATTGTCCATCCTGGTTAATAAGTGTGCATTTTCATCGGTTCGAAAATTCTAATTTATTATGGAATTGCATGTCCGTCTGCTATCAATTGGGCTGCCACATTTAATCCAGCTGTTCCTCCTCCGATAATTGCAATTTAAGAATGAACCTACCTAACTGAAAATGCATATCCTCTGAGATAATGAATCATTATCATAATTAAAATTATTTATATCTTTTAACACTTTTAATATTTATAGGAAGTCAGGAATCTTTTTACGATAAAAATTCATCTAAATATTAAAATTTTATAATATATATTTTATATCAAGTTTAAGAATGAATCATTGATCAGTATTAAATTAATATGTAATAAAATATATTGTATATTAAATAATTAAATTTCACTTCATGAAGGTCTTCTGAATTTCTTCATTAAGTTTGTAGTATTTTTTTGATAAATATCCAATTTGGGAGTGGCCTATCTTAAATATTATGGTTAAACTTAAATATGATAATGTATTCATACTTTGAGGAGCTTTATATTTATCAAAATTGAGATTAGGGGTTAGTGGAGAGAGCTATTCACTATGAATAGAATTGACCTTAGATTTTGAGATAATAATGCTTTATTTTGGAAGTACTCTCTCTTCAGATTAATTTTGAAAATACTGATGTCTCAATGCTTGCTGTGCAGTCGGTCTTCGATTTGGAGGTACTTGCAATAATTGTTTCAGTAAATCTCTGCCAAGTTCAGAGCAATTTACCTTTTCTATATTGACATATCCGATCATATTCAATTCAAGAATTTCATCCTTTAAGATGGACTAAAATGGAACTTTGCCGGTGAGCAAGGTATATAGAATTATACCTATACCATATATATCGACCTTTTAATCATATGGCTGTTTCTTGAGAACCTCAGGAGCTACATACCCAGGAGTACCACAAAGGGTGAATAATGGTTTTTATTCGTTATTGACTCTTTCTGCCAAACCCAAATCACTAATTATTAGTTCTTCCAAAGATTCCTTGTTTTTTATCAATATATTTTCAGGCTTTAAATCACGATGCATATAATTGAGAGTATGCATAAGACTTATTCCCTACAACAATTATTTAATAGCTTGAAATGCTGTTTTTTCTGTTAAAGCATTTCCATTCTCTTTTAGAAATCTCTGTAAGTCACCTCCCTTTTACTGTTCGAATACCAAATAAACTGCCTAATCTCCTTCGTAAATTTTCAATAGTTTCGTAAAATGTTCATTTTTAAGAAGTCTGAGAATTTCTATTTCTTATTTCAAAGCCTTAGGCCCAATTTCTGGATCAAATTAATTCTTTTCAAATACTTTGATTGCATAATCAATTTTGGTGTTCCTATCTTCAGCAAAGTATACCTGTCTTAATATAATATTCAATACCTTAGACTGCTAACTATTGGAAATTAATCTATATAAAAAATAATCCAAATGAAAATTAACTTATATGCAGAGGTCTTACATTGCGTCTAACCATTTATCGACCTGACCATACATATAGAACTTTAGGTTATTTTTTTAAACTATTAATCCTTCTCCAACTATATTATTGCTCACCTTCTCTATTATAGCATTGGTGATATCAAGAACTTTGGAACCCTAACGTTTAAATAATTAAATACTTATTTTCTAGACTATTTTATGAGATAAGGTCTGCTAAACGAGACTTCCAACAGTTTATAATGACTCTTCTCCTCCTTGTAAATGTGGAATAGTCCCGTTAATGTATTGTTAAGTTCCTTGGATGAATTTGGTTGCCACTAAACATCTCCATCATCACAAAATATTGACTTTGTTGACAATTTCGTGTCTTTAATCATGATACTTTCACTTTAATATTAAAATTTATTACATTGAAATCAACAAATTCGGGCTTTTTGAGTCCGTACATTGCCACTTCACTTAAAGCTTTAAGTATTACTTTTTGGTACTTTGAAATACTATGATAAAAAAAATAAACAGTTCATATTATCATAAGGTAAAGCTCATTAATAGAGAATTTCAATCTTTTAATTTATGAGCTTAAAAATAAAATTTTGATACTTTTTAAAAAATATTATAATAAAAAATACATAAATATTAAAAAAAATCATAAAGAGAACTATCTTTTTAATTATTTCAAAGTTTAAATCAAAAACAAGTTAAACTCATCTGAACTCACACCCTCAAAGTCACACTCCTTTATCAATTAAGATATATTCATATCCAGTTGTTGAGTCTTAGGATAATTGAAAGATTGAATAATAAAACATTATTCGCTTTTTTTATTTTGTTGATCCAAAATTCTATCAAACAATCTCTAAAAGTGTTAAATCAATTAGATCATTAAGTTGTCTAAGTTAATCAAATATCTTACTACTGGTGTTCTAGGGATTGTGATTCAGCACCTAATTCTTCATAAAGCTATTGAATTTCTCTTGGTTGTTCCAAACCCTCTTCATTTGTTAATCTCTAAAGGATTTACTAACCAAATGAGAATTGATGTAACTATTAGATAGCTTAATCAATTTAAACATAGGCCTACAAATTAGGTAAATTAGTAGAAATGATATAATTGTAAATGCACAACAAATTAATCCAGTTATGAGCATTTATTAAGTAAATTGGTGTTAAAATGTTTCCAGCAAAGAACTCAGCATCTAAAATAAAGTTGATTAATCTTGGATATTGTTAAACACAATCAAATAATAGTCCAACCCCTTAATTTATTTAGCTGAAATGAAAACATCAGATTAATAGGCTGAGTTATAAAGACAAAGCTATTTTTAAGTATTATAATTTGAAGAACAAGTACTTTCCTTTTTGTTATGATTGATAAAATTCAAAACTGCCAACCAATCAGATTTATTGAAACCAGTTTTTTTTTCATCATCAAATGACTCATATTTGGTTGAATTAGCCAAAAGATAATTTTTATAATTTGATAAAATTAATTTTCCATCATAATTTACAATCATCATATTTAAATTACTAGTATTGAAATATGCATTCTATAGATAAATATCAGCTGCTAACAAACCATCTACTTACTTAGTTTTATTGAAAAAAGATTAAGTCATTGTCATTGAATAAACATCACTATCATTAAAATACTTGTATATCTCAGATAATTGAGTATGGTTATTAGGATTCAATTTAAGATTTGCAATGTGTGACTAGTACCATGATCTTTGCTTAGGCCTAAACGTTTTATATTTGACCCATTGAGGGTAATAGAAGGCAAACTAGTTTGGATTGCTGTCTGATACCATAAACAAATCATTAGGGATGAATTCTCCTGTTAAATCAATAGTTAATATCATTTCATTGAATAAATGGGACAAATTTCTTAATTAATAGTCCTGTGTTGAATTGATGTAAGATGTATCATCATCTAGAGTATGATAAATTATGCATGAAAGTGGGTAATTGTGATTGGGATCGAAGAAGGTGGCATTATAAGGGCACAATTAAGGGCTTTCGAGGGATTGATAACCCGTATTGTATATAATTTAATTTAAAATGTTCAACTTGGTTAGAGTAATTTAACCTAATTTTGATTTATATAAAATACTTCTTGAATAAAAGAATCGAATCTAATATTCAATTAGATTTGAAGCAGTATTTAGTAGGTTTTGTAATTCATCGATCATCAATGTTTGGGATGAAATATTTAGAATAGATAGCGATTATCCCCTATTTAAAATGTAGGCTATCAGTAGCATACAAAGAGTAAATGTAAATATAATTGCATTTATTAATAAAATTTATGATCTCATCTTAAGATTGCTCCTCATTTCCCTAAAGCTCGAACAAAATAATGCCATCTTCAATCAAAAATAAGTGAAATATTTAATATAACAAATTTGTTTATATATAATTAAAATTTACATATATGAATTATTATCCATTCATGGATGTACTATTTATAGTTCAAGATGACATAACACGAGACTCAAGACTCATTCCATAATTTTTCTTATGTAGATGAGATAACTAATAAAGATCATTTTTCGCTGTTTCTTTAAATTTTTCTAATCGCTTTTTGTATTCCTCGAATTCATTTTGTATATATTCTCTTTATTATTGAATTCCTAAATTAGGCTCACTATTATTATTAAAAATTCTTTTCTTAAATTATTAGATGGCTTAATTCTATGATACACTTTCCTCATAAACGGCCATCCTTTTTTTCTCTTCATTCAACTATTTTACGAATTGAATTTTAGCTTTCAACAACTAAGTTTTTCTCGAAGGCTATTTTCTCTCTAGCAGATGTTCCTTGATCAAAACATCATCTTCATTTTGAGGTATTTTAGACTTTATAGTTAATAATTTCCATCCAACTCCATTAGGAACAAGCACCTAATTCTGTTTTAATCTTTGGTATTTCCTTAAGATTTTTTCCATACAAACTTTCAATTTTTCTGGAGGGTACTTATCCTTCAAATTAAAGAGCAAACGTGTTTCTTTAACCTCTTAATTTGATCTATTCATTCTCTTGAGAGTTTCCTTATTATTTATAAGACAGAATTTGCAATAATCAGGTAATTTTGCATCCTATTACATTTATATTAATTCCTCTTTTATTTTAAGGTATCTTTAATCTGTTTGCCATGCTTCTACATTTAATTCGCTTTATTCCTTATAGTTTTTCTTTATGGCCAAGAAATCCAAACCTCTATGCTAATCAACTGTCTTTATTCTTGAGATGTTTGGTATGATTTCTTAGCAAAAAGAACTTGCTTCAGTTAAAATGTGATTAAATTTTCTATTTGATTAGGACCCATCATTTATGAATCTGGATTTGAAAGTTTTTTCATGATCCTTGAATTTTTATTCCAGTGATTAAAATGCTTTTTTTCTTTTTTTTAATGAAGTTAGATCTCGACCCTTTCCCCTAGCATACTTCTCTTTGTTTTCAATAGTTGTCATAATATAATGTATTTAATTTAATCTTTGCTCTGATTGCTTAATAAAATAATCATCGTCCTTGTGTTAGTGAGATTAAGTTTACTACTTCATTAATGATCGAAATATTATAAAAAAAATATATTAAATATTTAATATCATTGAACTTATGACAATAATCTAAAGTTGATATTCAACTTACGCCATAAGTTTATTCTTGTTATCTTCTGATGGGTGCAATTTTAAGACAATAATAATCAATAAATTAATTAGGATAAATTTGTTCTAACTTAATCATTTAATAATAATAATTTATACAGAAATCCTATGGTATAGTTGGGATCAATAAAGGGGACATCTTATAGTTAAGTTCTATTTAACCCTTTTGATTAAGATGGGCCTAAAATTAGAAGAGATAAAACATGATGATTTTTCTGGTAATATGATTATATTTTGATAATTAGCAATCCTAACCCTAACAACAATTACCCACATAATTTTTAACATTGGATTGATATTTTTAATGCCAAGTATGGACATGAAAATGTATTAAGATCAACTATCAAAATCATAAGTTAATAAACTGTTAAAATCATAATTTAATAAGAAAAGAATAGATTAAATTAAAATGTTAAGAATTATGAAAATAGGAAATTAAATTTTTTTTAATTTTATTTTGAAATTCACTGTTTCCGTAGTTTTTACCTTTTCATTTCATAATTTAGTCCAATTATATTAGTACCTAATCAAGAGTGGTTCTATTTTGAGGTTCAAATTGGATCATTCCTTTGATTATAGCCTGTAATTCTTTGCTATATGTAAACCAACTGTCTTTTTTTTCAATTGCTTCGACTAGTTCTTGATATACTTGCTCCTTTATTTTCGTGCTTTCATTTATATTATTTTATAACTGATTAATTTTGTTTTATAACTGATTAATAGATTTTTCAGTTGAATCTTTCAATTTTTGTTCTATTATTTTTATCTCCTCTTTATACTTTGATATTTAACTATTATTCTATTATATAGCATTTTATCTAGGAGTTAAATCTTAAAAATCCTCACTCTATAAGAAAATTTTTGGTGTCACAAACCAAATAAATCCCAATTACCAGATATCATAACTAGGAAAATATTTGATCTATTCTCCTTCTGGAGGCCTATAAAAGCGAGTACCCACATGATGAGATTATTTTTATGACGATAAATTCTCTACCATTTTTGATCGATCATAGTCTATCAAAACACAAGTTACTTGAGTATCCAAAATCTCGATCATAAGTTTTACAGGACTTTAAAAGTCAAACATGATATTCTCAGGTTTTAAATCTCTGTGAATTATGTCGATAGAATGTAAATAGATGATGGCTGTAACCATTTGTCTGTATAACTTTAATAAAATCTATTCAATTGAAACTGACTTGTTCTTATTTCTCCCTAGATATAATGATTTAATTATGCCACTCAAGGTCATGTCATGCTTCTTCAAAAACAAAATAAGGATATCGGAATATCTTAAATACCCGTGTAAATAGGGGAGATGTTTATGGTTAAATTCTTCAATAATTGTAATCTCTCTTAATTCGTAAATTTCTTCATTTTACTGAGATACCTTGATTGCAATAAAATCTCCATTTTAAGATTTGACAAGCCATTTTGGAGGTTTTATTAAAAAGACTTGCGTAAAGTCTTTCTAGTAGTAGATTGTAGCTTCTTTTTCAATTTATAAATATTCTAGAAGCACTTCAGAGTTTTCTTCAAAAGCGCACTACTACATACTAATTTTCCCAAATAGTGATTATTAAAAGTCATAAAGACTAGTGCAATAGATCAAATTTTGTTCAAATCCTAGCGATTTACCTATAATAAACTGCTAGAATTACATAAGCTTTAAAAATTTTTCAATAGGATTTCTTCGAAATTTTTCGCTGTAGTTCCATCTTGTTTACTTGCGATGTAAGGTATCCCATTCTCATAGTCATCTTTAATAACCATAATCTTATCTAACCTTATATCAGGCGTTGGTAAGTCTCTTTTAATTACTTCCAAAACAGCTAGATAATGATAATGGAGATACTTGATATTAAGTTGACTAAAAGAAAATTTAATAGTTTGGTTGAAACAGGTAGTATTTTTTTCAAGGGAGTGAATTTTTATTGGCAACATTCGATTTAAGTAAGGTAACCAATTATTTTAGGATTTACATTTAAAGTTTAGCTCTCTATTGGACTAGTTGTAGCTGTAGAAGTTTATTTTATATTAGCAGAATCAATCATAATAAATACTTTTAATATTTTTCTTTTGTTATTATAAAAAAAAATAAATAATTTAAAATTCTATCTTGGATATTTGGTGCTTGACATTAAATAAATTAAATATATTTTTTATATAATTTATCTTCTTCTTATATTGGAGCCTGTTTTTAATTAAAAATTCATCATTTGAGTTTTACAGTAATCTAGTTGTTGTTTTTATTTTCCAATTAGAATGAAGAAGTTGTTTTGCCATAATTTAAAAATAATCGATATTTAATCCTTTTTTTTGGATTATTTAATTCTAATCCTATTAATCTTAATAAATTGTTCTTTAATTATTAAAAATGCAACTGATATTTTAGTAGATTAGATAAAAGCATGGGGATTGAGAATATCATGGAAAATAAGAAAATATGGATATAACTAAAAGATAACTTTTTAGTTGATTTCTACAAATTTTAATTTAATTTAATGATAAGAAATATTTAGTATTCTCATCATTTAAATAAAACAGAGTAATTGAGGAATATTAATTTATTAAATGTAGAGTGCATAAAAACTTACACAATAAAATTAAGATGCTTTCTCCTAATTCTTTGATAAATATGTATCAAATTCCAGCAAACTCTAAAGCTACAGTGTCAGAGAACTTGCTTAGAAACTGGCCATTTAATATTTTAGCGCTTAACTCCCTTCTAGATATTTAACAGAGAATAATATGAGAAAAAAAAGTAGAAATATTGTTTACAAACAAATGGAAACAGATGCAATTGAAAAGGCGAGAGCATAATTTAAGGCAAAGAAATAGAGAAAGGAATCTCAACAACGAAAGTTACCCCCAGTTCCCAAAAAGAAAGACACTTAACCAAGAAGTTTTTCGGTATAACCTCCTATAAAATGTTTATCGGCTCAGCCCAAGAGATCAATGCCTTCTACATATTTCTATTACTTGGGAGAAGGGAACAATCATGAATTAATTAAAAAGTTACTAGATGAAAGATAAAATTGGGTTTAGGTGAAAGATATTAGCCTTAAGAATATTAACTTTAAATGGCAAGAAACTGAAAAAGGCTACGAATATCGTACTTTGGCAGGAAATTTAAAGGACTCTACCCCTTAAATGCTGAACCATTTTGAGTTTCATGCCGAAATTTCAAATAAATATCACTTGGCATTAAATTTTAAGACCCATTGCGAAGTAAGTTGTTTATTAATAATAAACTATAGAAAAACTAATTAAACGTACAAGATTACATCCCAATAAGTTTTGCTATAGAATGCACAAACTAGAATTTAAAAGCCGGCCTATTTTAGTTCTTGACATTCTACAGGTCATATTGCCCTTAAAATTAATTATAAGAGTTGGATAAAACTATAAAATCGTATCAATTTAAGTATGGGACTTAAGTGGAAAGCAAGGTGGATGAATACCCTACTTTATTTGCTGGGGAGAATCTTTGGATCTTCAAACCAGCAAATATGAACTAGGGAAGAGGGATTCATGTGGTCAGAAATCTACAGGAGATTATTGACATTTATAATAGGTATTAGAATGGATACAGAGAGCATCTTTTGGAGGTCAAGAGAAATGAACAAAACGAAATAGTAACCAAGATAGTCTACATTAATACATTGATGACAGAGCAATTTGTGATTCAGAAATATATTGAAAAACCCTTATTGATCAAAGGAAGGAAGTTTGATATACGAACCTATGTGATGATAACATCCAATTTAGGATTCTTTTTCTTTAAGTATAAATTTAATTTACTATTTAGAGAAGGGTAACTAAGATTGGCTACCGAAACCTTTGATGTTAAGTAATAATCAAATTATGTACACTTAACTAATAATGCTGTTCAGTACACACATCCTCAATATGGGAAAACTGAGGAAGGCAACCAATATAATTTTGATTAAGCTTCATAATATTTTAAAATAGATTTCCGAAAAGAAGTTTTAATTTTATTTATTCAAAGGTGATTCAAAAGTTGAAATAGATCTCCCTTTTGGCTTTTACAAGTGTCAAAGGAAAGATCAATAAATATAAAAGGAAGAATTGCTTTGAGATTTTTGGAATGGATTTCATTTTGGATGTGGATTTCAAACCATGGCTCATTGAAGTGAATACTAATCCTAGCTTAGAAGTGACTAGTAAACTGTTGGGTACTCTCTTTCCAAGATTGATAGGTAATAATTTTGTAGATAAGTAGACGATGCATTTAAATTAACTGTTGACAGACTTTTCGTTTAATAGAAGACACCATCTAAATATCCATTTCTTCATTATTCAAATGAGGAGAACCTATGGGAATATGTTTGTTAGCTTTGAATTATTTATTATTTATTGTAACGATGATTCGTGTTTATTTGATCCAAAAACTATTATACTATTTATTTATTAATAATATACATGAGTGAAGAACAGTAAAACAACTATGCAAATTAATTGCCAACTTTGGTTAATTTAAGATCAAATAGAAATACCTCATAGATGGATTTAAACTTTATTTAGAGTACAACTTATATGAATATAATATTTAGAAAGTAAAACAATACAATCTGAAAATTGGGAAATGCTGCAAAGAGTTAAGGAAAGTCTAGAGAGCAAGGCCTTTACTAACTTTTTCACAAGTTCTTTAGCTAAATTACCCAATTTTAAGAGTCCTTAGGAATTAGCTAAAGTGTTAGCTGATTAATTTATATAAAATGAAATCAAAAAGGGTAAGAAGAGAGAGGCTAAATCTGCAATAAAAATTTAAGTATCTCAGCCACAAACATCAGATAGTTTACCAGCTTTGAAAACTCCGTAAATTAAGTTAGAAAAAAATAAATTTAATCAAATACGTTCAAAGAGTAGGGATAAACTTAGAGAATTGGAAATTATCAAGGAAAAAGAGAGAGAAAAAGAGTAATTAAATAAAGAGAATAATAAATTGAATGAAAAGATTTTAAAATAAAAAAACAAATTATACTCCAAAGATACCTAGAGATAAAAAGATTAAGATAAATCATTTGTTGAGCAACCTTCCCCTCCTGTTAAAGTTTCCAAAAATATTAGACAAACAATATCAATTATGAAACTCTAACTTCCAAATACCATTGAAAACAATCCTTAACAATAACCAACAATGTATTCCTACTTTTTAGGTGGAGGCAATAATTGTGAATTGATAAAACGAGTTTTTGACAATAGGCCAGATTGGCATTAAACTGCTAATACAGCAAGAGCCAATTTTAGATGGTAATAATCTAATAATGGATACAAGTATTTTAAATTGAACTGGCATAAATCTCATAAAGAATTACTGAATCATTTTGAATTTCATCCAGAAATTAGTAACAAAAAGAATTTATTAGTGAATATTTCAGCTGCCTGTGAAGTAAAATGAATTTTTAATTAGATTCTCAAAATGAATCCTTTTGATATTATGCCTGTCACTTTTGCTATAGATTTTACAGATTCATCAGTGGAATCCAATATTTCTGCCTTTTATAATTTCTATAATAGAAATGCGCCAGAATCAAAGTAGTTAAATAAATAGGATGCTTAAAATAAACTAAATGAAATAAAAAAGAAACTAAGAATAGCTCCAAGTAGAGAGAAAAAATAGTTGGAATTTCAAATGAGAGATACATTTACTGGTCCTGATTACTTATGGTTATTGAAACCCACAGGATTAAATAGAGGACGAGGTATTCATGTGTTTCAAGATATTGATAATCTCGTAGAATTGCTTATTGATTATTAATATGGTTATCACGAAAAATAAATGGAAACATATAAAGATGAGAATGGGCAAACTCAACAGAAGGTTGTTTAATATTTATTGAAAACTTCATCATTTGTTGTCCAGAAATATATTGAGAAACCTTTATTAATAAAAAATAGGAAATTTGACATAAGAGTGTGGGTCTTTCTAAATATAGATCTGAGTTGTTATTTTTTTAAGTATAGAATGTGTTTGATATATTTATTAGAGAAGGCTATATTAGAATGGCATCTGAAGAATATAGAACAAATGATGTGGAGAACATTTACATTCATCTAACAAATAATGCTATTTAATAACATAGTGAAAAATATGGATAATAGGAATTAGGAAATCAATTATCATTTGATTCAGTTTCTGATTATTTCAAATCAAAAATAGATTTTAGAGGATAGCTAGTAGAGAAAATGAAAGAAATGGCATATTTTGCAATGAGAACTGTGGCTACAAAAATCAATAAGTTAAATCGGAAATTTTGTATGGAGATTTTTGGTTTTGATTTCTTTTTGGATGAGCTCTTCAATATTTATTTAATAGAAGTGAACACTAACCCTTGTCTTGAAGAATCAAGTCCTTTGTTGCAAATGCTGATTCCAAGGATGATTGATGATGCATTTGCTTTAACAGTGGATTAGATATTCCCTATTTAAAGAGATGTTGTGTCGAAATTCCCTGTTACTAACTACAGTGATACTGAGAATATGTGGTAATTGATTGGGTTATGATGATAGGTAATTAATGGGAGAATTAACTGAAATACAAGGTTGAACTATGGATGATATAATTTTATATTATATATTTAACTAAAATGGATTCAAACATTGTCACTCTAATTGAGCAATCCAATAAATACAATAGCTCTAAAACGAATTTCTTCAAAACCAAGTTGTTTGTGAGCAACAATCACTCTCCAAATAGGGAGTATTCAAAACATGTGGCATAAACAGAAACTGTTTAATACAATAGATATTAATCAAAAGAAGTTCATTCTGGAAGAAATTCAAAAAAGATATCCTTCAACACTTACTTGTTAAACCTAGCGAAGTAAAATATCGATATGTTTCCAAAAATAAAATGTGATTTTGCAAATATTTAAATGGTCGATCTTCAAGTATTAATCGAATACTATGTAGGATAATAGGTTCAGGTTGTTTCCAAAAGAATTATATCAAATGAAGAAAGTCTAAATCATCAATCTAAATTCAAATTTCATTAAAGTACTTCCTGAGGAATTGTTTGACAATTTTACCTCTATCATCAATTTTTCAATTAGCAATAATTTAGTAGTGATGCTTCCAAGAAAGATCTCTCTTTGGTAATCACATCTAGAGATATTAGAATTGAGTAAAAACAGAGTTTAAAAACTTTACCCATTAATATCCCTAATAAATTTAAGATCTCTCTTTATCCAATCAAATGAGTTCTAATACATTCCAATTGAATTTAAGAATTTGAAGAAATTAAATGAATTGGGTTTGGATTGGTTCAAATACCTAAATCCTCCGATAGACCCCATTGTAAATAGACCATACATAGACAAACTATTTTAATCACTTGAGGAAAAGCAACTCAAAGACGTAGAGGATCCCTCTTAAATTAATGTATCAGTATTATTGATATCAAGTTTAGTGATGAAGAGTATAGCTCCTCTATTGGAATGAACTTTCAAGACTTTCTAGTTTAATTTTCAAATCTTTAGTTAAACATCCTTCCTAACCCTTAAGGAGGAGACAAAGAGTATTCAACTACAATTTTACATAAGGCAGCAGTTGAGTAAGATATAGGAGCATTGTTATCTCTGATCTCTTATTATCCTGAAATTGTAGATTGCTAGGATTAAAGACAGAACACAGCATTAGGATTGGCAATCTAAGAAGAAAAATATTTTAGTGCCAAAGCATTGATATTCAATGGAGCATCTGTAAACACAAATGCAGCCAAATATGGATCAATTTTGAATCTGGCAATTGTGAAAGGTCAAATCCATCTGATCCTAGATATTCTAACCTAGGGTGCAGATCCAAATCAAATTGATGAAAAAGGGAATACAGCCTTACATTATTGCATGGCATGTTTCGATAAAGATACTTCCATCTACAAGTAGGCTTTCGTGGCTCTACTGAAAAAGAACATCAATCCAAATGCCCTTAATCATGATGGGTGGAGTCCATTGCACATAGCTGTTAAAAGGGGTAACACAGATGCTATTTCAGCAGTCATCCAACACAACAATAAGAAATAATCAAAGTTTGATTTAAATCTTAAAGGTGGTAAGAAACGTCAGACTCCTTTGCATCTAGCTTGTTCTAATTGTCATTTCGAAATTGTGGCTATGCTTTTACAACAGTCAGAAGTCAAATTGTTCTGCAGAAACAAACTTAATCAAATTGCATCTTAATGTTGCTTGCACAATTACAGGATCTATAAGTTAATCAAGAGGTACGAGTATGAGTAATTGTATCGGTTGTAAAAAAACTGGTAATTTCAGGATCAAGACGAATATTCAGTAAAGGAGAATGATTCCTATACGGATTTAGATGAGAGTATTCAACTGTTTGATGGATTACAACTAAAATAAATTAAGATTAATAGATCGGTGCTGGGTTGTCGAGAAAGAGCGACTGGATGCAAATTCAGATTCTCTAGTCAACCACCTTAAAAATGAAAATGGAATTAAAATTATATAGATCTTATATAAATCACTCTTATTTTTAATGGGTTTCAGGCATTCTCAATCCCACATAATTAGCCACCTTCTATACATCTGCTTTATAATCTTTAGGTTTGCCTATGTTTTCAGCATCCATTATTTAATTTTGAGTTTTGATTGCTTTCAAATAAATTTCTAAATTCTGCAAAATTTGTTGATTTTCCCCATGCACTCGTGCTTACACTGTGAATTAGTAATATTTCCTCAATTAATCTCTTGAAAGCCGATTTCCTAAGGACTTGAACAATTGTCTATACAGCAACAATGCAGCTAGTTTCTCCTAACCCATATATATATTTAATTTATTTTAAATTAAAATGGACGAAAAGAATATCAATTTGCCTGAGCCTGTAACTAAAAATTTGTTTGATAAGTACTCTACAATTCAATTGACATAATAGATCACAAGAGAAAAGAGAAATCGGAGGATAAGAATTGATAAAAGTAATATAGAATGCAACTTCGGATAAAATAGTCTTTGAGATAGCAAAGCATTTAAAAGAGAGATACATCTAGCAACCTTAATTTCAATATAAAAAAGGAGGATTGCACGGATTATATTCAATTGCTATAGATATGGTGACCAAAAAAGTACTGCTTTTATCAATATCAAGAATTCGGACACTATCATCAAGAACTGCTTGAATTTGATTATTGATCCTATGATTGATTGCATGAGAGACAAAGAGGAAAGAGTCAGATATACAGCAATTGAATATTTGTTTCTGACTTCTAAATTACTAGGTGATGTGGTCTTAAATAAATTGGAAGAAATTTATAGAAGTTTAGTTCAAAGTTTCTTAGATCCAGATGAATCTGTAAGAAAAGCAGCATCCTAATTAGACAATTGTTTAAAGAGCTTGGTAATGAGTACTGCACCTGAGAAATAAAATTTTAAGATCCAACTTTTTGTTAAAACAATTAGTACTTAAATAGTTTTCAAAAATCAATAAGTGAAATTGAATCTGATTTCATGGATCAACACTTTGAATTCCATTCCACATATAGAATTGTTTGATTACATTGAAGGCTTTTTGACTGAACTTTTTCTTATGTTAGCAGATACAAGCAATAAGGATCCGTTTACTAATGAAGCTAAAATAGCTGCTAGAAAACAACTAGAAGAATTTTAAAGGGATTTGGAAAGGTATTCTAAAAGATCATCCTTCAGTCAACAATAAGAATTCAAAACTCATAGACAAATCATTGACATCTTATTAGATTTATGTTAAAATAAATAGAGTGATGCCCACGTGTTGTCTTAGGTTTTGAATTGGCTTATGGAATATTTGAAAATAGTGAGCAATGAATTAGATCAGCCTGAAGTTTAGTTTAATCAAATAGAATTAAGTGGGGGATAAATTATCAAAGGAATTGACTTAATGTCGAATGTCTTTGAATAGAGAAGAGATTCAGTTCTGTAATCTGTTATTATGGAAAAACTAAATAATATTCTGAAAATTATACTATCCTTATTATCTCTTGATTCCCCTCAAATTGTGAATTAAGCATAATAGATTAATGATTTATTATTGCAAATAATGGACAAAATGAAAGCCTCAGGCAAAGAATTTGTGGACATTATGCCAACCATCTAAGATATGCTGAAAGAAAAGAACAATCATACAGCTGAAAAGGCATTAATGTGGATGAGACATCTATTGAACACACAAACTGAGAAGTTGAAACCCATGATTGAAAATATTTTAGAAAATGTAAGAGACCCATTAATTAAATTAGCTAATTGAAAGATTAAAAGATGCTGAAGCTCAAGTTGTAGAAAATGTTATGGATGTTTTGGCTCGTATATCTCATGAATAGTATTTTGATATGGTTATAGAGAAGATACTAGACATATTCCATAAGAATGTTAATTTATTGAATAGAATGAGCTAAATAATTATTAAGAAACTTTGCGAATTTTGGAATGCTGAAGTTGTCTATACATAAATTTGCAATAAACTTTTAGTGAACTATGTCTATGTTGGAGATGACAATCTAGATTTAGCATTTACATAATAATTAGTTTAATCATTAGAACAACTACTGATTACAGAGCCTCGCTTACAAAACATAAGAATGAAGCTCAAAAATTATAAATACGAGAAGAATCAAAAGACAGCTAAATCTACCTACGAATTCTTTATCAGTATCTATAAAACATTTTGCTATAATGAAGTCAGTGCATTATCATTATCTCTCTTAATTGAAGAGTATGAGCTCACTTATAATATCATCCTAACAATAGCAGAATAAGAAACTAATTTAGAGATCTTAGTATAGATAGCCAGGTTGACCTTATTATTGGAATCACCTGTTTTTGCATATTTAAGATTGCAATTATTAGAGTCAGCTAATCATCCCTTTCTTATTCAATCTTTGTAAGGATTAATGATGTTATTGCCTTAATCTCCGATATAAAAATATCTGAAGTCAAGGCTAAAAAACGTCGAATTGTTTATTAAACCTCATTCGGATTTATCATAGTGTAGAGAGTATACTTATATATTATAATAGAATCCAAAATAAATTGGATACTTAATTATTACTATAACTATTTAAAAATAGCAAACAAGAACAACAGGAATTGAAAGACAACTATGCGAAATCTCAATTCAAATGAATACATGTTAATTAATTTCATTTTATAACAAATTTTACTTTAATAATTATATTAGTTGTTGTAACAAAATATTAGATATGAGTTTCATATATTATTTGTTTCTATAATTTTAATGTAATTCTAACATTTATGTAAAGGAAACTCTAAGATTATAATCATAAAAGAAGATACTTTATTATTAATAATAGCTAATAAATCATTGGTTTTTTATATATATTTATAGGAATTTTAGTTAAAAAGATTATGAAAAATAAATTACTCCTTAGTTTATTCTATATCTCTCAATTCGAGAATTGTACACTCTCATATTATCATCAAAAAAAATGAAAGATTATGTTAAAGTGATTTTATATAAGTTTGTAGTTAAACTATTTTAATTTAACATCTATAATTTATTTTATGAAAAAATAATAAAAAAATAAAGTTATTTTTATACTCAATATCAGTATTTTGATATATATTGTATAATAAGTACGAATTACTTATGTTCAAGTTGATAAACAATCAAAATAGATTCAATGATAAAATAGGATATATTTTTAATATCCACGTTCGGTAATAGTAAGACTTTGGTCACTCTTTTCTGACTTGGATGATTAATCTTTTTAAACCTCTTTTTTTCGAATTAATTTTCATACTATTATTAATATAATTATATTATATAAAAATGGATGCTCAAGTTGAAAATTCAAAGATCGAGGCTATAATTAAATGGTCAAAAGAGCTGTTTAGCATGGAAGGGCAAGTTAAAAGATTCACTGCAGGTTGAGAGCAATAATAAATTAGAAATGAATGAAGTCGTATCATTATGCACTAAAGAGAAATACGAATTAAACTTTGTTTAAAATACAAAGTCAAAAAGATGGATAGAATTGGATGTAATGATGGTTATCAATAATAAGATTGGGATCAAGTAAAAAGTAGAAGTCTATGCAAATAATGAATTATAAAATATAGATTTGATTGTCTTTACAATATAAATTGGTGCTCAATATCCAGTGAAGGATGTGAGAATAGTGTGCAAAACTACTGTAATTCTAGTCATTTAGTGAAGTTCGTTAGGCCTACCTTGGCAGATGGCAGAAACTTGATAGCTGATGTATTGTTGCAGCCTTGGAATTACAAATTATCTTTAGTTTCCATAATTAAATAGATCCCATCATTTTTAGTATTCCACTTAATGATATGATTCATAGGATCGTGTATTATTGAATAGATTCGATAAGATCTATCTTTAGAACATAGGTCAATATTATTTAGGTAGTTCCTATTCAATAGATGAATTAAAGGATTTTCCGGATTTAGCCAGATTTCCAACAATTTAATAATAGAATGCCTTCTTCTAAAACATATAAGTGAGGTTGGAATATAAATATAAATAATAAGGTTGATTGGATTGAGTGATGCTCATTTTTATTTATTTGAGATGATGGAAGGGAAGGATGACTATGTTAGACTGATATTCAGGGCTCCACTATAGAGTTGTATCCAACTAAAAAGAAAAAAAGATAACAGCACATAATTGTCAATCACATGGAAGAATTATAAAAACAAACAAGAAGAACAATAGATATTTACTCTAAATGAATATGACAAGTTTATCAGATTGTTTTTAAGGAGATTGAATCAATATCAGCATGTGCGCATGACATCAAATTCTTATATGGCTTTTGGGGATTAGCAATTGGCTGAGAGATAGAAGATCAACTCAATAATGAAGAATCTAAATTAACTGGAGAATGAGATTGATAAGAAATTCAATCAATAGACAATTAACAAGCTGATGGATTTATATCAATAAGTAATATTGCAGTTGATATGAACTAGGCAATTGAATTTTATTCATCTGCCAGTGATTACTTGTATGAGATCTATTTGAATAAATTACAGACATTGATACAGAGATAAGATGTCTAAGTTATTTTATAATATAAATGATAATTTTATTTTAACTACCTAATTAAAGATGTTTACAGGTGAAAACATCCAATTTCTTTAGTAATTACATTAGTTGAAGGAAATATGCAAGATAGGAGAGGGTAGTTTTGGTAAAGTCTACAAAGCAATAGATTTAACAGACAAATCTATTTGTGCAGTCAAGGTAATTCCAACATAAATTAAGAGGTTATTTCGAAAATAGTCTACAATAGTACTACTCCTGAATAGGATATCTATTTGCAATTGAATCATCCCAATATTGTGAGATGCAAAAGAGTATGAGTAAAAAAATATCTATTAAGATTTCAGAAAACAAAAAATACTATTATATAATTATGGAATACATGGAAGGAGGCACTTTAGCCTAGAAAATGAAAGAGAAACAATTGAATGATTAGGAGGCAGCAGTTATCATGAAATCAATTTTGGAAGGAGTGAATTACCTGCATGATAGATCAATTATCCATAGAGACATTAAACCGGAGAACATCATGTTGACAGGAACAAGTGTTAAAATTGCTGATTTTGGATTGAGTTTTCGATTCTCAACTAGCGAAGGCAATTTTCATAAATTATTGAATAAAAAATGTGGAACTATTATTTATATGGCACCAGAACAGTTTACTGAAAAATATGTAGATTACTTATTCTAACATTTATTTAGTACAGCAAATAAGTCGATGCCTGGAGTTGTGGAATTATACTTTATATGCTTTTACATGGAGGAATGCATCCCTTTTATAATAAAGATGACACCAAGTATGAATTCATTAAGAAGATCCTCAATCCTTCGATTGATATCCCATTAACAATATCTCCTTTGGCTCAAGATCTATTCTTGAAATTGATAAATGTCAACCCTATCGACAGATACAATGTAAGTCAAGCCTTGATGCACCCATGGATTACAAGGAAGTTTCATGAAAAGATTCCCCTCACTTATTAATAGTAATTGGACTAATTCTTAAAAGAATAGCAAATTCGATAAGTAAGCATGTACAATTTAATATGATAGTAATTTAAGTTATTATTCTTCTTGCAATATATCTATCATAATTCGCCAAGAGCATAAACCTTTTAAGATAGTGTGAAAGAGGAAGGACAAGAGAATTCAATTCTTTAGTAAAATCAAACAAGTGCAAGTCCAACTCAAAATAAGTTTAAGATCTTGCAGATAAATAACAAACATAAAAATTAATGCCACACCACTCCTAGGACGGATTGTTAGGGAAAGTTTCTAGATTTTTCATTAACATAAAAAACTAATTTTAAGAAATCTATGGAAAATATTTTGGTATTTGAAAAGGATAAATGCGAAAAAAGTTAGAATTTTTCAGCAAGATCTTTGAAACAGAAATCCACTCAAATGATTAACAAATATTTTATACCAACTTCATTCTAAGAGTCTTTTGGAGTTCCTAATAAAATGAAACTTAAATCACACAAAAGAGTACTACCTCCATTAAAAACAAAATGATACATTTATAATTCTTTCACTATTATTTATACTATTTAATGATTTAATTTCTCAATTTAGTACATATTAAAATGAACACAATATCCTAATTCAAATCAACCTTAACCAAACTCGAAATGATCATTTATTAATTAGAAGAAAGCCTAGGAGTTGAGCATAAGCCTTCCCCATTTGCAGAATATATTACACCCACTACCAAATAAGAAAATTAATCAAGCCAAAAGGTAGAGTAATAGACAGAGCCTTAGCCAAAAAAGGAAGAACCTTAAAAATAGTCACAAGAATCTTAGAAATTTCTAGAATAACTTCAAAAAAAGGAATAACCGTAAAAAAAAGAAAAGCAACCGTAATAAGAGAAAAAGCAACAATAAAATTAACAATAGTAGGGCAAAAAGGCAGCTAATCCAACACTTGAAGATTTCTTATGTATAGATATGAGAGTTGGTGAATTAAAAAGAGTTTGGAAGGTATTTTCATCAATTAATTTTAGCATGAAGAATCAGATAAATTATATTGTGAAGAAATTGATATCGGAGGAGAAGTCAGATAGATAGCTTCAGGATTATAATAATTTGTACCTATTGAAGAAATGACTGGATAAGTTATTGTATTAGTGAATCTTAAACCAAGAAAATTAGCAGGTATTTTACATTGATATATTGAATAGGATTTATGTCTAATGGTATGGTTTTATGTGCATCTGACGCTTCTCACACATAAGTAGAATTGATGAGGCCAGCTCCAGGAAGCAAAGTTGGAGAGAGAGTCAAAATCCAAGGACATCAATCTATTTTCAAAGATGGAATGGAAGAAGAACTGAATCCAAAGAAAGGTTAATGGGAAAAGGTTGCCCCCTATTTAAGGACTAATGAAATTCTTTAAGCTGTTTTTGATGGTATTTAAATTCATCAATCATTTAGGGCATCTTTTAGTAACTTCTTAGGGTCCAATTGTTAGTAAAACACTAGCTAATTCAAATATATCTTGATACAAATGCATATTGTAAAAGATTAGATTTAAAAAATAATCAAACTATTACAATTAGTTTAGTCTATATTTTTCTTTTATTTAAATATTTGATCGATACTATTAATTTTTAGTTATTTGGTAAGTTTATTGATAGACTAAGAATTATTTTTTACTTTTATTTTGATTGTTGAATAATTTATGGCTTGAAATTTCGCTCACTCCTATATATTATCAAATGAATATGAATAGGTTTTTGTATTANCACTCAAATGATTAACAAATATTTTATACCAACTTCATTCTAAGAGTCTTTTGGAGTTCCTAATAAAATGAAACTTAAATCACACAAAAGAGTACTACCTCCATTAAAAACAAAATGATACATTTATAATTCTTTCACTATTATTTATACTATTTAATGATTTAATTTCTCAATTTAGTACATATTAAAATGAACACAATATCCTAATTCAAATCAACCTTAACCAAACTCGAAATGATCATTTATTAATTAGAAGAAAGCCTAGGAGTTGAGCATAAGCCTTCCCCATTTGCAGAATATATTACACCCACTACCAAATAAGAAAATTAATCAAGCCAAAAGGTAGAGTAATAGACAGAGCCTTAGCCAAAAAAGGAAGAACCTTAAAAATAGTCACAAGAATCTTAGAAATTTCTAGAATAACTTCAAAAAAAGGAATAACCGTAAAAAAAAGAAAAGCAACCGTAATAAGAGAAAAAGCAACAATAAAATTAACAATAGTAGGGCAAAAAGGCAGCTAATCCAACACTTGAAGATTTCTTATGTATAGATATGAGAGTTGGTGAATTAAAAAGAGTTTGGAAGGTATTTTCATCAATTAATTTTAGCATGAAGAATCAGATAAATTATATTGTGAAGAAATTGATATCGGAGGAGAAGTCAGATAGATAGCTTCAGGATTATAATAATTTGTACCTATTGAAGAAATGACTGGATAAGTTATTGTATTAGTGAATCTTAAACCAAGAAAATTAGCAGGTATTTTACATTGATATATTGAATAGGATTTATGTCTAATGGTATGGTTTTATGTGCATCTGACGCTTCTCACACATAAGTAGAATTGATGAGGCCAGCTCCAGGAAGCAAAGTTGGAGAGAGAGTCAAAATCCAAGGACATCAATCTATTTTCAAAGATGGAATGGAAGAAGAACTGAATCCAAAGAAAGGTTAATGGGAAAAGGTTGCCCCCTATTTAAGGACTAATGAAATTCTTTAAGCTGTTTTTGATGGTATTTAAATTCATCAATCATTTAGGGCATCTTTTAGTAACTTCTTAGGGTCCAATTGTTAGTAAAACACTAGCTAATTCAAATATATCTTGATACAAATGCATATTGTAAAAGATTAGATTTAAAAAATAATCAAACTATTACAATTAGTTTAGTCTATATTTTTCTTTTATTTAAATATTTGATCGATACTATTAATTTTTAGTTATTTGGTAAGTTTATTGATAGACTAAGAATTATTTTTTACTTTTATTTTGATTGTTGAATAATTTATGGCTTGAAATTTCGCTCACTCCTATATATTATCAAATGAATATGAATAGGTTTTTGTATTATGGACTTAAATGGAAATAATGTAACATTCTAGTACAACCAAAATTTAAAGTTTAAAAAATTCTATCTATCTTGATTTATTCCTTAATAATATTAGTTGCATTTCTAGAATAATTTATATTCATTCGTAAAATAGAAATTTTTGAAGATACATTTGATAAAACAATCAATTTTTCTTTTTCTCTTGGTTGAAATAATGTGCATAATAAAACATTCCAAAATCTTTGTATCTCAACATATCTTATATAAAAGAATAACCAAGACTTCTCTAATCATATAATAGTCTTTGATCTTAATTTTTTTGTTTTTGATACACATATAGTTCAATAAAGTAGGAGAATATTTTTATCGCTTATACTATTTTTATTTTATTGATTATTAATGTTGAATAAATAATTAATATAAATAAAGTATTTTTTTTAATAAGACTTATTATATGTTGATCTAAGCTATTGATAGTTCATAATTGTTATTGAAAATAACAAATAAAGTATTGAATTGATGATTAAAACTGCATGTTTCAAAAATTAATATATTTTCATAAATTTTTATTTCCATATACAAATTTTTGAATATTCATCATTACTTTAATTTGATGGCTTCTAATTCTTGTTAGACTTATTCAAATGCTTTAATTGGCTTATATTTAGGTGGCAATCCTGTTTTGGCAAATTTATCCAATGGTTGGAGAGTGACATCAGAATTAATATGTGAAAAGAGAGTTGAGGAGACTCTCCATGTGCTTTTTCCAGCTTTCTTATTTTCTTCATATTTTTTTTTGGCTTCTTCTGTGTAAATGACCTGTAGAGATATTGTAAAAAAAATACTTCATGATATCCACAAGTCACATAGCCACCAGTAAGCAAATCGAATTGAGCACCAGCTTAAAGGAGCAAGTGGCCTTCTGGGACAGCAACTGAGATTCTCTCTCCGTTTCTTAACCAAACATACAAGCCAGGATAGCGACTCTTACCATGAATGGTGAGGAAATTCAAATCATAATGAAATCCTGCAAAAATGGTTCCTGGCTTGTGTCTATCCAAATCAGAACCAGTTGGAGCAAGTAAATGAGGTCCATTTTACATTCTGCTGGTAAAAGAGTCAGCTGGAATGCTCATACCAACAGCAGCCATTTCAGCGACTGTCAAGCATCCATTGATCATCATCTTGCCCCATTATTCCATTCGTTCTCCAAACTAAGGAACATCCTTGGGTCTGAATCTAGGGGGTTGGAAACTATAATGATATGAGTGAAAGTAGCATACTCTTCATCCTTGGTTCGTTTGCCTGAGTCATCGATGGGCCAAAAGAATCTCCACTTGGCATCCTTTTTAATAGAGATGAAAAAATTACATAGGGAGCTGGTTATGGAGTCAAAGCCTCATTTTCTTTGGTGTATTATTTGACAACATTGTTGTGTGTTCTTGCTTTTTCAACGAACTCTGGTGTAGCTCCGACTTAATATGCGTAATTGGGGAAGATATCTTCGACCTTGAATTAAAGGCATGTGAATACTTATTCATTGTTATAGAATTTGGCAGCTCTGGATTCAAAATACTTTTCCATCATATCCAAGAAGTCGACATTATGACGATCGTTAACTCGTGGATCCTTGATGCAAATGGCACCGTAATTGTGGAGAGCTTCTGCTACTTGGGCACATTGGGCAGAGGTGTCTCCCTTTTTGGCAAGGAAGGCTGTAACATCGACCACGGGTACAGATTTAGCAAATCTATAGACAAATCTTGTTGTAAACATTTTAATAAATTAATAATATGTCATTCAATTAAAGAGTGAGTACTATTTATAGTTGGATATTTGATCAGTAATATTCTCTTGGCTATAAAATGTACGTGATATTCTCTTTTTGAATTGTGCTTCTTTGACTTTAAGTGTATAAATTAAACAAAATTAAATCTTAAAAATAATGAAGAACATTGATCCGAATGTGGTTTTTGTAAAGAAGGAAAAATGGGATTACGAACAATTGGAAGTACTCATTACAATCTACATAGCCAATTCCCTGTAAACATATTGAAGTACCCAATTTTGTGACTATTTCAACTGTTGCTTAGACCTCAATCAAATTGCCTACTGTTTACATTCACAACAATATAGTGTACCCTGATGAAAATGAGTACTCGTGCGATGAAGAAGATTTGGAAGCTGGCATTGACCCCAAAGTGATGCAGCAATTGGATCTTAGGCGTCATCTGAATACTAATCGTAATTATTCGAAACAAAATTCGTTACTCAATACATTGGAATATGATGAAACCTATTATAATAAAAAAGTTGAAAGACTTTAGAGGCCACTTTTGAGAGTCTTCATGCGTGCTCAAGAGAATGAGTAAATTTATTATAGCAATTTTAGTTATCGAATGAATGTGGCTTTTAGACCGAGCAAGGCTTATAAGCAAAAACGGTAGAAACACATGGATATACAAAGTATTGATGTTGCAAGGGAAATCCTATTGAATGAGAACTTGATTGCACTCAATTTGCTGAGACAAGTAAAATAGAGAGAGTTGCTGAAATTGCAGTTAATCAAAGAGGAGGAGTTTAACTTTGTAAACACATTCAATAATTGCAATGATTTATTTGGAAACTTAAAGGAACTGAAGTGTTTTTACAAATCAGAAGACCTTTTGGAATAATAGAGAGACAACAGAAACAAGGTCTTTGAGTCCTGTTCCAACAACGAGTGTTCATATCAGTTTTATTCGATGTCCCTATCACCAGATCTCATAGACTTTATGGATGAGTAATATCAACAAACTAAGGACAAGGGCGTGATTTGGCCTAAGAATCCCACGATGCTATCAAGTTGGGATGTCGACATATACACCAAGTTGGGTGTTCATCAACTGAATAAATCACTCATCTACACAACCAACAATAGAACCTTGATGATTGCTGATAGAACGAAGAAGAATAAAAAGAAGGTTAAATTAATGTTGGTTGATCGGAATAGGGCTTCGATCTTTGATGGAGTTAGAGCAAACTTTGATCACTTTTATGCTCATTATCAAAAGATCAATCAAAAACAGGAATAATTGATTGATTAATAAAGGAAGGAGTGTCAGAAGATTAGATTTGAGAAATAGAAAAAGGAACATCAACTCAAAGTGTAATAGAGGAAGGAAGAATTAAGACAATCTCTGAGATTTAAGATGAGGATACTCTAAGATTTGGATCATCCTATCTGCACTATTAAAATCAAATATTCTGATGAATTAAAGTTTTAATTAGTTAAAGACATTCACTACAACACTTAAGTTATATTGGTGTGATATAGCTTCAATGGAAATGAAAATGATTGTGATTTGTATATTTTTACTTTACTTTGTAATATTTCATAAGAGAGAGTTTCTTAATTTAAATAAGATTTAAATTATTTATTATGGCAGAAGTCGAGTAATTATCAGAAGAACTCACAACCTTAAAGAGAGTTGTTTAAACATCATTACATAGAGGATTGTTGGCTAAGGGAGTCCACGAAGTGTGCAAAGCCATTGAAAGCAAACAAGTATGAATACTCTTCATCTCTAGGCAAAATTCGTGGTTTTGGCTGATGATTGCACTGAAGACACATACAAGAAATTGATTGTTGCTTTGGCTAAATAATTCTAAATCCCAGTTTGGAAAGTAGAAAAAGGAGCTTTGTTGGGAGAATGGATTGGCATTTCTAAATTCCTTACTAAAACTAAGAAGATCAAATCAAGAAAGTGCTCCTCTGTTGCACTCAAGGATTTTGCAATTGAAGTTAGTGAAAATGAAAAACAATTCGTCGAAGATAAAATTAAGGGATTGTGAAGTTATTATCACACATCGTACATCTAAATACATTAATCATTCAATATATAATGCCATCTCTCTAGTCACTTATTTGTCAAACAACCTTTTTTAATGTGAATGCGATTTCCTTTTTAGTTATTAATAAAATTTATGATATCAGAATAACTCAAATCAGGACCATCTACTAAATAACTCAATAGCGATGATACTCTCAGAGTTGGAGAGTGCACCGTCCATAAAAGACAATTAGAAGCCTTCTGCACTTCTTGTCATGTGTATTCCCATCAAGTTTATCTAGTCTTATTTGTCCTACTTGTTTGATGTTTGGAGATCACAAAGGACATCTGGTTGATTAGATGGATAAAGCTACCAAAGATATTCGATCATCTATGGATCAGGCTGCCAAAGATGGTAATTTCACTCTTTAGTATATTCAAATAGGAATCTTGAGATTAGAAAAAACAGAAACTGTTCTTGTAGACATTAGACATACAAAACTAACATTCGAGGAATCAAAACAAAAGGTATTAAAAGAAGTTGAATAAACTTTTGCCCTCATTTTCAAATTGATTAAGTAAAGAAAGGATGAAGTTGTCAATTTGATTAATCAACATTATGAAATCTAAGTTAGTAACATTGATACCTAAGAATAAATTTGGATGGACAAATAATCAAGAGCATATGATGTTATCAAATTAGCCAAATCTACTAATGATTATCAATTATTGGAGAAGGCAACCTACATTTTAGAAAGTAGTTCTTATTTCATTATTTGAGGTTTGGAAATTCTAAGACAAACGCCAACATATAAAAATGTTTACATTGTCAATTCTATTGATACAACATTTAATTTAAATAACATCTCATTAAATTTATCTGAATTTTAGAAAGGACTGCAAAATTGGATCAAATTAGGTGATTCCGTGCTCATTCAATTTAAATGTTGATTAAATTGTTAAATTTACAATATTTATATTTCAATATCTTTTATCATATATCCTAAAAACATTCCTTCTCTCTAGATATATATATATATGTATATATGTATTATAATTAAATCAAAAAATACTGAAATTTGATGGAATTTAAATATCTATATAAAACTTGATATACATATATATATCAAGTCCGAGCAATTTAATATTTTAATTGAATTGAAATTCATAAGCCTGCAAAAAACAGTAGTGTTGGTATAGGAAATACTAATAAACATAAGTTTGGGTTGACATGTTGAAATGACCATAATAGACATCCCAAAAGGAATTGTCTAATATTAATAGATTGATAATAATATCCAAATATATAGGCAACTACACAACTTGTTAATAGAATAATCAAGTATATTAAATGAGAAAACGTGAGTAAATTTTTTCTTTGCACTGCTGAGTGAAGGACTACTCCGAATAGAATTGAGTTAAAAAACCTGAAAATCAAAGCTTCAACTTGTGGAATGACCGAGACTTAATTGTTATATTTTGATTGATACTTATTAAAATTGAAATCAAAGCCTATTCATACTTTAATTTTGTATGAACTACTTTGTTCTCAACCGAATATTCCCCTGACAATATTTCTGCCTATATTATTTCCCCCATCTATTTGTCAAAGTCCCCAATTTTGAATGGAATGGAAACATGAGGTTTAACCTGGTTTTGTTAATACTCGCTGTTGTCCTCATAAATAATGGATATATTCTAATTATTGGCTCTCTTTTATTGATCAATATGCGAGATTAACTTGGAATTACAACTTGCATCCTGTGGTCTGCCCTTCTCCAACAATATTGTATTCTTCAACGTAACTCCTAATTGAGTCAATAAGCTCTTCTCAGTTTTCTGTATGATAGCATATTGGCTTTCTCCAGTAACATAGTCAAAGATTTATACAGCCTCAATGACAGGTTGTACATAATCTGCAGAGGTGGCAGTCGCTCCTTCCCTCGCATGATGTATAATAACTGCGGGGTTTGCTTGATGTTTTTCTTGTTAATGAGCATCCTTAGTTTTAAAACCCTCCTTAATCCATAAAAAAGTGATTATTCCTACCAGCATCCATGGGAATTCCGTAATTAGTGTTCCTAATATAAACAATTTGGCACAATCATGTATCGATTCTCCCAGTTCGTCAACTTGAAAGAGAAGAGCAAAGATAGAAGAACTTAAAAGTAATATTATGTCAAGAAGCATATTTTATTAATGTATTAATTAAAGATCGTAGAGTAACTCTGCTATGATAACTAAATTACAATAGTCAGAAAGTCAACAATCTCAAGTATTTACAAATCTTACATAAGGAAATCAAGATTTTAAAATCATACGATCTAACAATTGTATATTACTATGAAAATAGGAACTCATACAAAAACAGTACTAGTTCAAATTTAGAAGATTGATTCACTATCTTAAAACTTCAAAACTAATTTTCTTCTTAATCAAATTGTTTCGCTTTGCCTTTTTGACTAAGTACTCTAAGATAATTTTGTAAGTTTCAGATAAAATTCTTTCAAAAATAATTGATTAATTCAGTTTGAATTTTTAAGAAAATACTGTTTCAAAGCTTTTTACTCGATCTTCTCATTTCGAGCTGGGTACAAACATTCTCCGATAAAAGAATAGATCATGAATGGTAAAGAGGCATAGATATATTTTAGAAATAATTTAAATTCAATATTTTATAATTTCTCTTTATTATTTTCAATTTATTCTCAAGAATCATCTCATAGTATATATTCTACCATTATATTATAAGAAATATAGTAAATATTAATCTAATTTTAATTCTAATCGTTAAAGTATTTATAATAATCACAAAACATTACTTGAACATTTTATAAACAATATAAATTTGTAAAAATTTGTTGAAATATTTTAGTATAATTATAACATTCTCTGTATTTTAATCAATACTATTAGTTCTAAATAGGTCTAGCAGGAAAATATATAAAATAAATAGTTGAGAGTTTCGCCTTATATTTTTTAATCAATAATTAAATAAAATAAATGAAATTTTATTTTTCTGAACTAATAACAATTTATTATTTTATTTATGAATAAACAAAAGCAACCAATAATCTCTCCTAATTGGATTAATGAAATTTAATAGGCATCAGATCCCCTCACTCATTCCTAAATGTATATCAAGCATTTAAGTGATGGTATTTATATATGATTATTACTTTGAATTAAGAGTACTATTATCGCACAATAAAACATTGAAAATTAGATTAGAGATCTATGAGAAAGAACCGATAACATATTCATAAATCACTAAAGCCATAGCATCAAATAGAGCAAATGATAAATTAAATGATTAAAATACACAATAAAAACCTAATTAACAGTTAGTTTTTAATATTATAAATAGCAAAACTAATTAAGGAAATAGCAAGGATAGTTTGTAAGAGAGTTTGGGTCCAGCAATTGAATAAATTAAGGAATTATAAAAAGTAATTGAGGAATTAAAAAAATAAAACATAGAGTTGCATGAGCAAATGAAATAAAAGTTATCAACAATGAAATAAGCCAAAATAGTAATACCCCATAAATTTGAAGGTCATGATTATGTAGGCGATTAATTATTGATTGGAAAATCTACTTTAGTTAATGTAAAGAAAATATCGTATGAACCTTTTCATAAATCCTCTTTGAATTAATAAAATTCATCGAAAGATAAGTATAGAGCATTACAAATGTATTTAGATAAATATAGAATTTGATTAATCAGAAAAAGTACTTAGAATAAGAAATCCTTCATTTCAAGGAAACGGGAATAATTAGAAAGCCTAAACTTGAAGGACAAGATTTAGAAAGTATCATCAAGAGATACGAGAAAAACAAGTCTATGGCTGCAGCTCAAGAGAAATTCAACAAGTAAATAAGATAGCAGGAAGACTTGAAGGACCAGTATTTGTAAGCATTGATAGAGGAAACCTTTCTATTGCAATAACAATTAAGATTGATGACTCAATCAAAGTCTTGATTATATCAACATTAATCTAAATTGAAATTAATTATTAATAGCAATGATCAAATATTCATTTTTACAATTTTTAACTAAATTCCTCTAAATCGAAAATGGCCTCTTTAAGAAGTGCAATGCTTAATATAGAGGATTTTTGAGCAAACTCACTTAATTGTCCATTATAATCAGTGAAATCTGGTAAAGAATAACTAGAATATAAATATTGATTTCTTACTACTCCTTTAGATGTTGCTTGATGGGAGCAAGGTAGGCATAAAATATTTCTTTCTTGATATCCTATTTATGAATTTTGAGCAATGCCTTCAGATAATATCCAAGCAAGAATACAAATTCAGATCCATTGTGAATGGAGAATCCATCTTAGGCATTGAAACGATCTGTCAATTGAATGTATTTTCCACTGTATTCACTAGCAATAGGATCCAGAGTGCTTAAGCCAAGTGAGTTTAGACTCATCAAATTAGATTCAATTAATGCTAAATGGTGTATGACATGATTTTTTTAAAACAATTCTGGAGCCAAGGCAATTGCAATACATGAGTTTGGTCTCAATTGATATTCAGATCGAGGTTTTGAGCATCTAAAGATGTCTCTATAGATTCCTTTCCTCCTCACGTGTTTCTCTATAACTTAATATTCATTATAATAGGAGGGATCAACCGGAATGTAATAGCTCTTTTCAAAATGCTGACAAATAAAATCCGACCATGCTCTCCAAGTGACCATCCTATTCATTAACTTAATTCCTGGATAAGTAAATTTGTTCAATTGATGCATCTTTCCAATGAAATCGAGACATGCTTTTAACAGTGCTGTACATTCAATAGGTGCACCATCTCTAGATGCAGCAGGATATCCTTTATTTAGTGTGCCTGATCCCATTTTGTCCATCCAAGTCAAACAATTCTTGTAGTTTCCTCCCATAATGAAACCAGTTTCTGAATCCAGTTTAAGTTCTACAACCAGACCCTACAATAAATACTAATGAATACTTCTTTATCGGTGTCATCATTTACGTATATCTCTTTAAATTTGATGCCTGTGGCATGAGATTGGAAAATGCATTGAATTTATTCTTGCAATAAACTAATGATCGAGAAATCATCAGTATAAGTTACATAATCACGGATAGCCTTGATCCACCAAAAACAAGTGTCCCTAGTATTATATCTGAGTGGTTTTAATGAATTAGGTATGAGACCATGTTGCATTAGATTACCGTACTTAAAAATTAAGGCTTTGGCATCGACAACCTTATCTAAAAATAACATGTGAATCCTTACTTGTCAATATCAAAATGCCCTTGAAACTCATAAAGGTTTCTCTGCCTTTAATGAAATCGTAGTTCGTAAAGTAAGAGGATAAGATATCAATTTATTTAAAGAAAATCTCTCTGTGTTGAGTATATTTATCTTCGATGCTCTACACAATATGCTTTATGCATTTAATGAAGTAATGGGGTTTAAAGACTGAAGGTAGTTATTTGACTATTGTTAGAATTGGTACCAAACAAGAGTGATTATCGCATAAATAATTAATAAGCCAGTCCCCTTCTCGAATATGTTTTATGAATGGGTCTTTGAGAGTTTCAATCTTATTGATAAACCTCAATACTCCATACAATCCTGAATAGTAGAGTGCTCCACATCCTGGTACTTCATAATGATTTATCAAAGGTTGATAGAGAAGATTCATGTCATCATCACAATTAAAGGGTGTCAAAAGGAACTCGTTTAGTTTTTGGATTTCTTAAATAGGTTCGCATTACAATATAATAACACATGACGTGGGAGTGTTGATGGATAAAATATCTTAGTTGATTGAAGCATATGAAGTAGTGACATCTATGTAATGCTCTTTAACTTTGATCTCGTCATCGAGAGTCTGGGTTTCTTTTCCGCTGTGTTGGAATGAGTATTGATACAATATACTTGATATTTTGGAGTACAGTTTAATTTTACGAATAATGGGTCTCAAGCAAATTACAATTGTTTCATTCTATATATGATCCTCCTGACATCTGGTGATAATCATGATCTACTCATGAATAGATTCCATATAGGTGTGTGATATCTAGTTTTAGGGAAGTTATCGAATGAACGTCAATGATGTGTATGCCTTTATGGGTTTAATTTCAATTATATTATTCATATGATTCGTTTATTGATTTTCATCAATTGTCCATACATCATCGATAATGTATTTATATTCATAAATACCTGGTGATAATTCTATCTGACAAGTAAAGTATTTAGGGTTTTCTTGATCATTTTAAAGGAAATATTCTTATTACCAATTATCAAATGAACCTTTTAATTTAACTACTTTGGGAAGTGCTGTTCCTTGATTTGAACTACTTGAAATTGGAGGAGTGTGCTTCCACATGAAAGTGATAAGTCTTTTTTCTATATCGTATACTTATTAATTGATTTGGGGGTAATATCGATTTTCATAGACACAACTAATGTGTTTATCATAGAACTCATCCACTAATTTAGTAGTTCCTTTGAATTAGTTACTAAAGGATAAGGCTGAGACTAAGGACATGAGGTAGCCTGGCCCTTGCGATTGAACAATTGGAGGCTAATTGTCGTGAGTTTAATCATAGATCAATCTGTAGGGTCCTGAGATTTGTGGGATGAATGCACAAGTTTATAATTTATGAACTATGGAGGATGCGTTCCTACAATAAAATAATTCGTCCACTTATCCATTCAATCCTAATTTACTCATATACTTAATTTACTATTTATATGAGCAACCAAACAATTCAGCAAACACCAATAATTTAGGATTCTCAATTCTAGCATGTTTCAGTAAGTATTAACTGACTGTCAAAGGAGTTCCATGGCAATTGTCTAATCGAATGCCATGGAAATAACGAGCCATCTGACAGATGTACTGTCTCATTCGATTCAGCAATAGTGGAGTGTCTCGTTTGTTGCCGTAACGCAGTTTGATTACATTCCATTTGTTGACAGTGTGTCTGAGATAATGGAAGTTTTGGCTGGTTACGAAGTCTTCTTCTGGATCAATGTTATCCACATAACCATTATAGACAGCATACCAATTCTTCAATTTGTAGAAGTACCTCTAAACACATCCATACTTTTAATAATGCGCTTAATTATTAGCTATAGATTCTGCTTCATATTACTTAGCCCTTTTGAATTATTTTTCATTAATACATTTTAAAGCCTTCGTAATTTGACTGATAGTCAATTGATGAGTGCCTAATTCCTACTAAAACCTCCTGAAATTAAAGGTTACTCCATATCTGGACACTCCAAAATTTGACAAATACATTTCAATCAACTTTATATTTTTCTCCTGATTGGATTCCATGAATATATTATCATCATCATCATCATCATCACTATTTGCATTCTCATTCTCCACTTGAAACTCCATCCAATCTATTTTCCGCACATCAATCTAGAAGTACTCCTCAATTCTCAATGCCCTTATCACTTTTTCGATATCCTCATATTTCTATACCTGTTCTAAAGCGAAATCCAATTCAAGAGCCGATGTTAATTGCGGAACGGTCCTTTCGTTGTACACACATTCTTCATCATTCAACCATTCACTTTCCTTTGCTGTGTGATTCAACACTACATCAATGAAAAAGATCTTTTTAGACGATTAGATAAAATTATGTAGTTCCTCGAAATCTCGAAAGTATTTTATACTCAAATGATCCTTAATCGCATATAGGCTATGAGATACTTCCTGTATGGGACACAAATGAAATGCTTAAAACCCTTCCAAATCCCATCTCTTTACTAAATTTGGTAACACTGTCTAAATGGTCAAATCTTTCAGATTAAACATTAATGGATTCCACACCAAAAAATGGAAAGGCTAGCCCATTTCCTGAATCTTTCTATCATCTAATTCTAACCAAATTATTCTGAGGAAACATGGGCCTAATTATCGACATTTGATCTCAAACACATAGTCTCCATCATTCGATATATTATATCGATAGGGCTCGTAGACGGAGTAGAAGGGCATCGGGAATAGGGCTTCCTCGTCTCCTCTTAGGATCTTCTTATAGCCTTTCTATGGTTTCCTTGGAGAACCTTTCTTCGAGGGAGAACGAGTCGCATGTTGAATATTTGTGATGAGTACTGGAGTGGATGAGAAGATGTTCCTCGAGCACAGAACGACCCTCAATAAAGTGTCGTAGGGCAAAGTCAAGCAGTTATTAAGAGCAATTGAGCCATTTTATGACGTATAAACAGTATACATTCGTATTAATTAATTTTTATAATGGAATTATCATACCTTCTATTTAAAACCATATTTAAGATTAGCAAATATATTTTAGATCAAAATTGACTCAATTTTAAAAAGTTTATATTTATAGAATTTAATTCCTCGGTCTCTCTCCTCTCGTCTCTCTGTCCAGTTGTGTGAGCAAAAGGAGAATTCTTTCGCCGATATTACATTTTGATTAGGTAATTCCTAATAAAAACAAATTACAAAAATGATAACTTAAATAATTAATATATTGAAAAATGTCATTCTTCTAGTCTCAGGAATACGAAGATTAGGATGAACACGAATAATTGCGAAATGTGGTAATGCCTGTAACATTCATAATTAGAAATCCCCAAATCAGTTGCAATTAAAATCTCGATTGTACGATCGAGGAGGTTAGCAGAAAAGACCAGTCACTCGAACTCAACAATAGGTATTTCAATTTCCCTATTTGTAGTTAGTGCCCAAACTGGTTGCTCAATAAAGCAAGCAAAAACTAGACCCACTGAGAATGACCATGGGGACAACCTTCAAATAAAATGTAGATGAGCTCTACAGAACCAAGTACCTCGTAGACAAATTATCGGGTAAGTTCCAAATCGATTAAAAATACTTGGCCATCATGCCGGAAGAGGAGCGTAACTACTTAATGCGAAAAACTGGCATGAGTTCACTAGGATCTCGTTTCAAACTCAAACCTCTTGATTCAGATCCACGTATTTAAAGTCCCTTTAAGGAAACATTGGCACACGATGAAGAGTTTGGTGTTACTGAGAAGGAAACCAAATCCAAGTTAGACAAATACATCGACCTTATTCTGAGCAATACAACAAGTGTGGATGAATATATTTATCTTGTAAGAGAAGAGGATGATGGCTAAGATGATCCTTACATGTTGGCAGTTGTGGATTATAAAACCATTAAAGGTGATGATAAGAAAACTGAAATTAAGGAATATTACACCATTTCAAGAAAAGGATTATGTCATTATATTAATGGCAAACCCACAGAATTTATACCACTTAGAAATTGGCTCAGAGAAAGACAAACCTATCATTAAATCAAATCATTGAAATTCTTTACCAAATTTAGAAAATGGAAAACCCTTAAGATGTGGAAGAGCAATGTTATCAAACATAAAACTAAAACAATTTAGAATGCTCTGTTGGACAAATATTTCTTATTGAACCCCATCATGAGAGAAACTCTACTTACAGTTAGAAAAAATACCTATGAAATGATGGAATCTTGTCGTTTCATTGGATTTGAAACTTCTCATCAATTAACCATGAATGATAGTACATTTACTTTAGAATAGTTCAAATAATTATAGGACCAATATAGGAACAAAGTTAGTCTCAAAATTAGATCATATTCTCAAGCATGTCGAAAAGTTGTGTAAAGTGGATATGATAAATCATTGGATATACTCAGAAAGTAGAACTATGTGCCTTAAAATGATGAATAATTTGGTGGAAATGCTCCAAGAGATACTGGAACAAATGTGTTCAGAACAAGAGAAATAGCATATGAAACCCTATAATTCCCAGATAGCATGACATATGAAAAGAGATCATAGTTAAGGAAAGAATGTTCGAAATTCTTGCGCTTTTCATATCTAGTTGATTTCTTAGCCATGGAAAGTCTGAGCAATATTTATACGCTTTCAGTGAGAGACTTGATATCAAAATTAAAATCTTTAGAATCCATTGATGATTTCAATGTAACTTTTGAAGCAAGTAACAAACCCCCAATCAGATTCGATGAACCTCTCTTTGTGATTAAATTAGATTGCACCTTTGACCAAATACCTTCAGAAGACATGTAAACTGAAGACATCCCAGAATTCATACCTCAACCTTTTGGTAATAGCACTGTCGATGATTTTCATATACTTTATCATGCTCATTTATAAGAAGAGAAGACTGAGGAATAAAAGCAAGCAGAAAAACCATAAGGAGGTAAGAAGGGCAAGGTTGAAGACGATAGTGAGGAAGACGAGACTGATGGAGGGACCTATGATGAAAATAAAATTTACAAAAGAACAGTGATCCCCAACATTTCTAAGCATTGGATTTTAAAGAAACCATAGCTGAATACATTTCATGCAGATATTGTAAAGTGTATAGGAGAAGGATTGAATGCAATTTAAGCTTTTGAGAGATGGAGCAGACACAATGATATGACGTAATACGTAGCTGTATTGGAAGAATGGGATGATATGGTTGGTGAAGAGTGGGGACATCCAGAATCTAACTATTTGAATCCTTCAGATTGGTTGGATTCAGCACCCCTTGAAACATTTACAGGCGTTGTTAAGAATATTTTAGAGAAAGCATTTGAAAGAGCTGATAAATATATAGAAAAATATTTTAACAAACATTTATTAACCTATTGGGAAGACAAATAGATTAATATAGATATTTTCAAAGATGAGAAATTGGCACATCCTGGAGACACATTTTAATACACAATTGCAGTGCTTAATATGCAGAAGGAGCAATTTTAGAAGGATATTCCTATTGAAAGTATGCAAGGATTGTTTAAGATTGATTCTATTGAATTAAAAAAGAAGTTGGAACCTCTACCTGCTGAATTATTGAAATAATTTGATTAGTTTATATAGCCAATGCTAAGACTTAGATGCAAAGAATTAAAGGAATGGTTATAATCATCAACAGCAGCTTTGAAAGGAGCAACTACAAATATCGATGAATTTGTTAAGCAAAGCAATTCATTGAAATTGATTCAAAAATAATTAAATAAAGTCAAATCTAAAATTTCTCTTGTTGGTCACATATATAATATTCTTGATGAATACAAGATAGAAGTGAAAAAAGAAGACAAACAAGCATATGTAGTTGATATCATTTAAGCATAAAATCTATTGGAATAAGCTATTCATCATGCAGAAGAAGGAGCAGAGTCCAAACTTGATAGATTTGCAAGAGATGTCCAACATATCCTTATTCCTTAATTGGAGAAGTAGATTGGTGCTTTGGATGGAATAATCTAAGATAAAAAATACATTGATGCTGGATTGAGTTTAGAGTAAGCCATTAAAGAATTGGGAGAATGTGATGAACAATGTAAGAAATTAGAAGCGGATGCTAAGAAATACAGACATTATGAAAGCACTTTAGGATTACCTACTTCTTAATTTTAGAGTTTAGAGGATTTAAGAAATGATCTGAATCTCAGGTATTCAATGTGGAAGTCTACAAAGGAGTGGATTGAATTAACTTAATCATGGATTGATGGAAAGTTTATAGATATCAACACAGATGAGATTAAAGCCAAAGGAGAATATTACACAAAGATTGTCAATAGATGTTCTAAAGGATTACCTGCTAATCAAGTTTTAGATGAACTTAAAGAGAAGGTATTTTCATTCAAAGACACTATGCCTGTAGTCTTGGCATTAAGAAATAAAAATTTAAAAGATTATCATTGGGTGCAAATCAAATAAGAGATTCTAAAATAAGACTTTGAGATCACTGAAACATTTACATTAAGAAATTTGATGGACATGAAGGTTGGAATCTATTAAGAATAGATATAAGAAGTTGCTACTTAGGCTACTTAGGAAGCTGTCTTAGATGCCTAATTTAATGATATTGAGTAAAAGTGGAAGGCTCTTGAATTTACCTGTGTTAATTATAAACCTGAAAATCTAAGGAACAAGGAAGTTTATGTGCTCACTGATATTGATGAATTACAAGCAGCCTTGGATGATTTCTTGGCAAGTTTAAATAATATATTGGGTAGTAGATACTTGAAGATGCTGAGAAAGAGGGCTGAAAAACTATAGAAGGATGTGTTGATTGCTTAAGAAACTTTGGATGATTGGTTATAAGTATAGAAAAATTGGATTTATTTGGAAAATATATTTGCCAGTCAGGATATCAAAACAAAATTGAAGGAAGAAAATGCTTTGTTTGAAAATGTTGATAAATAATTTAAGGCCATTATGAAAAAGACTAATTCATAGAAATAAGTTCATCGAGCTAGTGGATTACTAGATAAATTTAGAGAATACAAAGAAACATTAAATAGAATTCAAAAGGCATTGGAATCATATTTAGAAGAAAAGAGAATGGCATTCCCAAGATTTTATTTCTTATCAAACGATGAGCTTTTGGAGATTTTGGCTAAATCATAAGATTTTGATGCAATTCAAAGAAATCTAAAGAAATGTTTTGAAGCCATTTATAGACTTGAATAACCTGAGGAAGGTGCTAGATCAGTAAATGGAATGATTTCGCCAGAAGGAGAGAAGATTCCATTTGTTAAGGGTGTTTCAACAAAAGAAGAAGTTGAATTGTGGTTGATGAAAGTTTAAGATTAGATGATTGAATCATTAAAGAAGAGAATGAAACAAGGAAAAGTAGAAAGTGAAACCCAAGAGAGAAATCACTGGTTACTAAATCAACCAGCTCAAGTAGTTGCCACAATATCCAATCTGATCTGGACATATGATACCGAATAAGCCATTAACAGTATGACTGATGATTCCACTGCTTTATCTAAACACTATAATCTGTTGTACGAATCCTTGAATGGATTGACTGCTTTAGTCAGAGGTACATTGACTCCACTTCAACACAAAGTCATTGTAGCCTTGATTACTTAAGATGTTCATGCTAGAGATATCGTGGATGCTTTGACTGATGAAAATGTTAGTTCAATAAGTGAATTTTCGTGGTAATAATAATTAAGATATTATATGGATGAAAATGATCTAATTATAGTGAGGTAAGTTAATGCTAAATTAAATTATGGATATGAGTATTTAGGAGCTACAACAAGATTGGTTATTACTAATTTGACAGATAGATGTTGGATGACAATTACTGGAGCATTGAATATTAAACTAGGAGCTGCTCCAGCTGGACCAGCAGGAACAGGAAAGACAGAATCAACAAAGGACTTGGCCAAAGCTTTGGGTATGTTTTGTGTAGTGTTCAATTGTTCAGATTAAATTGAATATAAGATGATGGGTCGTTTATTCAGTGGTTTGGTTTAATAAGGGGCTTGGGCATGTTTGGATGAATTCAATCGTATAGATATTGAAGTGCTAAGTGTCATTGCCCAACAATTGTTAACTGTGAGATAGGCATTAATCAGAAGAGATTAATAATTTATATTTGTGAATCCAGACAAACCAATCAATTTAAAGGAAGAAGTAGGAGTATTTATTACAATGAATCCAGGATATGCTGGTAGAACTGAATTACCAGACAATCTAAAAGTGTTATTTAGACCAGTATCTATGATGATTCCTGATTATAAATTAATTGCTGAAATCATGCTTTAAGCAGAAGGCTTTGAAGATGCCAAGTCTTTGTCACAAAAGATGACTCAATTATATCAATTGAGTTCTCAACAATTGAGTCAACAGGACCATTATGATTTTGGTATGAGAGCAGTTAAATCAGTGTTAGTCATGGCAGGTGCATTGAAAAGAGCAGATATCAATTAACCTGAAGATGCTGTTCTAATCAGAGCAATGAGAGACAGTAATGTACCAAAGTTCTTAAAAGATGATCTCCCCTTATTTTCAGCTTTGATTAGTGATTTGTTCCCAACTGCTATTATCAAGGAAGTAGATTATGGAGATTTGCAAAAGTAAATAGAAATATCATTGGATAAAATGAAATTGTAAAGAGTACCAAATTTGATTACCAAAACCATATAACTTTTTGAAACATTCAATGTAAGATTTGGTGTGATGTTGGTGGGTAATACAAACTCTGGAAAAACTTCATGTTACAAATGTTTAGAAATGACTATGAGTGACTTAAGGAGACTCAATCACTAAGATTAAAGATATTAATTAGTTACATCCTATGTTCTTAATCCTAAGTGTATATCCATGGGAGAATTATATGGTGAAGTGAATGTATTTACTTAAGAATGGCAAGATGGATTGGCATCTTAAATCATGAGAGAGGCTGCTGCTGATGAAACCAATGAGAAGAAATGGGTAGTGTTTGATGGACCAGTTGATGCCTTGTGGATTGAAAATATGAATACAGTGCTAGATGATAACATGATGCTTTGTTTGGCTAATGGTCAACGTATTAAATTAAGAACCTAGATGAGAATGCTATTTGAAGTGCAAGACTTAAGAGTTGCATCTCCAGCCACTGTCAGTAGATGTGGTATGGTTTATTTGACACAAGAAGATTTGGGATGGCTACCTTATGTATAGTCTTGGGTTGAAACTGAATTCGGTCCCAAAGAGATTCAACTTAATGGAAATATACAAAATGTAGAAATTCTGTAACCAAATGAAAGGAAATATCTGTTATCCTTATTTGAAGAATATGTCAATGATGTCATTAACAAAATCAGAAAAACATTTAAGGAAACTATTGGTACTAATGATACTCAGTAAGTAGTTTCTTTATGTAATTTATTGGAAGCCTTTATCAATGATAAATATGGATTTAAAGCTACTATGACTGCAGATTCAAGAAAACGATTTATTTTGTATGCTTTCACATTTGGATGCATCTGGTCAGTTGGAGCTTCCATTGATGACAAACATCATGAAGACATGAGTGATTTCTTCCGTGATCGCTTCTAGAGTATCATATTCCCAAATGTCGACTAAGTGTATTCATATTACTTAGATACCTCTAATGAATTATCTTTCAAGCATTGGAATGATAAAATTGAAGAATTCACATATGATCCCACTGAACAGTTTTTTAATATGCTCGTACCAACAGTAGACACTGTTCGATATTCTTACATCATTGAACAGTTGTTATCTATTAATAAGAGAGTATATTTGACTGGTCCCACAGGAACTGGTAAGAGTCAAGTCTTGGCTAAACTATTGGTTTAAATATAAGAACCCAGATCTATAGATCCCGTTTATATTATATTTTCAGCCCAAACCACATCTATGGTTACATAAATGACTATTGAAAATAAACTAGAAAAAACAAGGAAAGCATTGTTGACAGCTAAACCAGGTCGTCAGACTTGTATATTTATTGATGATGTGAATATGCCACAATTGGAAGAATATGGAGCTTAACCGCCTATTGAATTACTCAGATTATTAGTAGATAAGGGATTCCTGTATGATAGAAAAGAACGCTTTTAGAAATTTATAGAGAATGTTACATTACTATGTTGCAGTGCTCCTCCTGGTGGTGGTCGTAATCCACTTACACCAAGATTCACTAGGCATTTCAATATGCTCTCATTGCCTCAACCTGCACAGTCTACTCTATTCAAAATCTTCTTTAGCATCCTCAATGGATTCTTTGGGTAAGGATTTACTGATCCTGTTAAAAAAATGTCAGATACTATCACTAATGCAACTATCGAAGTTTACATTCGAATTATTAAAGAAAAACTACCTATCCCATCCAAATTTCACTATACATTTAATTTAAGAGATGTCAGCAAAGTATTTTAAGGTGTATTGATGGTAAAGCCTGGATTAGTTAGAGAAGTTGATTAGGTAACTCGTTTATGGGTTCATGAAGTCAGCAGAGTGTTTTATGATAGATTGATTAATGATATTGATAGAGACTGGTTCAAAGAATTAGTTGGAGATCTTTTGGGAAGACAATTCAAATCTAGAATGACTAAAGATGATGTTTATGGAGCTAACAAAGTTCTTTATGGTGATATCCTAAAAATTGATTCAGATAATAAAGAATATGAAGAAATTAAGGATGTTGTTAAGTTAGTTAAGATTCTAGAGGATAAATTAGATGATTACAATACGGAATGCAATTCTAAGACAAGATTAGTGTTCTTTGGAGATGCTATTGATCACATTTTGAGAATTTCGAGAATACTCAGATAACCAAGAGGAAATGCAATGTTGATTGGTGTTGGAGGGTCAGGAAAACAATCATTGACTAGACTGTCAGCATTTATGTAGAATCAATAAATCTAGTCATTAGAGATAACTAAGAACTTTTCAGTTGATAACTTTTAGGAATTCTTAAAGAAGATATTCCAAATATCTGGGTTACAAGAGAAACCCTTATGTTTCTTATTTACTGATTCTTAAATTGTGTATGAAAGCTTTCTTGAAGATATCAACAATATTTTGAATTCAGGAGAAGTGCCAAATATTTGGAAACCTGAAGAAAAGTAACCGTTGCTTGAAGAGGTTAAGAAAATCAATGCAAGATTAAAGAGACCTGAAGATCCTGATACTCTTTATAAGACTTTTGTGGAGAGTGTTCGAAATCAATTGCATATTGTGTTGTGCATGTCCCCTGTAGGTGATGCACTAAGAGTTAGATGTCGTAAATTCCCTGCCATGGTTGATTGTTGTACTTTAGATTGGTTTTCAAGTTGGCCAGCAGAAGCTTTGGTATCAGTGGCTACCAAAATTTTAGAGCAAGAGACAGATTTCCCTCAAACTGATATTCCATAGAAACAACTGATTGATAGTTTAGCTTAGATGTGTATGGAGATTCATATATCAGCTAAGGATTGTGCAGATAAATTTGAAGCTGCACTTAAAAGGAAGGTTTACACTACTCCTAAAAGTTATTTAGATCTGATCGGATTATATTTAAGCAGTTTGAAGAGAAAAAGAGAGGAATTGCAATTAAAATAGAAGAGACTATCAGGTGGTTTAGTTAAGTTAAAGATGGCTAATGAACAAGTTGCAGGTTTACAGGTGACTCTGACTGATCTCAAACCTTAATTGGAGGAGTCTTCAATAAAGGTGTAATAGGCTCTTGAAAAAGTCAATTAGGATTCCTATCTTGCAAGTCAATAGGAGTAATTGGTTAAGGCTGAAACTGAGGAAGTGAATAAGAAGGCTTAAGATGTAAAGATAATAGCTGATGATGCTCAAGCTGATTTAGACGTTGTCATGCCTGAATTAGAAAAGGCTTTAAAGGCAGTTGAACAAATGGATGAGAATGAAATTAAAATCGTTAGAACTTATAACAATCCTCCTTAAGCAGTCGTCATGGTTCTTGAGGCTGTCTTGACGTTATTAGGTTCAAATACGAGTTGGGACTCTGCCAAAAAAGCTATGATTGATGTTGGATCATTCGTAAGTTCATTGAAGAACTATCCACGAGATAATATTCCAGATAAGATACTCAATAATTTGAGAAAAATCATTTCGAGGGAAGACTTTGTACCTGATTTAATTAGAACTAAAGCTAAGCCTGCTGCAGATATGGCGACATGGTGTTTGGCTATGAATACATACTCTATTGTAAGTAAGAAGGTAGAGCCAAAGAAGAGGAAAGTGGCTGAAATGATGGCAGTTTTGGATTCAGCCAATAAGGAATTGGCAGTTAAGGAAGCTGAACTTTAGAAGGTCAAATAGGCTGTTAAGAAATTATAACAAGAAACTGCAGAAATGGCATAAAAGAAGTAGGATCTTGAAAACTTGAAAGAATTAACTGAGGCTAGATTAGATAGAGCTTAAAAGTTGATTAGTCTTACAGCCTCTGAAGCTGAGAGATGGGCACGCACTGTGGAGGAATTGGGAGTAGCCATCATCAATTTAATTGGTGATGTCTTTTTGGCTGCAGCCTCCATTTCGTACAATGGACCTTTTACTGGGCCGTACAGAAATGAATTGATTACTCATTGGACTGAAAAGGTGAGGGAAGCATAGATTCCTGTATCTGAGAAATTCACATTGGTTGGTACTTTAGGAGATCCATTACAATTGAGAGATTGGACAATTCATAAGTTGCCAAGTGATTCTGTTTCTTAAGAGAATTCTATTCTTGCAACCCAAGGTTACAGATGGCCGTTGATGATTGATCCACAATAATAAGCAAATAATTGGATAAAGAGTTCATTCTAAGATCTTAAATTGAAAGTAGTTAAATTCTCAGATCCCAAATTCTAATCTGACATGAGATTGTGTATTACAAATGGATACCCTATTTTAATTCAAGATATTGAAGAAAATTTAGATCCTTCAATCGAAACTATACTGTAGAAATAATACAAGGAAGCTGATGGTCGTATTTTGATTAAGTTTGGTGAAGCCGATATAGATTTTGATAAAAATTTCAAGATGTTTATAACAACAAAGATTCCAAATCCAAAATACTTGCCTGAAGTATTCATTAAGGTCACAGTGATTAATTTCACAGTCACCTTTGAAGGTTTAGAAGAGTAATTATTGGCTGATGTTGTGAGATTAGAAAAGGAGGAGATTGAAATTCAAAAGGATGAGAATGTCATGAAATTAGCTTAATATCGTAAGATGTTGAGTGAATCTGAATCAATGATCTTAAAACAATTAGCTGAAGCAGATCCAGAAAAGATCTTAGATAATGTAGATTTGATTACCTCGTTATAATCTGCCAAAACCACAAGTGAAGAAAGCAATATCAAGATTGAAGAATCAGTAGTGTTAGAGAAAACTATAGAGAGAGTACGTAATGAATATAGATCAGTAGCAGTAAGAGGTTCAGTATTGTATTTCGTAATCAAAGATCTAAATCTCATTGATCCTATGTATCAATACTCCTTACAATACGTTTAAGTGATGTTCAATTTAGCTATGAGATAAGCATAGCCTGCTGAAGAATTATAATAAAGGTTAACTAATTTGATTGACAGCATAACACGAGTAATCTTCACTAATGTATGCAGAGGGTTGTTTGAGTAGCATAAACTTATTTATTCATTTTTGATTGCAGCTTAAATTAACAGAAAGGCAAACAAAATATCAGATGGTCTTTGGAGTTCATTTTTGAGAGGAGCAGGAGTCATTGAAAAAGCTAAATTGCCAGTTAATCCAGACAAGGTATTGATTGGAGAATCATCTTGGGAATTAGCTGCCTTTTTAGATCTTAATTTTGAAGTCTTTAAAGGTTTATGTTAACACATATAAAAGAACATGGCTGCATGGAAAACATACATATAAGCATCTGATCCTTTGGTTGTGAAATTAGAAGAACCTTATCAAAGCAAATTGGATGAATTTGAAAAAATGATGATTATTAAGATATTTAGAAGTGAAAAAATATTATTTGCACTCTCAAGTTATGTTGAATAAAACATTGGGAGATTTTATTTGGAATCTCCAAACACAACAATGGAAACATTATATAATGATTCTGATGTTACAACTCCCATTATATTTGTACTATCATAGGGAGCAGATCCAACATCACAGATCTTGAAATTTGCAAAGGAAAGAAACTTTGAAGATAACTTAGCTATTATCTCATTGGGTCAAGGTTAAGGAAAGATTGCAACCAAACAAATTAATGATGCCACTACTACAGGAGGTTGGGTTTTATTATAAAATTGTCATTTGGCAAGGACATTTATGCCAGATTTAGAAAAATTGGTGGATGATATTACAGCCAAGAAATAAACGATCAATCCTAGTTATAGGTTGTATTTAACTTCAATGCCTGCTTCCTATTTCCCAGTTAGCATACTTCAAAACGGAATCAAATTAACAACAGAACCACCTCGAGGTTTGAAGGCAAATCTGAAGAGATCTCTATAAGATATTTCCAATGAATTCCTGGATACTGCAGCTAAACCAGAGATCTATCATAAATTAGTTATGGGATTGTGCTATTTCCATGCCATTATTTAAGAACGAAAGAAATTTGGTCCATTGGGATGGAATATCAAATATGAATTTAATGATAGTGATCTTGATACTTCAAAGACAGTCATTAAGATGCTTTTAGGTGAAAATGACACTGTGCCTTGGGATGCCATGTTGTATGTCAGTGGTAATATCAACTATGGTGGTAGAGTAACTGATGATTGGGATAGAAGATGTTTGATGACAATATTGAGAAAATTCATATGTAATGAAGTCTTGGATGATAACTATGTCTTTTGTGAAAATAATACATACAGAATACCTGAGAAAAACGTTGTTGAAGAGTATATTAAATACGTCGAATCTTTACCTATGACTGATGATCCTGCAGTTTTTGGTATGCATGAAAATGCTAATATTACATTCTAATAAAGAGAAAGTGACTCAATTCTAGAAACCATCTTATCCATATAGCCAAGGGAAGGTGGAGGATCATCAGAAAAAACACCTGATTAAATAGTATTGGAGCTCGTCAAAAGTATTTAAGATGATCTCCCTCCTCTTTTAAACAAAGAAGAATCTAATAAAGAATTATGGTAAATTAATCCAGAGAAAAATCTGATTCCATCCTTGTCTACAGTTCTATTGTAAGAATTAGAGCGGTTCAACATTTTACTATCAACTATGGGTAGAACACTGTAAGGATTGGCTTAAGCTATTGAAGGTATAGTGGTAATGAGTTAAGAATTGGATAGCATGTATTATTCACTTATGAACAACGAAGTTCCAAAGGTGTGGAATAAAGTTGGATATTTGTCATTAAAAGGTTTGGCATCATGGATTAGAGACTTGAAAGAAAGAGTTAAGTTCATGTCAGAATGGCTTGTTACAGGAGGACCTAATTGTTTCTGGATATCCGGGTTCTTCTATCCCTAAGGATTTTTAACTGGTTGTCTATAAACTCATGCTCGTAAGACAGCCATAGCTATTGACAACCTTGTTTTCTCATTTAAAGTATAAGAATTTGAGAAAGAATAATGTTCAATCAAACCAGTTGATGGAGTGTTTATCTATGGTCTATTCTTGGAAGGAGCTCAATGGAAGAAGAAATGCCTGGCTGATCTTAACTTTGTAATATATTATTGTTTATATTTAGGGTCAAATGAATATGTTGATGCCAGTTATCCACTTCCTACCTATACAATAGGACAAATATTAATAGAGATCTGATAATTATAGGTATCAATTTTGATCAATTTATTAGTTGTCCTGTTTACAAAACATAAACTAGAGCTGGTGTGTTATCCACTACAGGACAAAGTACAAATTACGTTTTAGCTGTGGTAATTATTTATCATTATGTATAATCTTAGGATTTACCAACCTTAGATTAACCTCCTGATTATTGGACATTAAGAGGAACAGCACTTATTTGTGCACTTAAAGAATGATTTATAATTGAATAAGATAACTTTAAATTTATTTATTATCAATAACTCGAAATAAGTAAAATATAAAGATTAAATCACATAGGCAAGATAGGCTTGTTTTCCTACTTCTTTAAAGATTTTTCTTTAAGCTTTTTTTTGTCTTAAACTACAACCTTTTTTCCTAGTTTCCACTGCCCCTTCTCATGAGAATTGTTTGGATATATTATTATTCCCTATCCATGCATCAATCCCTTTTTCCACATTCCCTTATAAATCTTTCCATCTGGATAATAATATTCTCCATATCCATCCCTTACATTATTCACATAATTCCCTATGTATTTCTTGCCTCCTGGCCATATAAATACGCCATGACCATGCATCATTCCATTACACCACTTCCCTTCAAATTTTCTACCATCCTGCCAAATTACTATTCCCTCATCTTTGGCCTTTCCATTCATCCATTCTCCTTCAAATACAAACTATTCCTTATTGTTGAATAGCTTTCCCTGTCCATTTCGTTAATTTTTATAAAATTGACCGATAAAAACCGATCCATCAGGCATCTATTCTTTTCCGATACCGTTTTTTTGTCCATTTTCCCATTCGCCTTCATACACAACTTATTCATTATTAAGATAAAATCCATCCCCACTAAATTATCCATTTTTGAACTCTCCAATGTAGATATTCCCATCATTACTAATCATCCTTCCATCGCCGTGATAAACATCATTCAACCAATACCCTTCATAAATAAAATCGTCGCAAATCAAAAATCCAAAGCCATTTCTCTTTTATTAAAACCATTCTCCATAATAAATCAAGTTCTCTTATAGTTCAAATGGTTTGAAGTTGAAATTAGTCACTTTGTAGGGTCCCAACTTCTTCCACAATCCAGCAATAATTCGATTTTGAATCAGAATTTAAGTACCCGGGTAAGGCTTGGCTTAAGTATTAGATGGGTGATGGCTAGAGGTTTGACACTCCAGATCATCTAAAACAGCCACTATTATAGGATCATGCTCTTATATCTGTATGAATCTATCATTTCTCAATTTGTTTCTGCATCCATTCACATCCATTGCATGTTCATCATGAATTTCTAAGTTTACATCTAAAGTTGACCCCACTCCATGTTCTTTTGCTTAGATTTGAACATTATTCTTTAGAACTGTTGACTGATCTTATTGAGCAAAAATTTAATTTTCAAAGTCTCCCTTGTAGAAGGTCATTTAGAGCTATTGAAGTTGCTCCTCTTTTACTTTAGGAACTTCATTTCTCATTTATTATTTCTTAATTTATGATTTAATTTAGGCATTCTAACTTTATGAGTTGGATTACTCAAGTTATTGAATCAGATCCTATGACTTCTCTTTTTTTTGATTTATTTATGGAACATCATTTGAATCCTTAGTTATTTTCTATGAGTCACTTTTTTCTTTTGAATTATTCGTTCCCATTAATGTAGTTGTAAATTTAATATAATAATATTTCTAATAAATACAACTTAATTATTGTTGTCATTATCTTCAGTTTTTTTATTTCCCACTATCCTACACAATTAACTAAGGATTCAAACAATGAAATTTTTATTCCTTATCACTGCAATCAAATTGAGGGGCAAAAATTAGTCCCTCATTATGGATTTGAATGACTTCCTCTATAGAATAAGTGATCTAAGACCAATTTCAAATTGGATAAACCTGGAATTAAAAAAAAGGAATTTAGGGTTGAAACTCGAGTTGGCTGCTAAAAAAGTGTTAATTATAATTGGGAATTTTAATTAAAACTCACTGAAGATATTATGATTTAGTTAGTTTTTATTTCAATTAAAATAACTATTATAATTTCGATAAAATACATCATTTGCCAAATATGGGCTCTCTAAATAAGATGCAAATCTTGATATCTTAAGTTGATCAATCAACTACTTTAAAATTAGATGAATGGGAATTAATCGAAACAGATTTGAACGAAGAAGCTGTGATAAGGGATGAGAACTCTGCTATATCCTTGATAGGATAATACAAATTTGTCATAGGCATTTCTAAGCCTTTGGAAATAAGAGTAGGTCGAAATTCAATATAAAAAAGTAAAATCACTATCAAAGGCCTTTTGGGAATATAGGCCATATTCATTAGGTCTCAATGATTTTTATTTATATTTGTTATTGAATTTATGCTATTATTGCTTTATGTTTGAATACACTTCTGACACATAGTCTGAAAAATAATAAAATAAATTGTCAAAGGAAGATGGTCATTTTTAAGTAGGGCTTCAGCTAATTCTTATCAATTGTAACAAGTTTAAAGAAGGACTAATTGATTCATATCAGGGTGCTCTGAAAGACCTGGAAAATATTGAGACTTTTCGTCATAAAATACAAGAATTTTTGAATAAGTAAATTAAGAAAGGCATTGACGTCCAGAGATTCATGTTGTAGCATTTAATTATCTCGTAATCTTAAAGGGTCTTTTATGTTGATAATACAATTAGAAAAAAGAACTTGTTAAACTAAAAGAATTTTCTTAACAATTAATATTAATAAAAGGGCATTAATTATATTACATTTATGATTTGAAAAATTATCTCTTATTTAATAATTAAAAGTTGACAAAAGAGAGATTATTAATAAATAGTCGTTAACAAAACTAAGTCTATGATATCAGATACTTTAATGAATCTAAAGATGAGTTATATTATTCATTTTATAGAATCATCCTAAGGATATATTAAAATGATTTTAAGTTTTAAGTCAGTATTTATAGATGAGAAGAGTTTATGAATGGATAAATATATTCAAAATATTATAAATGATATTTCAAGGTTTGACCATATTTTTCTTCCATTCAGTAAGAAAAATATACAGCAGATTCAACATTATAATGCCCAGACATCCCAAGCCTACCAAGTACAGATAAAATAGTATCTAATTGGTTGTGATAATATCTCATCCACCAAAGAGTCAGAAGATAAATGCAAGCGAAATCATTTTAAAAAAATTAATTGCTCATAAATCATACGTTGACTTTGAACCACAACATTAAATATTCCAGGCTAGGCATCACAATCCAAATCTGACATGGCAAAGCTCTCTTCTTTAAATGTGATAACAATGAAGGTCTTCAGTTAGAAGTAGATTATTGATAAGATCTATCCTGTAATATCCTGGTCTCCAGTGAATAATTAATATTAGATAAGCCCGCAAAGGCAGAATAGGCTGAAACATTCATATTCTATATTAAATTCATATAATTTTATAAACACTGAAACAACTAGGAAGAGTTTTACATATAATTCACAGATAAACAAATACTCCATCTAATGCTTAGAAATGAGGTTCCAGCAAAACAATTTAGGTGCATGAATCCATTTACTATAGAGAGTAAATTGACACCTGCAATAACTAAGTATGGGATTTGAAAGTTTTCTAAGTCTTGCATAAAAGATAGAAAAACACAATCATCTAAGGGAAATTGAAGAAGAATGCATCAATCATTCTACATAATGTCATCACATATTCAATGGTACCATCTTTCTTATTTTATCGATAGATATAATAAATCCAATAGCAGACATCTAAATTACTTAGAACAAAGAATGTTATCTTAAACAATCTCCATCCCTTTTTGAAGAAACTATCCAAAAATTGTAATTCATCAAGCCATTCGTCATTAAGAAAATAGATTAGTAAACCTTTCAAAAGTTGAACAAATAGAAATAAGCCCTAATAGAATGTAGTAGCAAATAAGTAGGAGTTAAGTATTTCTAGATAAATTTATCTATCTATCTGCATAATGCATCCTTCATTGTTAATTTCTGTATTTTCCTCGGCTTGTCTCCCACAAGAACACCCATTAATTTTTGTTAGAAATCCTTCTTCAGCCTCAGGGATAACTTGGATAGGTTATTTTTCAGATTCAAATGGTTTAAGTTCATTTTCTTTTTCTGGATTGTAGTTTTATTCGTAATTCTTAAGTTATTCTTGATTTTATTCATTTCCACTAATTTGTTAAAGATTATCCTACTTAATTTATTTGTTTGGTTACTTATTATTATTAGTCATTTTATTGAAATTGAATTTCTTGATTACCATTGTTAACTGATTAGATATTAAATAATATAAATGTATATACAAAAAGAAGATATAAAATATAAATTTATTTCATTAAATCCTATTTCAAAATGACTATCTTGTCATACGAAATCCTCTTAACTTTGGCTGTCTTCATCCTCTACTTCCTATATTATAGGAAATTCAAATTCTTTACAATCGTTGAGAAATTAGAACAACACAACATTAGAAACAAATTGCCCAGAGGAAAATGCCCTCCTTCTTATCCAAATGGTTGGTATCGTCTATGTAGATCTGGAGAGTTGAAATCAGGGTATATTATCAAGTAATAGTTAGAGAAGTGAAAGAAATCAAATTATGTGGAAGACACATTGCATACTACAGAGGAACAGATAAAACTGTGTATGCTGTAGCTGCTTATTGTCCACACATGGGTGCTAATTTAGGAATCGGAGGTTAAGTAAAATTCAGATCCTGCATAGAGTAATTAATTTAGATCATAATTAGATGTCCATTCCATGGATGGGCCTTTGATGGTAAAAGTGGTCTCTGTGTAAATTCTGAGAAATTGGATCCAAAAGTAGTTTCAACTTATTGTTATCCCGATATTGAGAGAGTGACCAAAAACTAGAAGGGAGAGTACCTATAGAAAATATCTGATGGAGAAGTTAAAATTAAAACTTATCTTGTCAAAGAACTCAAAGGAATTGTATATATATGGCTACATTCCAAAGAATCGAAACCGTAAATATATTTGTTATTAATTTAGATGGTACGATCTAGTGGTTGAATAAAGTGATCACCTTACTTTGAGAGCTGAGAGTGTAAATTATGTGAATTGTCACATTCAAGAAATACCTGAGAATGGTGCTGATATGAAACATTTTGATTATGTTCATTATTCTGCAATGGATATCATCCCCTCGTGGTTGGTACAACTAAGATGGGAGATGAGAACTAAAAATGCCAAAGATCCAGATTTCTTAGAGAAAATGACTCATCCTGTTGAAAAGTGTAGAACTTATTAAAAAACCATATTTGATCAATATCTTGTCAACAAAGAACTCATTCCATATTTGAATGTTTTGTTGTTAGATGGATATGTCATTTTGTTTAATAAATATAAATTCCACGCAGTTTGGGCAACTGGATTCCAAATGGGTCCAGCAACAGTCGCATTATATGTTAAGAGTGCCATCTTTGAGGTACTATTTAAGTAGGCAATTCAACCTGTGGAAAAATTTACATAAAAAGTCTATCACACTGTATTTACTAATAATTACTTACCTTATTGGTTATCGGCTTATCTTCTTCATGCTGAATTAAGATAGGTGATCTTTGATGTCAAATTATGGAACGCTAAGATATTTTCAGAAACCCTAAGGTATAATATGAAAACCCAGGCTGATCAAGCAATGTTAAATTGGAGATAATGGTATTCCCAATTTTATGAAGGCTCTGCTGAATTTGAAAAGGGCTTAGATGTATTGGAATGGTGATTTGGTTTGTATAAACATAATAATATTATAAATTTAATTCAACACTTATTTTATTTCATTTATGAAATAACACATTATCAAATTAAATTCCTATACCGCTTCTTTTAATTTTAAATTTCTTATGATTATTATAATAAGAGGAATAAGACCTCCATTCTTTCACTCTTGTTACTCTCAAGTCCTTTAAAACTTAAATACTATATTTATAATTTCTTCTAAAATGTATGCTTCAGATCTAGACCACTATCTTCAAAGCATGTTGTTTGCAACTGAATAAAGACATCCAGATTAAATACTTGATTTTTATTTTGTAATTCTAATAATAGAAATTAATAATAAACTCATATTAAGAATTTCGGAATTTCATGAGAACATTTTAAATTCTTTTTAATTCAATTTTCATTTATTTAATGTACAAATTATTACTCGCAACTGTGGTATTGCTATTCTTTTTGGTATTGGACAATCTTTATGGAAGCTTAACTTACAATATAAGCAATGAAATTACTAAGTTTCTTCAAATATAGTTTGAGTATGGAAAAGAAACTGGATATTTCGGTAAAGTCTTAAAACTATTTTAGAATACATACTCTTGGTATTCTCAACCGCAGGAGATGCAGAATGCACTAATATTTTGACTCTTTTGATATGGATCAAAGCTTAAAACAAAATTTAGATATTCAAGCTTATAACCATGAATGCAATAGCTGCTGCATTTGGGAACTTAATCAAGATGATTATGACTCAACCAAGGCCATTTTACTTAGACCCATAAATCAAACTAGATTTTTGCTACACTGGGTTTGGTGATCCGAGTGGACACTCCCTCAGGTCATTTGTCTTCTATACAATACTGATTGAAACCATTGTATTGAAAAAATACAACACTTAAGAGAATTGCTCCCTAATTGAATCAGATAAGCTAGTATAGGATGAAAAAGAAATCTCAAAGTATTTTCTTTTATTAATTCTTAGTTCTGAATTATATAAATAGATTTATTCAAATCAATATTTCTCCTACTCAAAGTACAAGTTTTTCATAGCAATCTTTGCATTCCTAATTGGAATTGGTAGACTATATTTTGGAGTTCACTTCTTGAATCAAATCATAATAGGTTGGGTGATAGGAGGATATATTATCTATGTGTATTATTATTGTGGCTTGGAGAAGATGATAGAATAAGCTTTCAGAAACTCTTTATTTTTGAATTCATACAGATACATGAAAATGCTTTTAGTCTCTTTTTTGATTTTTACCTTTGCTTATCTCTTGTATTTTGAAAGACATTATGAATAATCTTTGATTGAGTTAAAATAATAATGGAAACAAAATATATTGAAGTAGCCACAATGTACAGATGGAGGAGGGTACAATCCGAAAAATAAATTTGAAACTCATGATATCTCTGGAATCTCAATATTGTTCTTCCCATGTTATTTGTTGGCCTTCTATTCCAAATAATAAACATTGCTAAAGGTTGAATCGGATTAAATCTTAAATCAAATTGGCTAAAATATTTAATACCTGCTTACATACATCATCGTCTATTGGATTTAAATTTTTGAAGAATAAACATCCACCAAAATTGCTGGAAATTCTGAAACTAAGAAATTGTTATGCAAAATATTTTTCACTCAATTTCATTATTTAGAAATATCCATCTTATTTGTAATGATAATTCCGCTGAGTCTAAGATTAGTGACATCCTTCTTTAAAAGATAATAATTTAGTAAAATTAGCTAAATTGACTAATCTGAAATGGAGATGGTGTGATTTTTTTGAATATATATTTAATTGTACTCTAAACTTAACTTAAAATAAATTCAAATTATATATCTAAATAAAATCATAACTCAATTTTTAGCAGCCTCTAAAATGTTTATCATTTAATTCTTTTTGTCATCAAAATTAAACTAATTTATTAATAATTCATTACTGTTGTTGACTTCTCAATGTTTATAAAAGTTAATAGGAAATAGGCTTTCAACAATGTCAATTGCACCTTTCCAGTTCTATCTCTATTCAATTCATTTATCTTTTTATATATCAAATCAACAAAGATTGTAAATGTAGCCTCAGCTTCCTTATTAAATTTCAATAATGTTAGCAATCTATTCAGACAACTTAGCATCTACTTCACAATTAAACCATTTTCCTTTTAAAATACAAATATATATAATTACAATTGAATCGGCAATATTGAGTTTTGCAATTGCTCCTGCCTATTCTCCTAATTTAACATACAATTACTGTACTAGTTCCAATACAGTCAAACTAAATTAAGAATCCTTGTTAAATAAAGCATCATTTGATTTCACATTTTCAAAATGATATGGCAATCTTTCTTGCACTTATGCACATAAGTATTATATGCAATTAACATATATGACTATTGAATAAATCCCTCCATTCTTTTGATTCCATTTCAACTACTCAATTGCCTTCAATAAACCTTGGAAAATGTTCAAGTAACCTGCTGAAGGGTCATCAGGGACTAATATTATAAATGAAATCAAATCCAAGATATATGGAGTAACGACTTCATCAATCGGTCGCCCATTATGAGTTTCAGGCAATTCAAGCAGTGTTTCAATTGCAGTTTTAACCACTGCTTCACTTTGAGATAATAAATTCAATGATAAGCCCACTTGAGCCACTTAAATATATTTTCTCAACTTTGATACTGGATTATCAATTGTAGGAATAGTAATAAAACTATAAGCAATACAGGCTTAATAAAAGGAAATTATTTTTTTTTGAGTTTTTCCTTTGGATAATCGTTTCCCTTTAAAAATCAAATCTAAGGCTCTATCTATCAAAATTTCAGATAGACCACTTATATTTCCAAACTAACCTCTCATTTCAGCATATAGATTCAATGTTTGTTCTAAATCTTTGCCAAAATCAATCTTTTGCAATAGTTAATTGATTATTTTTGCCAAACTTTTTTATTCATCCTTGGTAATTGATTTCTTGTTATTCAAATTTGCTGTCAATTTTACAATTGAATGCACGGCCATAGGGTCAGTGATTTTTTCTTTCTGATCCCTATTTATTATCATTGAAAGCAAATCATTGCAAACAAGTTTTTTCATGTCTTCAGGGAAAAATTAAATACATGTAATAAATGTGTCAATTTAAAGGATTTCTGAAATATCCTAAGAATCTTAAAATATTTTAATAATAAATTAATGCAATTTGATAAAAGTATCCCTACTTTAATTGGTATTCACTTGATCCTTCTCCACCATGCTAAATAAATCATTAAATCTTTGTAAAATCAAGAAAAAGAATTAATTTTTCTGATATCCCTAAAAGGATCTAAAAATCAATTCAATTAATGATGCCAAGATCTCTAAAAAGAGTGAAAATGACTTTATTTATAAAATGTCCTATAGAACATACTCACATATCTCAGCACCAGCAGCTACATTGGTTAATCCCTTTGCTATTTTAGGTAAAAAACAAGCATATAATTAATATTTGTTATCCACAGGATAAGCTTACATTATTGAAAATAACTCTAAAGCTAGTGTACTTATATGCACAGCCTAAAATTATTCAATCATCTTTTTCAAAACAAAATGGTTTTATGTGCTCTATCTAAAATGTTCAAAAATATCCTTGAATTCTCTCTAAATTGAATTTAATTAAATTAGTTACTTCTGTACAATTTTGTGAATATTGTCTGAATGTCTAAATTAAATATGGCTCAAATAGTCTTAGATATTGGTCTCCTTGAACCTCTAATTTACCAAATTTAGTTTTTTGATTCATATAAATAAAGAAATCTTTTAATGTGGATATGAGATAATCCTTCTCCCCTGAGAACAATTCTGCTCCTATTCTAAATAGATAAAGTGCAAAGTACAAAGCCTAATTGAATAAAAGAACTAAATACATTAATATAATCACCAATTGCCCTGACTTATTTAATAAGTCTTTGAAATATTGGTTTAATTTAACTTTAATCAATAAAATAATAAACCTTCAACAAAGTGGCTTCTACATACAATCGAGGCAATAATTCTCTTATAGAACCTATTTTATTTATCCAATTTCTTCCTATCTCTGAGGCTGTTTCAGAGATGTTGGATCCAACTACACTTTACAAACTGATTTCAGCTATCTTTTGATCTGTATATTGTGGATAACTTAATTTCAGCAATCTCTCAATTACGTATTTACCAAAGGTTTCCAAAATGTCAATAATGTAAACATATTTGACTGGAGCAAAGAGAGGTTTATCATTATCAATTAGCAATTTGCAAGATTAGATTGCTAATTGTAATGATGCCACTTTGTCTCCATTAATCCATTGTCTCTTTAAATCTCTTCTGATATCCAACACTTTTTGAATGTAGGTCTTTTATAAAATCATTTTTGAAGCCCCTTACTTTGGAGCCTGTGTCTAATATTCAATTTTGCTGTCTCCACTATATGCTGATTTAGCTTATCCATCAAATTAATTCATAGTTTGAACATTGGCTCCAAAAGGCTAGCATATAATATTTTCATACATTCGGCACTGGTTGCTCTAAATCATATGTTTTAATTTGAAATATGTTTTAAAAGTCTTCTCTTATTTCTGACCAATAAATTGAGAATTCTCCTGTTGCTTTTAATTATTTCTCTTCTGCATCTATTTCAAGTTTGCCTTCCTATTATTATTATTATTATTATGGCTTATTTGGTTCAACGCTCTTAGCCTAGGTTTGTGGTTATGACTATTCTATTTTTTGAGTTGGTTATGCTGAAGGTCTAGCCAATGGATCTACAGTTTGTGGTCGGCTTAATGGATTTGTTTAAGCCTTTTAAGTAGCTGCTCTTGATAAAGGATCAACGAAATTTCCTTTTGTTCTTATTTGCACATTCGCTTTTCTGCCTCTCTATATTGTGACTTTTGGTCTGTCTAATCTCAAAGGATTGTCTGTTGTTTGCTATAATTAAATGACTCTGGTTTTATAAATAAATTCGTAATCCTTCTCCTTAAAAACTCTAGTGGAGTTCTAATAAATAAATACATTTGTGACGCCATTCTGTATGAATTTTTATTGAATAAATTATAATAAATATTTCACAATTACTTATAACTCTCAATCTAAAATGTTAAATCTTGAATAGCATTGGCAGCCACTCTCAAAAGCTTTAAGTATTTGTCTGAGTAATTCCTGATGGTTTTATTCTGATTAAAAATCAATAAAGTGAAACAAATTTTCGATATTTAGGTGAAAAAATTGATCTTTTGTCTATAGAATTAAGATATAGAATAAACCTCTTAATTCTCTCAATTTAATTTGGTTCTTCCTACACATCCTCAATCAAGCCATCATATATTGCTTCTATTATATTGGCCTCTACAAAGTCTGATTAGCTGAAGACTTGAGTATTTTTGAGACTATGCATTAAATAGTGCTTCTTATTTTAAACAGAAATGTGTAGTAATGAACTTAATATGATCAACCTTCTGAGAGGTGTAGCATCCGACACTTCAGAGCACTTAACATAACTAAGTAATAATTACAAAATCTATTAATTTCTAACTCCATTTAAGAATGGATTCATAAGCATTAGCATTAGGAACCCTGTAATTATTCTTATCAGCCTATATCTCTAATGCAATTAACCAAAGCAATTTATTCTAAGTATTTGATTTCAATAATTCAGTTATGGTTTGATCATTTTAAAATTATCCATCATTCCAAATAGAATTAACATGGATTAGGAAACACTTAAAAAGTCCTTAAATACTCTCTCCATTTAGTAGAGAGTCAAGGTCTTGCTTTTCAATGCTTTATTGATTCTAGTATTAAGAAAAATCAATACATTCTTCTCAACTACATCTGAAAAAATGGTGTAAAATGTCTCAGAATAAGCTTTAATTAGATCTTTTAGTTTGTGATACTCTTGAGATTTTATGGATTCGATTTCACTCATCAAAAAGGAAGAATAATCCTTAAATACTATCTAATTTGGGTGATAATCTGGTCGATAATATTTCATGATAAAACTTTCAATGACATCCTGAACATTTGTGTTCTTAATCTATTCATTAAATTTCTCAATTTCTTAAAATTGTTATTTTTGCATTGAAAGCTCCATTAAGAATACTTTTAATAAAGTATCTTTATGTACTAATAACTTTGTTTACTCAAATTCTTCCATCTAAAACATATAACTCTCCATTTTTGCTTTAAAGACATCCAAAAATTCATTGTATGCAATAGTTTATAATTAATATTATTTCTTTAATTTAGAGCATTCAATTTATACATATTAAGTTCTAAATTATAATAAAAAATACTTGCAAATTTATTTGATAGTCTGATCTTCTGGTACATCAATACTATATTGGTAAACCATATCTAAAATTGCAGATTACTCATAGTCTTTCATTTTTAATTTGTAATCCATTCTTGCGGCCATTACTTACCCACTTTTTTCCTTTAAGAACTCTTCCAATTATTTTATATCATCTATTATTTTAATGGAAATCTAATTCTGCTAATTCAGTGTCTCCCTAACCTAGCTAACAACTTCTGTTCTAATTAACTCAACAAAATTGTCAATCCAAGTAATTTTATTCTTCAATTAATTCATTAGCTACTCTTTCATTAAAATCAAACTAAGTAAATTTAGAATTTCTTTACTTTGACTTCTCAATTTATTATTCTAATTTGCTTAGAGCTTTGGCATAATTTTCCTCAACAGCAGCTCTCTCCAACATTATTGCTAAATATTCCTCCAATCCCCTCTTACTATCTACGTTTTAATTCATTATTTTATCTGATTATCCCTATAGAGATATCAAAATTTAGGAATACAAGTAGATGTGGATAATAAGCAAGTTTCTCTCTATCATTCATCAATAATTTAATAATATAGATTTTATAAGAGAATATAAAGTTGTGGAATAACAAAATTGGTTTGAGAACTCAATATTCCTTCTTCACTTCGTAAAATTCCTTTTGCTATCTTTATTGGTACTTCTTATATCCAGTAAATTCACTTAAATCATTCTCCAAACGATCTAAATTGATATAATATTTATTACTATAATATGGTTATTTCCTATTATTTTATTTGTTGTGATACTTGTTGTACTCATAGTTATTTCTTCTCTTTTATTACTAATAATAAGTTTAAATATATTAATACATATCCATTTTATTGATGTTCATGCTTAACGTGTTATTTCTCCTCATAAAGCTCTACTTGATGTGTTTTTTTATTATTTCTTTCCACTGAATTTTCTTTATTGGACTCTGTTTCTCTTGAAAATTGCCTCTAATTGGTCTACGATTCAAACTAATCAGCATTTTGGGATTGAGTGTTTTCAGAATCTACTTCAATTCTAATTATTTCAATAGTTTTTCTGTTTTCACCAAAATTTGGATTTTCATAACCTTCTTGCATTGAACCTTATTGTTGAGGATTCAAATTAGGTACAAATGAAAACAATGATTATTATTCTTGCATAGGAGCATAGTTTAATTCTATTTTTTCATTTGATCTAATTTGATTTAATCTTTAATTTACAATGTCAGAGGAAGAACAATCTTATTATTATTATTATTAATAGATTTTCTATTATTAGTATTATTAGTATTGGTTCTATTAGGGTTAGTGATGATGTGAAAATTATTAATGCTCCATTTGCATATCTTCATAGTTTCTGGCATTATTCATCCTGTACTCTTAAAATTATTATTGCTTTGATTGAACAAGATTGAGGAATCTGTTAAAGAAATCCACTTCCTCCATTTTGGCATTTTGTATTGCAAACTTAAAAATTCATATAATAATGTTACTGTGGCTTTGCATGATTATATTTTACTAAAACCTCTCTGTGCTTCATCCTCATTATCAAAAACAATGAACAATTTCGTAAAATCTTTGTTTGCTATGTACTCTGCTTCCAAGACTTCACACTCCTTTCCAAGATCTAATTCTAGTAAAAATTTCTTAAATTCATCCACTTGATTCTTTTTGATCAAAATTTACACTTATTTTCTCTCCTTTGCAAAGATGGGTCTAATGGCATTGAAAGATTAATCGAAAATCCAATTGCTGTAGTTATATTGGATCAAAATCTAAAAAGTTAATTTTGAAATTAATACATTAGCTAGAGTTTCTATCCCATATGGGTAATCTAGCAATTGTCTAAAGCTTTTCTCCTTAGCCAAACTCTGAAGCCTTATACAACCTGTGTTGGGATCAAATTTCCTCAATAGAAAATAGTTTCTGGTTAAGGATTAAAAACTTAGAATACGTCTCAACTACAATAAAATGATTAACTTACTTATTAGAGAATACTCTCATCAACAGTCTGTTATTACATGATATTTTATTTTGAATTCAAAATAATTAATGAAATTGTTTATACAATTATATTAGCAAAGAACAAAGAAAATTTAAATGTTAGAATTCACTGCGATTATTTTATCCCTCAGAAACATATTTCAATTTCTGAATGGAATGCTAAAACATAATAATCTTATGGAGATATTGATCTAATTTGAATATATATATAAATCAAATCATATTTTCTACAAGGCTGTTTATTCTTTCTTCTCTGTAACCCCATTCTCCTTGTTTTGTCAAAGGCTTTTTAATTTTACCACTCTTCAATTGTCCTTCAGGATGATTTAATTTTAATGGCCTAATGATTATTTAGATAAAATACACTAAGAATTTGGTAACAAAGTCGAAATTCTCTGACGCATTTGCAATTGTATTCACAATATCCTCAACGCAAATAATGTCCTTCTCACTCATATACTCTTCAATGATTTCATTGGATTTCAATGCAATAATTTCTTTATCTTTCATGATGTGTCCTCTCTTGACAATTAAATCATTGATAATTTATCGTGTTGGCAATCTAAATAGATTTGGAATCATTACCCATAAGTAATGTAATTCTCAACCAATTTCAGCTTCTTCCAAATATCTACAGTAGTCTTCACAAAAACAGCTGTGTTAACCTTATTTAATCTGAATTCCTTCAGGATTTTTTGTTGTCTGTTGGAGATATCTTTAACACTAAAATAATCTAGCAAAAATTGTATACCCTCTAATTCTCACCACAAGTAATGTTTTATTAATTGGAATAGATTTTGCATCAACTGTTTCTAAATTTTGTTTGCGTTCCTAAAGAAGATAAAGATAGAGAGTACTTTTCTTTTGAAATAAGAATATGCTGTTTATTATTTACGATATTTATCCACAAATTTTTCAGGATGAACAAAATCCTTAGTCTTTTATTTTTTTTTCTGAATTCTCTCCTTAATTTAACGTGCTCTCTCCTCATTTAGACTTGATTGATGCTTTCTCTTTTTCATTATGTCTGTGAGAACATATTTCTTCCTTAAAATGATAACCAAATATTATACTGTGCTTGTGGTATATTATCCATCAACGATTAATTTAAATAAAATTAAAATATCAATGAAACTCAAATCAACCCACAGAATTATTACCATTTGGAATTTGAAATAATGATAAATTCAAATACTTCGAGATTATGGATGTGATATATTGTAGAATATTACAAATCCTAAAGAGATGATATTAAATATGGAAACATTTAAATTGATCATTTTGGCTAAATTAAATTAGCTGATTTTGAGTTATCCTCTTAATTAGCATATTATGGCTGGCTTTGGCACAAATTTAGGAAGACTTTTTAGAAGTCACTAGAAGTTTGTATTACAATTAACATAGGGAAAATATTGATATGTTTTCCTTAAGTATAATAATAATTGAATTGACAGAGGGTGACCTACTTGATACGAATATCCATCCAATAAGGTAATTAGTTTTGCTGCTATTAAAATAATCCTCTTAACTTATAGATTGATCAAAGTAATTGGTCAGAGAATTTAATTAAATTGTTAAAGAAGCTATTTTTTTTAATTTTTTTGAATGGCATTAGAGATCTATAGTAAGATGTGTACTTTTCTAAAAGATTGTAATAAAAGAGAATATATTTAAAAATTATTCTAAAATTCAAATAGCAAGTCAAATCATATAAATAAACAAGGATAGATAATAATTTTACTTCCCCTTAGAATTCCAAAGAGTTCAATTGAATACCATAATTTAATAAAAAGGGAGTAAACTTATACTGATGATCACCAACACAGAAGACAATTAATATCGAGATCTATGGGAAATCTATCAATAAAATTGTAGACACTAAATTAAATTAATTCAGGGTATCGCAAATAATAAATAACAGTATCTCCTATCTTTAATAAGAAATAAATTAAAGATAAATTTAATTAGTTATATTAAGAGATGCAACTATTATAGATTGGAGCAAGAAAAGTTCAAAATAGAATATGAGTTAAAATAAACTAAGATTTACTTGATCTAATTTACAGCATCACAATATTTAAATTTACAAAAAATTATAATTTCACATTCAGAATAGAGTTCCGCAATTTAGATAATAGTTTAAAACTAAAAACTACGCAATCAAAAGGAGAAATGGATTTTGTTTCTTTCAAGTTTTTTGGTATTTTTATCATTAAAAAGTTGATGATAATCATGAATTATGGTATTGAGTATAAATAATTGATATTGTATGTAAATTATTATTCTGGTCACAAATTAATTTTAATAACCAAAATGCCTAGAAAAACAAAAGCTCGTTCTCGTTTAGATAAATATTACAACCTTGCTAAGGATCAAGGATATAGATCAAGAGCAGCGTTTAAATTGTTCTAATTAAATCGCAAATACAATTTTCTCAATAATGCAAGAACAGTCGTAGATTTATGTGCAGCCCCAGGAGGATGGATGCAAGTGTGTGCTCAAATTATGCCTTCAAGTTCAACCATAATTGGTTTGGACTTGGTTCACATCAAACCAATTCCAGGATGCAAAGCATTCACCTAGGACATTACAACACCATAATGTGTTTAATTGCTTAAAAAGGAAATACCATAAAAAGCAGATGTATTCTTACATGATGGTGCTCCTAATGTGGGAGCCAGTTGGGCTAAAGATGCTTATAACTAAAATGATCTGGTCTTATCAGCCTTGAGATTGGCATCTTAATTTTTAAAGAAGGGAGGAGTGTTTGTAACTAAAGTCTTTAGATCAACAGATTACAATTCCTTAATGTGGGTCTTTAACAAATTCTTTTCGAAGGTAGAAGCCACTAAACCTTTAGCAAGTAGATTTGTGTCAGCTGAAATTTTTGTCGTTTGTTTAGACTATTTAGCACCCGAATACATAGATGAGAAATTATTTGATTCTAAACATGTGTTCAAAGATACTGAAACTGATATGTTATAATAATAGATCTAGAAAGAAATTGTCTCTGTTGACAAAATTCTTTAGAAGAGAACTTAAAGACATAGAAGCGGATATGCTGATGATGTTCATTAAACTGTTTATTAGATGATAGATTTTGAATAGTTTCTTCATGCAGAAAACCCATATCCAATCTTTATTGAATATGCAGGAATCAAGATGACTGAAGAAGCTAAGCAAAAGTATTTGAGCCTCGCTAAGCCTCCTTAGGATTATGAAATATTGATGGAGGATATCAAAGTATTAGGAAAGAGAGAAATTATATAATTATTAAAATGGAGAAGTAAGATCAAACATTTCTTATCAAAACAAAAGAGAGAATAAAAGTAACTAGAAAAATAGGAGGAACAAGAAAGTGCTGAATATGAAGATCTAGATGAGGCTGAAGGAGAAGGAGAAGATGATGAAGTAAATGAGGAAGAAGCAGTAGAATAAGATGATCTCGACAAATTGGTAGATAAATAAAAGGAAGCTTTGGAATAATAATATATTGAGGAGTAGAAGAAGGAATTAAAGGAATAAAGAAAATAGAAATAAAAGTAAGCTTAACAGGAGAAGAAACTAGCAGGAAGAGGAATAGGATTCACTCCTTAAGAAGAAGATTAAGAGTTATTCTAATTTTCTAAGCATAAGAATATTTTGAAATTAGGATATGTGGATGTAGAAGATAAACAAGAAGAGAAGCTAAGGAAAGAGAAGTTGGCATTCAATAATTAAAAATAATTAGATCAAAATTTAGAATTAATTTATGAAAATAAAAAATAAAAGAAAGAAAATGCTTTAGAAAGAGTTAGAAATAAAAAGTAAGCTCTAGAATCAGATTAAGAAGAAGTAGATGCTGATGAGCTTGCGTGCAAACCAATTAAAAAAGTGAAGAAACAAGAGGATCACTTAAAAGTTTCAGATTTGAAGAGCAAATTTTTTGATAAGGAGGAATTCTAAAAATTAAAGGAATAACTTAAAAAATAAAAAGATGATGTATTTGACAACCCTTTAAAAAATTAAAACATAACATAGTTGGAGAAGAAGAAGAAAGAGAAAACTGACAGAGAATAAACTGCTGATAAATTTAAGAATGACTCAGATAGTGATGAACAAGAAGAAAAAGTTATGGATCCAAAATAATTGAAAAATTTATAAAAGTAAATTTAAGAAGATTTAAACTAATTGGATGATAATAAAGATGTTGGTTTATTGAAAAGAGTTGATAAAAAAGAAATGGAATATTAAAGAAAATTAAGTAATTATATTATAAAATCTATTTAGATGCAAGAATCAATCAAGATCCATTACCTGGAGAAGATGAGAAAGTAAAATAATTTGAACTTAATCTTCCTATTTCAGATATGGAAAAAAGAAGAAGGAAGCTTAAAAAAATAGCAGCCAGGGAAGAGAAGAAGGCTAAATAAGCATCAGATAAGGATCCAAATCATAAAGAATTAGAAATTGTCCCTGAAAAAAGGATAGAGGATTATGATATTGATTAATTAGCCACTAATCTGGCATTGGCAAAAAAAATGATGAGGAAAAAGACTAGAGAATAAATAATTGAAAATTCTTTTGGTAGAGATAAATGGGAAGATGAAGATTTACCTTAATGGTTTGTAGATGATGAAGAAAGACACGTGTTTAAGATGGAACCTATTACAAAAGAAGAATTTTAATAGGAAAAACAAAGGTTATATGAAATCAATTCTAGAGTACCTAAGAAGGTATTTAGACAATATTATTATTAAAGATTATGGAAGCCAAAATCAGAAAGTGGAAGAAGGCTCAAAAGAAGCTTAAAACTGCTGCAAAAAAGGCTTAGACTGTTTTTGATACCGATGGTATTAATGAAAAAACAAAAATGTAATAAGTGAGAAGAATTTATAACAAAGAAAAAGCAAATATTTAAAAAGAATAAGAAAGAAAGGTCATAGTTGCTAGAAAAGGTCAAGCAAGTGGAAGTAATTATTTACAATTAAATTCTAGAACTTAAAAGTTCAAGGAAGGTTCTCACTGTCGATAAAAGATTGAAAAAAGACAAAAGAGCTATGAAGGCTAAGGCCAGAGTTGGAAAAGGAAAAAAGAGAAGACAAGTCTCTAGGAGAAAAGGAAAAAAGTAGAAGTCCTGATTACTTCTGTTTATTGTATATTAAATCAAACAAAGTAATTTGTATTATATTTAAATTCCCCTTCATTATAATCATAATATAATATCTCTCCTGACTTTATATCTCTACATGCATACAATATAACTCTAGACTACCCCTCAACATTATATCGTCTAGATTTCACATTCTATTGCATTTTCTTGCTATTTTTCTTACTATTATTTATTCCTGATAAGTATTTGGCTATATTCCCATTCTTCTCGGGAATTATTACAAGTGATGTAGCAGCAAAGCCAGTTTCTAACAAACTCATCATTGAATCAGAAGTACTATATACTTGATCTGCAAATCTATAGACATCTCCGGCGTATTCACAAATTAATGTTTTATAAGCTAGGGGTTGCACAGATCTAACATAGAATCCTTAATCTAAATTATATTCTACTCTCAATGGTCCATAAAAGCCAATCTTTGTCACTTACTTGTACTTTTTAAAGGTTAGAAGATTCTTCCCTATCAAGGGATCGAGTTTTTCATTGTAGCCATTATTTAATTCTTTTTTGGCAGAAGAATAAACTAAGTCATCATTAAAATTAATGTTCTAACAATATAATGCATATTAGAGTGATTGAAAGCAATTCTATCTCAACTTATCATCATATACACAACATGGTAGTATGAATAAATTAGAACTTGTCATTGGAATACTAAAATTAAGGAGTTGGTTCATTTTCTCATTCAAAACAAATTTTGGTGGTTGTTATGAATGACAAAGGTTACAAATAGGGGAAATAGTTTTAGATCCATAACATTTTTTATGGAATATTTTATTGCATTTTGTACAGATTTCTTCATCTTTTGAATCTACATCTTTCTAGCACTTCTAACAAACATTATCAATCTCTTCATCATTAGTATCAGGAAAAGTATTTTTCAATTCAATACAATGTGCACATGTCCAATCTTTGGATATTTCCTTTTATTTTGGTCTCTATATACATTCTCAAATTTGATACCATACAATTATGATGATAAGCATCTTCACATATTACGCAATTCGCGTATTTTTATTTGATAATCCACATTTTGCATTTAGCACATACAGTATTTTTTTTGAATACTTGTAATATAGGCTTCTAAGATTCCTTCATTTCAGACATAGCTATTGGAAATGTAATACTCTATTCTTTCATTCCTTTATGAGGTTTTTAGATTTGATTTATAAGTATATATAAATAAATATTCAATATATGTCTGATTAGGAGGACTAAATAAATGGAGATGATAATGAAAATTAGGTTAATAATTCTCAAGAGAAGGAAGAATAAGAAAAAAAGGAGTATTTCAAAGAGCTTGTTGCTAGATTGAAAGAAGTCTAGGCTTAAATTAAGTAAACAAAGGCTGATATAGAAGAAGAGAAATAAGTATTCATGTTAAGTGATTAGAACCTAGTTAAGACAAGAGGCCACAACAAAATTGGAGGAGAAAAGAGATCAAATCAAAAAGCTCTTGATTAAATAAAATCAAACAACAACTGATGTACATTTGCGAATATTCATTAGAAAGTTGAAGCGTTGATTAGAGAGACACTTGAAAACCTTGTTCAACAGACTTTACAAAAGCAATAGGAATTGAGAGATCTCAAAGAAAATGAAAAAGAGAGATCCTTTTTAAATTATGAATTAGAATTGCAATTTAGAAATTTAAGGTGCTGCTTTATTTAATTAATATAGAAAGTATGTCAGTGAAGTTAGATAAGAATTGTAAGAGAGTGATTAACATGCTCAAAAATTAAAAATATAAATATAAAAATAAACTAATACTAATTTACTCTTAAGAACTGATGTCGATGAAAAATCATAAAAGATATAACAATTAAAATAGGAAGCTTAATAATTAAGAGCAACAATATAAAATTTAAATGATGTTAAAAAGGTTATAAATAGAGTTTCAGATCAAGAGTAAATTATTATAGAAGGTAATGCTCAGAGAAAACCCAGAAATTCCTATAATAACAAGTCTGCCTCATAGTAAAGAGTTAATTATAATGCACATGAAGTTGATGATAATTTCTGGTATGGCGAAAAGTAATTAAAACTGCCGTCAGTTCAATCGACTAGGAAAAAGTAATGAATAAATGAATATTTTTGTTCACTTCTTAATAAAATCATCTTTAAAATTTTAATTATTGTAATCAGAAAAAAGCTCAATTCAATATTCAGAACTGCTTTTTTTTATTATATTTAATCATAAAATTATATTATTATACGAGCTAATTCATTAAATTTTTCAATATAGTTTGATAATTATGAAAAAAGGATCTATAAATTTGTTAAGTGATATTTTTCTATTTAGTCGATTTCGTTATTAAATTGATTAGAGTTAAAAATGATTAGATTTTAAAAGAAAATCCTTTTGTGTCAGAAATTTAAAGCCATTTTTGATCTAGCACGAAATAAGGAAAAAACCCATCCATAGGAACTTTATAGGGATAAATACTATTTAAATATTTATGTATTGCAATATCATTTATATCCTTTTTAATCAGAGTAATTTGAAATAATATTTAGATTTTTGATATTTTTTTGGATTATAAGGACTTCACTGCTAATTTAGGTTCAAACCAACAGGATTATAAAAGAATGAAGCCTATTGATGAAATATATAGTTGTATAATTGTTGATAGGCTTCATTTTATTTGAAAATCCCCTGCTAAATTATGAAAAAGCGACCAGATCTAATGAAACATTTGATTTGAAAAAAAGCGGGGATTTTGAGAATATGTAACCCAAACTATCTTAATTTTGGGAATCTGCTTCAACAATATTGTTAAGAGTTTCTTAAGAAATCAAGAAATTTCATAAAAATAAGCATTAAATAATATATAATATTGTATTGAAAATCAGATCCATGTCAATTGTTTATATCCACAAGCATTTTTGTTTTTGTACTAAGGAGTGGTCTTCTGTTTCATCGATTAAAGAAATACTTCATACTCTTATTAGGTGTTCTTCTTGTTAAAATAATCGATTTAATTCTAGTAGATACGCTGGGGATTCATGAGATAAGATTTTAAAGGTTCATCTACTTTAAAGAGCCAAAATTCAATGAGCACTATTTAATTTGGGTTAACTTGTGTTCTTTTAAACATTTATCTTTATTCAACTGTACATTTATATTAGGCTCCTTCATAGGTATTGATGTAGGTTTCAAAAGTGTGAGCAGATTGAATTGAATTAGCTGACAAATCACACCACATTTTGAGACTGGGTCCCAGATCAAACATAGATGGGATGGTCTTAGTTTCGTGCAAGTGGTTAAGCATCATGTCTCTGCTGACTCCCATCAAGGTGTAAAATTATTCGTTGACAATTCTTTAGGAGAGCGAACTAGAATCTTTGTTCACTTTTTGGATTGTACATTGGTAAGGATAATCTTGAGCAATTTTTTCAACATTCAGTAGATCTTCATTTGAAATGTAAGGCTATTCAGTGAAGTCATTTAGGATGTGATGACGTTCTTGCACTAGTTTAACAGCTAATGGTGCATCTGGATCTGATTAGTTAATTAACAAATTGGTGATCTGATCGATTGAATGATTGGCTTGATCGAGTAATTCGAGAGTGTAAAAGTAGACGTCATCCAATTGGTCAGTACGTGAGACTCTATAATTGTAAGTGCAGGGACTTTCTTTTAAACTTCCTAAGCAGTGATCTGGAATGTAAGAAAGAGCCAATTTGAGTTCCACATTTGATTTGATGTAGACATGTTCTTTAAATGGTTTAGCTATTGACACTAGACACACTAGTTGTTTAATGGGTTGACGTTTTCTGGTTTAGTTTTCTAAGTTTAAAATGGGCCTTACTTTTTTTTTTAATTTCTTTGGATAAGATAGAGTGAGTTACGGACTCGTCATGCATGCCTACTCTTTATCTGACTATGAGACTCATTATAGAAAATTAAATAATTATTATATAATAATTTTGCAAATCATTTGGGATATAATTGAACTTTATCATCATTATTACTATTTTTTTTGCAAATCCAAATGTAAAATTTAATTATAATATCAATGATTCCGATATTAATTTAAAGCGTAATTATAATAATTATAAATGATTAATTTCATAAAAAATGACTATTAAGCTTAGATATAATTAATCGATGGCATAACATTTCGCAAATAATAAAAATTAATATTTGAATGAAATGGCCATGCATAAAGTTCTAAAAATAGATTTATTGTTTGAAAATCTAATTGACAAGCATAAACTATAGAAGCTAAGCTGCCACCCGTTTTCTCTTAGTGTGTGAGTGACCTTGACAAACAGATTCATGAAGTAATCTGATGCTTCGAATGTCACTCTCCATTAGATTAAAGCAAATGAGTTAACTATATGATGTTTTATATGGTTAATTTATTATTATGGGAAAAGCATTAATTTAAAATGGATCAAATTTTGTTCTGTATAAACGAGAAATGCACTTCCCAATCACGGTTATTGCTAACTATGGCAGACGTACCCAAACACAACGACAAGTCTCATAAAGTTGTATAATTCAAGGAGTTCAAATAATATGTCATGGAAAAATATGGAGATGCAGATTTGTAGAAAATTCAGAAAATCACAAGCAACGAAAAGGTTATCAAGGATGCAATCTCTAAGATAATTAAAGAAGTAAAAGAGAAGTTGGATTTGTTTGAAATTAATGAAATCAAGTATATAAACTAACCATTATGTCGAATCATAGGAAGATGCCAAGTTTACAATAAGTCTCCGAATATGTGTGGACAGTAAGGAAAACCGAAAATCTGAAAGACATAACAGCTGATTTGTTAAAGACTGTAGTGGAATTTCAAGTGGAGAAGATTCCCAAATACGGTTTCATTTTGGAACAGATAGACGATCGTATGAATAAGTTGAAAACTGAAGTTGTTGGAATGTTGAAAGCTCAACAATATGATTTATAGATAACTACGTTGGGTAATGTTAAATACACATGGAGTGATCAATTCAAGGCCAACATTTATGCTATTAAAGATGATGCGAAAAGGGAAATCGAGGCAACAAGTAAGGGAATATGTTCAATATGATAGCATCATTTATGGGATGGTCATTTGCATGCATCTAATAATAGTTGACTTCTTAGAAGAGATGGGAAACAAGATTGGAGATTAGAGCAAGTGAACCTGATTAAAAGAGTTTATAAGCCAGTTAATTGGGACAATCCTAATTAAAGAAATAATCATACAGTTTTGCTGTTGGAATTACACTCTAAAAAGTGAGATAACAAAAAGGACTTGAGTAATAAGATTTGGCTACTGTAGGTCATGGTTTTTACTTGATTCGATCGGATGGATGTAATACATATTAATCTCTATATGAAAGGGACGTGTCACAATTCTGATAAAAATATTAATTGGAAATAAGGATTGTGTTTCACTCCAGAACCTAAGGATGTGATCTTAATTAAATTCGATCCGACTGATGGTGATCTTCTTTTTGAACAAGGCAAGAACAAATACTAAATGAAGGTGGAAAGGTCTTAAAATGAAGTGTTTTTATTTTGTGTACACTTAAAAGGATGTAAGGCCAAGATATTGGATTGAGAGATAAACAATATATATATATATAATATTTCAAATTTTGAAATTTATGATTGAAGAGGAGGGATAATAACTTAAAAGTTAATTGGAATAACAACTTGTTGAAGCCATTTTAGATTCTCTACAAAATCACATGGATCAAAATGCAACCTTTTTAGGTAATAAATTGCATTCTATTCAATAGCTGAAAGATTGGTTTATGAGAGAGACACTGAAGAGTTTAGGTCACTATTGGCTGAATGTTACTTATAAGAGAATTAGCCATTTAAAGCCTGTCATATTCTTAAAGACTGCAAATCTGAATATAATCGGTAGAAAACTAGTTAATGCTTTTAGTTATTAATATGCGATGTCGCTATTTCAAAATAAAAAATACAAGGAAGCTGAAGTAGCTTTAGTGGGAACTCAATTTAGCAATTAATTTTCTAGTTAAACTCCAAACGTGCCAAATGGTGGATTTGGTTACTTTTTGTTGGGCTAGATTTAAGAATAACTTCATCGTATTGAAGAGGCTAAACACCAATATTGCAGGGCTTTGGATTAGAACCCCACATTATGGATGGCCTTTGAAAGGCTGTCCAAAATTGGTGAATCTGTGACTATCAACAAGGTTTTCAATGATCAGAGATAACGACAATATGAAACAAATAGATAATAGAGTTGCAACATCTATAAGATAATATAAAATTTGTTGAAAAATAAGTCACCAAATCTGAAATCAGGTCAAAAAGAGGAAGACATCAAAGAAGAAGTCTAAATAAATGACACTGTAAAATTGATGCCCCTATTTTTTAATAGTAAATATCAAGCAAAAGACAATCCTAAACAATCAAACCATTTTCGACAACAGGCGTTCAATAATCAATTGTACATATGGATGACACTTCGAATAGTTAAATGAAATTCTTATGTAAATTTAAATTATTGAACCTAAATTAGAGCATCAATAAAAGAAAATAAGTGCCAAAATGGTACCAACTCCAGGAGTAGGATATTAGAATTATTAATCTTTACTCAGCCAATCCTTTTAATTCTCACAAAATTAGAATAAGAATTTCAATCCAAAAAAAAGTGACATTCAAAAAGTAAACACAGCTGCCATTTAATAATCTCCAAGTCTGATCAAGTACGATTATTTTATTCCACCATTATTAGTTTGCCTTAACTTTTGAAATTGTTTGCCCACCCATATTACTTATGGACAAATTATTCAGTGGAAGCAATTGCTAATTTCTAGAAGTTGCCTCCACAACACTATCGATCAGGTTGGGTGCTTGAAAAAGTAGCCAGGAGTTTTATGGATCAAGTCAAATATGCTGATGCAGAGAGAGTTTGGAAGGAAATGAGATAAATAGAGCCCAATCGCTTAGAAGGCATGGACTATTATTCATCTTGCCTATGGCATCTGAAAAAACAATCAGAATTGACATACTTAGCTTATTCATGTTCGTAAATCAGTATGCTAGCACCCGAGACCTGGATAGCTATTGGAAATTGCTTTAGTTTGAGTAAGGAAATAGACAACTCCATTAAATTTTTCGGAAGAGCTATTTAGTTAAGAAAAGATTATTCCTATGCTTATACCCTATCAGGTCACGAGTTCTCACAAAATGAAAACTTCCAGTAGGCTAAGAAATCGTATGACATGGCCACTTCATTAGACCAGAGACAATATAATGCTTGGTGGGGACAGGGAAATATGTACTATAAGACTGACAAATACGATGATGCCATCAGATGTTTCACTTAGGCATTAAAGATAAACTCAAACAACCCAGTTCTACCAACATTTTTGGCGATGAGTTATGCTGCCAAGGGAGAACATGCTGAGGCTTTGAAATACTTCGAACAAAGTGAAAAACTAGATCCTCAAAATGGATTGAATAAGTATTAGAAAGTATTGATGCATTATTATTTAATAGGCTAATTCATTAATAAAATTAGATTAATATGATGATGCCTTAATTGAATTGTAGAGATTGAGAGAATTGATTCCGAAAGAAGCAGCAATCTACATCTTGATGGGGCGAATCTATAAGAAACTGGGGAAGATTTAAGAAGCATAGAAGTATGGAGGATTATTAATTTCGTAGTTGTTTCAGCACGGCAATGTCACTTGATTAAAAGGATTCCGCAAAGATCAAAGGGTTAATGGAGAGTTTGAATAATCCGAATAGCGAATTCAACGATGATTTTGATTTATGACATGATTTATCAATAAATGTGCTCATCTACGGCAATTTAGACAAACTCCTTCTTATAATCTCCAACAGACTCTGCTCCCGTTGCCAATTAATTAATGCGTGCAGTTCGTACCAAGAATTCTTGTAACTCTTCTCTTTCGCATAATGTTTCTAATGAGAGACGTCTAATCCAGTCAAATCCTGAAAAGGCAAGTCCAGTCAAGAACATATATTTAGGATATTGATGACATTCTAATATTCGAATTGTTTCTTACTATATAGTAAGGGTTGTCTGATTACTCTACTTACGGTCATTCTGATACCCATTCCAAAGAGACATCCGAATATAAAAGCACTTTCCATTATATTTAATATATAATTAATATGAACTGACTGATATTATTTTAAAATTCAAATATTAAATAATGAATAGACTCAGTTCTTAACCTAAAACAAACAATCAAGGTCGTATGACACCAAATGAATATATGGTTCATAAAAACATTCCTTTGCCAATCAAAGCGAAATACCCCCATGCAGACTCAGAAGCAAGTTCGCACAAATCTGAGATCATTCATTAAAACAACAGCAGCAATTACTCACACAGTTAGGAAGGGAACAACCTTTAAAAAATAATCGAAGAAAAGAATAGAGAAATCGAATTCCTGAAATAGGCAGAAGCTTAAAGCAAAATGTTAACTACCTAATTCTAAGAGATGAATCAAAATCATTAACTAGAGGTGAAGCAATTGTTGGAGTAGATTCAAAATTACAAACAAAGGAATGTCGATCTTAAGAGCCAAGTCGAGCAATATATGACAGAACTCAACAAATCAAATTAAAAATATTAGGAGTGTTGTAAAGAAAGAGATGAATATCTCAAAAATCTCAGAGAATACTCACAGGATTATGATATAATGAAAATGTAATTGTAAGGCAAGGATGCTGAAATTGTATCATTGAAAGATAGAATTCAAAATATGGAAAGTAGTCATCAATAAGAATTAACACAATATTCACAAACTAACGAGTATTGGAAGAGATCCTTGATGGATACCTAAATTAGAGAGATGACTTAGTAGTTCAATCAGGAAAGGATATAATAGGATATGAAAATCAAAAATCTCGAAAATAGGAATGTTGAATTAGAGAATAAATGTGTCTTGTTGGCCTAGGAAATGGAGAGAATGCGTTTCAAAGATTTAGAACAAAATAAAATGATTACAAAAAATCTATAAAATGAAAACAATGAATTAAAAGCACAAATGTTAGAAATGATGCAATTTGTATCTAGATATGAAGAAAAAATAAATTAAATGGAATACATTGAAGATCAACAATAAAAGGATAGAATGAGAATTATAGTCATGAGTTCTGAGATTGACAGATTGCATTGTGTGATTGAAGAACAAGAATAACAGAGTCACTCTTTCCTACAATAGATTCAAAGGTTAGAGCAATATGAGATGCAGTGTAAAATGTTGCAGGAATAATAATAATCATAAAATCAGTTGAAATAATAGTTGTAATTGGAGATTGCTAAAAATCAGAATACACAATAGAACTTCGAATATTTGTAATAGGAATGGTCAGAAAGAAATTAGGAGTTGTAAGATAAATGTGCAATGTTAACAACTGAGCTCGAGAGATTAAATCTCGTAATGAGAGACAATGAAACATATAGTAGGAACTACTAGTGTGAAATTGAAAAGTTCTAAAAATAGTTAAAGGACCATTCTTAAATTATAGAATAAAAATCTAATACTATCTTATAATTAGAAATAGAAATAAGCAATTACTAACAGGAATCAATGCTGCTGAATAGTGACAATGATAATCTGAATATGAGGATTACTTAATTGGAAGAAGAAATCCAGGAAGTTAAAGATTAACAAGATTAAGAATTAAAATAATAAGTTGATTATTATGCAAATGAGTTGAATCGAAATTAATATAGTTTAAGTTAAGTAAATCAAGATAAATTGGAACTGTAGAAAGAATTGGAGAAAATCAATAGAGATTACTAAGCATTGGTTGTCGTATCTCAATAAAAAGATAACGAAATCAAAGACTTACAAGATTAAATGTAATAAATGGAAGAAGAACATGAAATTGAATTAAATGAGTTATAGAAATAAGGAGAATATTTGAGAAGTTCTGAATTTGATGAATAAATTAGAGACTTGGCTGTAAAGTTCAATAATGATAAATAAGTACTTGAGATGTAGGTTAGATAATTGTAGTAATAGAAATAAGAGGTAGAATTATAACATTCATTGTTGTAATAGAAAAACTAAGAATTATAATACACAGTGGAGGATTAGTTAGAGATTTAAAAATAAAAATTATCAACAAGTGAGAAGGAAAGAGTCAATTTATTATAAGAAATAAAAGATTATTAGTTAGAATTGCATATGATATCTAATGAAAGATAACAGATGAGGGAGGACTTTATTAAGGAGAGAATGAAAATCGTAATTTATGCTTCTGAAATTGATAGGTTGTGGAGTGTAATTCAAGATTAGACTGATTAAATTAAATAAATTGAAGAATAAGAAGAATTGTCAAATGAATAGATATAATAATTAACATCAACTATGCAATAGTATCATAACACAATCTGTTAGTTGGAATAAGAAAGGAACAATCATTAGAGGGAAAATAGCTTGAAAGAGTAGAGTTTAGAAAACAAAGTGATTATGATGACTAATGAGTTAGATAGAACAAAAAATTAACTATATGAAGAACAAAGCAAAGGATATGAATAGGAAATTAAGTAGAAATCATTATTGTAAGAGATCGAAGAACTATATTAATAAATTGAACAATATTAATAAGAAATAACAATAATGTAGAAGAATGGATTGGAAGTGGGGGATTTGGAAACCAAATTTCAAGCAGAGAAGATGTCTTGGGAAACCCAAAAATATTAATTAACTAACTAAATTTCAGATTATGAATAGAGGATACTATTATTAAGTTAAGAAATAAAGAGATTGACCACAATTGGAGATGAGAGACTTCACGAGATTGAAGAGTTAAGGTTCAAATTTAGAGATGCTTCATTAGCTGAAAACTATGAACAATTAAAAACTGAATATGATGTATTGGAGTAACAAGTCATGGAATTAGAATAGAACAACTTGAAATTGAAATCTCATACACAAACTTTAGAGAAATAGATTTAATTGTTGGAATTATCTTTGTAAGATAAGTCAAAGGAGGTTGAGGACATCTATAATTTGATGAATAAACAAAGAAGGCAGAGTGAATCCACCAATAAGGAAGCTGAAAATAACAGAAAAACATAATAATAGTTGTAATAAGTGGTATCCAATTTGGAATAGCAGAATTAATATTTAAAAGAGTAATTGCAAACTCTCACCATTGAAAATTAAAGCTTGTAATATTTATTCATTAATTATAGATTATCACAACTTCAATATATGCAGAATAGTCTGCATGAGAGAGATTAGATGATATAGAAGATGAGTAACGAATTGACTGAAAAGATTAAGGAAATAGATTCTCTAAAAGTGAAGTATGAACAGAAAATGAACAATCCCACCATCCAATCAACTATAATAAGAGTAAGTTCAGTCTTATATCCTTAGAACTCTTCATTAACTCGATAAGTCATTAAAACTGACTAAGAGAATTTTGTTACAGAATCCATTATAAAATCCAAAAATGCTTTCAATTAGCCAACACTTGTTAGACCTCCGAGACAAGTGATGTCCTAAATTAATTCAGATTTAAATAATTAGTAGGAATGATTGAGTTTCACTTTATTTTAATATTAAAAATAATGTCTCAACATGTCTAAGCATCAATACAATACTCTTTCCCCAAAGCTTAAAGATTTACAAGACTGCACACTCCCTGTTCAACTGACTATTATGAACCAAATTATTTTCGGAGTACTCGAGCATCAGGATTTGGATACGGGAACAAATTTGATTTCACAAAAGTCTAATCCTATACTGAAAGTTACTATTATCCAACGAGTTCATTTTCAAGTAACAAAGGTGCATCCTTTGGATTCAGTAGAAGCATGGTCAAAAACAGTTCCTATTTGTAAAATAACGATGTTCCAGGTCCAGGATCATACTATCATAGTCCACATAAAACTATTGGCTTTTCTATTGGGTAGAAATTCGGTGTCTATTATCATACTACAGAGATACCTGGTCCTGGTGCATACGATCCAAATATTCATAAGAAGAGAAGCATCTCTATCAACAAGGGTCCTGAGAGGTTCTCAACAGAATCAACCTTTTTCCCAGGGCCTGGAGAGTACAATGCATAACTTCTACAAAAGAAAACAAAGTGTAGATTTGGTAGTGCTAAAAGAAAGTGCTTTATTGATGATGCCATTAGAGCAGCCAAAAAGAGTGGAGGTATTACTTAGTCTATGCAACTATTATAGTTCCTGGGCCAGGCAACTATGCATCAATTACCTAGTTTGTACAATTAGATAAGTAAAAGAGTAGACCATCTACTGCAAAACATTGAATTTTATTATACTTTTACATAAACTTTCCTAAAAAATGATTTAAATACTTTTTGCTACTCAGACAGGAAATTCCGAATTTTATGCTGAAGAAGTCGGTAGACATTTAGAGAAAGCAATTGTTTCTTCGATTGAGGACTTCGATTTCTTAACACTTCCTGAATAAAAGCGAGTCATTTTCATAATATCAACCACAGGGGATGGAGACATGACTAATGATATGCTCAAATTTTGGCAGTTTCTATTGATTAAAGATTTGCCAAAAGAGTCTCTAATTAAACTTGAATTCACTGTTTTCGGACTTGGAGATTCCTCTTATCCTAAATTCAATTACGCAGCTAGAAAATTAAGAAGTCGACTCTTGTAATTATCAGCAAAGGAATTTGTACCAAGTGCATTTGGGGATGAATAGCACCCTTGTGGGATTGATACAGAGTTTGTCATTTGGTTTGAAAACCTTGTAAAGAAATGCGAGACTCAGGCCAACATTTAATAATATATAAAAATTGAGTAAACTGATACTAATGGATAATAAAATATTGTTGAATAGTTTGACTTTGAGTTTACTCACAAAAAAAGGTTGAGTGCTGAGGAGCATAGCAAAGAAACCTATCAATATAATTTTAAATGTAATAAATTATATGAATGTGGTGATATTCTTTGTGTGAAACCAAGAAATTAGGATAAACTAGTATCATAATTTATAGCAGTACAGAAATTAGATGGAAATAAATGGGTTAAATTGGAAGAGCAGAAATAAAACTAAAAATCAAAGAAAATTCCAAAGATTATATCTATTCAACAACTGTTTTCTGAATTGTATGAAAATGATTTATTAATTTTAGTTTGGATATCACATCTCCACCCAATAGATATTTCATTAAACTTATGAGCCAATATGCAGAAAGAGATATTCACAAATAAAAATTGACTGAAATGTGTGCTTAAACCCCTGAAGGTTTAGAAGAATATTATAGTTACGTTTATAGAGAAAAGAGAAATGTTTACGAAGTCTTATATGATTTCTAACCATGTGTTATTCCATTAGAATTTTTGATTGATTCTCTAAAGTTAATAAGAGAGAGACAGTATTCAATTAGTTCTGCTTATGATGGAGAGTAAATAAGTATAACAGTCGCATTAGTATCGTACACAACAGGTAAGAACAGACCAATCAAAGGATTTTGCTCGAATTATCTTGATAATTTAGTACCTGGCCAATAGATTGAGGGGAAGATAATAAAAGGAACAATCGCATTTCCAAAACAATTAGAAATTCCAGTAATTATGGTTGGACCAGGTACTGGAGTGGCTCCATTCATAGGGTTTATTGAATAAAGAGTGAAGCAAGGAGCAAAAAATAAAGAGAAAACAATTTTATTTTTTGGATCATGTTATGAGGATAAGGAATTCTATTATAAAGAATTCTTATAAGAATCTGCAATCACTTTGTTTACGGCATTCAGTAGGGATCAATAAAAGAAGATTTATGTTCAACATAGAATTTTGGAAAATAGAGATTTAATTAATAAAATTGTCAAGGAAAATGCTCAGAATGTTATGTAATTTTGTATGTTGATGATGAATTTAGGATTATTGTAACTGGAACATCAAAGAAGATGCCAACATAAGTTGAATCGGTTTTCAAAGAGTGTGTGGGAGAGTAAATGGTGTAGGAATTAAAGAAGAGGAAACAATATTTAGTTGAGTGTTGGTGAAACAGACTTATTAATATAAATTATTTTTCACAAAACCGAAGGGTTCTTATTTAATGGTTATGTCAGATCATTTCTTGGTTTAAAGTAGTCTATGATGTGGTTTATTGCTCCAATTATCATGACACTCATCCAGACTACGAAAATGTAGGCACAGCACATCGTAAAGAGTTCGATTTCTCTGCATTTAGATCTTGTTGAAAAGAAATGTTGCTTGATTCCGTAGAGCATTGATATAATGTCGAAAATAATCACTCCTCCGAAAAAGACAAATGTATTAATTGTTATGCAAACAGCTCCAAATTTTCTGGTGCATGTATCCAATAAATTGCATGCACTCAAGAACTGTATTATGAATATAATTCCGTATCTAAAATATTTATTTAGCAATTACACTATCAAATTTCCATAGAGGATAAAATGAAGAAATCCAATCCCTTCAGAATCGTTGCATTGAAAATCCTCTGTCACTATTTTATCTGCACAAATTGAGAAGACTAGAAATATGAAATTATTCAAATGCACCAAAGAATTTATGTCCAATCTCTAAGCCATTTCCATTATATTATATTTATATAATCATAGTTATGCATATTTCATCAATTTTTCCTTGTAATAGTAGTATTGATTTTAACTAACGAATAGTTAGTAATCTAACAGTGTTAATAGTTCCTATTCCAGAGTGTTTAGCTCCTGAAGTGTAATCCCTCCCACTCTAGAATAGTAGTCATTCTTGTAGTAGTCGTCGTCGTTGTATTTTATACTCATAAGTAAGCAAGCCAACAGAAATCTATATAGTTAATCTAAATTCAACCTATGAACACAATAACTATTTATAACAACATCCTGGTTCCTCTCCTGCACTCTGTCTATATAGATCAGCGCCAATACGAAACACTCATTGCTGCAATAAGAGTACATCTTAATACGCTCTATATATTTGTATATTGAGATTTATGGTTTTTTATTCGTGTGAAAGACTGTTTAAATTGGACTTTCTATTATGTCTGTCTCTTTGACAATTTCTTCTAAAACCTTGGCTATTGCATAAATAACATTATCTTCCAGGAATTCTTCCAATCCTCTTTCCATAACAACACTCATTCTTCCCAAAAGATATATATATGTGTATAAATTATATATATTATTTAATATAAAATTATGATATGATATATAAATTTAATAACTGATGCTTCTTTCAAATTCCTCAAAATCATTCAGTTCGTGAAATCTTCTCTTTCTTTCTCAGAATCTTAAATTTGCTTCATATCAGCATAATTAAAATATCCAATTGAAATGCTTTTTAATTAACTTAAAACTTAATTATAATCTAATTGTGAAATCATTCGAATCACATTTTCATATAATTATATTTAAAATGTATATGAGATTTCTTAATTGTTTAAAATAGTTCTTTACAATTTTAAGGAACAAAATAAAATAATTTTAGATTTCGATTGTTTTTCGTATATCCTAAGATCATTTGACAATCTCCATCTGTAATTTCCTAGTACAATAAGTCTAGACTGAACCTGAAAGGACTAAAATTCTCTTTGAAATTATTCTTTAATTCACAGGAGAATGAAAATCTTGAGTTCAGTAAGAGGATTGTGTTTTCAAAGAACATAATTATTTATTTCTTAAATTAACCTTAAAATACACTATTGATGTATGAAAGAAAAGAATATGAAAAATCACTTAGCTACTTAGCTAGTGTCTACTATTATAGTAAACTATGATATTAATTACCTCAAATATTTGCCATAAATTGATTATATAGAGTTTAAGATGATTTACATAAAGTTAAGGAAAATATATGAAAAGCGATTTAACATTTATTTGATTTGATAGTATTATACACAAATTTAATTTGAAAATCTTATTAACTTGATAGAATTTTACATTTATAAATATAATGAGGAAGTTTAAAAAATCAATTGATTTTTAAAGATAAAATTCCTGTAAATGGATTCTTGAAGTTATAGTAAACTGAACGGTAATGCAACAGATTATGCTTTATTTCTAGATCCTGATTTTCTAATTCCATCAATTGAAGCTAGTCTTTGATAGGCATTATATCATCATTGAGTATGAATGCATCAAAAGTTGAAAGTTTGTTTTCTTTTTTTTAAGATTGTACACTTGATTCAGAATTTAAAAAATCAACCTAAACACTTTGATGACTGCCAAAAGAATTCTACATACTACATGATTGTTGACTATTAAAACAGGAAGAAGCATTTGAGTCAACATGAAAAGTAATTGTATGAAGATGTCTAGAACTTGTTTTTTCTACAGATCTACAATAATGTAATTTAAATACAGTTTTATATGCTAAACACTTTCGTATTTCTACTAATTATTAGTTTTGTTATCTTGAATGGTTTTCGAATTAATAAATTAATTATTTGACCAGTCAAAAATAATGTGTTATTTATGATTAATTTTCAATTGAAAAATTAACTTCAGCTTTTAATAATTCGGGATTTATTGATGATTCAATCCTGCTACTTAAGTCATATAACTATTTTTTAATTTTATCAATACTTTAATATCTATTGTGGACAGCCTTCGCAAATATCTTACGGTTTCATCTCAAATTTTAATTATCCTATCCTCTCTATACGATCATTTTCGAATTTCTCATAATTGGACCATGGCAATTTCTGTTTGAAGAGGTATATTAAAACATAACCTAAAGATTCTAAATCATCTCTTCTGGCTTGCTCCAATCCTCTATGGGCAGTTACACTAGCATACCTACTAGTTCCAATGAATGGAATTTTCGCTTTATTTTATTTCTTACTTTTTACAGAACTTTTTGAAATTCCAAAATCAATTAAATATATCTAGTCAGAATGACTTTTAGCCAAAATGTTTTCTGGTTTTAAATCCCTATGAATTATATTCCTTAAAAATAATTCTAAAATTATACTTTTTGTGAATGTTTTCTAATATTTCTATCATTTATTAGGCAATGTTAAAAATGCATTCAATTGAGAATTTCTTATTTTTTTTCAAGAAATAAATTAAATCAAATCCAAGCATCTTTGTTATCATTACTTAGAATTCATTGTGTTTTCCATGCCAAAGTAATTCAGGCACCTATGGAATTCCTCTTAACTTCTTCAAAATTTCTACCTATCATTAACTTTTCAACTAACCTCTCTTTCTAAACTCAAGCAATTTGACATTTCCTGCTTTTCAACCTTGATTGCCACTTTCATTCCATTCTCAATATTCCTCCCTAAATACACTTTGCCAAATGAACCTTGGGATAGAAGTTTCTTAACTTTGTACTTTTCCCCTATTAATTCACCTTGTTGCAATTCTTACATGACGATATTTTCAAAAATTAATATTATTATATATTTTATAAAGTGTCCTTTAATGAAATTAATTTAATAAAATTTAATAAAATAATTATAAAATAAAAATGATGGCTTAAATTAAGTGAATTATAGACTTATTAAATTAATGATTATATATTGATTATAACTTATTACAGCTCAAAAATTATGTCAGTTTCTAATATCTCATTATATTTGAACTTTAAGTGACAAAATTAAAATCACTAAGTTTTACTTTTGTTATACTATTTACATCTCATATCAATCATAAATAAAAGGAAATAAAAATATTCGAACATCAGATACTAGCTAGAATAAGTAGAATTCGCGTGGATGCATGATGGAAATTGCACATTCATATCCATTTTGAAATAATTTTTATATTGAGGTAAAAAAATAATTTAAATAGTGGAAAAATTATTCATACATAATAAACAAAAAATCAATAGTTTTTCTTAATTAATTCTTATCTTACTTTGAATTTTTTACTATAATTTATTTCAATTATTCAAATAAACAAAGAAAATTATAGATCTGCTTTATTCAATAAATTTGTAAAAATTATTTATTTTTCATAATAATCAACTAAATAAGTTTGATAATCCATTAAGAATGAATTATAATAAGTCTTCATCGAAAGAAGTGAACCCTCTAAACAAAAACTCATCACAAGGAGTTGTAATCAATTCTAAATAAAACTCTAGTTGGTTTAATAATACAGCTTTAAATCCAAATTTACTTTCTGTAATCAATTCATCATTCTCTTGATCCCAATTATTCAATAATACTCCCTTCTGGCTAAGTTATTTTAATTCATCAAAGCAAACGATTGGGAGTAATTGTGTTTTGTATACCTTTCCCAGAAACTATTATTTAATATCTTTGAAAGAGGCAGCTTCTATTGAGTAAAACTTTAATGATGTCAAAATAAAATTGGGTAAATATAAGATAAAATTTTCAAAACTAATAACATTAATAATTAAAAATACTTAATCGAACAAGATAATTGAGTTTATGAGTGAACTTGTATTTTCGCTTCTCGGATAAATTCATACATTATTTATTATTATGATTATAATAACACACTCTTTAAATCCTTATTCACCCATACATTTTTATGTTAATTCGTAATTTATATTTACACCGGCTTAAGTTCTTTATTCTTAATACTCAAAGTAGTTGATATGAATTCTTGTTAATTATTACCGTATAAAATTTATTATCTTGATTTAATCTCAACTTTATTTGATTAAAATAGGATTGCTAATTAATTTATACTTGCTTTCTTAAAATTCACAATATTAGTACTACTCAATTAGAGTTGGAATTAATTTCTAAATATTTGGATTCCTCTGAATTATTTCTTTCCGTGCACCCTATAATATTCAGAAGCAGTTTTATGAGGGTAAATCAGTTATGAAACATCCCTTGATTAACTGACTTTAGTAATTTGAGATTATGGTTTGATGTATAAGGCTTAAGACTGAAGATCAGGGTCTTTAAAATTGTAAAAAACAAAATTCTGATTTTAATACTCATCCTGATAATCTATTTCCCTGTTAACGCTATCAATATTCCTACTCTGATTTGCTGACTATTGGTTATTATACTCAAGTGCTATTTGTCTTAATTTCTGATTCTCCTATTTTAATAAAAAATATTTGCTATCCAATTCATCATACTTTTTCTTTAAGTTCATAAAATCTAATTAGCTGCAAACCTAATTACTTTTCTCTAAATATATTTTCTGCTATTCCAATAACAAATTTCTTTCAACTCTTAAATTTTCTAGTTCTTCTTGCAAATTTTGAAATACAATTTATGATTCCATAGGTCGTTCTTGTTATGGTCCTACTCTTACTTAAGATGTAATTGTTTATTATTATTTTGTTTGCTCAAGCTATACTTAATGATGTTAAACTTATTGTTGCAACTCTAATAAATGATCTTAATAATATTAATGTTCATCGAAAAGTTTCTATTTTAATGAATTTATCTCCAAATTAAGTTTCTGATTTTCAGTAGATTTCTGATGATTTTCATTACTTAATCTCTCATTTATTTGTACTTAATGTTATAACTCTGATTTCATGTTTGCAATTACGACATCATTTTAATTGATAATTTATTTTAAACTTTCAATCTTAACTTTGTCTTCATTTTTTTCTGGTTAAACTTGTGATTACTTAATGTTTGATTCATTTTCTTATGGGATAATTTATTAATATGGCTTTTGAACTTTACTTGTTAATACATTACTTTTATTATAACCCTCAGGATCTTCTTATTGGAATTGTGATTTCTAATTCCTTGTATATTGCTATCTTAATTGTTGATAACTAAGGTTCCCTCCTTGATAATCTTGATATGTCATGATAAAATCATCCACAAATTCATTTTAAACATCTTAAAGCAACAAGTCCTCCACTTAAGCATTAATTGTGGCCAAGTCATTGATTACAGTATTATTTTCATCTTTATTAGTATTAAGTAGATTAATTAGTTACTATTGGAGTTCTTAAGCTTTCATTTGAATTTACTACGCTTCATCCAAAGGAGTTGGAGTTGCTTCTATCTTTGGTATATGTCTTTATATTTCTTCTGGCTTGAAGTAGTTAATTTAGGGTAAATATCCATTTTCTTTGATTAAATTTTTTTCATAGACAGCGAATTCTGGAAACCATTTGGACCATACTCGTATGCAATCCAATGCTAGACGATGATAACTTGCTCCGTATTATTCCACGGTCTTATCATGTTCTGGGTTTTTGAAAAAGGTGGCTCCTCTTGCATCATCCATATCTTTGATTCTGTAAACAGCAGCTTAATAGATATAATCCATCAAATGTTGTTTGACTTTGAATTTAAAGTTATCATTAAATTTTTCAATGCAATCTTTAACAATCTTTAATCCAAAGAGACATTCCTTTGGAGGGTATTTTTCATTCATAATTTTTTTCATCGCTTGTATCAATTAATCCATGGTTTATCTAAATGTTAATATCTAATTACTCATCATTCTATTCAATTAACTCCTCCAACTCTTTTCTGAATTTCTTATCACTTAATTATGAAATAAATTGTTCCATAATAAAAATTTATTTATATTTTGAGAAGCATTTATTGAATTAAAAATATGAATAGCAGAATATTTAAAACTATTCTTGGTGGATCATAGTTGAAGGAGTATAATAGAATAATAATGTTATAATTGATATTCAATTTTTCCCTTTGAATTACTCTAGAATATATAAAGATTTGTTTACAGTCCTCGCTTTGCATTTAGGAACCAGATTGAGAAGCCATTTTGGACATTTTTGAAGTTACAAAAATAGAAGTTGTATTCTTAAAGTCCTTGTCGACTCTTTGCAATTCTTAAAGTTGTTTTCCTTCTAATTCCTTTTTAACATTATTGTACTTTTAAATTAACCTATTGTGAATATATAGACTACTTTTCTTCCTCTGCTTTTTTGATTTTCCGTTATTCTTCTTAGGCATTTTCAATTCTCTAATTCAACACATTAGTTTCATTATTTTGCTTGATCTTTTATTGTTGGAGGAGATTCTTAATTTTATTGTTCCTCATTAAAGTCCACTTCTCTTGCTCTTCTTTCTAAAGCTACACTATTCTGGATTGTATTTTATGTGCTTCCAAATATCTAAGATAGATGTGAATATAGTACTCTTCTTATCTTGCTAATTACTCTTCAGTCTTTTTGAGACTCAATAATTCTGCAGAATCTTTAGGAGTTTATGGAATAGAACCTTCTAAATCTTATAGGAATTACTGCATTTCATCTTCTTATTTTTGTTATAGTTCATTTTTGAGTTTTTGTGCATCTTATTCAAACTCTTATATTTTTTCATCCCAAAAAGCATTGAAATTTTACATTTCTTCTTGATGTGATTTAGTCAGTTCATATTTCTAAATTATGAATTATAAATTAACTTCTTATTCATGTCTGTCTCTTATATCTAATTTGGTTTTGGATTCGTATTTGGTTTTGAGTTCTTTCAATCTTTACTTTGCACAATCAGCCTCCAAATATTTACCTGCTTTCTCACAAGCCTTTTGGTGATCATAAAGTATTTTCCTATCCTTAATTGGAAATATTGTACATGTACTCTTCCAAATTTTCTGTCTCTGGAGGTAGTGTGTTCATTTTGGCAGTAGACGGCCTTACTCCGCGGTAATTATGCATTTTGGAACAATAAAAATTTTATTTAATGTTATGATTAAAATAATAAAAATTTATATATTTAAATAATATTAATAATGTAAAAGTTTAGCGGAGTACGATCATTGGTGAATCTGAGTAAATTCAGGGCGAGTGATCATCACCTCAAAGCCAGCCATCACCAACCAAACAGACCAGATTTAATGACTAAAGTTGACATCGATAAATATAGAGTTTACATTAACATGCATCCAGAAGCAAGAGAGAGATTTTTTGCTACTTACACTTGGTTACCCAAAATCACACCGTAATTCAATATTCAAATACTTAACTAGTCTATACAATTCAACTATTGCCAAATACATTGCAACTTCATTCTCAAGTGTCTAAGCTGAAGCTGTTTCCGATGTCTATTTCCCACCTAAAGTAAGGCATCTATTCAATCCCTTTAGCTTCATGAGAACGGCATCAATATATACACCTCATATAGATTCGGAAAAACCTTTAGATATGGTAGATCCTTAGAAATCGTGGGAGGAATCTTCTTCTTAACTACTAAATATCCAGTCTATTATGCTTTGGTTGCCCTATTTGGCTACACTATTGGATTCAATGTACTTACTAATTATAAATCTAGGCCTTCTTCTATGAACTCACAAGAAGAACAGTCATCAGAATGGATTTATTGCCTCATACACATCAGATTGCAGTTCAAAAAGTGGGTGCTTTTGGATAAGTGATCACTAAATTGCATTAAATTTCTGATTTGGAACACGTTGATTTTTCAGAGCAAGAAACAAAAGGTAATATCAATTGATACTATTATACAGAGAATTACTTTTGGAATCTAAATTACCATAAATTGGATAGAAATCTAATCTTCAAAGACAAATCAACTGGAGAATTTCTCACTTTTGACAGTGAAGGGTGGTGGGACAGACAAGCCCTAGAGCATGAATTGCTTAATTGATTATGATCAACAATTCAATAAAAAAATATATATCACCAATCGATTAATAATTTTATAGCTTTGTATTTCAAATTTTATAAGAGTATTTTATAATAAAATTCTGCATATAATAATTAGAGTATTTCATTCTGTAACTATCATTGAAAAATCATTTCCTTTTTGGCATTTAATCTATTAAGTCGATGATTTTCAATATAAATTCTTTAATTAAAGGAATAACAAAACTTTTGTTAAATATTTTTACATTTCTATTAATAAATTATTCAGATATTGTGATATAGTCAGCTCTAAATTCCATCCATAAAGGAATATGATCTTTGCAAGTCAAATTCTTTTGCTTTAATTAACATTTTTTGTACAATTAACTGCATTTTGATTGATAATCTTGTAGTTTGGCAAGAATTTCTTTGTTTTAATTTCATTCATAGAAAAAAATAAGTTTGTTTTTATGAGCTTGCTTCTTAAAACAATGTATCAAATGGATTATGATTTTAACAGCCTATTTATAATTGTTTAATTTGTCCATTAAATTAAATGAAGTATTCATGAATTGTATTCCAATTCTAACTTAGATTTGTTAGGCGAGGGGTACTCTATTTTATTATTACAGGCTCTTTCAATATTAATATTTATACACATTGATATAAAATCTTTATTAATTATTTAAATTAAAATGACTGAAGAGCAGGGCAAGTAACGATTTGCGTATACGGCACCAAAACAAATTTTAGAAGAAGCTGCACAAATTGGTGAAGACAATTAAACAAGAAAGTAAAATTTAGACAAAGTTGAAGAAAAGTTCAAGTACAAGCAAAAGAACCGCTAGTTGAGTCCAGAAAGAAAAGATGTTTTCAATGATTAAGGAGGTGAGAATGGGAGAACATATGCAGAAATCATGATCTAATAGGACTTGGAGAATTCCAGATCTGAAATTGAAAATAAAATCAAAAAGACTGAGACATTAAATAAGGAGGAAAAAAAATTGGTCAAATAATAAGTGAAGGTGGAATAAAATGTTGCTTAATAAATTAAATAGGAAAGATCAGAATGGGAATAAGAAAGCAAAGACGTTTCTAAAAAGCCTTAAAAATGGGAAACCCCATCCAGAGGTATTTTTAAATAGTTCATTAATATTTAGATGGTCCATAATCCTCTGCAAGAGCATCCAGATGGGATAATACAAATAAATTATAAGCTACTCCAGGTAGAGCAGGAACAGTATTCGGAGAAACGCCAACACCAGGACATATGGAAATTGGAGATACCCCTTATAAATACGGAGAAACTCCTACTCCTAATCGTTCGTACATAAAAGCCAGATGGGGAGAAAGAACACCATTGGCTGGTCAATCTGGATTTGGAGGAGGCATGACACCTCACACACCAGGAACTGTGATGAGGACACCAATGACTCCTGGATAATTAGGAAACATGACTCCTGATAGAGTATACTAGTTTAGATTGGAAAAAGAGATGGAAGAGAGAAATAAATATATGACAGATGAGGAATTAACCAGTATTTTACCTGGTCCAAAGGATGGTTATGAAGTAATGATAAATTAATAAAATAGATATTAAAAGCACCTGAGAATTATAAACCATTGAAATCATCATTAAAGAAATTATTAAATGCAAAAAATAGTATTGAATCACCAGTGTAATATCAAATACCAGAATCTATTCGTATTGAAGTTTCAGCTACTCCATCTCATCCTACTATAGGTCAATTACCAGCAATTAAGCCAGAAGAATATAATTTATTCTCAGCTTTGTTACAACCAATAAATGAAGATGAATTGACTCCAGAATAAGCAAAAGAAAGAAAGATTATGGCTTTGCTTTTGAAAATTAAGAACGGAACTCCTCAAATGAGAAAGTCAGCTTTAAGATAAATTACCTAAAGTGCCAGAGAATTTGGACCTGCTCCACTTTTCAATTAGATCTTACCATTGTTAATGTCTCCAACTCTAGAGGATCAAGAAAGACATCTTTTGGTGAAAGTAATTGACAGAGTCCTATTTAAATTGGATGATTTGGTTAGGCCATATGTACATAAGATATTAGTTGTTATCTAACCATTGTTAATTCATGAAGATTACTATGCTAGAGTTGAAGCTAGAGAGATCATTTCCAATTTAGCTAAGGCAGCTGGTTTGGCAACTATGATCACTACCATGAGACCTGATATTGATCATAATGATGATTATGTTCGTAACACAACTGCTAGAGCATTTGCTATTGTGGCTTCAGCTTTGGGTATTCCAGCATTATTGCCATTTTTAAAGGCTGTTTGCTAGAGTAGAAAGAGTTGGTAGGCTAGACATACTGGTATTAAAATAGTTCAATAAATCAGTATTTTTATGGGTTGTGCTATTCTGCCTCATCTGAAATCTCTTGTTGAAATTATATAACATGGATTGAAGGATGAATAATAAAAAGTAAAAACTATTACAGCTTTAGCATTAGCTGCTTTGGCGGAGGCCTCATTTCCATATGGTATTGAAGCATTTGATAATGTGCTTATTCCTTTGTGGGAAGGCATCAAAACTCATAAGGGTAAAGGATTAGCAGCATTTTTAAAAGCCATTGGATTCATCATTCCATTAATGGATGTAGAACATGCAACAGAGTATGTTAAAGCAATCGTACCTATTCTGAAAAACTAATTTGAAATATAGGAAGAAGAGATGAAGAAGATTGTATTAATGGTAATAAAATAATGCATATAATGTGCAGGTATAGAGGCTGTTTATGTAAGGGATTAGATAATGCCTGAATTCTTCAAATATTATTGGAGCAAAAGAACAGCCACAGACAGAAGAAATTACAGATAAATGGTTGAAACTACCTGTGAAATAGCTGCTAAAGTGGGAGCAGCTGAAATATTAGAAAGAATTGTAGGAGATCTCAAAGATGAAAATGAATCATTCAGAAAAATGGTTGTGGAAACTATAGAAAAGTTTATAAATTAATTAGGAGTATCAGATATTGATTCCAAATTGGAAAACAGATTAATGGATGGAGTATTATGGGCATTTAATGAACAACAAAGTGAAGATACCTAAACTATGTTGAGTGGATTTGGATCTATAATTAATGCATTTGGCAGTAGATCTAAACCATATTTCAGTTAACTAGGTGGTGTGTTATAATGGAGATTATCTAATAAATCACCAAGAGTTAGATAATAAGCAGCTGATTTAATTGGTAAAATAGCAGTTTGCATGAAGAATTGTTAAGAAGAAGCAAGATTAGGAAGATTAGGCTAGTTATTATTTGAATGTCTAGGTGAAGAATATCCAGAAGTTCTAGGATCTATCTTAGGAGGATTGAAGGCTATAGTCAATGTAATAGGAATGAATAAGATGTCACCTCCTATTAAAGATCTATTGCCAAGATTGACACCCATCTTGAAAAATAGACATGAAAAGGTTTAAGAAAATTGCATTGATTTAGTTGGTAGAATTGCAGATAGAGGACCAGAACATGTTTCTCCAAAAGAATGGATCAGAATATGTTTTGATTTGTTGGATTTATTGAAGGCTCACAAAAAAGGGATAAGAAGAGCAACTATCAATACTTTTGGTTATATTGCTAAAGCCATAGGACCCTAAGATGTCTTGTCTACGCTTTTAAATAATCTTAAAGTTTAAGAAAGATAACTTCGTGTTTGTACAACTGTAGCAATTGCAATTGTGGCAGAAACCTGTGGTCCTTTTACTGTCTTACCTGCTCTAATGAATGAATATAGAGTTAGAGAATTAAATGTGTAAAATGGTGTTTTAAAGTCATTATCTTTTATGTTTGAATACATAGGACCAACTGCATATTCTTATATTAATTCAGTTATCCCACTACTAATTGATGCTTTGACGGATAGAGATCTTGTTCATAGATAAACTGCCTCATCTGCTGTCAAACATTTAGCTCTTGGTGTCCAGTGTTTAGGATGCGAAGAACAACTTATGCATTTATTAAATCATGTTTGGCCAAACATTTTTGAAACTTCACCTCATGTTATCAATGCTGTTATGGAAGCCATAGAAGGAATGAGAGTCAGTCTTGGACCAGGCAATATTTTACTTTATGCATTATAAGGCCTTTATCATCCTGCAAGAAGAGTATGATCATTATATTTATTATTAGGTGAGATTGATTTATTGGAGAATTTATAACATGATTTATGTTGGCAGTTCTGATGCTTGCGTTGCATTCTACCCAACCTTTCCTAATGATCAGTATAATTCTTATGAGAAATACGAATTAAATTTAACATTATGAGAGTTGAAAATATTTGAAATCATATATATAAATTATCATAACATATTTATACTTGATATTAAATATTATGAATAATTAAAATTATAACCTAATTATTCTGAATTGGATCAGATATATTTACTAGACATACAATAGGTGAATTTACAACCTATAATGATGATATTTTAATTAATTTAGATTAAAAATTAAGAGAAATTACCAGACAGTTTTCAGAATTACATTTGTATAATTCAACCTATTTAAGTTAAAATTTAAATAATTTTAACTATTTATTGACATATAATGAATCTATATTAATGTCCTTTCAATATTTGTTCGAATTAGTTTCATTTTGAAATTATGAATTAATGCTTTTATTTTAAAGTTCTTCATTTAGTATTAAGTTGATGTGATTTGTTGAATATTGATCAATGCTTAAGCTATTTTTTGTTTATAAAGAAATCCAATCTTAAAATAATGTTTTATGTAAAAAGAGAAATTTAATATTTTGTAAATTAAACTATGTGTATTATACTTAAAATAAATAATAATATATATATAATTATATTCAACAATTTTTGTTTTCTGCATCCTTGCCATAGATATAAATTTAACCTTATGCATTTTTAAAGAATTCAAGTGCTAACACAGAATTCCTAATTAAGGATCATATTGAAAATTGAATGGATGCAATAAAAATAATAAATATTAAAGTAACTAAATTTATATTCAATTTAAGGTTTTCATTTCTTTAAACACTAATGTATCAATTTAAGAATAAAAGGTGTAAGAAAATAGGGAAACGAATGGATTTTAATAAAAAAAATATTGTTTTTGTATTACTGAACCTTTTAAATATTGGAACAATCGCTGTTGAATTAATGTATTCAAACTCTCAGTACAATGTGTCCTTAAATAGTGTAGAAATTATGTTTTCTCTAATAATTTAATATATATATTGAACTTTTTTTAATTTATTATATAATTTCTTATTAATCACATCCTTTAACTTGGGAGAGCCTATTGCTTTCTTATGCATAGATCTGAGTGCACTTAGATATATTATAAAATACTTGTTTGTTTAATTACTGGACCAGGTACATGGAATAATTATAAATTCTTTACAACAAAGAAATTTAATAATTGGAAAAAAGAAGGTGTAGAATTTGTTTGCCAGATCTATCTTGATTGAGATTTTTGATTGTGTATTTCTTTAAATTTTTAGATAATTAAATTTTAGTAAACATCCATAGGTCTGCTTTGTTGCTAATTGCTTTGCTTGAATTTCCGTAGTTAATAATAAGTGTAAGGGAGATGAAAATTATGCTTTATTAGGCAATTTGAATAGCAACCAACCCTTTTCTGAAAGAATTTGGGGCAAAAATACTCAACGAATGGGACACAGTATGGATGAATGAAATAAAAACTGATGAAAATTTTCTTAGTTGGGATAAATGAAAAAAAGTCTTTTTCAGAATGGGGACATGGCCTAGTTCAATTTTAGGGATAGACAGTCAAGGTAAGGCGGGTGTTGGTATTTGTTAGGTAAGAAACTTATAATTTGATGATGTAATTTTCTTGATGACCATTGTTAAAGGAAATTAATGAAGTTATTGCAAGAGGAAATTAGTACATATCTTAAATATAAATACTAATCTCAGACTATAATTATGATAACAATGTTACAAACATAGATATATACACAATCAATTAAAAAATTGATTTAAATTATCTTATTGAAGTTGACCAATATTTATAAACCAATTAATCTTTACAAATCTTGATTATATTTAATTTTATGATTTAAAATAAAGAACATCTACCCCAGGAATGGTTTGACTTTATCGAATAAATCAAAATTTTGAATCCTATTGATGAAGAAACAGTAAAATAATTTGTAAAAGTTCGAGTCAGCCAATTTCCATCAGATTAATAAATGAGAGAATACTACGAAGAAGTTTTTTCAAAGTATTACTATCATTCTACTATAATTAGATCGACTAATGATTCAAGTCGAAAGAAGTGGCATCAATAAGACAAAATGTTGCTTATTTGGAGCGTGACTAAATACTTGATGTCTTAAAATAGATCTGACCTTATTCCTGTAAGAGTTTTTATTTAATGTTAGAATAATGGGGATTGGGAATATATATCAAAAATACTGTGTGTAGATAAGTAATTAGTCGAGTTAAAATGGTTATCCTTACTCCATTCCAATCTAAAAATCTCAACCTGGACCAAAGAAGAGGATCAAATTTTGACAGATATTGCAAGGTAAGATTTTTATATATTTTAGTTAATACTATTCAAAAAATAATTGGACAGAACTAACAATTAAGTTTAATTAATTGTCCTAGACTTAGAGATATCCTAAATAAATTAGGGAGAGGTGGAATAACGTGTTAAACCCTACCATTTCCAAGTAAACGTGGACGAAGGAGGAGAAAATAAAACTCATCTAACTGATTTTAGATTATGGTAAGAAGTGGTCTAAAATACAAAATTAAATGAATAGTAGAAGTGAAAATTAAATCAAAAATCAATATAATGGTATCATCCGAAATTTAAAACGATTCAATGTAATTTTTCTTCTTTATTTTAAGGTTTAACCATCTGAAGAGAAATAATTACTAAAGGCAATCGCTGAGAACCCTGATCAAAAACTAAGTTTGACAGTTACTCAATTTATGTCTGATTTCTTGGCCAAAAAAGAAGCTTCCAAAAGAGTGGATACACCTTTGCTAAACAATAGAAAAGCGGAAGGTGCAAGCTTAAAAAAAACTCAAGTTGAATTACTTCCTATTGACAATCCATTAAGTACTTCAAGTAAGATAAAATAAATATATTTTAGATCTATCATAAATTGAAAAGTCCAAAATAAGTCAGGAATCTTAGCCTCAAATCCCTTTGACTCCGAACTTATACCAATTGTAAAATAGTAACCTCTCCATTCCTCAAATATAACAACAATAAATGTATTACGGAAACTAATATTATATGAACAGTTTCCCTAATTCCTATATGAATTATACTCCAATTAATTAGGCTTATCCAAACTATTATTAGTATCCCTTGAGTTCGGGATTTTAATAATATCCAGGATATTTCTGATGTTGTTGAAGCATAAGTGAGCAAAATATTGATATATATATTGAATAATATATTATTATATAAATTACATCAAAAAAGCTATATATACTTACTGCTAATAGATTAATCGAATTTACAATAGCCAATAATTTCGACTAATTCCACCCATTCCAAAAATAACAAAAGGAAATCTTTCTCAATTAATTTAAATACAATTTCGAGAATCATATAATAATTAAAAGTATAAATTGCTGTTTTATTAAATTATATATTTACATTATTATTTAAATAAAAATTATTAATACACCATAAAATCATAAACTAAATCTCAATCTAAAGAAATCAACTAAAGTAGAAATATTATTATTTGTTACTCAAATTAGCCCTCTTGTATTTGAAATGGCTGTTCAGTTTAATCAAAGCCAATTTGTTCAATATTTAGCTTTAATAACTGATATTATTATAAAGTTTAAGATTGCCATGCTGCTACTGATTTTTCGTATGTGTTTTTGTATTTCAATTACGATTATTTATTCATAAGTAGGCAACTTTATTGTATCAGAATTCAATTAGTTTTTAAGAAAAGAGTATAATCGCAAAGTCAAATTCTATTGAAACTAAATATATATTTAGATGCTACGATAAACTAAACGATGTACTTTTTTGATCTTTTCAAAAAGTATATGAAAATTGTTATGCTTGCAATTAATATTCATTTATAAAATTAAATTATTTAACATGTAAAATTTTTTGAATTATATTAATAACAGTTAAAGAGGATAATCTGTGATGATGAAAAATTTCTTATGTGANCCGAAATTTAAAACGATTCAATGTAATTTTTCTTCTTTATTTTAAGGTTTAACCATCTGAAGAGAAATAATTACTAAAGGCAATCGCTGAGAACCCTGATCAAAAACTAAGTTTGACAGTTACTCAATTTATGTCTGATTTCTTGGCCAAAAAAGAAGCTTCCAAAAGAGTGGATACACCTTTGCTAAACAATAGAAAAGCGGAAGGTGCAAGCTTAAAAAAAACTCAAGTTGAATTACTTCCTATTGACAATCCATTAAGTACTTCAAGTAAGATAAAATAAATATATTTTAGATCTATCATAAATTGAAAAGTCCAAAATAAGTCAGGAATCTTAGCCTCAAATCCCTTTGACTCCGAACTTATACCAATTGTAAAATAGTAACCTCTCCATTCCTCAAATATAACAACAATAAATGTATTACGGAAACTAATATTATATGAACAGTTTCCCTAATTCCTATATGAATTATACTCCAATTAATTAGGCTTATCCAAACTATTATTAGTATCCCTTGAGTTCGGGATTTTAATAATATCCAGGATATTTCTGATGTTGTTGAAGCATAAGTGAGCAAAATATTGATATATATATTGAATAATATATTATTATATAAATTACATCAAAAAAGCTATATATACTTACTGCTAATAGATTAATCGAATTTACAATAGCCAATAATTTCGACTAATTCCACCCATTCCAAAAATAACAAAAGGAAATCTTTCTCAATTAATTTAAATACAATTTCGAGAATCATATAATAATTAAAAGTATAAATTGCTGTTTTATTAAATTATATATTTACATTATTATTTAAATAAAAATTATTAATACACCATAAAATCATAAACTAAATCTCAATCTAAAGAAATCAACTAAAGTAGAAATATTATTATTTGTTACTCAAATTAGCCCTCTTGTATTTGAAATGGCTGTTCAGTTTAATCAAAGCCAATTTGTTCAATATTTAGCTTTAATAACTGATATTATTATAAAGTTTAAGATTGCCATGCTGCTACTGATTTTTCGTATGTGTTTTTGTATTTCAATTACGATTATTTATTCATAAGTAGGCAACTTTATTGTATCAGAATTCAATTAGTTTTTAAGAAAAGAGTATAATCGCAAAGTCAAATTCTATTGAAACTAAATATATATTTAGATGCTACGATAAACTAAACGATGTACTTTTTTGATCTTTTCAAAAAGTATATGAAAATTGTTATGCTTGCAATTAATATTCATTTATAAAATTAAATTATTTAACATGTAAAATTTTTTGAATTATATTAATAACAGTTAAAGAGGATAATCTGTGATGATGAAAAATTTCTTATGTGAGATAAAGGGATATTGATAGTTAATTGTTTTTGTATATATTTAAATTTGAATTAAAATTAAGTTATGTTTGTACGAGATTTATATAGAATATACATATATATTCAAATAGAATGATGATTAAAATAATTGAACAGATCTTATATGATTTAGAAAGCAAATGGTCTTATTCTATTAATGCTGGTTTGTAACTATTATGGAGTAATATTAGCTTAGTATGCAATCAACCTGATATTGATACCACCTTGTTTCAGGTATATGATATCAGTGGCTATTTTTACTGCAATAGCATTTTAAAGAGATTTTGGCAATTTTTAGATGAGAGGCTACATTTACCTCAAGAGTGTAGCACAAACAGTTGTAGCTTTTGAATCTATTTTGAGTTTTTTGCAAAGAGTTGTAATCAAAGAAGAATGTTGTTATTAAATACATTTAGCCAAGTTTAGGAGCTTCTCATCTGTTTCAGGTACCTTGTATTGTAACTCACTCATTGCACAATAGACTAATGCTTATGCATGCATATAGGAATTCGGAATGGATAAATCATTAAAGATGGAGATTGATTTTTTTTCTACTTCATCATCTAGATTCATTTTGAAAACAATGTCGGAAATCAATTCGTACATATCCTGATTCCTCTTTGGAGTATTGCATTCTTCATGAAATTTGGGGACAGGAGGTCTTTTGAGCATGTTTATTTAATTAATTGACTTATATTTGGTTTTAATAACCAGTTTATTTGATTCTATTAGTATAAATAAATTTGAATTGATTAATATAATATATTTGATATGATGTCATATGAACACATTCCATACAATAACAACACCATCTTAAGCACCTGAAATGACTTATTTCCCATCTGGAGCAAATTGTACAGTATTGACTGGTCCAGAATGTCCAAACCCTTCTGAGATTTGCTACCCCGTCTATAGATCCCATAATTTGACTGAACAATTAGATCCTCCAGTGACAGCATATTTAAAATTGGGGGATAGACAAATTGAATAACATTCATCACCTTAAATTAAAATAAAATCTAACCTTTTTTTGGATTCCCACTTGTTTCAAATTATCTCTAAACTTCACTTTAATTAAGATCCCAAAGTGAAATTTTCCTATCTTATCCAGTACTAAAAACAACTGAAGTATTAGGGACAGTGTCAAATGAATTAATACCACCCATTCTTTGAATATGTGCACTAATTCTTTTTTCAGTCTTCAAATCCCATTGCAACAAAGCTCTATCACGAGATGAAGTCAGTAACTGTGTTTCATTAGCAATCAATTTAACTTTAGTAACTTTATGAGTGTGTTCTTTCAAATGTGATACCATTTCTCTGGTTCTCATTTCCCAAACTCTGACATCTCCCTCTCCTCCACCACTGCAGAAGAATTTCAGATTATTCGAGATGCAAAGTGTAGTCACTCCTGTCTTATGAGCATTATCAATCTACCAAATTTATTAACCATTATCAGATCTGAACATCCTAATCTTACCATCAGCCCATCCACTTAATAGTACTTCATCTCTATAAACTAAACTTAATGGAACAACATTAACATTGGCTTAACATTTAGCAATCACATAATATTCACTAATATCCCAAAGTCTGATAGTTCCATCTTCAGAAGCTGATGCAAATCTATCAGAAACTCCTGGTGGATAACTCATATCCAAAATAGACCCAGTATGATTTTCACTATGTAATCCTTTCTAAAAGCTGTTTGTGTTGAATCTAAAAATCAATCCTCTATCTGTTGAAATCAAACTCTCTAAACCATCTACTCTTACTGTTATTGAATTAACTGCTCCTCCTAAATCAGTTTTGTGTAATTAATTTATCTAATTTATATTAATATTATACTTTATTATCTTCTGTGATCTAATACATTGCCAAAGTACCATTGCCTGCTCCAACTATAAACCTCGTAAAATCTACGAATCTTATTGACATTACTCCCAAAGCAGCCACTACAATTTAATGACTGAAAAATCTATTTAATTAATTAATTGTATTACTTATTTTTCATCTAGAATACGCAAAAGTCTCCTGATGTTGTACCTAACAAAAGATACTCTTCTCTATTTTTTGAAAATTCCATACAAATGTAATCTCTAACCAAATTTCCTGTATTGATTATTTCCTTCTCAAACACTCCTAATTTAGGGTCCAATTTCCATAAACATATTTATTTATTTCCAGATGTCGCAAATTGATACTTTGGTGTATCTCTACCTTTAATATCTTTAGCAAATCCACCCCATCTTGCTATTGTAGTTGGCTCAGGTGTGTGATTGACTGATCCTACTATATATCCTGTTTAGCAATCCCAAATGAATATTCTTTTATCCATTGGGTTGCCTGATGAGAAGAGCAGTCTATCATCATGACTAAAATCTACGCATACTACTTCATAATCATGTTCTGATAATCTATATTTTTGAATTTTTCTATGATAATCCCAAATAATAACATCAGAGTTGTCTCCTTTTTATCCTGATGCAACTAATTCACCTCTGTTTGAAACTGCTAAACATGTGATTTAATCATCATGTCCTTATAAAAATGATTATTTGTGAGCATCTCTTAAATCAGTTATTATTAAAGATGCTCCAGCAATGCAAATGAATTCAACTCCATTTGGATGCAAGATCACACTCCGAGGTATCTTATATTTATATTCAATTATACTCTTCCACTATATCCAATTGCATGTTCCATCTCAAGAATATCTGCAGAAGGTTGTTTCATTTTTTATATATAATATATATATTAATTTATATTAAATATTATCTAAACTAATCCTTATACAATTAATAACTGCATAATGCAGGAAATATCTGTAATCTACTTTCTATCTATCATTATTGGGAGATCATAAACATATCATTTATACTTTAAATATCTGAATATTCAGTTTTCATTAAATATACAAAGTATTGGAATGATATATCAAAATTATAATTTCAGTGTTGTTGAATAATGAATTTTAAAGGTGTACAAGACAAAATAATCTCCTTTGATAATGTAATTACAAAATGGAACTTTCTAAGAACAATTGTTACTAAAAAGTAATATCATTTTAGAAACAATTTATTATCTTTTTAAATCAAACTCAGAATATCGCTGATGCCCTATAATGTTTCAAATAATTGAAGTAATAACAATAAAACGTATTTTGAAAGAGATTAGCAATTATAATTATATGATGAATTCAGCATTAAGATAATCATAGTATTATTTTATAATTTCTTACCATGATATACGATAAGTTAATAAGAGTTTAAAAAATAGTTAATCTTAAAATTTCGTATTTGTTAGATCATTTTGCTTATGCTTTCTTATACATTATTTGTTAGGTTTCTTAAAATTTTCTAATTCTAAAAATGAAATTTAAGAATTTATTTATAGAGATCAAACAAATCAATCAATATGTTCGCAAGCAATTTGATTATTCTGATTAAGATTGGGTGTGCTGTAAGTCAATAGTATGATGGAGATGAAGGGTTATATGTAAATATAATGACTAAGGCACATATTTAACAATTACTGTTCGATTTTAAATGGAAGATTAATCAGAAATAAATTTCTATGATTTGTGAGGAGTTATCTGTGATTCTTTTTAAGGGAATATGAAAATATTGAGTGCGGCTCTGTAAGTTCTGTGGAGCATTGGGGTGATCACTCTATTTTGTTGTTTCTATTATTAGTTTGGGTTTGCTTAAATTAAATAAAATTCTCAATCTTATAATTATAATTAAAAATGGATGAATTTCAGACTTTCTTTCATAGCTTAGGTGAAAAACAATCGACTCCTATTTCTGAAGATTACCGAAAACAATTCAAGATTAGAGGGGAGTTCATCTACCCGCATAATAAGAAGTTTGATCAAATTTGTAAAAGGTTTTCTAGAGTTTTTAAAACTAGCTTTTTGGAAGATGAAAAATTAAGGAGCAAAAGAAAATGGGATAATTCCTTTAAACTATTTTTGATATGGTTTCTAGTTAAATATTTCGAGAAGTAAAATCAAATAACAATACGACCGGTAGAAGTTTAACTCATTATATGTTAGGGGGAGAGTGATTGGATTAATTTTGAAAACATTCTGAAAATAGATAAGCATGCTCTACAGTAAAGGTGGATTACATTGATTAATCCTCAGATGAAATCTATCAATTGGTTGTAGGAGGAAGACGATTTCATAAGGAATCAAATGAAGTAAGTTAGGATCACTTAGTGTATAATAGTTAAAAGAATAAGCACATATGGACACAGATTGCGGTGTCTCTTTATGAGAGGAATTTGCAAGGGAATATTCGAACTCCAAAACAAATTAGAGAGCGATGGATGAATTATTTGAATCCTGAATTAAATAAGTAATTAGTTATCTCTATTTATAGGGAACAATGGTTGCTCAAAGAAGATTTGATTATATTAAATAACGTTGTGAAAAATGGAAAAAAGTGGTCTCAAATTTCATAGTAATTGAATGGAAGAACTGAGAATCAGGTGAAAAATAGGTAATTGAATTACACAATTACATAAGATACAAGTCATTAATACATAAAATCTGCAAGGATGATGAATGCGATGAAATAGAGATGATCAAATAGTACATAAGGAAAAAGTATGTAATAAATTATTAGGTAGTTCTGTACATATGGATTCTAATAAGCAAGGTATCATTGGTAAAAGGGGAAGACACAAAAAGGGAATGAGAAATAAGGAACAAAAAGCAGAAGCTAAGAAGCAAAAAAATATTCCTAAAATAATAAAATAAGAAGAACAACAATCCCAATAGCCTTTCTTATAATAACAATAATAGGCACCCTAATAATAGATATTTACATAATCCTAACAATTGTAAATGTAATAATAGATGCAACAAACATAATAATTGCAATAGCTGTAGCAGTTATAATAGTAGATGAATTTTAATTAGGAAGAAATGAAGTTGGCATTAAATTTGTAATCCACTTTTAATTAAGAGGATATGAAAAACGCCACTCCATTGATGATGTTATAATGTTTAACTTCCCCAGGATATTAGTACTTTGAAAATCAATGCTTGAGATAATTGTCTCCTGGAATGATTGAAGAAGTAGAATGCCATTAAAATTCGTCATTATAATTACCCAAAATGGCTAATATTTACAAGGTGAATTCTACATCCCCGTTTTTGCTTGGGTCAATGATGCAGTCTCCATTTTGGAACAACGATCAATTTATTCAATAGAACGAAGATCAAGTGGGAGCTACATCAAATCAAACTTTCACCTAATAAATTTCCACAACTCCTTATTTAAATCTGAATTACTTCAGACCTCAATAGATGAATGGGTTCTCTAAATAGAAGGAATTAGATTTGTTGCAGGAGAATCCAATATAGCAATTCAATAAAAGAAGAAATATTAATTAATAGTGAAATGATAATAATAATATATATATATTTATATAAATCAATAATGATAAAGAACAATACTAATTTAGACGCTCTAAATGTAACACCTTTTTTATGCTGAATATAGGGGTTGAAATATGAACTGCAGATCATTGAAGATCAGAAGACCTAGGAGTTGAAAGATCTGAAATTATTTTTTAAAACTCTACAATAGAAAGTCTGGGATTTAAAGAGAAAAAGTAAACTTCTACATTATCAATTAGATTACAATTAAAAAATATGTTTCATTGATCCTCTCCTCAGGGACTCATTATTATCTATGCAGCATTTAATTGGGCTCAAGGCAGAAGCAATTAGATAGTTGGAGGATGAGAAATACAATCAATAGGTTGATCGAGAGAAATTGGGTATTGTAAATATACATCGAATAGTTGTATTGCACAAGTATTAAGAGAGTGGTGTTGAGGTGCATCACGCTTACACAAAATACATCCAATCTGAAAATCTAAAGGGCTTAAGAGATTTGCCTCACTCATATAAATTGTTGGAATAGGACCTCGAAATTGAGGTGGAGAGAAAGCGCCAATTAAAATAGTAGTTGGAGTCCCAGAAGAAACAAACCGAAGAATTGATATAGGAGACTCGCAAAAAACTTGAAGTTGAATTAAAATTTTCTACATATATCAGGAAGCTACATCTTTCCATCATTCGCTGCAGTAAAAAATAGACCAGGAGAAAAACTGAAAAAGCATCCACACGAAGTCCATATATAAACATATTTTATTTTTTTTTTATCTTTCTTTATATGGATGACAGTGTCACCAGTATGATTAATTAAATAATTTTGAAATTAAATGGAAGTGGAAGTTCAGAATTTAACCTAGGAGGAACTTGAACTCTTCAAATAGCTCAAATTGAGAGAACAAGAATTGGAGTATTTAGACATTTAAGAATAATATTTGAAAGATGATCAAAAAAGATTGAAAAGAGAATTAGTGAGAAGCAGAGAAGAATTGAAAAGAATCCAGGCAGTCCCCTTAACAGTTGGGTATATATTCGAATCTAATAATCTATAGTCATTTTAATGAAATGATGAATGAGAATTATGCTTTGATAAATTCAAATGGTGGAGCCACCCTCTATGTGAGAGTGCTCAGCACCTTGGATCGAGAAAAGTTGAAACCCAATACCTCAATTGCTTTGCATAGACATTCACATAGCGTGGTTGATATTTTGCCAACAGAAACAGATTCTTCAATTCAAATGATGCATGTAACAGGTACTTAATAAACACGATAAAAGAAAAACCTGATGTAAGCTATTAAGACATTGGTGGTTTGGATTAACAGAAGTAAGAAATCAAAGAAGCTATTGAATTGCCGCTTTCTTGTCCTGAATTATATAAACAAATTGGTATTGATCCACCAAGAGGTGTCTTATTGTATGGCCCTCCTGGTACTGGAAAGACAATGATAGCCAAAGCTGTTGCACATCATACCACTGCATCATTTATTAGAGTTGTTGGATCAGAATTCGTATAGAAATATTTGGGAGAAGGACCGAGAATGGTTAGAGATGTTTTCAGATTGGCAAGAGAGAATGCTCCAAGCATCATATTCATTGATGAAGTCGATTCTATTGCAACAAAGTAATTCAGCAACTTATTCAAATTTTAGACGTTTTGATGCCCAAACAGGAGCTGATAGAGAAGTCTAAAGAATTCTTATTGAATTACTCAATCAAATGGACGGTTTCGATTAAAGTACAAATGTCAAAGTGATTATGGCTACTAATAGACCTGACACTCTTGATCCAGCACTCCTCAGACCTGGGTAAGCTTTATTTCACTATGCATTTTAGTCGTCTTGATAGGAAAATTGAATTCCCTCTTCCCGACAGAAGATAAAAGAGATTGATATTCTAAACTGTCACTTCAAAAATGAATTTGTCGGAGGAAGTTGATTTGGAAGCCTTCATCAATAGACCTGATAAGATTAGTAATGCGGACATTGCTGCCATCTGTCAAGAAGCTGGAATGCAGGCTGTAAGAAAGAACAGGTATGTTGTCATACAGAAGGACTTCGATAAAGCCTACAAAATTGTAGTTAGGAAAACTGAGAAAGAGTTTAATTTTTACAAATGAATTATATAATATAGATATATATATACGAATTATCTAATCTTATGGTATTCATTAATTCATTATTAAATCAATAATAAAATTAATATATATATATTATATTCATTTATACCATGTCACAATCTAGCGATATAACATAAATGAGTGATAATAACTCACCAGCTTAGAAGTCTTCTTTACAACCTGATGTTGCTAATATGCTTAAAGCTCAAAAAGATGATGTTCCCATAGGTAAGAAGCATCAAGCAATACTCCCTCCCACCCTTCTAAGCAGAAAATAGATTGAATTAAAAAAATCGAATTTATCACATTATAAGATATGGAATTCTACTTCTAATGAAGATATGTAAAGGATTAATGAAATATACAAATAATTCCGTAGGAAATTTGGAAGAAATGCTTAACATCTAGACGAGTTCTTTACTTTATTAAGTCGAACAAATTAAGATCTAGAGTTAGTTAAATAGTTAATCTTATTTGAAGATAAATTTCTCTAAAAATACATCTAAACGAGAAGTTCTTAATTAAAATGTGATTGATATTAATATGCTTTCATTTCATTTCAAGAAATACTCATATTTTATATTTGACATCTAAAATTTATTATTATTTATACACATCATCTATTAGTTATATTGATGATTAATCAATATTCCACATAACAACGTAATAAATATGCATTCCTCTTGCAGAACAAATAACAAAAACGAAAAAGAATTGATCATTTTTATATGGAAATTTCAATTTTCAATTAATATAAAGAATTATAATTTGAATGTATCTACTTAATAAATATAATGTTAAGTTTATTCAATTTTGCTAATATGACAACAATTCATCTGAATCTTAAATTACGTTACGAATTCTATCAAAATTGTTAGGCTAACATTTAATCAATTATTTTACTTATCCTGCTTAAGGTGAAGATTCTGGCATTTCTTGTTATGGAATCTAGTTTGATGCCTTCAATGGTTGATTTCCTTATGGTTTATATTCCAAAACTGTAATTTCTCTATCAAATTAGTCGTTCTAGAATTAATTAACAGAATACTCATACCATTGGAACTAATGTTTGTGCTAATTTCACTGGAACTTTTTCACCAGGAGGTATTTAAGTGTAATTATTAGGTGGAGGAGGTCGATTCAAATAAATAACAGGTAATTATATAGGAGCAGATTACTAGATAATGGGTCTTAGCATTGGTTGTTATTATATAATATTAGGTGGTTGTGGTTGCTATTGCAAAATTTTAGGAGGAGGGGGGGTTACATAAACATTTTATAATGGCTATAAAGGAGGATGGGGTTGTGGACTTAGTGGTTGATAATATGATTATCGTATTTTGATTTGATCATCTGGTGATCTCGGAGTTCTTATAAGTTACTGTTATAATTATTATGGAGGTAATTAAGAAACTATTTATTAAGGTTTTGGAATCTATTAAGATTGCATCAACAAACGTTAGAGTAGTTGAGGTTACTGATTTACAAATTATTAAGGTTAAGGAGAAGTCGACTTTCTTAAATCTGGACTTTGAATTTACGACACTGTTTATTAAGGAACTCTTGGAATTATTACATGTTGCTAAGGAGATACTTATTATTGCTATTGTGTGATATTTTGGGGTTGTTATTAAATTAAGTTTTAGTTTTATAATTATATGATGTTTTGTATTTAAGCTGGGATCTGTTATTGCTATTATGGAGTCTGTGTAATAATTTGTTATGAAATTGTTGGTTACTGGGTAACTGTTGGTTATTAAGTTAAATTTGGTAATTATAATTATGATTAAATTTATTGTTGTATATTAGAAGTAGTGTATATTTGTTGATTTTACGATTATTACAAAATTAGATTTTTTTAATATTGCAATACATCTTATTGTTAAATCTACTATTATTTTTATTAGAATAATAATTACTACTGTTACTACTCTAATATTAATTGTTATTATTCTTGAGCATTGACTTTCAATTATTGTTGTTATTTAATATTATCAAGCTATTACGATTCGTAGAGTATTTCTGAATGCCTGTTTGAGTTTTCGATAATTTGCTTTATCTTTAATTTAGACATGTTATTTATGGGAATGGTTTATTACTTGATATCTTCAAAATTAATTTAAAAGTCTTATAGGTTGCTAATTTTTTCTGAATAGGGTTTCAACATGTAGAATAGATCCTACACCAATAGTTAATTATCAGTTTCTAACATTAGATGCTCAGTTATTCGGATTAATTGCTATGAGAAGCGATTATAACATAACAGTTATAACTAAGCAATTTGTTAAGGTTCAATTAAAACGGGTACATCAAGTATCATAAGATCAAGAATTATATGTCCTAAAGCAAACGAATCTATTTTATTCCAATTGATTTGTAGTTGTGATTGATCGATAAGTGATTTTTTTAATGAAGTGGGGAGATAAGTCTATAAATTTTCAACTACAAATCTGGCGACTGAGTTTTTTTGATCTTACAAAACTCCGATGGGACAGAGTTTAACTGCGCCGTTGCGTTTTAGTCCGACTGTAGCTGGTCTTAAGTCTTTGTGATTAAAGCCTTTTTATTTGAGTTCGAAAAGGGCTTGTGTCAAAGACCATAACAAATACCAAATCTCTTTTTCTGAGAATTGTTCTTGATTTTCCTTCCTTTCATTTATTTCTCTATCTTAAATATTATAAAATACTTCAACAAAGTGTGAGGAACATATTCGTAATAACTGAAAATCATGGAATAGGATGAACACATTTCCTTTGATTGTTTTTCTGAACTCCCATAATAATTGATAATGTATGGTGCCTATATACTATAAATCATAGATTAAGATTAATGCCAGAGTTCATCTGTCTCCTCATCAATTATTCGGTTTGGGTATTCAATAATCATCTCTTAATTAGCATCACAAATGTAGACTTGTCCATCGACCTTCTCTCCAGAAATCTCGATTGGTCTAAACTAACTCTTAAATGTCTTGAAGAAAGAGGTAGAATTCATATATGCCGGAGCAGATGTTCCCATTTAATAAGTAAAAATAAAAATTATTTCAATGTTTCTTAAATACAATCAGCAGTTAATTCCTTAACTTATTTTTTCTTTTCTTTTCTTTTTGCAACTAGTAACCAAAAGTATGGATAACAGTAGGATCATTATCGTTCCAATTTTGCATATTACAATTACTTGCAATTTATCAATTACAATTGTTGGATTTTAACTTTCTGACGTTGTCTTATAGTTGACAGAGAATCTATATTATTAGTTTATTGACATTATTCACTTTTATCCATATGAGATTATCATAACGGCTCTGATAATTGGGAGGTTTTCTTTAAACAATTTTGTTTGCCGTCATGGTACCAAGGATTCATCAGATAAAAGGATTTTTAATGAAGGTTATTCTTTGATTTAAGCAATAAATCACATTTCACAATAATTAATCATTTAATTCTATTTTGAGATGATCTCCATTATACTATTATAAACTTCGATTTCCTTACCTTAATTGCCTTAATTAAATTACTACATTCATTATTTATATTTTCCAATATTATCCCACATTACTTCTCTCTTTATTTATTTAGATTCATAAACCCCAATCAAATTTAGATTATTCATAATCATGTATTACATAATTATGCTCTATCAATTATGAAACTCCTATATGTTTAATTGTAATTGAGTGACACTTAATCTGGATCTGCTTAATGTGTCTGTTTGATTAGTTAATCTTCTTCTGAATCATCTGAAAAACTCATTAATATATGCATATCTGTAATATATTATTTTATTTTAGAAAGAAAAAGAAATGCATTCGAAGGGTAAGAGAACTTTAGGTAATATAAAATGATGGAGTATTTAGGCCCAATATAAAAAATCAATACCCCTTCCTTTGATTTTCAATCAGCCTTTAAGGAACATTAGGAAGTAGAGGAAAGGATTAAAAAAGAAACTGAAACCCAAGACCCAAGGTATTGTGACTCACATATTTTCAAGGAAACTTGTGATGAATCTATTGAACGATAGAGACAACTTACAACCCATAGATGGCACTCTAACTAGTTCATAATTTGGGATGAAGAAAAAGGTAATTCTAATTTATATATTCTTAAAATAGATAAACCTACGTACTAATCGATAGGTTAAAAGTTAAGTGCCTTTACTTACTGGTTAGATCAAGAATTTGACTTCACTTAATTTTAATTCTCCATCCAATACATTGAAATTTGATGTGGATTCCTAATTCAATTCCAAAAGGTCAAATTTCATTCCAAATTTTATAAATTCAGGCAGGAATTTCGATGTGGAAGTGAAAGGAACCTTGGGCGAAGAATTCACTGAATTTTAGATGTGTAATTACCTTAATTCAATAATTAGATGATGATGACTCATAACCTGAGGACATTCCAAAAAATAAGAATTTCTCCAATGGAGGCAGAATGGCCAATAAAAAATTGAAGGATTACGATTGTTGGGATGAAGACAAAACTCCTGAACAATGGATTGAATTATGTCGTAAAACCAATCCTCCACATGCCAAGTGTCCACTTTTTGATCATTCGGACAAATACATTTGGACAGACGTTGAAGTTCTTAGCTATCAAGATGGACGCTATGAAGTTAAAGTATTGAGAAATAATAAAATCAAATGGATTGGAAGACTGTCTTTATTGTTCTTTGCAGAAGACCCCATTAAGTTTGAATAGAGAGTAGAATTGTGTAAGTAAAGATAAAGAAATGCTGATGATGAATATCGATTTCTTAAATACATCGATTCTTTGCCTGATTCAATGACATCTACTTTGTCGACTGAAATGCAAAAGAAGATTGATGATTTCACCTACTTCAGAGAATTACCTTATATAACAAAAGAGGATCCTAGCAAAACAGCCCCAGGATTTCCATAAATACAAAGCTTAAAGGATGAATCAAAGACAATGATTACAGACCCAGAAATAAAGAGAAAATAATTACAGAATTTGGATCTACTCAAAAAAGATCTAGTTAAACAAGTAGAAAAAGAGTACATTATGCTCATGAAGAAATGCTCAATTCTAAAAGATATGGAAATTAATAAAAATGATATTAAATGGATCCAACTTAGAATCAGAAATAGATTTGAGTAGATCAAAAAACCATTCTATGGATTGTGTAAACAGTTTGGAAGTGATACCAAGATCATTACTTATGAATCATAAGCTCAATCAGCTAAATCATTTAATAAATAATAAGAGTATTGGGCATTTGTCCCTACTAGATAAGTTATCTAATCATTACATTATTCCAAATTGACTGTTGTTGTTAATACACTTAATGCCTTGACTGCAAGATCTCAATTATATCAAAACTTCCCATTGTTAAATGTATTGCTGAATCATCAATCACTTCCAATGACTCTATCCAATTTTGAAAGTCAATAAAAACAACATTAAGTGCAAGGTAGATAAACTCTATAAGTGCAATGGAGGAGTACCATCGTTGGTGATATTCAAGATAAATTAAGGGAAAAGTATAGATTCTATTAGACTGAAACTGAAGATTATTTAGATAGTGACTTGTAAAAGTTACTGATAAGAATTGATTACATGTTTACTAATTACATCAGAGAGAACGTAGTCAAATAGAATTGTATAGCTTGGGTTGACTTTATTAAGAAATTTACTACTCCAAAACAAGGAGAATATTGGAGGATTAATGATTACCCACTTATGATTCTTAATCTTGAAGTCAATCTTAGTTTCAAAAGGAGTAAGAAAAATGAAAAGAAGGTCAAGTAAGATGATACTCCACTATTTGAGGAAGATCCCACTAATGCTATTTACTATTCTCCAAGCTTACAATCTATATAAGCTGCCCTCTTGAAACCATTAGATCTGTTGTTAGAATCAGTTAATTCATTTAATCGTTTAGAAAAAGATCTTGTTCCTCTCGTTGATATTGATTAAAAAAAGGAGGTTAAAGGACGATTAAGAGCCTATGAAATAGAAAATGATTAGGATTAGATTTGGGTTAAGTGGGCAAGAGACAAGATTTTGGAATACGTTGAAATTGGTTTTCAAAAACCAAATGAAATGCTTTAGCGTTTTAGAGAATATAGTTTTCTTTTAGAAAAACCAGTTTCAAGCATATTAAAGAGTTTATTTGGTGATATTTCTAAGAAACCAATCATAACATCTTTGGATAAGGATGAGATCCAAAAAAAATTGAATGATTTTATCAATGCTAAATTGTAAATACAAAGGTTGTGTTTGGATGAAAAGAATGAATAATTCTTTTAGATAAAAACAAGAATTGCAAAGGAAAATTTAATTTAAAAGGCAAATGAATTTGTGTCTTCTATTTTGAAACAATGCTCAGAAATAGTGACAGACAACATTAGTCGTCTTAGTGTTGAGTATAATGATATGAGTGAAAGAATTACAAAGCAACCAAAAAATGAGGCAGAATTAGTAGAATTAAAGACCTACATCGCTGAACATGAAGTTAATTTAGCCAAAAAGAAATAAGAAGTAGATTGCCTATATGATTATTTGACAATATTTGAGGAAATGAACCATACATTTGAAGACAAAAACCTTTATGAATTTTGGAATTTGTATAGTTTCCCACCAGAAATTAAGAATCATGTCATTGAAGGATAAAGAAAAGCAAATCTTTAGGAGTAAAAGTTCATAGAAAATTTGGATAATGAAAAGGATAAGTTTCAAGGCGAATTGAGAGAATTAGCTGAGTTATATCTCACAGTTTAGAAATTCGATGATTACACCAAAGCAAAGGAAAATGCCACTGAAGTGATGTTATTAAATGAAAGATTATAGAAGGCTAAGGAGAAAGTAGAATCCTTCAATGAGAGAGAAAGATTATTTAAATCCCCAGAATCTGTCTATGATGAATTGGAATAGTTAATTAAGAACTTTGCTATTTATTATAATTTATGGACTTATTTCATTGAATTTGAAATGGAAAAGGGAGATTGGTGTACTGGTTCATTTTTAAAATTGAACTTTACTGAAATAGATTCTAAGGTTAGAACTAATTAAAGAAATGTCAATATACTCATTAAGGCATTCTCAGATACAGGAGATGATACTGCTGTAGAAGTGGCTAGAAAACTCAAGAGCCAGATTGATGAGTTTAAAGAAAAGTTGTGGTTAATTGAATTACTTACGACAGAGGCCATGAAAATTAAATTGAATATGTGGAAGGATATTTGGAAGATTGTTGGAATTGTTGATTAAGAAACAAATGATGACCTATCATTAGATACACTTGTCTCACATGGTTTGATGAATCATAGAAGTGACATTGAGGAAGTATCAAGAAGGGCTGAAAAACAATGGTAAATTGAAAAGAATCTGAATTTAATTCAAGAAAAGTTGAAAGATTAAAAGGTTGAGATGATCCCATACAAGAAGACTGGAACTTTTGTGTTAAAGTCTCTTGAAGAAGTAGTCCAATGTTTTGATGATCAATTCAACATCTTATTGATGCTAAAGGCACAACCATAAATAAAGGCAGTCTTACATAAGGCTTAAGCCTTAGAATACAAGATAGTATTGATTTAAGATACCTTGGATGGATGGATAAAATGTTAAAGAGGTTGGATGTATTTAGAACCAATCTTTACGTCAGACGACATAAAGAAGAAAATGCCTTAAGAAACATTAAAGTTTTAGAAGGTGGATTCGCATTGGAGAACAGTCATGGAATAATTTAGCAAAGAGCCAAATTTATGGGATGGAGTAGAGAGTGATAAGATGAAAAATGAATTTGATTAAGATAATAAAGCTTTAGATTAGATTTAGAAATCTTTGAGTGAGTATTTAGAAACTAAACGTAATTCTTTTCCAAGATTTTACTTTTTATCAGATGAAGAATTGTTAGAAATTTTGGCATAAACTAAGGATCCTGAAACTGTACAAAAGCATATTAATAAATGCTTCGAAGCCATCAATTTATTGGAATTTGTCAATGGATAAGAGGTTGTTGCGATGATTTCAGCTGAAAAAGAGAAAGTACCTTTTTCAAAAGCTATAAATGTAAATGAGGGAGATAAAAAAGGAAATGTTGAAAAATGGCTTTGCGAAATTGAAGCAGTTATGATAGACACTCTTAAAAAGATTATGAAGGCATCTCATTTGGATGTAGATACTAAAAGAGTGGTTTGGGTTAGAAAATGGCCAGCATAAATAGTGTTAGCTGTTAATATGATCAGATGGACTAGAGGTAGTGAAACCTCAATAAATGATAAGGATAATTCTCATGGGGGATTGGCAGGGTTCTTATAATAATTAATAAATGAACTTAGAGATATAGTAGATTTAGTTAGATAGGATTTATCTCCTTTAGAGAGATTAACATTGGGAGCTTTGGTTGTGTTGGATGTTCATGCAAGAGATGTTATCAGATAGTTGGTTAAAATTGGTTGCAATGATATTAATAATTTCTAATGGATGGCATAGTTAAGATATTATTGGACTGAATAGGTAATGAAATGTAACGTAAGAATGATAAACGCTGATTTACTCTATGGATATGAATATTTGGGTAATAGCATGAGATTGGTTATTACACCTTTGACAGACAGATGTTATCGTACTTTGATGGGCGCATTCCATTTATAATATGGAGGTGCACCTGAAGGTCCTGCAGGAACAGGTAAAACAGAAACAGTCAAAGATTTAGCTAAGGCATTAGCAGTCTAATGTGTTGTGTTTAATTGCTCTGATGGTTTGAATTATTTAGCTATGAGTAAATTCTTTAAAGGGTTGGCAAGTTCAGGAGCATGGTGTTGTTTTGATGAGTTTAATCGTATTGATTTAGAAGTGTTATCAGTTATTGCTTAATAAGTACTTACTATCTAAGATGCTATCAAACAAAAGAGACCAGAATTTGAATTTGAAGGAACTCCAATTAAACTTGTGCCTTCCTGCGCTATCAATATCACAATGAATCCAGGGTATGCTGGAAGATCTGATTTACCTGACAACTTAAAAGCTTTATTTAGACCATGCGCTATGATGGTTCCAGATTACGCATTGATTTCAGAAATCTATTTAGCTTCAGTAGGATTTCAAGATGCAAATAATTTGGCTCGCAAAATTGTTGCTTCACTCAGATTATCGTCAGAATAATTATCATCATAAGACCATTACGATTTTGGTATGAGAGCTTTGAAAGCTATTTTGACAGCTGCAGGTAATTTAAAAAGAGTCATGAATGATATTGAGGATATTATCTGTTTGAGAGCACTTATGGATGTCAATATTCCAAAGTTTACAATTAATGATGTACCTCTATTTAATTCAATTACTTCTGATCTCTTTCCAGGAATTAAGTTACCAGAATAAGACTATGGAGCATTGGAAACAGCACTCAAAAACATAGCATAAGAGATAAATATTTAAGCAGAAAAAGGTTTCATTGAAAAATGTATTCAATTATTTGACACCATCAATGTTCGACATGGTTTGATGATTGTAGGATAGGCGTTTGCAGGTAAATCTAAGGTCTTGGAATGCTTGGCCAAAGCAATGTCATCATTAAATAAAATACAATCATTTGTGAATGTTGCTGTGCTTAAACTGAATCCAAAATCAATCACTTCAGATTAATTGTATGGTAAATTGGATCCAGATACAAAATCATGGACTGATGGAGTCATTGCAATTATTATGAGATAGTGTGCATAAGATGCAGAAATCGAAGAAAGAAAATGGGTTGTATTTGATGGACCTGTTGATGCAGTTTGGATTGAAAATATGAATACAGTATTGGATGATAATAAGAAATTATGTTTGACGTCAGGTGAAATCATTAAGATGACAAATTGGATGACTATGATGTTTGAAGTAGAAGATCTGGCTGTTGCATCTCCTGCCACTGTTAGTCGATGTGGTATGGTCTTTTTGGAGACATAATAAATTGGATGGTATGCTTTAGTGAAATCATATATACAAACAATTCCAGAGAAATTTATAGAACATCATTACTTAGATGATTTGTTGAGAGTTCTGATTGATTGTTGCTAGGAATGGTTGAGAAAGAATGGGAAATTCCCAATATATAAAAGTGAAATGACTTTAGTCAAAAATATGTTACTCATTTTGCAAACGTATGTATAGGAATGGACAGATATGGATGACAAGGCTTCACAAAAATAAATTAATCATAACGAAGTTAAGGATATTATCTCAAAGGCCATATTATTCTCTTGTGTTTGGAGTTTTGGAGCTGCAATTGACGAAGTGTGTAGAAAACAATTCAATTAGTTTTTAATTAAATTAACTTCATCAGAAGATGTTTAAGATTCCTATAAGTTGCAATTACAGTATAAATTCTAGCCAATCTCAATAAATGCTAAATTACCAGATAAAGCCAATCTATTTGATATGGTTTATGATAGAAATAAAAATAATTTCATAAGTTGGACTTAAACCTAACCACCATTTATAATTCCAAAAGGATGCGAGTATCACGATTTACTAATTCCTACTAGTGATTCAATCAGAAATAATTACTTCCTACATTTATGTGTGAAAAATAAAATACATCTTCTTGTATCTGGGCCTACTGGTACTGGTAAAACATCTAATATTGTGAGTGAAATCAATAAAAATTATTTTAACGCAGAATATACAAATTTGATAACAGCGTTTTCAGGTTAGACCTTAGTAAATTAGGTTCAAAAAACTATAGAAGCTAAAGTAAATTCAAGAAGAAGAAAAGGGTACTTTGGACCAGAAGAAGGGAAAAAGTACATTGTAATCTTTATTGATGATTTGAATATGCCAGCAAAAGAAAAGTATGGTGCACAACCTCCTATTGAATTGTTAAGATAATGGATGGATACTGGAGGATGGTATGATTTAGAAACGAAGGAACCTAAATACCTTTAAGGAATTACATTTATTGCAAGTATGTTGCCTCCTACTGGTGGTAGAAATGTAGTCAGCATGCGATATTTAAGACACTATGTCCTCTTATATGTGGAACCATTCGAAGGAGATTCTTTACAGAGGATATTTCAGAATGTGTTGGAATGGTATTATGCTCGACAAACAAATCCATTTATGAAATCAATTACAAATCTCAGGGATTAAACAGTGAATGCCACTCTAGATATTTATTAATTAATTTAAACCTGTAAAGAACTTTTGCCTACTCCAGCTAAATCTCATTACATTTATAATCTTAGAGATATCAGTAAAGTGTTCTAAGGAATTTCAAAAGGAATAATCAAATCTTTTAGAGACGAAAACGATTTCATTAAGTTATGGGCACATGAATGTCAACGAGTATTTTAGGATAGATTGATTAATGAAGATGATCAAGGAACTTTTGATAAGATTCTAAAGGAAACCATTCTGAAACACTTCAAGCGAGATTGGAAACAATTAGTGTAAATTGAACCACTTTTATGGGCATCATTTGTTCCCACTCTCTATCCTGATGATGATAAAACAAAGAGACCTATGACTGACATCTATTGTGAATTGACAGATAGAGAGACACTTAAGAAAGTATGTCAAGAGTAATTAAATGAATACAATTCTCAGTACACAAGCAATAGAATGGAATTGGTGTTATTTATGAATGCAATCCAACATGTGCTTAAAATAGTGCGTGTTGTTAATACTACATTCGGTCATGCATTATTGGTTGGAGTTGGAGGATCTGGAAGAAAGAGTTTGGCTTAATTGGCTTCATTCATAGCATTTCAAAATGAAACGTTGCAAGTGGATTCAAGAAATTGGGTAGAAGAATTGCAGAAGGTTATGAAGATGGGAGGAATCGATCAAAAAGAATTTGTGTTTATGTATTCAGACACTTAGATAATCAAGGAATCGATGGTTGAGGATATTTGTAATATCTTGAATAATGGTGAAGTGCCTAATCTATTCCCACCTGAGGAGAAGAGTAAAATCATTGAAGAAATGAGCAGTTATACTTCTGGCACACCAAATGAAAAGTACAGTTACTTCGTTCGGTAATGTAAGAAGAATTTACATCTTGTGATATGTATGTCACCTGTTGGAGAGGCATTCAGAAGAAGATTGCGTACTTTTCCAGCTTTGGTTAATTGTACAACAATTGATTGGTTTTTACCATGGCCAGAAGAAGCTCTTAGATCAACTGCTGATGCAGTATTTACAAGAGACATGAACATCACTGATACCAAATTGAGATAAGGCTTAGTGGATATAGCAGTCGATATGTAGATGAGAGTCTCCGATCTAACCAAAAGATATTATAATGAATTAAGGAGATACTATTATGTTACTCCAACTTCGTATTTGGAATTGCTTAACACTTTTAAGAGACTGAAATCAGATAGAGATCAAAATATGATTAAGTAAATATCTCGTTATGAGGCAGGTGTTGATAAGATTATCATTACTGAGAGTGAAGTAAGTAAAATGCAAAAGGAATTAGAAGATTTATAACCAAAATTGGAGTAGGCTACTAAGGACAATAGTATAATGTTGATTAATTTGTAAAAGAAATAGAAAGAAGCTGATGCAAGAAAATAGATTTGTCAATAAGAAGAGAAAGATTGTAATGTGCAAAGAGATGCTGCAAATGCCTTAAGAAATGATTGTTAAAATGATCTGGATAAAGTGTTGCCCATTCTGGCTTAAGCTGCAGAGGCATTGGAAAAGATTGATAAAAATGATATGGTTTAATTGAAATCGTTTCCTAAGCCTCCCCCTTCCGCAGCTATCGTCATGGAAGGATTATGTTACATCTTCTAAGAGGATCAAAATGTGCCTTGGAAACCTAAGGAACCAGGATCCATAGAAAAAGTATAAGATTTTTGGGAGTATTCCAAAAAGAATCTTTTGAATGACAAGTTGATCAAGAGAATTAAAGATTTCAGAGATGATGCAATTAGATAAATTCCTCAAGCCAAGATCAATAAATTAAAAGCATTTTCTCAAAACCCTTTGTTTTAGAAGGATAAGGTATTTAATGCATCTGTTGCAGCAGGTAATCTAAGTTTATGGGTTCGTGCTGTTGTAGAAACATATGATGCTTTGTTAGTTGTGGATCCAAAGAGACAACAATTACTTGAAGCAGAAACCAAATTGAAGGAAGCAGAAGAAACTCTAAGGGTGAAGTAAGAAGCATTGCAGGAAGTGCTTGACATGTTGGCTAAATTGGAGGCAGAATATAATAAGGCGAAATAAGAGAAAGAGGATTTAGAGGCTAAGGTCAACAAGTGCAAAATCTAATTGAGTAGAGCAGAGAAATTAATTACTGAATTAGGAGGAGAGAAGGAGAGTTGGAAGAAGAAGGCTGCTGATTTTAGAGTTGATTCTAAAACAATCGTTGGTGATTGTATACTATCCTCAGGAATCGTGGCATATTTGGGAGCATTTCCTATTGCCTATAGAGATGACACTATAAAAGCATGGCAAGGATTATTAGTTAAATTGAATTTGGATTATGATCCAGATTATTCATTACAAAAGATATTATGTGATCCAATCACGATGGGATAATGGACAAATGTATAAAAGCTACCAAATGATTCATTTTCAATCGATAATGCAATCATCTTAAAAAATTCTACAAGATGGCCCTTAATGATTGATCCTTAAACCTAAGCCAATACTTGGGTTAAGCATATGGAGATGAAACATGGAGAGAATTAATCGTTGGTGATTGTGAGACCCACACAATCTTAGAATGTATTATCTAAGACATTGGAAAGTGCTTTACAATTTGGTCAAAGTGTGTTATTAGAAAATGTAGGAGAGAGCATAGATGCTATTTTTGAATCGATTTTACAATAAAAAATTATCAAGTAAGGTTCAGCATATAAATTAAAATTTGGAGATAAAATGGTTGATTATTCAAGAGATTTCAAATTCTACATGACTACCAAATTAGCCAGACCTCATTATCCGCCTGAAATCTGTGTCAAGGTCACAATGCTAAACTTCTAAGTTACTTAGGAGGGATTGGAAGATCAGATGTTAAATATTGTTGTAAAGATAGAGGAGCCAGCTAAAGACGAACAAAGATAAAGGAATATTAAGGAATTTTTTGAAAATAAGAATAAACAAAAGATGACTGAAGATAATATCTTATAATTATTATAGGAGTCCAAAGGAAATCTACTGGATGATGAAGTATTAATTGATACACTCCAAAGATCTAAAGCAGAATCAATAACCATTTAAGATAAATTAAAGAAGTAGGAATAGGATAGAGAACAATTCAATTAGATTCGTAATTTCTACAGAGAAGTGGCAAAGAGAGTTGCTAATTTATATTTTGTTGTGTTGGATCTTTCATTAATTGAACCAACTTATCAATGGTCTTTAGAATTCTACATTATACTATTTGAAAGAGCCATCAGAGAATCAATTTAAGGAAAAGAGAATAGAAGCAAAAATATAATAGATAAATTTTAAATATCTTTATATGAGAGTATTTGCAGGTCTCTTTTGGAGAAAGATAAATTAATCTTCTCCTTCTTGATGACAATGAAGGTGATGTAAAGTGATGGCAAAATAACTCCTTAAGAGATTCGTTTCACTATGGTGGGAGGAACCTACACAGATCCCACATATCATTAACCATAATAGGCAGAATGGATTTCTAAGAAGATGTGGTGTTTGATAACTGAGGCAGCAGATGTATTGGCATGTTTCAAAGGATTGCCTGAATCAGTTACGAAGAATCTTGATGCATGGCAAGAGATTTATGATAGTTCTGAGCCGCAAACTCAAAAGTTACCAGAACCCTGGGCTACAAATCTATCAGCCTTTTAGAAATTAATAATTTTGAGAATTATAAGACCAGATAAATTCGCTAATGCAACACAGAATCTTATTATTACAGAGATGGGTAAGTAATTCATGGATCCTCCTCCTTTCAATCTGGAATATGCCTATAAAGATGCAGATGCTTTCACACCTTTGATTTTCATTTTATCTCCTGGTGCAGATCCTCGTTTGGAAATATAGGCTTTGGCTGACAAATTTGGGTTTAGATAAAACTTTATCCCCCTCTCTTTGGGTCAAGGATAAGGAGAAATCGCAACTAATGCTATAAAAGGAGCTGTGAAAGATGGTAAATGGGTATTGTTATAGAATTGTCATCTTGCTCCGTCATTTATGCCAGAATTGGAGAGAATTCACGAATAGGAAATATGTGCTAAGCCAGATGTGAATACAGATTTCAGAATATGGTTAACTTCAATGCCATCTAATGTATTCCCTGTGACTCTTTTAATGAAAGGCATTAAGATGACTTATGAACCACCCAGAGGATTAAAAAATAATATGCTAAGAAACTTCTCATCAATTGATGCCAAAAGTTTTGAGTAATGCAAGAAACCAGTCGAATGGAAAAAATTATTCTTTGGATTAAACTTCTTCCATGCTGTTTGTTTAGAAAGACGTAAGTATGGACCTCTTGGTTGGAACATTCCTTATGAGTTTACATCAGCTGATTTGGCAATATCAGTATCTCAATTAAGGAATTTCCTTGATACATTTGAAGACATACCATGGGAGGCTCTCAATTATATGGTTGCTGAAGCCAATTATGGAGGTAGAGTTACAGATCCAAAGGATAGAAGATTAATTGCCATTCTACTCAAATAATTCTATACGACTGATGTACTATAGATTGACAAACATAAATTGAGTCCAAGTGGTACTTATTACATTCCTCCAAATGGGGTTCTAGAAGACTACAAAGAGTACATTAGAAATTTACCTTTAAATGATTAAACTGAAGTATTTGGACTACATGACAATGCAGAAATCTCCTCAGCTATTATTGAAACCAATTTCATAACATCGACGATATTATCATTACTTCCAAGATCAACTGGGGGTTCAGGAGCATCCGCAGAGGATCTTATAAAAGAAAAGTGTAAATAAATTTTAGCTAAATTGCCTAAACGATTCAATGTTGAAGAGGCTGCTCGTAAACATCCAGTTTAATACAATCAGAGTATGAACACAGTATTGCAATAAGAATTGATTAGATTCAACAAATTATTATAAGCAGTGACACAATCTCTGATTGATTTAGGCAAGGCAATTGATGGTTTGGTTGTGATGAGTGCAGATTTAGAACAGGTTTTCAACAAAGTGTTTGATAATCAAGTTCCTGATATTTGGCATAAGGTGGCTTATCCATCACTTAAACCCTTAGGTTCTTGGATTAATGATTTTATTGAAAGGTTGCACTTTATGCAATTGTGGATAGACAATGGTGCACCACCTACCTTCTGGGTATCTGGGTTCTTCTTCACTTAGTCCTTTTTAACTGGTACTCTGTAGAACTTTGCTAGGAAGGTATTAAACTATTTAATCATTAGTACTAAATTCCAATTGATACATTGTCCTTTGAATTTATAGTGATCCCCCCTTCATCGCAAGAGTATGATCTGACTAAACCACCAGAAGATGGATGTTATGTTTATGGTTTGTTCCTTGATGGTGCCAGATGGGATGAAGAAAACAGATGTCTTAATGAAAGTTTGCCCAAAATTCTGTAATATTCAGTGCCATATCTCTGGTTATTGCCAAGTGAAGAGAAGAAGGATTGGGATGCTGATACATCTGTATGAAAGAGATTTAATTTCAATTAGGTTTATGAATGTCCAGTTTACAAGACCTCCAGAAGAGCAGGAACTCTATCGACCACAGGTCATTCAACCAACTTTGTTATATCTGTATATCTACCAATTTCACCTGATCATCACCCCTACCATTGGGTCAAAAGAGGAGTTGCAATTCTCTGCTAGACAGATGATTGAATTAATGTTTTGAAATATAAATTAAAACTTAATTATTTATGGAAGAATAAACTTAAGAACGTTTATCCCAATTGCAAGAAATCCTAGCTCTTGATGATGTCCCCAAAATTACTAAGAAGCTAATGAAACTGGGAATCTCCCATTCTGAGTTACTCCAATAATTGGTTGAAACCAATCATAATTAAGGCATTCAAATCCTATAATCATACTCCAACAACTTTACAGAAATCAAAGGAAAATCACTAGTCACCTTAATCTTGTATCTCTCCATTCAAGAACCAAATATCGAAGCAATCTTATAAGCTGATAGATTATTACAGTCCACTCAATATGTAGGCACCTTTGTAAAGAACTACGAAAAAGCAGTTGCTGATCATAGTCCCTTCAGTCAACAAATCCTCAATCATATTATTGAAAACAAAGCGAATGTCCCCAACTTCAATTTGGTCTTTGATAAATTATTTCAATTATGCCAATCAACGTAATTGAAGAACATCCAAGAATTTGAAAAGCTAATGAACACATAGAAGGACGTAGTTCTGATCATTGACAAACCAGTGATAAAGATCTTCCCTTTGACTCCTAGAATCAAGTCTGAATACTTGCCCAAACATCTGTAAATTAAGAAAACTTAGAATGCAATTTCTAAATAAGAAGAACTACGATCAATGTAAAAAAAAAAGATTATGACGAAAAAGAAATTGATGAGAGAACTTTATAAAGAGTAAAATTAATTGCATAAAATTAAAAAAGACAAACTTCTTCATCAACTTGATAAACAAAAAGACGGATATAAAAAGTAATATTAGTTTTAATGGCTTTAGAGGATTGAGGTTATTGGAAGAACAATAGATGGAATTAAAAAAACTCAAAACTATGCAATTAAATATAAAGAGACATAAAAAGAAGTCTTCTAGAAAGGGGGGAAATAAACAATGAAATATTTGTTATTATTATTAATTATGAAAAAATTTCTTTCGGCCATAAAGAATGTGACAGACCCTGAAAAAATGGCGAAGTTTGGAGCCTAGAAACTGGAAAACTTCGCTGATTACTTAGATCCCAACAATGAGAAGTCCTCTCAATAAATTCCGTTTATGGTAATAGCCATAAATAAAATTTATTCTAGATCACCAGATAAATGAAATACGATCTTATGGAATTGGGTTACAATTATGAAGACATTAAAAAAATGACTCCAACTTATGCCACCAATCTATTGTCAAATCAAATTTAAAAAAAATAGAAGTGATTTATTATATTCTCACATAAAAAAATTACGATTTTTTTACTTTAATAATCTAGGCTCAAAAGAAACTTTTTTTTAAGAATTAGACTAATTTACTTTTGGCACCGATTTATGAGATTTTGATTTATTCGTCTTAAGAATGCTTCTTATTGTTTGTGTATCTGAGCCAGCTTAGTTTTTATTCAAAATAACAGAACAGTCATCCAACACTTCCTGATGAATTGAGTTTTATGTTACACTTCTATTTATTTTCAAGCCTTTTTCTGTTTACTATTTTTCTAAAATGGATTCCTTCAATTCATGTTCCGCAGTAACTTGTTGTTCTTAAGTCTTCTATTATTATTAATCTTATATCAGAGTGAATGGAATCGCTTTTTACCCCTAGGTTTTTTTTTTTGGAATCTCTTGAAAATTCAGAATTATTTCCAAATAATTCATCTCATAAGTTTCTTCAGCCATGTTTGAATGACAATGAGGTTTTGCAAGAGGAAATTGCTTGTCTGGCTGAAATTTCATAAGTTTTTTAATAATCGGATAGTTGAGGCTCCCATCACATCTTGATTATCTTTTTATGCAAACAGTCCCCATTTATGAAATTATAAAATAATCAAATAAGAATAAAATTCTTATCCTTATTTTGTCAATAATTCATTTAGAAAGAAAATAACAGAGAAACCCTTATCCAATTTGAAATCAATTACATTTAATTAAATTTCTAAACTCTACTTTGAAGTCTCTCACAAAGGCTAATAAGTATTTTCTTTTAAAATTACCTTTTCGCCAATAATTTAATTAAAACCAATAACTCACTCCTTTTATTAATTAGATCAAAGAGGGTTCAACATTTTCAATTACATAAACAACCACACCTAAATATCCTTTAGATGTGTATTATGTAATGATTATGAAACATTCAATAATTTAGTTTGAAAATGTGAAAAAGCAGATTCATTTTTGATTTCTAGAGCAGTAATCTAATTCATCTTTCTCTAGTTTTACACAACTAAATGCGCTTCTTAACTAACCTTGATTGAATGTATATATAAGTAAAGAATGCAAAAGCAATAAAATTTAATTGAATTTTTAGTGAGATTGATGAACTCTTTCTCTTTATATCATAATGTGATTGTATTTATAGATTCATTCAATTTGCGATTGTAATTATGACTGAAAGACACAAATCTTAAATTTTTAAAATTGGCTGCTAATATATTACTGGGTATAAATCATATTCATTTATAAAAAACTTTATTTTAATTTGATTTCAATTCATATGTATTTCTCTTGATCTATATCGAAATTAATTAAAAAGTTTATAAATTTATTCATGAGTGATCACGAAGAGAACGAGGACAAAGAGCAACAAGAAGAGACTACATCAAATCCACCTAAGTTTGAAGACTATTCTGATGTATGAAAAGAGTGATTATTTAGATGGATAAAACTCAAATTCCTATCTTCGAAAAGAATGCAGGAACAGAATGCTTTAAAAAAGGGGATTATTTTGAAGCCACACGTCATTATGCTAAAGTACAATATCAACTTAAACGAAGGCTGTAATGGCGTATTAATTTTTGATTAAGGATGGAGTGGTGAATGATCCAGAAGAAATGCAAAAATTGACTTAAGAGATATATGTAAGTAAATTATTGAGATATTTCGTAGCTACCTTGCAATCTCAATCTATCCCTTTGTTACCTTAAGTAAAAAGAATATCAAATGGGAAAGGATTTTGCTAATAAGGCATTAGAAGTTGAAGGCAACAATATTAAGGGTTTGTATAGAAGAGGAGTTTGTTTAATGAACTTATAGGAGGTATGCAATAATGCAAGTACTTAGTTTAAAGCAGCTGGAGAGGACTTTAAAAGGATATTGGAAGTTGATCCAAATAATGATGATGCAAAATAGGCTTGGGAACAATTATTAAAAAAGAAAGAGTAGATTAAATAGAAGCAGAAGGCAATAAGTGAGAAAATGTTAAACAGTTTGAACTATGAGGATAAAATTGAGAGTCAGAAAAAAAAGAATGAAAAAAAAAACTGGTTTAGAGAAAAGTATGATTGGCTAAAATAGATATTGTGTGTTAGAAAGAAGGCAAAAAACAAATGATGCCACTTTATTAGTTTTAGATAATAATAAATAATCCTCATTAATTAATGTTGTCATTCTTATTTTGATTAAATAAATATTCATATTATAGATGTTTTAGAAAGTTGTAAGTTGGTTTAGAGAGCTATTTTTTGGAAAAGAGTTAGAGATTGCTTTGGTAGGATTATAAAATGCAGGCAAAACCACTCTGGTTAATACAATGGCTACAGGCAAGTTCGAGGAAGACACAATCCCAACAATAGGGTTTAATTTTCGATCTGTGAAGAAGGGAAAAGTGTAAATGAAGATGTGGGATGTCGGAGGATAAGCAAGGTTTCGAGAATAATGGGAAAAGTATTGCAGATCAGCAGATGTAATCATTTTTGTTGTGGATGCACAAGATTAAGGAAACTTAGATATCGCTCGGTAGTAACTTAATTAGCTAATTTCTTGGCCTAGTTTAGAAGGGATCCCCCTATTAGTATTAGGAAATAAATATGATCTACAAGGATGGTAACATCATTCTCTATATTTCTAGTATTACAGAATAAGAGCTAATTACATAAATGAACTTAAATTCAATTAAAGATAGATTGGTTGCATGCTATAGCATTTCAGCCAAAAAAAATACAAACATTGACGAAATGCTAAAATGGTTGTCCAAAATCTAAAGAAAAAATAAATGATAATAATATTTGTTAATCTAAATTCATTATTGATAAATTTGCTGATTCTTCTTCTGGAGGTTTATAAGAAATCAAGTGTGTTATCATTTAATTTATTAATACTCTAATCATTATTCTGTTCATGATAAACAACACTAATCTCAAATCTATAAGATCTCCCTGAATCTCAATACTATGAGTTATATCATTTAAGAAGGCATATTTTATGAGTTATGTATTACACTTTCATGATAAGGTTTTTAACATATAAGTATTAATAACTTTGATAAACATGTGAATAAATGAAAATTTATTTATATTATATTCACATTATATTTATAATGCTATTAATACTATTCTCTTTAGTGTGTGCTAAAAGAACTACAATTCCTGTGCATAAAAAGCTTTTTGAACAGATTTCTGATACAAATTATGTTCACAATGTTGATTCCACATTATTACTCTAATACAATAGGTAATGGATACTAATTACATTTTAAGCTATCCAGGAGTTTATAGTATGGAATTGAGTGGACTAATGGATGGAGAATTCAAACCAATCCAATAAAATGTTACTCTTGATCCATTCACTCTACCAGGATGTTATCAATATCAAAGAAGATTAATTCATAAGCATTTAGCTGATCAGTAGATTGAGTCAGATGAATCATCTTTCACTGATATGTACATTGATGGTGATGCTGTTTTTGTCACAAGAAGTGATAATGCACTTTTGCAATTTGAAATCAAACTTGATATTGACAACAGAAAAATCGTAGGCTTAGAATTTAAATAGAAGTACGAAAATGGAGGATTTAGTCAACAACATTAGCTAATTTGTTATAATAAGGTTTGCTTAATCTTAGGAGAAGAAGGTTAAACCTTTATTTATAAAGACAATAATACTACCTAAGTTAACTTAACCTCTATAATTGGTGAATTTAGAGAATTTCCAAAAGATGTTTACTTTGATGAAAAATCTAAGCTAATCTATATTTGTTATGAAAACTCATTCGTGGATGTGTTGCAATTCACGAATGATAACAGAATAGAAAAAGTGAAAACGATAACAGCTGGATAGAAAATAGTCTAGATCAGAACGAATCCTGAAAGCACTCTTCTCTACTTACTTGATTAGTAGTTGGGATTGCTGTCTTACAAGATTGTTTCTGTATTAGAATATATTTAAAATTCCTTCTAAATTACCTTACAGAATTGCATGGCCTTTGACTTTTATCAAAATACCTTTTTCATAGTGGCTGAAACCTAGGATGGCATTCCTTATGCATTGGAGGTCTTATCGGAAGATGATAGTTATTATTTCAATAAAATTTATTCAAAAGATATGGACATTTACGATGTTTGGGTGGGAGAACACTTTGCAATCCTTATTGGAGCTGAGATTCACAGAGTTATCTATCATTCTGTTTATAATAAATTTGTTGAATAAACTGAGATTCCTTTATTCTTCTAAGATGTAAATCTAGTTAACGTGGAAGAATATAAAAAGTGGGATAACACCTCTTATACTGAACAAGCAATTGAATAAGAACCATTTTAAAGAATTCCTTTAGTCTATAAATAATCATTCATGGTAGGAATTTCTAGCAATTAAATATCAGTGTTCTCCATCAAATCATTATTACCTTGGGTTTAATGTAAACCAACTAGTACGAATGATACAAGATATAGTTTAAAAATGAATTCAACATCTTGTTTATCTAAGCAAAAAGAAAATGATCATACAGCATTTAAATAATGTATTATCTTACATAATTTCACAATTACAGGAAAGGAGATACTTTTTTATGAAGAGGATCAATAAAAAATAATAATATTTGGATGCATTTTAGTGTATAAATATATATTAATCGTTTTAGTGGACTAGTCATTTTATTAATATTGCTAGCTGTGATTGCAATTGTATATGGAAATTACCGTATTAATTTATATAAGAATCTCCCTCACATATAACTTGATGAGCAAGAACTTTAGAATGTTCAAGTAGGAAGTCCTGAAAATTGATAATTTATATTTAAAAAAATTAATGGGTAACAAATAATGAAAAAAATGAATTCTTTAGAGTTGTTTTATATTTTCAATATCAAAAGCTACTTTAAAGCCAGAAATTATAAAAGCATTCTACATAAAAAATAATTAATAAATTTTTGAAAATGTTATCAAAAAATCTAATATATTTGTTCTATCATCTACTAACTAGAACCCCTTGATTTGAAGCCTCTACTAATAATCTTTGAATAATAATAACATTTAAATTTGAGTATGTATATAGTAAAGATAAACACCTAAATAACATTAAAGAAATTGATTTTTAGATTTAATACATTGAAAGTAGTTTATAAATAGGCAATAATCAACTTGTATCTATCAGCCAAAAATTGCAAGAGAAAATGGGTATTATAACATTATATGAGATCTAATTTTAGTGATAATCATATTTCAAACAAAATATTTGTATTAAAATTTTATATCCAATTCAAGAAATCATAATAATATAGATTATTACTTGATTATCAGATGAATTTGGTTGAATTTCAGTTTTGATAAAGAGTCTACCATTATGAAGATATCAAATGTTAAGGGCAATTATCTGTTTTTCAAATAAAATGTTACTAGTGGTTTAATTAAATATAATTTGATATTTGCTCTTTTTGAAAACATATTATTATAAAACAGTCGAAATATACAAGAAAAAGAAAGTTAAAGGGATTTCAAAAATTATAAAATATTATAAAACTCAAAAATTTATACAATGAATATATAGAATTATAAAATTCTAATTCAAATCAAACAACTATTAGTGGATAAATCATCATCTACATGAAGCAAAGGCTTTTAATACATTAATTTACAGAATAAATACGATCATAATTCAAAGGGAGTTGCCAAATAAAATACAGTATCAAAAAGATTTTTCAATAAGTATATACATTAAATCGGTAATTCAAATCATATTTGATATAAACATTAAAATCTTAAATCACTGTGAAAAAATGAGACCTTTTTAGAATTAATTTAATATATATAAAATGAATTAAAACATAAATTTATTTATTTTCAGAATATTTTTTTACCTTAAAATTATTGAGAGCATGCATATGTCTTTGGGAAGGCAACTATTTATAATTAAATATTACTTTATAAATCATAATCCTAAGTAATTTCACATGATTAATTTTATGATTATAAAAAATCAAACCTTAATCGATAAGGTTATCGACGTCTTGCGCTATGATCAGGAAGATAAGAGACCTTTACAATGTAATATAATCAATTATAAAAGTATTTTTACAAAAACTTGATCTGTTTAGTTAGCACATAGGGCTGTTAATGCCTAATTTAAAACTAATCTATTTTGATTTAGTCGGTCAGAGTGTAGACTGTGAAAGGCGAGTATATTTATTTCTGAAAGGAAAAGTGAGTGTCGATAGTATTCTAATTTTAGAAAGCTGTTAAATCCTAAAACCTACTATAATGCGTATTGTTTATCTTTATTAAGTAACTTTTAGCAGAACTCTTTATAATCAGATTGTTTAAATGAATAGATAAAAGGAAATTGAAGCTAAATTAACCTTTTTAATTCAATTCTCATTTTTTTCTGGAATGTATTTGAGTTCTATCTATGCAATTCTTGATCAAATTCCTCTCAAAACATATCAATATAAAACAAATCTCAGTCATGTTTTACCTGGAATAATTTGCATTATAAAATCAGGGTATCAACTCCTTATCAAACTAGATCAGTTGTACTCCAGTCTAGTTAGGGACCATTTCACAAATAATTGTATCAAATTTAATCATAGTAGTTTAATAATAACAGAAAAAGATATATTTGGAGAGTCACATTTTGTGGATGAGGATAGTAAAATTAATTTGAAAAAGTCTATCATACATCAAAAATACTATGAAGCGATTTGCAATTCCTAAGTTGTAGAGTTGTATTTGTTAAATGTATCCGAATTAATTCATACCATAAATTCATAATAATTGAGAGTAAATTATAAATTCATATTTAGCTGTTCTTATAAAAAAAGTTTAGATAGAGAATTATATAATTACGATAGAGTGTAGAATAAAATCAATCCTTCTCGAAACCTTTGTAATAATAATAATAAATTTAATCCTAACAAAGACTGAGAACAAAAACTTAAACTTCAGATTCATAATACGAATAATTAAAATAAAAAGAGACAGCAGCCATTGATAAAGTAAAAGAAGTTGTAAAAAATATGAATTTCTCTTATTCGAGAACAAGAAATTATTTTGCTTCAAAATTAGGGGCTGGAAACATTATGTTTCATAAAGCTTTTATGTATGAGTATACTCCTCATTATACTAAAAAGTAAAGATAGTCATCTTTGTCGACAGCAGTTAAATAGAAATTAAGCTAGAGGACAGAGAGGTGTAAAACCATGTCTAATATAGAGATGAGGACAACTATGCTCCAAAATTCCTTTTGCAGGTATTAATTTGAGCAAAAAGAGAAATAATCAAAACAAAATATATTTGATTGATAAAAGTTGCTAAATGTTTATGTTGAAATAATAAAAATTGCAATTCTAATTTTCATTTTGCTTTTTATAGAAATTAGTCTACAGTATCTATACCAGGTTGAGATTATATAAATGAACTTTGTTCTTGTTCCTTCTTTTTTGTTGTTGGCAATGGTGGCTTATTAGTGGATTGTTGTTAATTTTCCGGAGATTTCGATTTAGATTGTCTATGATCTTCTATTTTTACCGTCTTTTTTTCAAGTGTTTACTTTTTAACTTTTTTCAGATTTGATTTCTTTTAACTTTCTTCTGTTTTTGTCTTAATAGAAATTATTGGTTATTCAATTACATCAGTTTTCACATTAACACTTTAATTAATTTTTTATTAAAACTCATTTTTTACCTTGTCTCTATCAATCGATCTGTTTTAGGCATAATGCCTTTGATATCTCAAAGATAAATCTGTTGATATTTTTTAAGGATAATTAGGAATGAAGTGATTATTTTATTTGGAATGTTTAACCAATTAGTCTTATTACTTTTGCCATTCTTCAACTTTTCGAAATGGTTATTGCTTAAGGTAATATTGCTGGTCTTGACTTAGAGGTCTAGATGAAAGCATCTCTTAGGGATTATTCACAACACTGTTCTAAATATTTCTAGAATTAGATGCACTTTATTTGAAAATTGTAAAAGAGTTTTGAGCATAATTGTTCACAAATCTTGTGAATATGAATCATATATGATACTAAGCATCCTATTTGACCATCATTTGATAAAGTTCGATTGGGTTCATGATAAATCGTAATAATTAAAATAATAATAATTGATCAGACTTTCCAGTGATTTTTACTTTCCCCATTTTTTAATGGCTGTTATAATGTATTTAGTCTTAGGGTTCTCCTACAGAGCAGTCAATTGGTTCATAACTTCCAACAATTAAACTAAGGTTGCTTTCGATGCGATAACCATTTAATATACTCCGAATTCAGATTCAAAAGAGAGAATCCTAATAATCAAGATCCAAATCTAATCTTGCTAAAATGTCAAAAGTTTTGCAGCGTGATAAAAGTGCTCCATATCATTACAATCACTTGATATAAGCTAGGATGATAAGAAGATGGATCAATTTTCAAATATTATTACTAAGCTTATCTATAAAATGATTAAATGAATATACTTTAGTTTTCCATTCATAATGAAAGTTCTAGTTAGACATTTTAAATACCATTTATCGACTATCAATACTCTAAATTTCTCAGCAGGTGATGCTTCAGCTTCCTTCTAATCTTCAACTTTAGCACAAGTCATTCCATTATCCAATTAAAGTCATCATTTTTAAAATAGTTCTTTATTGAATTTAAGTCCAAGACATCCTCAAATTATTTGCATAAAAAGAAGAATGAAGTCTTGCCTTACCTGCCTGGAATTGTATCGCATTTATTAGTATTTAATATAACATCATAAAATAATTATTGAGCCGTTTTAAATTGCTTCGTTTGATTCTACATTTGATTATCCTTTCATAAAGTATGCAATTGCATTTATAATATATTCTCTTGGTAAATTAGGGTAAAGATCTTTAGCTAGATTGAAAGCTTCTTAGATATAATTTTTTTTAAATAGTAAACAATAGGATTTAATTGGCTTAAGGGAGGATCTCAATTAAAAGAGGGCAAAGATTAATACATTATTTCCTCCTCTTATCACAACTAAATTGTGTCTTAATGAATCGTTATCTTCAACCATGTTTTCTCCCTCGTAAGCTTATTGTAAAGATTTCACGACCTCCTCCTCTGCTGTCTTACCACATTAGAAATAAAGCAAATTGCATGCTTTCAAATTTCTAGCAGTTATACTGTTTAGATATTGGCTTAAATATAGTGAAAGCATTTGCATTGAAACATCATAGTATTGCATGTTATAATAAAGCAATGCCAAATAAATATTAAGAGCAGTATATTATCTCTAATCTATGAGCAACAATGTTAATTCTTCTATTGCCCATATTTTTTTATTTTAATATAATTTGCTTAATCATAATCTCTTCTTAAATAATGAATAGCAGCTTGGCTTAATTAATCCTATAAGATACTTTATTACAGTTTAAGATGATAATTCAACAGACTACAGACTGTTCTAATCATTTCTTTTCTTTATCATTTAGTTATATATACGCACTTGTAATCACCATTGCGATAGTAAGCATATGCAAGGCTTAACTTATGTTCAGCATGTGAATAATTATCACTTACTTTTCTAAATATAAAGTTATATTATTCATTCTCCAAAAGCGCAACTGTTCCAACCCAATTTCTATTTTTTACATTGTTTTTGAGTTTTGAAATTATTTACTAAACTATAATCAATATGAAATAAAACCATCCAACAATGAAAGATCTTTTTCATTATGTTATTTAAAAAAAATAAATTGTAAAATAGAATAAATATTTTTATTTTCTACATCAATTATACTGTTCCAGCTATTCCTCCTCTTCCTAGAGCAAAGATTTTTGATTGTTTACTCATAGATGAACCAGGATGTATCATGATATTCTTTTATTAAATAATTTTAATACATATATGCTCTAATTAAGTAACCTAATTCCTTTCATTATAAATCCATCCTTATTACATATTTCCTTCAACAGAATTCATCATATCTTAGAAGCAATTAATCTCTCTTAATCATATTTCTTTAAATTTAAGTTTAATAAAAAATAAATGTAAAAGCTATACTAATCCTTTGAAAGTGAAGCCCAAAACATCCAAAAATTAATAAGCAATTACCATGAGAAGTTATAAGGAAAATTTTAGGGAATGCTTGAGAAATCAGAGGCGAAAAAATAAAAACTCCTCGAGAGACTGCAAACAACTAAAGAACAACTAAAAATTAGTATTGACAGGAACATTCCGTCTAAAATATAAAAGCTTCAAAACAAAATAGAAAAATTAGAAGCTTAAATGTAGAAAGTTAATCGAAAAGATTAAATAGCAAATGATTTCCATCTAGTGTATGATGGACTATTTAATTAACTATAAATTACTCAAAATCAGAACATTGAAAAACTTACATAAGCTTAGAGAGATGACAATTATCAAATATTATGTTCCATTAAAAGATAAGCAGTAAATTTGTCAAACCAAGTCTATAAAAAGAAACACCTCGAGCCTATTCGACAAATTTGCTATCATTGCAATACTGTAATTTTATTATTCATTTGTTTTAGCTTTTAAATTAATATCTTAATTTTGGTGTTGATTAAAAAATATAATAACCTGATATATTTACAATTGATATTGAATAAAATAAACTATTTATAGAAAAGAAACAGTATGAAGAAGAAAGAATTCTCTAAAAATAGGAGAGACAATAGTAATATCAAGAGCAAAAGGCTCAAAGTAGGATTGATAAAAAAAATAAAAAATAGAGACAAGAATCTGAATTGTATCTAGAAAAAGAATAGAAAAAACATCTTAAATAATAAGAATAATATGAAAAAAAAAAATAATACAATTAGAATTTCAAAAAATATCAAGAAGAACCATATTAAATTAAACAAAATTCTGAGATTAATGTGATTCAATAATTTGACAATATAATAATTGAAGATCAAAAGAAAGACAAATAAAAAGTCATATAATAAGCGCAAAATAAATAAGAAACAGTAACAGCAATAGATGACTCTAACCTATGCTAAATTTGCTTTGAATTTCCTAAATAATATGTGGCTACCCCATGTGGCCATTTTGTATATTGCCAAAATTGTAAAGATCTAGCAGTGAAAGAGTGCTTAATTTGCAGAGAACCTGTATAAATGTTGATCAAGGTATTTTAATGATAAATTTTCAATATCATCTAATTCATTGCTTTATTGAACTGAAATTTTATAAATGAGGAAGTTTGGTTTTGGCCTCAATCCTAGTGTCTTTCATCTTAAGAAATCTTCTCTTGTATTTCTTTTGAATAAAACCAAGTTTTTCATAAAATCGTTTTAAATGTGGACAATTATCTCCACATTTCGCATGTACTTATTTCATTTTAACCATATACTCTCTAAACTCCTCTTGCGAAATGTTTTCGTTACCTAATTATGAAAATAACATTTACCTTGTTTTCCTAAAGCATTTCTAACTTGTCTAATTAATTCTCCCATGCCTCCTGATTTATTATTCACCATTTTATTATATAATTTATCAGCTTAATCTTGTTCAGGTTCCTCATCATCCAAAGTATCAAGCGATTTTTATGATTCAGCAGATGCTGGTCTTTATTATTAGTTTGGAATTTCTTCCTAAACCTCTTGTTATTAAATAAATTGCTATTAAGTTTATTGAAGCTTCTATTATTTATTAGTTTTAATTTATTGCTTTAATGAAACCCAATTTTTAATTTACTCAATCTTAGTTTTATCTAAGCCTAAATCATATAAATATTAGAGAACTTAATCCATTGATATTTTACCATCATTATACGTACCTTCTGTTTATGTAGCTTTTTAATCAGTGCCTAATTTAGCAATTTTGGTTGTTCTTGTTCCATCGGCTGCAATAGTAGTTTCTTCAACAATTAAATTGCCATTTTTATCAGCTCTAACCCTTTTGACACTTTTTTCTATCTTTCCATCAGCTCCAACCTTAGTTTCTTCAATAAATTCTTCTCCATTCTTGTTTTTCTTTTTCTTTACTATAATTTTGTTTCCTTATGCATCTACAGTCTCTATTTCTGTTATTACATTACCATCTTTATCAACTGTTTATTTGACAACTGTTTTTGATCCATCAGCATTTGTAGTGACAGTTTCTGTAATTTCAGCTCCATCCTTACCCTTAGTCACTTTTGTTTTTACAGTTTTCTTATTTCCTTATTCATCTACAATGACTTCCTCTTTAACTTCTGCACCTCCTTCTTTGTATATCTTCCTCTGTACATTTAGTTTTTATCCATTCTCATATACAACTTCATTTTCAATCAAATTACCTTCTGCATCTTATTATACATTTTTTTCCTAATTTACTATAGATCCATCTTTGTTTTAAATTTACTTTTAAACAGTTTCTCTTCCAAAAGAGTCCTTAACTGTTTTTATTACTACTTTTTAACCTGTTTTTGCATCAATTCTTTCTTCTTCCGTGACAACATTGCCTTTTGCATCTCTATAAACCTTTTTCTTTACAACAGTTATATTTCCGTTCACATCAACAATCTCTTCTTCAATCGCTTCAGTTCCATCTTAATTCTTAACTTTTCTTTAAATTGTTACAGATCCATCAGCATTTTAAATTTCAACTTCTTCTACCCCATCCTTAATTCTTGTTTTCTTTATAATTTTGTTTCCTTGTGCATCAAAAGCAACCTCTTCAACAACAGTTATTCCATTTTCCTAATATATTTTTTATTCCTTTGTGGCAACTTTTCCATTTTTATCAATTATTTATTGTTCAATTATATCCTAACCATATTCATTCTTTCTCTTTGTAGTAATAACCTTATTTCCTTTTGCATCTATTCTTTCTTCAACTACAACTTCATTACCATCACTATCAATATAAACTTTTCTTTTCACTTTGGTTTTGTTTCCTTTTTCATCAATGAGCTCTTCTTCAATAATTTCATTTCCATCTGCGTCTTTATAAGCTTTTTACCTTTTGGTAATTTTGTTACCCTTCTCATCCACCGTCACTTCTTCAACTACATCTACTCCATCTTTATCCTTTACGGTTCTCTTTGCAACCTTTAACTTCTTACCATCTGGCATAACATACTCTTCTTCCACATATTCAACTCCATTCTTATCCTTTTTTATTCTCACTTACTTAATTCTTTTTTGTTTTTATCCATTTTCATCGACGTATTCTTCTTCAACTTCAAATCTTTCCTCATCACCATCATTTCCTTATAATTTTCTAACCTTTTTTCCTGTTTTATCTTCAAACCATTCTCCTTATTTTATTTCCTTTCCATCTTTAGCTACTGGTTTAGAAGGCAAATTTATTTTGGATCCTCCAATTGCGAATCCACCATGAGCCTCTAAGAAATCTTAAGTTTGTTTTGATTATTGAATTTAGTTTGGCTTATCTCGTTTTCTTAACTCTTCTCCTTATGCATTTACAACAACCTCTTCTTCCACTTCCATTTCTTCCTCTACCCATTCTCCATCACTTTTTTATCTTTTTACCATCTTTTTAACTTTTCTTACAACTATTTTTTCATCTGGATTTAAAAATTCTGGATCAAATAGAGCATCATAAAATGGTACTTTAGCTAATTTTTATTTTCTTGTCATTTCATCCTTTTTTACTCCTCTTGTTATAGCTCCAATGTCAGATCCACAAATTTATTTAAATATTGGGTCTCTTAATAAATCATCTACCGCCATTAGCTCCTTCATCTCTTAAACATTTAACTTTTCATTCAAGTTCACTTTAAACAAATTCTCTGCTTAACCCAATATAGCTTTCTTTTATTCCTCACTTAAATTTGGATTGTTTGATATGAACAGTTTGAATCTTTCAAAATTCCTATTCATTTCTTTTTCCAATGCTGCAATATTATCCAATAAGTTCTTAATCCTAAGTTTCATTTTTATATTATCCTCCACCAATCTTTTTATTTTTTCAGAATCATTTTTATTTAATACAGCTTATTATTCTTATTATTGTTTATCTTTTGCTTTCTTTTCTTCCTATTGCTTCTCTTCCAATTTCTTTTTTTCTAATGTCACTTTTTATACTTAACCATTAAGAACTCCTACTTATTAAGCATAGGCATCTCTCTCAATCAGAGTGTCTTTTATTCGCTTCTCCAGTTATATCATTTTCTACTGCACTTCATGATTTTCTTTTCTTTGTTTGTCAAGCTTATCCTAATACTCTTACTCTATTTTTGTTCTATCTGTCTGCATAGAGATTTCTTGCATATACACCAACACACCGTTTTTCATTATTGCCTTACCAGCTTTGATATCAGCTAAAGCCTTCTCTTGAGCCTATTTCTACATTCCTTAAATTCCCTCAACAAAAGCCCCTTCCAAACTTTTCAATTAATTTTACTGTTGTTTTTATAATTCTTCAAATTGTTAAACTGCTTCATCTTCGGCATCATTTACTTCATGTTTCTTTTTGCCTAGATCTTTTAAGACTTCCTTCAAATTTGTTTCTGCCTTTGATTCTCCTACTGCTTACAAATCTATTTTCCTATTCTTCAAAAACTCAGTAATTTGCTAAGAGTCTTAGTCCAATTCTTCTTACATTCCCTTTAGTTCCATTTCCTTTTTGAGTAGATTTGCCTAATTTCTTGCATCTTTTATATCATCTCCTGTATCAGTTCCCTTATCAGCATAGGTCTTTCTCACAGTTTTCTAAAATACTCAATTTCCTTACTTTAACTATTGGCTATAATTATACCATTTAATTTGCTAACTTATTAGTTTCCTAACTCTATTAGGCAGATTAATCCACTGATCTTATCCATAAAATAAATAAATTACTTTCTTCTCGGTTAACCGATATTTTTTTACAAAGTCTCTAACATCTTATCTGCTTGAACTTCAAAATTTGTATTCAATCTAATATTTCATTTATTTGTTACTTTAAGATATAATTTAAAATCATATTCTAACCATTATAAATTTTATTGAGAGATTATCTTAATTCAGATAACTTGGCACTTTCAAGCATCTCTGATATTTCATATAAAACGATCTAATAAATCTCATGAGTAGTTTTCATGATCTCCACTAATTTTGGTTTAGTAATCTCTTTTTATTTCTTTTTAAAATCATTATCAATTTTTGATAGCAATTTGTCTAGTTTGGCTATTTTCACTAGGTCTAATTCACCATATTCTTTTCCCGCCCCAATTGGGTTGTCTATTTAAGAATATCGATAATCAGTTGCCATTTTTTATAAATAATATATAAAATTCCTCTAAAAATGATGAAAACGATGACTGAAATAATTTTGGGAAGATTTAATATGAATAATTAAAAATTAAAGATGCTGACTATTCTTGTTGCTTGAACTCAAGTTGATATTAAACTCATAATATCCTATAGAATTTTAATATTTATATTTAACTAATCAAATTTTCCTATGTTAATCTATTTTTTCTCCCCATCTTTTTTCTAATCTTTCCAAATTTTAAAGAGTTTCATCGTGTTTTCTCTTTAAAATTGAATATTCTTCAATCTTTTCTTAATATTCTCTTTATTTTCTGTTTAGCTCATTATTCAAAGAATTAATCTTTTAAGTTAAGGCTAAGTTTTCTCTTTGTAAACTCTCTAATTATGATTACAAATCTTATTATCTAAACATAGATCCTTAAGAATAAATTATTATAATTACTTCTACTATCCTCAACAGCATTCTTCTTTGATAATTGCTCCTTTCTTGCTTCCTCTAACCCCAAATGCAATTATTCTGTTTCTTCTTTTCTTTTTTTTAGCAAATCCATCAAATGAATTTATTCTTGTTTGGCCTAAGATAACTCATTTTTTAAACTATTGATAGTTGCTTACAACTAAGTAGTTGACATATTATTCTTAAGCATTTCCTCTTACATATTGTAATTGACACTTCTGATTTTTTCCATTTCTATTTTCAAAGATTCAATGAGTTCTGTTTTTTATTATAAATCCTGCTAATATTAATATTCCCTTTATTCAAAATCATAATATGAAAGGGCATTTCTTTTATCTAAAATCTTCATCTATTATTCCATATTTTATTTTAATTCGTTTATTTCATTTTCTTTTACATCTATGGTTTCTTCTAATTAAATTCTCAAGTTTTTTAATTTTCTCTCCAAATCATTAATATTTTCCTATTATACTTTTTTTTAAACTTCATATTAATCTTTAAATGCGCTCATCTCCTCAATTAAATCTATCACCTACTTCTCTTTTTCTTTAGTTTTAGATATTTGGATTCCTAAAGCTTCATTCAAATCATTAATCTAATTTTTTGTTTCTTACTTGGTTTACCTTAAATTAGTTTCTAAGATTTCAATCTCTTATCTAAATTAGAACTCTTATTATTTGTAGTTATCCAATTATTTGAGGAGTTATTATGTCGATATCTGGTACTATTAGAGTTATTGGCTCTGTTAATCATTTTACCTTTATATTTATTATAATTTTTCTGAAGCCTTTTTATTTTCATTCAACATTCCATTTATTTCATTTCTTGATAACTCTAATTATTTTTCACTTGTAGTTAGTTCATCCTGTATTTTATTCTTTTTTGAATCTAAACTCTTGAATTCTGTTAATAATTTATCGTAATCTGCCTTTGCAGATACTAATTTATCATCTAAACCCTTTTATACTATTTAGTAATTTTAAACTGATGACTAAAAATCTCTTTCAATTTCTTTCTTTTACTTGTTCGTTTGATTAAGATCTAGTTCCTTTTATTGCAAACTAACTCTCAATTACTCAAGCTAACTCTCTAAGTTGTAGCATAACTGTTGAAAATGTTCTTCAGACTCTGCTTTCTCTCTTAATGTTGACTTAACTTTTTCCTCTAATTGATTAATAACGGAATTCTTTTAATCCAATTATCTTGAATCTACTTGATTATGTGCAACTTCAGCCTTGAGATTATCATTCTCAATTTATAATTAAAACAGTTTTAATTCTAATTATTCATTTTATTTTGATTGTTTCTATACATTATTTACAGAAGGGGATCTTAAAATTGAAGGGGATTTAGTCATATCTCTTTAGTAAAAACTTTTTTCTTAGACTGCCTGTTTGTATTTAAATTCAAGCTATTCATATTCAGTTTATAAATTTTGATATTTTGTTCTCAATTCTCTAACTTATTCATCTTGAGAAAATAATTATCTACAAACAATGTTTTCTGTTTTCGATTTTTCAGCCTTCTATAATTAAAGTTTCAATTCTTCATTCTCTTTTTAGTTTTGCTACAGACATTCTAAAACTCTATTAAACTCTTATTAAGAATAGTATGATCTTTCATCATCTTCCTTTCTCTTTTTTTCATCTTCCACTCCTTTCTATTCGTACTCTATCAATTTTTTATTAAGCTTGATAATTATTATTATATATATACTTTTTAATTTTCTTAGACTAAAGAGGCCATTTTAGTTTGTAGTTATTCTAAAATACCTTTTATTTTATTATAATCTTCAGTCAGTGTATTAATTTTTTATTCATTTTCAAAGTTATTTTGAAGAGAGGACGTAGATTGTTAAGATTGAGTATCTGATAAAGCTATTTCTTCTAATTTTCTAAAATTGGACAGCACATCAATCATTTTATCATTTAATGCATCAGGTAGTTGGCTAGCCCCCATTTGTTTTTAGACTGCTGAGATCAATTCTCTCAATGAACTTGATATTTTATTAATTTCAGTTTGCAATCTTGTTTTTGATGAAAGTGTAACAGGTGTGTTCGTTTGTTTCTATTGTTAAATGTTAGAAGTAGAATAGGTTGAATAACCTTATTAATTGTTGACTTCTTAGATTGGTGATCTGCACAAGAAGTCTAATCCAATTTTAATATTTTCTTTAGATTCTAAGAATGGATTTAATTCTTTAGTTTGATTTCTTTTTTCTGTGTTAGAATTCAAATCTTTATTTTCTTTGTTTGACTCGAAATTATATGTTTTTGCAAAATCATATTTTCCAAGGTCATATTAATTTATTTAAGAAAATAATTATTTAGTTGTGTCATAGGGTTTGTAATCACCATATTGATTTTAGTTTTTGTTTTCTATATATGGTGGTTTATAATCTAAAGTTTTTTATTTATAATGATATGAGTCAAGCAATCTTTTAGGCGACGAAGGTTAAATTGGAAGATTTGCTAATTCTTTTGTTAAATAATTACGTGAAGTCAAGACTTATTTATTTGCTTCATAAGAGGGAGACTGCATATATGGTGAGGCCATATAAGTTTAGACTCTTGCTTGTGATTAAGTTTTTGTTCCATATACTAGTTACCTATCTGGTGAATTGACCATCATTGGTGTATATTCTTTGGATACAGAGCATGGTCTAGCCATGGCGATTGTTGTTTGTTGCTTTGGAAGAGGCTTCATTTCAATATTTTTCTGTTAATTAATTTAAATTTAAACAATTAAACATTTTTTTTATAGATTATTTATAAATTTTCAAAACATACTCTAAGGACTGTTTTATATATTTATGCCTGCTTAATGAAAGAGCTTTTAATCCTTAAAATTGTTTCTGATTTTCTTTATAGGATCATGCTCTTTATCGAAAGGGTCACTCATTGAATATTTTTCTCCCTCTTCTTTCAACTATTTCTCATTGATTGAAATCTTGTATTTTTATGTAAATCCTTCTCCCTAATCTGAATAATAATTAAAAAAATCCCTTAATAAGATCGTAAGCGAGACTTATGAGATTACTTTATCAAATTAATCCTTCAATTGTTTGTATAATTTATCTCCATGATAAACCTTCAATAAATTCAAAATACTATACAAAAAAAACATCAACTTCAAAGCTGCTTTCCCTTTTACCTTCAATATTTCTTTTAATCATTATTGTAGTCGTCTATGATTTTGATGTTTTATATTATTTATCCTAAAGATTGGGCATTTGATACTTTTGTTATAAGAAATGCAGCCACATTATTAATATAGCGTAAGAGGAAAAACAATTTTTATTTATTATTCCTTACTTCTTGCCCCATAGCTTTAACAAGATTCCACCCTAGTATTTAATATTTAGTAATACCTATTAAACTTTCTCATTTAAGTTGGCATATGCATTCAATAACTTTGTGTTGATCACACCTAAAAGATTGTTAAAGCACATATCAATTTCTATTTTATTAGTTTGATCTTGGATCTTCATCACAGCAATTCTGGCAAATTCAACCAATTCATTAATTTTGAACTTATTTTAATCTACAGCTTCGATTTCTTATCTCAAATATTTAAGTGCAATCCTTTCATCAACATAAGAATTAGTGAGAAATGTGAAATCCACATCCGATTCCTTTGTCCCAAATCCATTTAATTATGACCCAAAGATGCAATATTTAATCTCAGCATTAAATGGATCATAATCAAGTTATTTAAGGAAGTGAACTAAGCTTTTAAGTGAATTTTAAAATTTTTTCTTTTTGTCATCAGTCATCTCATTTTACTTCAAAATTTCTAGAAGAACTTTATCTTAATCTTTCGATGTCATTTAGAATAAAATATAATGTATTTAATAATTTAATATTTTGATAAAGTCAAGAGGCTTTTTCTACTTCTTGTGTATTTTCAATTTTTTCCTAATAGAAATCATGCTATTTTAGTTATGCAATTAATTTACTAATAACTGGGCTTCTTTAAAATCCTCTAACTTCATCCCATCTAATTCATGTTATAAGAAAACTTATAAAGCTCTCTAATTTTATTATTGAACAAATGGAATTGAACAAAAGTTGGAACATGTGCAAATCTTTTTTTTTGTGAATTTGCAATCTATATGAAATATGGGGGAGGTTTGTGGTTAATTTAATTTTATTGCTGTAGCCTTGATTTATGGACAAAATGGGTCTTCATAAGCTTATTGAATGAATTAATGAATCATAATTAATTTAATTAATGAAATTTGCAAATGATAATCATTAGGATTACTTATAATATTTAATTCATTACGATATAAAAAATATTATGAATACATCTTACTCGCATTTTCTCCTGCTAAGCAGATGTATGCAAACTATATTTTTACTGTTGATAATAATTTTTGAGAAAAAGAGAAAATTTTTCATTCACTAGCATCAATAAATATTAGCTTATATGTAATAAGAAAATGATTTATGTTAAAATAATATGGATCTAGATAATTCATCAAGTATCAACATTTTATATCCTTTATATTAATTTTAATTCTGAAAGAAAATATCACTTTAATATTTAATATCTATTCGTAATTAAATAAATAAATTTAATTCCTTCAATAAGTGAATCTCTTGTCATTTTGAGGAGGCCAACCCAATGTCTAGTAATTTATTGATCAATATTCAACTTGATCATTTAACAAATAGAACTATGCTAGTTTAAAGAGGAAATTAATCAAAATTTTCTAAAGAAGATTAAATTTGAAGATAAATAGGAAATTTTGGCTATTCCTTCTAAGTCAAAATACTGCATAAGGCTTTCTATATGTTGAATTGGGTTAATTTTATTTGACTGCTCATAATTAGGTTGTCGAAACCTAATTTTGGAAACCAAGTTTAAATTATATAAATTAATAAAATCACATATCTTAGTTAACAAGTTTAGGTTATATCATATTTAGAAAATCTTAAAATTGCTTATCCTTTGATTTAATTGTCTTTGAAAATTATATCAAGAATCCATTTTTTATATCTTGAATTGCCTTGTGTTGGAAGGCAAACTAGTTTGGATATGCATAGTTTTGTAATTGGGTGATTAGTGATGTTTTAATTCCTTTTGTCTTTAAATTTTTAAAAACCACATCAATATTTTGTTATATAAATGAATAAATAAAAATTAGCATAAGAAAAACAATATAGAGATCAAGCAAAATACAGAACCCTTTTCAGTGTAAGTAATTGTGATATATTCAGCAAGAGCCTCCAAATCCATTCGGAGAAAATGATGTTGACAAAATGAAACATCAATATGCACAAATATTGAAGGAATAGGTATAGAATATTAAATATTAATCAGATTTTAGACTCTTAAAGACATAAAGAATAACAAAAAACTATAGATAGACAAGAAACGCAAAAATAAATCTAATATGAAAGTCCTTTTGGAAAGTATGACATGAATTTATCCTAGGGATCGATTAATCCATCTTAAAAAACTCAACAAAGAACTACTCAAGCCAATTTAAGACATCGATGAATTTGTGAAGAAAAAGAACTAAACTGATATTTCAAGACCTAAAACTATTTTAAAGAATTAATCAACAGAAAGAAGTAATTAACAGCACTCGAATGATAACTCTTTGGAATAAGCACCTCAATATAATTTTGACTCTCCCAATTAATAGGAAAATATTTAAAATAGAAATTAAAATTAAATTCTTCCCACATAATAAACTTAAAGAAACAGAGATTATTAATCTTCTTAATCTCTTGGTTTACCAGAACCCATTTTATCAAATAATAGTAATTTATTAAAGAACAACAGTAAAAATATCCATTTTCCTATATAATTACCACCTAAAACACCAGGGATAGTTTACGATAAACAAAATAATCCCATATTATCTGATTATGTTAGCATTTATGATTAATAATTTAGTAGACTACATAAATCAGAAAAAAGTGACTTTATAAAAGAATTGAATCAACTTAGATCTTAGTTCTTTGGTTAATAATAGAATCATGTGCAGCCTTTTAAATAAATTGCTAATTTATAATAGTCGCCTCCAAAATTTACTTCGGATATTGGGATTTAGGATGATTAATATAGGGGAGAATAGCTGGAAAGAGAAAGGCAAGAAGAATAATTCAGATATTAAGAATATTTGCGTTAATTAGAAGAGGAGAAGAGAAGGCAACAAGATGAGTATGAAAAATTGCTAAGGGAAAAGATTGAAAGAGAATTAGAAGAACAAAAAAGATTAAAATAACAGGAAATTGAAATTTAAACTGAAAAATTAGTAACTGACACAGGAATTTAGCATGTCGATCAAAATGCAGTAACAGCAGCTGAATATATGAAGACTCTGAAATAACTTTCAGGAAGTGTTATTGATATGAAAAATTAATTTATTTAAGGGCAACAAAAGTTAAATTATGAGTTAATTCAACTGAGAGACAAAGCACAAAGAGATATTGAAGAAAAGTTAAGGATTTAAAAAGAATTAAAGGAATTAGAATAGCGAAATTAAGCAATGAAAGTTTGGGAAGGAGAAAAATAAAGATAATTAATGTAAGCTTTGGAAAAAAATGCTCCAATTCCTCATTATAAATCAGTTTATATGGATCCTAAATAAATCAACCCGACTCTTAAGAAAGTTATAAGATTTAAAGATTAAACTTAAGGATATGAATATGAAGAACCGAATGGAATATTTTCAAAATCTAATCTGATGCCATTAAATGGAGGATATGATCAGAAACACTTACATAATTTAAAGGCTAACGAGCCTATTTTACCAGAAGAATTAGAAATTTTTAGGTAAGAAGTTGCTCCTTAATTGAAATATTCAAATCCGATTACCAAGAAAATTAGAATGGATGATATTCATGATTAGTTTTACGATTATAATTATCCAAAACAACTTGAACATCCTGGTTAAGAAAGACTAGAAAGATCAAAACATGAAACTTAAATTAAAAATGATCCAAATTAAATATTGTTAGAAAATGATAGAAGGCTACATGAACTCAGAATTATAGATCCAAAAGGAGATAACTAACAGATTTAAGAATTATATGATTATTTATGAAAACATTTATTTTAGATTTAATGTTTAGTTATATTTTTAGTTATTTATGTTATTTAAAATAAAAATGTTGAAATTGGTTACAATTAATATAGTATTACTTTTCATCATTGTCATTTTATTTTTGGATTCGCAAGTATTAGGATATTATTTTCTAAGGCTTTTATTTTTTCATTGTAAGTATTTTGATCAAACAGGATTTTTTTTGATTATTGCTCATATTATTATATTTATTATTCTATTTATTTAATCTCTTTTATTAATTTGTCTCTTTCGAAAGATAAGGTTAACTTTTAAGCCACTATTTGCAATTTAACAGTTTCATTAGTTTTTCTTCTAGTTTGTATGACTACCAAATTTTCTTTAACCTTTTTAAGATATTCATCTAATTTCAATTTAGTTTCTTCTTGACTCTACATATTTTGAATTTATGGAATTTGTTAAATTTTTGGTAGTAGATATAATATACTGAATTTTTTTCGTAATAATTACATTGATAATTCCATATCTTTGTAATTGCATTACGAAATAAGATTTTATTTTTCATCCAAAATTTAAAAAGAGCTTGGACATTCACATTGTGAATTTGATTATGTATTAATATATATAGGTTCTATATTTTACGATAAATATCCAAAAGAATAACAATTTTTACATTGCACCATGAGTTGTAAATTATTTTTCATTAGCTCTTCGATATTGTTTAATATAACTTCAGTAAATTCACTTAAGATTTTCAAAACTTAAATCTCAAATTTCATTTTTATTACCTAAGAGTATTCTTTATCAGTTTAGGAAACATAAAACAAATTTAGTCTACTCATTTCAAGATAGCTTATCAATTTTTCTATTTATTCTAAAGATGTTAACTTTCTTTCTTAAACTTTAAGATTAAAATTTATTATTGATTATTGAAATCTAACTACGGAATTCTAATCGTGAGGAACTTAAAAGGTGGGTAACTCTAACAATTTTGATAACTTGCTTGCAAATGAATCACTTATCTTCAAAATTTATTCATATATATTTAATCCTTAGGATAAAACAATAATTGATTGAAATAACACATTAAAGGATTTCATTTGCGATAAGCTGTATTAGTTTTTATCAAAAATTATTAATGTTGTAATTTGTAAACTTGACTTTTGGGTGATGAAATGGCTTTTAGAAAATCCTTCCTCAAAATTTTATTTATCCAAAAAAATAAACACTTAACATAACTTTCCTTCCAAATTTATGCTCTGGTACAAGAGTTCGATATCAATAAACTGTTAAAATTCCTTACCATGTACCTAAAACACTTTATAATTTTTTAGTGTATTCATTGAAAATATTGGTTTCTTTTTCATATGTAATTTGAATATGTTTGGGAGAATCTAAGAAACTTTTTGAATGTTACTATCGTTAAGGAAAAAAATAAATAGTAGGCAATGATGATGTTCAAAACACTTGCAATTGTCAAGACCACATTTACACATTAAAAATAGTTTAATATTATGTATAATAAAATATGTTGTTTTCTTATTAATTTTATTCTATTTGATTATAATTTTATTTTTCTGTAAATTTGATGAAATAAACTTATATCAACTTTGGATATGCATATATAATTATCAATTCTTTTTACATTTTAATTCAAACTTTTGTTTCTCTAGCCTTAACACTTCCATCTCTAACTCTTTTTATTCTTTATCTATTTTCTGATCTTAAGTTTCAATTTCATTTTGATTTTCGACAATATTTTCAATTTTTTGAAAAATTTGTTATAATTACTTTAATAGTTGTTCCTTATCACTCTCCAACTCTTTTTTTTTTTTAAGTATTTTTATTTTTTACTTTTCTTTTTCCTTGTTTTTTTAAATTAAATTCTGAATTTCTTCTTAAATTTTTTAAATTTGCTGTTAATTTTTCATAAACATTAATTTTTCTTCATATTGAGATGTTATTAATTGATATTTTTTTTTATCAAATTTTGTATCACTTAAATCTAAATAATCATCAGTGCTTGAATTAAGTGTATTTGTTATTTTTTCTCTGAAAGTTTCTACTTTATCTGTTATATTGAAAAATAGGCATTCCAAATCAAAATAATTTTGTAATTCCATCATTTCTTGTGATGGCTGTCTCAACTCTTTTTTGGTAAAGAGATTCAATATTATGATAGTGAGTATCTTTTAAAACTTCTCTAAGAATTTGTAGCATTCCATAATCTTTTTTTTCATAACATCAATTCGATCAAAATCTGTAACAATAAAAATTTTACTTATTTTATTTGTTCTAAAAATATTACTAAAATCATCAATCGTTGATGAATTCGCCATCTTCTGTTCGTCTACAAGTTCGAAAGGCGGAGTGTCAATAACAATGAATGAGCCCTAAATTGCATTTTAACAACAATCTTCATATTAGGACAATTTATGAGAAATAGACGTTTTACCAACTCCGCTTTTTCCTATAAGCATAATGTGCTTATTTTCGATTTCAGATATTTCTGAGTTAGATTAAGAATTAACATTAAGGTTTGAAACTTATTTTAGTTAACCTTTACTAACACTCCCCAATTCTTAATCATGCTTGTCCACTTGCCTTTCAATTAATTATTATTGTTGAATTTCAGTCTACTTTGGAGTAGATATTTTTTTTTGCAAGTTTTATAAAGTTGTATTCATTGTAAACAATTCTAACTATGCCTTATATCTTTACTGAATCTCTTAAATGTTGTCTTTAAAATTGCAAATTTCCAGACAACGAAATTGTAAATTTTAGAAAAATTCGATTTTTTCATATCTATTTAAGGTAACAAAGACGATTGTTTTGCAATTGACGCAACATTTTATCTCACTTAAAAATTACTTGTAAAATTATTCAATTTTTTAAAAGACATAATCTGTAAATTCTTTTAAAAGTTTTATAATTTCAATATTAAATTTACAATAAAGAGCATTTCTATTCTTTAGTGTTTTATCAGCTATCTTATTACATGCCTTACATTATTAGTATATGCCTTAATTTCGAATATCAATCAACATATCAAAATAGAAATCAATAATTCTACAAGAGGTAGGAATTGAATTATATTTTTTTTTGTTATTAATAAATTGTTAAACCATTTCAACACATTTTTCACAAGGCTTGGGTTATTAAAGATTAAGTGTTAATTATGGACTAGAATAGTTTTATTATTCAAAAGTTTTTTAAAATGAATCTTTTAACTCTGTTTATTGAACTATCTAAACATTATGAGCAAGTAAATTTAGGTTTGTTAAATCTCTTTTTGTAAAAGTATCTACCATATGAATAAGGAAAAATAAACTTGTTATACCTTTCAATTAACTATCCTATTATAATCTTTTCACAAAACTAAATTTATTGAAATCTGCTTTGAATGTCTTTGTATCACATAAAACAATAATCTATCTTAAATTCCCTTCTAAACTACAATTTTTTAAATAAAGGTTAACATCTTCAGGGGAGGATAAATTTCTGCCATTTGTAACAAATAATATCTATTGATTATATTTATAATTTGAAAATATCATCAATTTGTCAAATGAAAAGTTTAATATCTCTTTGAATTATTCTTTTACAGCCTTTTAACTTTCTTCGCTAAGAAATAACAAGATAATAACACTCTAATCCTTTTGGTTCTTATTAGGATTGATGCAACAGACTCCCATTCGATAAAAATAAATAAATATTAATATGTTCATCTCCTGTTTATAATCCTAATTCGACAGAAATTTTTATTCTATTTCTTTGAACCTCAAAATTAATTTTTAATTTAAAATAACTATTTATAAAATGATGAAATAGCAATTCAAGAAACTATAAATCAACTGATTATGCAAGCAGTGCAGCTCAATTTTAAATTTTTTTTTTTCTCAGCCTCAATCTCTGGTACTTTATTCTATTTCTACCCTTCAGATGTTTGTAATTTACTTTATAAATTTAGATTTTGAATTTTTTCATCCTATTATTTTTAGTTTGTTTTAACCTAATTTAGAGTGTTCTTTAGTTCTATTATAATGTTTAACATATCTTGCTATTCTTCAGCTTTAACTTATGGTTACTTTACCTCGAACTTTTAATTGTTTTATTTTTTTGGAGTTGTTTAGACGTTTAATTTTTATATTGGATGTTCGGAACTATTTTCACTCCGATAAATTATCTACGGTACTATTTTTTGCTTCTAATCTAAAGGTTATTTGATTTAAGATTAGCCATTATCTAGATTATTCAATTATATCTATGCTTCATGATATAATTTACTCCAAAATAGATCTTATTCATTTTTTTTGGTTTGTGCTCCATTTTTATCCATACTTAAAATATCTAAAACACCAGTATTTTGTAGCTCATTTAAAATATCAGCAGACAATATCGGTAAGTTATCCCAAATTAATTAGGCTCCACACCCTTTTAATTTTTATTAGTTTTAAGAGAGAGAGTACTTTTAGTTAATTTCAGTCTATTGTTTTAGTCTGATGCATTCTACTGATGCTTTAGTGATATTTATTTTGAATTTTTTTGCTGAAGGCTTAAATTCATTATTATCTTAATCAGGAAAGCTACCACATGTTGTCTATCCTCCGCACCCGGAAACTTTTAGCCAAATTAATTTACAATTTGGGCACTATTTTATGAAATTATAAACATGAGCAGGGTAATGTGTCATTTTATTTTGAGCCCTCCTTATAACATTATCCAATTGTGTCAAAACCTTATGCTTCAGTTTTGTATGGGTTAAATATGCTGTTTCATAGCTACCATTACACTAGTCAAGTAACTTTAGACAATCATAACCATGTCTTTTTTCAAATTCTTCAACGGTTGCATTAGCTTCCTCTTTCATTGCTAAAATTAATTCATGCATTATTTCGGCAACATCACTTGTTTTCTCTGTTTATGAATTAATAAAGTGAATGGCTGCCTGACATTTTGCTCCAAACTCGTCCTCTAATTCTTAAGTTTTTATTTCAATTTCCTTATTTAGGGTTATAAATTCAGCAAATTAATTTTCAAATTCTGTTTTTGTTAATTCAATTTTTTGTTTAATTGTTCTTATCAGAATTTAATCTATTGTTTAACAAATCGACTCTCCAGAGGTTTATGATCCAGAAAATATAACATTTTTTAAACCCAAAGGAGTAATAACTTCTTTAAAAACAGCATTTTTCAACTCATCAAGTCCATTTTACTATTTTTTAGTAGGATCATTTTCAGCAATGTCCCAATGTGTAATAACAACAGTAATCATCTCTCGATATCTACTTAATAATTTAATATTTTCTGTTATATCCTTTCTCATATTTTCGAATCTCTCATATTTTGTTAAGATAAGAATGTTGTTAAGAGGTTTTCCTGTTATTGCAGCAAATATCCCTGCCATATGAACAATAACTTCTTTTTCACTCCCAAAGCCAGGTGTATCCATTATATAAAAGCCCATGCCATAACTAGAAGATTTTTAAAATAAACCTCTTGTACAAGAGAACCCTCCGGAATAAGTTTTTTAGGTTTCTCGACAAATTTTATTGTAAAGTGTTGTTTTTCCAGAACCAACCCTGCTAATTAATACAACAGAAGGTCTCTCTTATAACATAATTATTAGATGAGAGAAATAATATCAGCTATTTATATGTGCAAGCTGAAAAAAAATATTCTATTATTGAAGCTTTTTTTTTTTATCAAAATATTCATGAAAACTGAGATCAACTTTATTTACACTGAGTTCGCCTTAATATGATATTCTCCCTATTGTCAAATATATATTTTGATATACAAAAGATGGTGATAACTAAAAATTCTTGTCTCCTATATCTTATATTTCTAAAAAATAAAATTCTCAAATTAGACCTTGGTTGGGCAAAAGATAATGAAAGTGAAATCCTTGCAAGAAGGAATAGTTCCTAACTCCTAGTTTATCGATTTTAGATTATTTTAGCAATCATAAACAAATATCGAATTCTCACTTTAAAGTACCGAAAGTTTACGCCTCCTTGCAATGAAAAAAATATTTCAAAATATGTTTAAATTCTAATGAAAATTATGCAGCGCCTCTAGTTTTTCCTTCAATATGGAAGCCCTAAGATGTTTTTTTTACAGAAGCAAAGTGAAATTAGGATTCAAACGTAGTTCCAGAATTCAAGATGATGAAAGGCAATAAAATGATTAGGATTTTCAAACAATCTAGTTCCTCATATAACATTGATAAAAAGTGATTATTATAATCATAGAATTCTATGTGATAAAGGATACTCACTTAGTAAACTCTTTAGGGAAAGATACTATATAAAGTTTGGGAAAAACTGTAAATTTGAAGTATGATAGATTTCAAACCTAACATGTATGTTAGGTTCCAAACATAATTCGCATTTTAAATGCAAATTTTATCTTTCTCCACATCAACATGTAGCTAGATACTTTGTAATTTACCCTTTACAATCACCTTTTGATACCCCATAAACAGATTGAACTTATAAAGAAATAGTGAAAATTGAAAAATTAATATCTAGCTCATTTGACTGTTTGGTTTATTTTCTTTTATGAGGCTCAATAAGTAATTTGATAGATTCATTCCTTTACAATTTTTAGATAAACTATATGACTTTAAAGTACTTGCAGAGAGAAAATATTTAGATAAAAACAACAATTCAAAATTTAAATATATATATATTTTTTCAAACGCTATTGAATGTGTAATTGATTTTCATTTACATATTTTTAAAATCGCTGGTTATTTAATCTATATTCTATTAAATTTCTTGTATTGAAGGTCAAAATAAGAATGGGGTTGGTAGTGTGACTTTTTTTAGTATTTGTAATTTGTTTCGATAGAAAAATACTTTGAGAGAGAGAGTGACAATTTGTGCAAATTGTATCTGAGCAAGTAAAAGAACATTAATAACACCCATCCTCATAGATTAAATTACCATCATCACACCAGATATGCAACCATGCCCAAATTTANTTGTTTTTCCAGAACCAACCCTGCTAATTAATACAACAGAAGGTCTCTCTTATAACATAATTATTAGATGAGAGAAATAATATCAGCTATTTATATGTGCAAGCTGAAAAAAAATATTCTATTATTGAAGCTTTTTTTTTTTATCAAAATATTCATGAAAACTGAGATCAACTTTATTTACACTGAGTTCGCCTTAATATGATATTCTCCCTATTGTCAAATATATATTTTGATATACAAAAGATGGTGATAACTAAAAATTCTTGTCTCCTATATCTTATATTTCTAAAAAATAAAATTCTCAAATTAGACCTTGGTTGGGCAAAAGATAATGAAAGTGAAATCCTTGCAAGAAGGAATAGTTCCTAACTCCTAGTTTATCGATTTTAGATTATTTTAGCAATCATAAACAAATATCGAATTCTCACTTTAAAGTACCGAAAGTTTACGCCTCCTTGCAATGAAAAAAATATTTCAAAATATGTTTAAATTCTAATGAAAATTATGCAGCGCCTCTAGTTTTTCCTTCAATATGGAAGCCCTAAGATGTTTTTTTTACAGAAGCAAAGTGAAATTAGGATTCAAACGTAGTTCCAGAATTCAAGATGATGAAAGGCAATAAAATGATTAGGATTTTCAAACAATCTAGTTCCTCATATAACATTGATAAAAAGTGATTATTATAATCATAGAATTCTATGTGATAAAGGATACTCACTTAGTAAACTCTTTAGGGAAAGATACTATATAAAGTTTGGGAAAAACTGTAAATTTGAAGTATGATAGATTTCAAACCTAACATGTATGTTAGGTTCCAAACATAATTCGCATTTTAAATGCAAATTTTATCTTTCTCCACATCAACATGTAGCTAGATACTTTGTAATTTACCCTTTACAATCACCTTTTGATACCCCATAAACAGATTGAACTTATAAAGAAATAGTGAAAATTGAAAAATTAATATCTAGCTCATTTGACTGTTTGGTTTATTTTCTTTTATGAGGCTCAATAAGTAATTTGATAGATTCATTCCTTTACAATTTTTAGATAAACTATATGACTTTAAAGTACTTGCAGAGAGAAAATATTTAGATAAAAACAACAATTCAAAATTTAAATATATATATATTTTTTCAAACGCTATTGAATGTGTAATTGATTTTCATTTACATATTTTTAAAATCGCTGGTTATTTAATCTATATTCTATTAAATTTCTTGTATTGAAGGTCAAAATAAGAATGGGGTTGGTAGTGTGACTTTTTTTAGTATTTGTAATTTGTTTCGATAGAAAAATACTTTGAGAGAGAGAGTGACAATTTGTGCAAATTGTATCTGAGCAAGTAAAAGAACATTAATAACACCCATCCTCATAGATTAAATTACCATCATCACACCAGATATGCAACCATGCCCAAATTTACTACAACTCAATTACATCTTGCATCTTGCATATTTAACTTAATCTTGAATTTTGATGCATGAAAAATTAATATACTAATAACCATCATTGCAATCATAACAAATACTTTAAAGACAAATTGAACAAGTAAAATTGGGCAACTAAATAAACATTAATGACATCCATCTTCAAATATTAAATTCCCATCATCACATTTCTCATTCTGTGTTACTATTTTGTCTCCACAAGTTGAATAACACAAATTATTAATTTTTCTATAACCAATTTTACAAGTTTTACCACCCAAACAGCTTTTACAAATAGAATGAAATTATAAATACTTTATCACAATCAATACAAGATGATTAGCATTTCTCTTTACAATTGTAACAACCTTAATCTGGTAATATTAATCCATCTTCGCACTATTCACCAACTACTTTGAGTGAATCTTCACATATTGCAACACAAATCTAACCATCAGAGAGCAGATATCCATTAGCACATTATTTGCATCTGTTTTCAATACAACTCGTGCATATTGAATACGGTTAACATTAAAATTTACAATATTAATTGTATCCATCCTAAGTAGTTGTATATTTACATTGATTTATATAAGTAAATTTTAAAAATCAAATATATTTCTATCTTCACAGTCTTCAAAATAGAATATATTTCCATCTTTACATCTTCGATTCCTGTAATAATCCCATCTCCACAAACATCAGGGCAAGGTAAGGTTGTTGATGAATCACAAGTCAAACAATGCGCTGGACATTAAAATTAACAGTTATAGCATAAATCATTAAGGATTGCATTATTATCTTCACATAATTCATCTCCGATAATTTATAGATCTCCACAAATGGTTTAACATTCTCCAGATACTAATTGAAATCCAATATCACAAGAATTACAAGTAATATTATGCCATATCTATTAATTATTATTACATAACTTATAGCATTAACTTAAAGTCAAATCTTCTGCATCTGGGCAATCTATTATTATTTTAATTAAATTACTCACTTAATTCATAATATCCTGAAGCACAGACACATTTTAATCCTTTTAATATTCTATTTTAAATAAGATCGCAAGTTAAACAGCCATCTAATAAGATTCTAAAGCATGTTTAACATTAACATGTTGATTCTTCTTTTTCGATATTTGAAATATTATTGCAAGTTAAACACTCAGCAGATGTAGGCCAAAACAAGTTTTGCAAAATTAATGACATTACTACATGTAGCATTTTATACAATTGAATAATAGCCATCAATATTATAAATTCTCTATAATTTCTGATTAAGCATTCAATACAATAAGTCTAGCTTAAACATTAATTACATTCAATTGGGCAATCAAAACATTGACCTGATTCTTCGTATTAATTCATTTTGCTCATACATCCTAATTTAGTTTAGATATAAGTAGATTTGCAAGTTTAACAATATATTTATGATGTACAAGTTAAACAAGATTATGGACAATCTAAACATCTTACAGACTCTTTATGATAATATTGATTAATCAAACATTCTGCTTGAGAAAATTTAATGAAACTAGAATCATATGTGCTGTTCCATAAAGTACATGTAGTAGCATCTGAACATTCTAAACAATAAGGCTAGCAATCATGAACAATAATATAATAAGTGTGGAATCCGCAAACCCTTGAACTGGTTCATTATTTGGACCATAGCATTCCCAAGTGATCGTTAATAAACTTGTGTTACGATGAATTCTTTCGTCTGTTCTATCTTATTTTGTTTCATCAGTATTAGATAAAGTAGTGTTTGTAATAAATTTAGAAACTGTAATGTTATTCTCTATTGTATATATAAACTAGCCATCTGAAGGGAAAGATGATCCGTACACAATGTAAAATGTAATAGTGACGCTAAAATGTGGAGATATTATGTTATGAATCCTTAAGAATTTTGCTTAAGCCCATACAAATGGTCCTCCAAAAACTCTTCTTCCAAGCAAAAATGAATAATAGATATCTGATCCTTTTAAAAAGTTTGTTCCATTTTGAGAAATTAAAGTATATTATGCATACTACCCAGGATCGAAGTCTACCCTCATATTCTTTAATCAAATATTAAGAGTCTATAAATTATAATATCTATTACAAGGTGTTTCCTTATCGTAATCCTAACAATAAGAACCATCTAATTTCTTTTATGGAGATGAGCATCTTGATATACAAGTATCATCTTGACATAAATAGTACCCTTTTTTACAAGACTTACATTTAAATGATACTTCACACAACTAACAATCTCTACAGCAATATCCAGAGTAAATATCAACCTAACCCATTCCCCATCCTGCTGTGTCATCTCTAAGTAAATTACATAGATATTTACGAATAATTCCCTATTGTTGAAAAAGAAATGGATATTTAGGAATGTTGAAATATGCAATCAATACATAATTTTCACTCAAGTTATAAAATGATGATGGCAACAAATAACCTAAAGAATGTGAAAATATTTTTAATCGATGGGTTTGAATTCCAGAAGCGTTTCTATAAATAGATCCATAATAAGTATGATTAATCTTAAACTATACAAGCCAAAATATATCCAAACAATCTACCTTAATTGAAACCTTTTTATTATCAATATGTCCATTTCTTTGCATTATTGGATGAATTTGGAGATTGAGTAGAATTGGTGTAATAAGAATCCAATCTATGCACTTTGAAATCGAAAGAAGAATTCATGCAATTATCCATTTACTTGCAAGCGCAAAAATAAATCAATTTTATGAATCATTAAAAAAAGTATACTATCAATGTATGTAACTAAACCAAATCATGGTTTGCTTGCAGGGTACTGAAACTGCACTGTATGATGAACAAGACTTAGTTTAGTGTAGTTGCAAGTTACCAAGAACGTGACATTTGAATTAAATGCTATTCTTTAGCCTCCTCTATTTTATGTATTTGGTTCATCTGTTAATTTTCTATTAATACATCCTTTAATTAGCTATCATTCTCCTCTTGATGCATTTTGAAATAAGATATTCAATTATTATTATATGAAATGTTTCAATAGATTCCATTTCATACCTCTCTCAAATTATGTTCTATTATGAACATAAATCTTTCCAATATTTTAAAGTAGTTTATTTCAAACAATTTTATGATTTTCATTGTTCCATAAACTAATCCCTAATTTATGTAGGCTTCTTATTATACTATAATTAAATTAATTATTTTACATATTATAAATATATATTGAATTGAATGTGGAAGCAACAAGATCAAATTTTCTTATGATTACTAAAATATTTATGAGTAATGTAAATGAGCTGTTTGAATTAAATAAATAAAAATATTTAAATATTATAAATACAAATTATAAGATATAATTTGAAATTGATTTTACCTTTATTACATTTCTTTATGAGGGTTGCTGATTGCAACACAGAAAGTGCAAATCACATTAAATTTGAAATTACGATAATAAACAAGCATAAATTGATATCTCTAATTAATTATGCATCCTCATATTCAAAATGATTAAGAAACGACACAAACATTAAAAATATCTAATATAGACTTTT